TAATTTATTTAATGGTGGCATGATTGTTATGGTGTCATAAATGATGATTTATATAGTTTTAATATGTGCTCAAAAAACTGTCTGCATGAGTCATGATTTTGTAAGCCTTATGTCTCCACCATATCTCCACCGATTCCCACGGTGTAGGGCTCAAATGAAAGCCCTGAAGCCATACTACAATGTGGTATAAGCATGTCCTTGAGGCATTTGTTCATTCTCACACAATATCATAGATAGTGAAAAATGTCAAAACATGCGGACAGTTTTTTGAGCCACTGTATATCTGTCCTGCTCCCTGATCCATTACCTATGCTTCATCTCCGTTTCATTATTTGTGATCTGTTTCTACTTACCAATAGACCATCCATATGCTTCGTACATAGCCTTGGACTCTGCTGATTGATCATTCCATTAGATACCTATAGTATATAACCTCCTGTAACTCTCTGTAGTACCTTAGTTCAAATATCATCCTAGTTCTACTCATTCCTGTCCTCTGGACTTGAGTATCTCTACTCTCGTCACCCTCCGAGACTTAGGATTGATTCCTATAGTCTATCTATATCCGCCTCTGTCTCTGACAGTCCATTACCATTAGTTTCTAGTCTGGACTCATCTGGATTAGCCCTATGATACTTATTCCTCATCCGGAAGTTATCTGGATCTGCTATGCTACTCATCTGACCTTCCAGATGTGTTAGTCTTGCCTTCCTGAAATAAGGGGCAATACTTGGGTAAGGGGCACAGTGCACGAGCTGAGGCTGAAGCCCTTCAGATCCAGTTATCCCTTGAGTATGACCTTAACAAAGTATATCACCTTTCCTGGTGATAATGATCCTGTCCTCATCCAAATTTGCAACAATCCAAAACATTGGCCATACTTTGAGGGTGCTATAGGAGCACTTAATGGTAGCCACATCCATGCATTCCCTCCCACAGCTGAGCATCATGTCTATCATAACTGAAAAAGTTTCATTTTGCAGAACTGCCTTGTTGCATGCAGCTTTGACTTACTATTCATGTATACATTGACTGGCTGGGAGGGATCTGTGACTGACATGTGACTTTGGGATCAAGCATGCAAAGGTGGCTTAAAGATTCCTGCAGGTAAATACCTTCTTGCAGATGTAAGATTTCCCTCCTATAAAGAACTCCTCACTTCTTACTGTGGTGTTCAATACCACCTCACTGAATGGGTCATGCTGCTGCAAGGTAATTTTTCACTTGCATTTTTATTTTATTTGAATCAAACTAATATATCATTTGACTCATCAATAAAGAGGAACTCTTTAACCTTTGCCATGCCTCTGCATGAAACATTATCAAATGAATCTTTGGCATCTTGAAGTGACATTTTTGAATCCTTCTCTTATCTTTGGAGTACAAGATGGATATACAAGCTCATATTCCAGTAGCATTATCCATCCTACACAATTTTATTTAGATTCATGACTTATCTGAAGACCCTCTGTTGCTGATGAGTATTGTAAACAATAACCCAACTCATCAAGGAAACACTGATCTGGATGAGAGCAGACTGCTCATCTGAATTGCAAATGCATGCCATGATTACATTGCAACACACATGTGAGAGGACTATAAAGCTTTCTTACAGAACAATGACTTAGAAGATACTAATTTTGTTGAGAATGAAGATGATTTTTACCAAAGGCATGGGTGTGATAATAAGATCAATGCAGAATAGATTTGTTTATATTAAGTACAATTAAAAGTTCTATGTGAAAATGATACATGCTACAAGACTATTTGTATGAGAACAGTGAGAACACAAATGTAGGGTGTTAAGGTCATACTCAAGGCTAAATGGATCTGAAGGGCTTCAGCCTCAGCTCATGCACTGTGCCCCTTACTCAAGTATTGCCCCTTATTTCAGGAAGGCAAGGCTAATGCATCTGGAGGATTGGATGGATAGCATAGCAGATCCGGATGACTTCTGGATGCAGGATAAGTATCATAAGGCTAATCTGGACAAGTCCAGACTAGAAACTAGTGGTAGTGGACTGTTGTAGACAGAGGCAGATGCAGATAGACTATAGGAATCAATCCTAAGTCTCAGAGGGTGATGAGAGTAGTGATACTCAGGTCTGGAGGACAGGAATGAGCAGAACTAAGTTGATATTCAAACTGAGGTGCTACAGAGAGTTACAGGAGGTTATATACTATAGGTATCTAACAGAATGATCAATCAGCAGGGTCCAAGGCTGTGTATGAAGCATATGGATAGTCTATTGGTAAGTAGAAATGGATCACAAATAATGAAATGGAAATGAAACATAGGTAATGGATCAGAGAGTAGGATGGATATATAGATAACTGAAATACCGGAGTTAGGGGATTACCAAAAGGAGATGAGTGCTGATTGTGGATTCGGATGAATTGTGGACCGGACCGGATGAGTGGCAGATTGGATAATGAGATGTTGGAGGGAGATAAGATGTGGAAAGGATTGGAGATAAGATGTGGATTGGATCTGAGATGAGATATGGATTGGATCTGAGATCTGGATATGTGGATATGACATAGGGCTACAGTTTAGCCTACAAATAAGAAATGAGTAAACAAAAGTTAGAGCTACAGAGTAGGGTCCTCCTGTCTAGCATGAATGACCATTGATCATAAAAATATAATATGCAGCTCAGGATCATTATCATTTATAATTATATCACATGCCACTGGATCTGTCATGTGTACATACAGAGAAAGTACTTTATTGTCTACCCAAATCTCTGTGGTCAACTGAATGAGATTCAGTATGGATGACCTATGCTCAACCACACAAAGCTCATCAGTAGCACTGCTGAAACTCATATTCAACAAATCTAAAAGGTGGTTGATGGTGCCTCAAAGGTTTATTAGCACAGCTGTGTTGGCAGTGTCCTGAATATTCTTCTTGCTCACACTTGGGTATGTCTTGCTACTACCTATTAATAGCTTTGGCTTCTTATCTGATTCTAGCTTCATCATCTGTGAAACCAAAGTCTACATGGTGAAAGAGGAAGCTGAATGACCATGAGTCATTTGTGAATATGAGTACTTGCCAGTGCTAGAGCCTAAAGATAGAGCAAGAGCATCACTCATACCACTATTTGCAAGTGTAGGACTAGCAGGAATACTATTGCTAGAGTCATAAAAAGGCCATTCCAAATAAGGAAAATATCAAATTATATCACCCCTTTAAGCTCACACCATATGGTAAAAGATCTCTTGCATATCATATTTTAATTAGGGAGGCTACTAATGCTACTCAAGCCATCAAATTCATTTAGTCCATCATCCACACCACTGTCTCCACTCAAATAGTCAGGAATGTTCTAGGCAGCCACCCTTAAAGCTATAATCAAGAAGAAAAGCTTCTTCTATCTTCAGCCAATAGAGGGAGGAGACTAGCCTTTGTTCTAAAGTACCAGTATTGGACTTTGAGGACTGGAATAGAGTTATCTGTTCAGATGAAACAAAAACCAATAGGATGGAGTCAAATGGCCAGGAATATGTATGGAAAAAGGCAGAAAAATTCCTGGGACAAAGAGAAGTCAAGGAAGCACTCAAATTTAAAGGAGAAGACTTGATGGTATAGGGCTATACAAGGTGAAATAGAGTAGGGATTCTCTGTGAGTTGGAGGGAAGGATAAGTGCAAAGCAGTACATCTCAATTCTGGAGGAGGGTCTGCTTAGAAGCATGCAGAAATGAGAAATTGATGAAGAAGATGCTATCTTCTAATAGGATGTGGATCTCAGGCATACTCCAAGTCAGCTACCAAATGGTTTGAAACTATGATATTACTGTTCTATAATAGCCAGTATAGTCTTCAGACCTCAACCCCATTGAACAGCTCTGGAAATTGCTTAGGACATTACTTGCAATGTATCAAGATCCTTCATAGGGGCTATTTCAGCTATGGGAGGGAGTTGCAGCATGGTGGGGGAAGATTACTAATGGGTAATGCTAGGAATTAATAAAGAGCATGTCTATAAGAGTGGCAGAAGTGATTAGAACAACAGGAGGAAATACCAAGTACTAGAATTATAGAGATTGTATTGGTCAAAGTCAAAGTCAAAAAGTGTCCTAATGAGTCACCAAATTAAAATGTCCATGTCTTCACAGGATAACATTGGATTCCTACACTATATGGAACAAAGACAAAGTGAAGAAGCAAAGCATTCTGATACCTCCCTGTAGCTTGGTCATGTTTTTATGCCCTGACTCACAGTGGAGCAGTTATGTAAAAACCCACAAACATTGGGACATTTTTTTGAGCTACTGTACTTGTTGTTCTAGGTACATTCAATCTATACCATTTGTTCCCATCTGCTGAAACTTACTTTTCATTCTAGTCTTCAGAATCCATTGGCAGGTGAGCACAGAAATGTAGCACTTTTGATAGAGGACAAGAAAACTGGTTGAGTACACTGACAGGCAAGCACAAAAATGTAGCACTTTCAATAGAGGATGGGTCAACCTGGTACATGAGTATGGCATTATATCTGCACATTTAATATGTGCATATTGTGCACCCATGCGCACTGTCTCCTGCACTGCATGTCTCATCAATAGAGCCTCTGTATTTGATTCAACCCTTCTCTGCACTACATGTTTTCAAAGATTGAGAGTTTTGTCTATACATTCATGTTCAAAACCTGTATCAACCCAATACTACTAGATAAGTTTCACAGTTATGATTTTAGGCCTGCAACATGTTTTAAATAAGACTTAGGCTCACCATGTTTGAAATCAGACACCAGAGGTTGTATCAATGTTCAAGAATATAAAGTGACAATCATGACTGAGCTGGGAGTGGTATAAGAAGCATACAGTACAGGTCATTGTTCAAACAACATTGGCAAAATGTGCAACACAATGTAGTACACTTTGAAAGCTAAATAGATTGAAAATTTACATCCTCACAACATCAAGTGAGGGCCTTAAAATAATGAATCACAATGATCAGTAGATAGTACTTCATGCTTACATGAGTGCTTGGTCACATATATGCATGCTCAGTCTGCAAATAGCTGACAACCTTATTGCAGACTCTCTCCAGCATGCATTGGAATATGTATTCAACTTTCCCTAATCCCTGATTGTCTTGATAAGGGTAGAGTACCTGTTAATGTGAATAGTTAGTGTTAATGTTGGACAAACCAAAGGGATTACGTACCATGGTGGCATAATATGCATACTGACAAATATTCAAGTCCAATTGCTTGTTATGAGGGTGGACCCATGTGGTAATGGTAACTGTTGTTGGGTGAAACCATGTATGAGAGAGCAACATAACTCTACCATCTTCCAAGTGTGCCAAGTCTTTAATCTGAACCCCCCTCTGATCAAGCTCCTTCTCAGGGCCCCATTCATACATGGGTGAATCATGTTTCTGGCCTTCAATGATACTAATGTGGGTGGCAGCTATGATATTCTCATTCTGATCACCATAGGTCTGCAGCTTCTCAATGGCACTTTTGGAGGTCTCAGAAATAGACACCTCAAACAGCCATAATGGAAGGATATCATCATCACAGGTCTGAAGCATCAGTACTAAGTCTGGTATTCCAAGCTGGTATCTCTTGTTGGGAGGTAGATCTGATGTAGTGAGTGCATCTACCATACACACCATGTGGATAGGTAAGAAAACCTCAAAGTCTTCAGGGATAGTGAAAGAAGTGATGACAATCCCCATTGCAGTGCACAAAGGCACCAGGTTTGCTTCATAAATTGGTGAAGGCAGGGTGGCAATGAGTTTTTGAAGGTGAGGGGTATATGACAGTCTGAAGCAAACTACAAGATCAGCTTCAATTTGGAAAGGACCAGAAAGACTCACTTGTGAACCACTTTGCAATCAGATCTGATAACATCCAAAACATACATATAATCTTCTTCTGAAATGTTTAAGAAGACCTACCCTGGCAATCAGCCTAAGAAAGATAAGAAACAGGAAGCTTCTCATACCTCAAGTTCAGGTCCATCACTACCATTCCATATTCTACTGATAATCAGTTCACACAGGCCTACAGAGCTCAAGAAAATAAATTACATGGTCTGTAGATTGCAACAAACATACCAAGACCTTGTATCTTTGATTCCCCATTTTTGATATTTTCTGGCTTCAGTGAGTCTGGTATTGACTGAGGCTCATTTGTTACTACCAGGCCTGAAGCTGACTCCATAGCAACAGCAGTGGCTGGACTTTCCACAAGAATTTGTTATACAGTCCCTCTTGAAATTCACTTGAGATGACCCTCTGAATGGTCTAGAAAGTTTTGGCTGAGGCTGCCAGCCATTGTTGCACTGTGACAAAGGAACAGGAGGCATGGTTCTGCAAGGTGGCATTCTGTTAGAATCACACCTTATAAGTGAATACTGTGCTGTAAACCAGCATTCAGCTTTCCACTGGGGTTTCCAACTGTAACTTGACACATTTCAAAAAGTGTGAAGTAACAAGTGAAATCATGCATGTGATTGCAACATATCATTAGCTAGTGCATTGTGAGGATGCAAGGTAGGAGTATAGGATGGGTGATGTGACAAGTGTTAGATGAGATTAACAGTATGTACTGCAAAGCACAAGGAAGAACAAGAAATAAAATTAGTACAGCTGTCTGTAGCTCAAAGGAGATAGTATGGCAACTCAAATGAGAAAGTTAGCAGGGTTCTGAATCATAATATGATGAGAGTCCCATGGATTGATGTGTTCCGGAGTGAAGGGGTTATCGTCTTCTGTTTTATTGTGCCAAAAGACATCAGCCTCACTGACTGACACAAATTCAGGTAGAGATGACAGTTCATCCTTGAGTCATACACTGGCAGCAGCACTAGCATGTACCTGACTGTGAAATGACATCATCTCTACTGATAATGGTTAATAAGTAATCAGCCAATGGAATAGTGAACTTACAAAAGCTACTGGATTGAGCAGGCTGGATTGACAAGGGGAATTGAGAATTTGGGCTTGCCAAGTCTATCAAAAATAGTGGAAAGCTAGTGTCACATGCTAATTCTGACCATCAAATACATATCATCAAGTATCTGAGAAAATAGGTGGAGTGATGAACCTTTCTTTAGTTTATTTTGAGCCACTCACTTCATATCTGATAGTGACTGGTTGGGAGAAAGGACACTTTTCACTGTGAAACAGACAAGTAAGACATGCACAATTAGTATAATTTGAATGACTAAACACTCACTGTGATTGGTACTTTTCAGTGATCTAACCTTCATTTTACCTTTGGGGTCTGAGTCCTTGACTTCAACATTAGTCAGATCCAATTCCATCAAGGAACTTGTGAGCTCATTGTCCAACTTATTGACAGCCGAACTGTCCATATCAGACAAAAGCTGGTCACTGCCATCATGTTCAGAATCTGAACCCACAATGACAGGCTGCATTTTCCAAGATTCATAAACATTGTCAGGGATCCAATTCCTTATTACTGATAATTGGATTTGTTAGCACATAAATGTTGAAGCAAATACACATGAACCTACCAAACCAGAGATAACATTCATTGGGGCTGGCTTTTTCTCATCCCTTATGTTTTGTGAGGTCACTTCCAGTTGGAAATGTGACATTGACAACCATCAATGCCAGTCCAGACTTGTTCAGGAGGTGCCAAACAGGTGTCTCTTCTTGGCTGGGCCATGATTGTGATGTTCACTTCTCAACTTGCATATCCAGGTATTTGAAGACCTTTGGAAACCAGGTACATAGGTTACTGGTGATCTTTGAATATGACCATCCAGTTTTGACTCTAAATTGCTGGTCAAGGTAGCACCCATGGTTCCTCATGGCCTGTATCTCATTTTGGCTGCCCTTGCTTGGGGCTTTGGTTTCCCTGATGAGACCATTCCTCTGTCAAATGATATAGTATTAGTTTAATCCATTGAGGGTACTACTTGACTGACATTGACACCACAGGTTAGTATAGCAATTGATGCAACTCCAAACACAGTATTTGCCACTGCAATACTACTAGAGGCAGTGTTCTAGTGCACTTGACTTGCTGGGTATGGGCATCAGGAAATCAACCTGAAGTTGGTATGACCAGATATAATTGGTAATCAATAATCATTATTACATGTCATGTTTTAGCCTTAGATATCATTATCATGGTACCACACATATATGAATCAAGATATGACTATATTAGACATATCACCTTGATGTGTCTTGGCCATCAGAACATTGGCACAGACTTGTTTTTCTTAAATTTAGTTGGTAAAATCAAATAAAAAATCCACTGAATTATATAAGGTTGATAATGAGTATGACATATTGGTATTAAATGAACAAGTATTGCAAAAGAACCAATATTCTGATGTAGATATATCATGTCTTGTAATTGTATCAACAAGTTTCCACCAATTGGTCTTTACTACCACTGCTTGCATGACATTGCACTACAGGAGCCATGTCACATGATGCTTATGTAAGTTGTGGTTCATATTTTTGAGACTTGTCTTCTCTCATCTCATTCACACTCTAACTGTGCACCTTTTCTGGCCCTCCTTCCTGGCCCTTCTTCTTGGTCCTCCTTATTCCTGGTCCTCCCTGGCCCTCCTCCTCCCTGGTTCTCCCTCATGGCCCTTCCTGGCTCCTCTGCCACTGACAAGCAATATCATATGAAGCATTAACTAATTGTTAAAAACACACACACACACACCTCTGGCCCTTCCTGGTTCCTTCCTGGCCCTCCTTCCTGGCCCTTCTCCTCCCTGACCTTCTCTGGTCCTCCTCTCTGGTCCTCCCTAGCCTTTCCTGATGGTTCTTTCTCTCTCTCTCTCTCTCTTGGCAGGTAACTGACATGCCTCTATCTTTCTAACTTCTGTTCTACTGTGTCTCTCTTCTCTCCTGTATTAATACCACATATGTACATCCCAACCCCAATTAAAATTTGATTTGATATATAAAATGATAAAATGAGTGTCAATGTTAAGACTTTTGGCAATTCCATGGCAGTTTTGTTTGAAGCAGCCTGGCATTATAAAATTTTGTCAAGGATGGCAGATGTTTGCAATATGTATCATAATTGTACCTTTGGTGGTTTTCCCCATCAGAGTCCTCCTATCTATAGCTTTGTGAGGCTAACTGCAATTATGATAGAGATTATATGAATTTTATATTAGATAAAGCTTTATAATGCTATGTCATTGTCAGGTCAATGCCCTGATGGGGTTCATTTCTTTGCGATCCTAGAAATTATCAAGTAAATTTTTGAACTAGCTGTCAGTGTATCTCATACCTTTTGTAAGCCAGCTGATGGTGCTGGACCCTTGGCCAATTTATTGTAACCAGCAAGCTGAGTAGAAGATTGTTATGGTTCTCCCTAGCACCTTCACCTTTTCACACTTTCACCTTTTCATGATGTCACCTTTCACAACTTCACAACTTCACCTTATCACAGATGACATCATATGTTCTTTAGTGTTCCATCACATTCTATGGTATGATCTTACATAACATTATATCATTGGCTAGCTATATTAGAGCTCCACCTGAATACTCATATATATACACATAGTTACACTCATGTATTCCCTATCTTGACCTTAGCAATACTAAGCTTGTCTCTTGGTAGACTTGAGCGAGGTATTCATTGTTAAGTGTAACAAAGATAATGTCAATATGGCCTCTTCCTGGGCAGCACTGCATGAGAAGCTCCCTCACTTCATGGTGGATGACTTTTCATTGACAGTCCTGCCACCAGCTACTCAATTGAATATGTCCTTGATGGCAGCTGACAAACTTGGACAAGATTCATCTTGAATAACTTCTGGTTTGTAGCCTGATACCTTGCAAGGGTGCTTGCTATGGCCATGGCAACACTCCACACAATGACCCTTGTCCTGTGACTGAGCAAAAAATTCCTCACAGTCACATGGTTAACTGTTAGCCATGATACTTCTACAAAAGATACCTTTGTTGCTCCCACTGGCAGGATCCATGCTGCTACAGTGATACTACAGCAAGTGGAAGAGGGTGCAGAAAGACTGTGACTTCAAGAGGAATCAGTGGAAATGACCTGAAGTGAGTTATCAAGTCTAGTGATCATGTCTATTTAAGCTAATTCTGAGATCACCACCAGTTGGACTATGTGACACTTCTCATTCAAGTATTATTCAAGTAGTACCAGGTAAGTCTCATCACTCTCTACCAGCAGCTAAAAAAATATGACAACACCACTAACACTTAGCACCATAGCTTTGCTTGCTTAAACCATATCAATTCACCAAGCAATGGTGACCAATGGAAATAGTCTCAAAAACCAGGTATTCATTACCTTCCCACTCATCTGCATTGTCTGCAGCCAGCCTGCAATGATGTGGTGTTATGTCTTTGGCTACAACTTCAGTGAGAGTGGCAGAAAATTGCCAGTATGTTCCTTCATTGACAAAAGGGCTCCTTTGCAATGGAACACTGATGGCTTCATGGTAGACATGGTCTCTTTGCTGGTTATTGACCACCTGTACTATATCTTGAGATCCCTCACCATCATCACTGTCTTCTTCATCCATGGGATGTCCCGCTCTGGTCTGGTGTCACTGTCAAGTTGCAACATGGCCATAGACCCCATAATATTCTTCAATTACATCAGGATGTATCCCTTCACAGTTGTCTCAATATATGCTGAATTGTACCTGCCCTAAAAAACATAAATCCTGTTTTGATAATGTGTCAATATCATAGTTATGTCAATAATGTGTTTGTGATCTTACCTTCAGACTCTTATTGTTTGTATCTGGACCACTTATTGGATGACAATTTCATTTCACTTGGAAATCTGAGCAATCTTGACTGATTTTGCCAAGAAATAGTGTTTGAAGTAGCCAAATATGACTAGGGATGTCAGGGCAAAGTCCATGGTAGTTCTCAAGTTGAGTAAAAAATGCTCTCCATCTTGAAGCAAACTGGGTGCCTACCTCAACCCACAAATACTCAAGTCATGAATTATGGGTAGAACTGGTACTCAGAATTAGCATGTAATATGGTGAATCAACATAATTAAGTAGTATAACTCATGATCCCCACATGAATGATGCTTGGCATGGTCCATATTTCATTATCATATAAGTCACAACATCAAGGTTCTCTCCACCACAATCTCCTTGTATACAAGAGGGTGTCCCAAATTCTTATATTAAATGTTCAAAAAGATCTAAAACAGTAGTAGAGCAGTTGTTATTACTTGCTTTGAGTCCAGTTATCTGACAAGACTAGACATCAGAATCAAATACAAACAAGACACATTAGACTGAGTCAGACTGTTCTGCAAAACTCATCAATAAATCCATGAATCACAATTTCCCATTGAATCAGTTTATGATGCCCATCTATGTGCCACAGAGCATTGGGCCACTTCACATGGTATTTTCACCTGCGTTTGACTTGACAGTCTTGTAACACCTGACCCAAGCCATCCACTCTACAAAGTGATTCTGCAACTCATTGATGTTACACTTGGAGACCATATCTGCAAAGAAACCCGATTATATATCTAATGCCTGAATCCAGTCACTTTTTTTTGAACTTGCCAATGAGGATATCAAAGTCGGCATTAGTGAGTTCAGAGTACCTTTGTGTGATTCCATGGGCTTTCATATAGAGTCACAGAGTATTCCTGTGGATTCCTAATGTCTTGGCCAATTCTGTTGGGTTAATATCATGAATTTGACAGTGCTTCAGCAAGGAATTCAATATCAATGATTTTTTTCAGGCAACCTGCATGATTTGTGCACAGTAATGTTACTGGTTGGAGGAACACCATGTCCTTGTCCATACTTCATTGCAAAATCAATAACTATTAAAATTGAGGGAGTCAAGAGTGTGAATTACCAGTTTTGAGTATTTGTTATGATATGCCCTGCCCTGCTGTACTTTTTCTGCTTTCTCATCATCTATTGTTTCCATCTGAATCACTTTACATTTACTGTATTATGTTGTGTGCCACTCATGCCACCATTAGACGCCATCTACATGTCTTGCTACATGTCCTGTTTCCTTTCTTGTACTTCTGACATTGTTGCTCCATCCTTATTAGGCATATGCTCGTAGCTTCACCTATTCATGCCTGCCCTAAACTTCCCTTCACTATTCCTAATAAATGTGACTTATCACTGTGTAGTTCTTTACTTTAATCTTACTAGGTTTTACCTGGAACATCCTTCACTTAAGACCACCAATCTCAAGTCGTCTAGATCATACTTTAAGTCAGAGACACTCTCTCCATCTTAGCTTACCTTGAATATCTTGCTTATCATGAGGCATAGAATCTCAACAGGGGTCCTGACTCTTATCAAGTTGTCTGTTATTAGAACTATCCTAGTTTGTAACAGTATTGTATTGAAACAATGATAACTGTGCTGAGAGCTCCCCTAGCACATTTGCTGCATAAGATAGCCAATCACACATCCATTTCCTTGGGGATTCCATGCAAGTGCTTCTAGGAGAGGTATAGCATCTCCAGATAGTGTTTCTATATGAAACATAAGCTGAAGGGGATCAGCATCTTCTTGATTTAGAATCTGAAAGGCATGCTGGTGGATATCTGACAGTGTATCATGTGCAGTGAGAAAGTTTGCTGACAATGGAGCCTGAGTCACTGCATGAGATGGGAATTGAGGAAAAACCTCTGGTAGTATCATAGGCATGACAGCAATGATTGCAATGAGTTCAATGTTGGCACTATACTGCAGAGCATGAGAAACCCAACACAATTCAATGAAGTAGGCATGATTCAAGGCCCAATGTCTGACTTCTTGCCAATATTACCATATCTGAAAGTAATGTACCAACCTGACACCCAATCTATTACTTTCATGCTTCAAGTCATGTTTTTCAGGTGGGGTTTTTCCATTTTGTCATATCCCACAATCCAGACCCATGTTCCATCATATTCCCACACCTTCTGAGCCTATGTCCAGACCCCACTTCATATCTAACTCATTCCCAGATCCCCTTCCACTGTGTGCTCCACACCTCAGCAGGATCGACTATGCTCTGGATTTACCCCTGAGCTCTGGACCATTGGATCTCCACTGCTAGCCTGAACCATAATCCCCTGTCCCATCCACCCTATGTACACTCCATCCAGCAAGACATCCGGACTTCACCTCATCTTGGATTCCAGACTCTATCCACCTTCTCATATCCTGGTCCTGTATCCACCTTGTCTTCCAGATCCCCAGATCTCTGGACCTCTGGATATTAACTTCAGACCTATTCCCACCCTCTGTCCAATATCCTGTGCCTATCCCCATTTAGACATCTCTGCCTTTCTGGCTTTTGGTTACCTCCTGTTCTGTCTTGCTTATTGATCCTTGTATGAGTCTTCATTTCTGAGTTCATTTAGTTATGTTCTGTCTTACTTACTAATGTGTTTCCACATGCTCATACATAGCCTTGCTCCTTTGCTTACTGATCCCCCCAGATATTCTCCAGTATATAACCCCTGTAGATACTCCTGTAGTTTCCTTAGTTTGAATATCATCTTAGATCCTGTTCTATCAACTTAGACTTGCCCAATCCTCTCTTGGACTTTGGTCTACCTAAGTCTGTCCTACTCATCAGGCCTAGGGATTGATTCCCTAGGCTGGAGCTTTGCCTTTCTGGCACTTACCCTCTTTCCGGACTTAGGTCCAATCCCTGTTCTCTCCGACTCTACCTTAGGGTAGTCTACCTCTGTTTGCTTCTACATTGGACTTTGTCCAATGTAGCCCCTATTCCTTCTGGACCTCTGGACCTCTGGACCTCCTGTCCTTCAGATGTTCTGTCCTCCTAACCCTCAGATGTCCTATCCTCCTGTCCTTCAGACATCCTGTTCTTCGTACCTCTGGACATCCTGTCCTTCTGTCCTCTGTCATCCTGCCCTCCTGTCCTCCTGTCCTCTGGACCTTTGGACCTCCTATCCTTCCATCCTGTTTCCTGTAGAAGTATTACCTTGCAGTTGTTAAGAACCATGTTGTTCAAAGGGGAGAGAGACTGACTCAGAGGGGCTTGGCCTCAGCTCATACACTGTGCCCCTTACCCAAGTATGTGCCCTTCATTTCATATGAGGTCCAATGATGGTCCAATGAAGTCCAGAGGACTTCTGGAGACTGGCTACTCTGATGGAGTGCTAGAGGACTTCCGGAGGAGCATGGGAAACATCCAGAGGAGCATGGGAGAGTTCTGGAGGAATGCAGGAAGTGTTCAGGAGAGTTCCCACTGCAAGGTAATACTTCTACAGGAAACAGGATGGAAGGATAGGAGGTACAGAGGGCAGAACATCTGAAGGACAGGATGCCCGGAGGTACAAGGGACAGGAGGTCCAGAGGTCCAGAGGTCCAGAAGGAATAGGGGCTACATTGGACAAAGTCCAATGTAGAAGCAAACAGAGGTAGACTACCCTAAGGTAGAGTCGGAGAGAACAGGGATTGGACCTAAGTCCGGAAAGAGGGTAAGTGCCAGAAAGGCAAAGCTCCAGCCTAGGGAATCAATCCCTAGGCCTGATGAGTAGGACAGACTTAGGTAGACCAAAGTCCAAGAGAGGATTGGGCAAGTCTAAGTTGATAGAACAGGATCTAAGATGATATTCAAACTAAGGAAACTACAGGAGTATCTACAGGGGTTATATACTGGAGAATATCTGGGGGGATCAGTAAGCAAAGGAGCAAGGCTATGTATGAGCATGTGGAAACACATTAGTAAGTAAGACAGAACATAACTAAATGAACTCAGAAATGAAGACTCATACAAGGATCAATAAGCAAGACAGAACAGGAGGTAACCAAAAGCCAGAAAGGCAGAGATGTCTAAATGGGGATAGGCACAGGATATTGGACAGAGGGTGGGAATAGGTCTGAAGTTAATATCCAGAGGTCCAGAGATCTGGGGATCTGGAAGACAAGGTGGATACAGGACCAGGATATGAGAAGGTGGATAGAGTCTGGAATCTGAGATGAGGTGAAGTCCAGATGTCTTGCTGGATGGAGTGTACATAGGGTGGATGTTAAGGTTGTACTCAAGGGATAACTGGATCTGAAGGGCTTCGGCCTCAGCTCATGCACTGTGCCCCTTACCTGAGTATTGCCCCTTATTTCAGGAAGGCAAGACTAACATGTCTGGAAGGTCAGACGAGTAGCATAGCAGATCCGGATGACTTCTGGATGAGGGATAAGTATTGTAGGGCTAATCCAGATGAGTCCAGACTAGAAACTAATGGTAATGGACTGTCAGAGACAGAGGCGGATATAGATAGACTATAGGAATCAATCCTAAGTCTCGGAGGGTGACGAGAGTAGAGATACTCAAGTCCAGAGGACAGGAATGAGTAGAACTAAGATGATATTCAAACTGGCTACTACAGAGAGTTACAGGAGGTTATATACTATGGGTATCTAATGGAATGATCAATCAGCAGAGTCCAAGGCTATGTACAAAGCATATGGATGGTCTATTGGTAAGTAGAAACAGATCACAAATAATGAAACGGAGATGAAGCATAGGTAATGGATCAGGGAGCAGGACAGATATACAGATAGCCAAAATACTGGAGTTAGGGGATTACCAAAAGGAGACAAGCGCTGGCTGTGGATTCGGATGAATTGTAGACCAGATCGGATGAGTGGGCAGATTGGATGACAAGATGTTGGAGGGAGATAAGATGTGGATAGGATCAGAGATAAGATGTGGATCGGATCTGAGATCTGGATATGCAGATATGACAGTGGATGGGACAGGGGGTTACAGTTCAGGCTAGCAGTGGAGATCCAATGGTCCAGAGCTCAGGGGTAAATCCAGAGCATAGTTGATCCTGCTGAGGTGTGGAGCACACAGCAGAAGGGGATCTGGGAATGAGTTAGATATGAAGTGGGATCTGGACATAGGCTTGGAAGGTGTGGGAATATGATGGAACGTGGGTCCAGATTGTGGGATATGACAGCAGTGGGAACTCTCCTGAACACTTCCTGCATTCCTCTGGAACTCTCCCATGCTCCTCCAGAAGTCCTCCAGACTTCATCAGACCATCATCGGACCTCATATGAAATGAAGGGCACATACTCGGGTAAGGGGCACAGTGTATGAGCTGAGGCCAAGCCCCTCTGAGTCAGTCTCTCTCTCCTTTGAGCAACATGGTTCTTAACACATTTATCAAATCATTCCTTGTTTGAAAGTTATTGTGCTGGTCCAAGGTCAAGAATATGCTGTACAGACTCTGCAAATCAATTTTGTTGTCATCTTCCAATGTATTTCACAACATGTTTACTACCACAGAGAATGGACAAGTAGAACTGGATGGAATGAGTGATGATAGGCTCATTCACCTCAATGGACTGTCCTGGGAGACATTCAAACTGTTTCTTGAACATACCTTTGGAAGGTAGGTCAATATGATGTTCATGCTTCTTATTAGTATCAACCCATTGAACTATTTGTAGGGTGTGCACTGGCTCATATACTAACAATGAGCTCTCGAGATTCCTTCACTTTTGTGACATGTATCAATGCTGCCATGCATGAGAATTTGTTGTGCACTGTATATTTACTGCATGTTTCCACTTCTATCCAGCTCAGTTGATCAACCTGGCCATCAAATACCACGTCTGCTCTATCTTTCCTTTTACTTTCCAACAACTGGCAGAAACATCAATTTCAGAAATCACACACACACACACCAGGAGCTAATGGGAATTGAGGTATTTTTGAACATTGTTTACATTTAAGTGGCACTCAATCACCATCATCGGATCATAGCTGCAGAGGAGCCAAAAATATTGATGCACTCACATAATTGTCAAGACCCAACAGCTTGCAATGAGGATTGGCATGGTATTTGGTGGAATGGAATGGGCCAGTTCCTTCTCAATGGCAGGAATCCACAGCCATATAGTGATGCTGTCAAGTGCTTCAAGGAACTGAAGTTTGGACAGGTTAGTGAGGGTTGCAAAGAGCTGATGTTCAAGCTCCTGGATCAAGGAGCTGCCTTCCATCATGCTGAACATTTTATCTCTGAAGCTTGTCATCTTCTAGTTGTAAAGTTGGTTTTCAAGCCATAGTTTCAGTCATGTTTAGTACCTTTACTTTATCTCAAACATGTGGCAAGCCTGAGTCTTATTTAAAACATGTTGCAAGCATGAAATCATAATTGTGAAACTTATCTAGTAGTGTTGGGTTGATACAGGTTTTGAACATAAATGTATAGACAAAACTCTCAATCTGTGAATATGCATAGTGTGGGGAAGGGTTGAATCAAATGTGGAGGCTCTATTGACAAGATGTGCAGTGTGGGGGACAGCACACATGGGTGTGCAATGTGCACATATTAAATGTGCAGATATAATGCCATACATGAGAAGGATAGGCAAAAGCCCAAACCATCTGCAGCTACACAAAGCTGAGGCCAGGCTGGGAGATCACTAAATTGACATGTTTGAACTTTGGGAATATTGTAACAAGTCCTATAAGTTTATTAAAAATGAGCTCATTGTATGACACAACGTTGATAACTGACACACACGGATCCGCACACAGCCAGACGGAGACTGCCGAAAATTCGGATTCTCAGATCTCAGACTTTCTAATGACGTGTAAGAAGTACAGAAGTTTGATCACGAGTTTGAGTTTAGCGCGACAAATACGTATTGTCAACCCTATCTGCAATTGGAGACTGGAACAAGTCAATGCAAACCCATGTGGACTCTAGCGGCAAGTCGATATCTCCTGATTCACTAATGCCGCGATTTCTTGATCGTGCAATGACATTGCTCCATTAATTGCGCATGTCTACTGTCATTGGACCAAATGCCGGCTTGCAATTACATGTACAACAAATTTACAGCATCTTTCGTTGCTCCTTCTGATAATCGTTATCGATCGTATCTGTGAACCATGCTTGGCCTCACGATAACTTGATGAACTGACTCAATTGAAGCTGCAAACCGGTTCTACTATAATTAAGTACTGATATCATCGAGTCGCAACAATATATTAAATTACTACGTCACAAGGATTGCAAGAACAACTTCTACACGCGATACCTAAGTATATACTTGTATGAAGTTCCACGTTTGTAAAAACAATTGTACTGGGAGTCCGCACAGATAGAGTCCAAGAAGGGTGATGTGATTTCACCACTAGATTGTACAACAATGTGACATATGTCCATTGACTCCGGGAGCAAGTCAATATAGCATTCATTCAAATGAGGTCAAGACTCTTTCAGTCCGCGGCAATAGACTGGGACGCGCTCCCAAGGATTTGTTGGACAGTAGTGGAGCCAGTACTACGAAGAGGTTAGTACATGTCAGATTAAAATGACTGGACCACGAACATGGAGTAACCATCATTGGGGGATTCGCCAGTGGTTTCTTGGGGAGTGGGTGCCTCTCCTGGGCTACTCGGCGTAGGCGATTCGCTAGTGGTAGTAGAGGGGGTAACGGTAGTACCCGGTTCGGCTGTAAGGTCGGACTGACCCCACTGGTACTGGACTATGCCGTTGAGTCCCGCAGCAATACCAGCTAATCGAATATTTGTCAGGCCGGAAAAGATACCAAGGGTGATATTGAAGAACGCACTATCAAGCCATGACGTGTAAGTATCTGCTTGCTCTTGGCTGGTTACACCATAGCTTGTGGGATTCGCTGTGAAAGTAAATCAGCTAAGCGTGGCTTGTCGCAGAAGCTTCTTACGATCGGCATCAGCAAATGGAGCAACCGTAGAGTTAAATGGCACGAAGCTAGGAGCATTGGTTTGCGTAACGAGACCAAAGCCAGTGAGTACCGAAGGTTTTCCGACGCTGAGACAGATATCAGACATCCAGATGGCATTGGACAATCACAAGGTGCTCACGCAGAAGCACTTTGGGCCTGAGTGGTGATCCACTGGGCACCGTTTTGCTCTACACTTTGCCAAGGCGCAACGTTCGGGTCATCAGGACCATATGATTGCTGGTCGGGGAATAACTGGAAGGAAGAGAACCCGATATCTGGAATGTTCGAGATGTCTTGACTGTCGACGCCGTATGAACCATCATACAAAGTCCCCGTAGTCGAAGTCTGTTGCCTCTTGGTAGCTGTCAAACATAATCAGCCAAGAAACTGCTGTGATATGCTTGACTTACCTGTCGAAACCCACCGCCCTCGGATTCGCACACCGTCTTCCACCAGAGTCCCCGCACGTTTCGCAGCTTCCCTGTTGCGGCGTCTCCTCTCAGATTGCTCTCGAAGGATTTGCTCCCTGGTTACGGGCTTTGCTTGGCTGCGCTTCTTTTTACCGGGAGCTGGTGATGTGGCAGGAGGTGCTGGCGCTGGGGTCAGAGGGTACAACTTCGGACAATCTGTACACAAATATCCTCCGACACTAGATCAGCCGTCAAACGGTGCCTATAGCTGTGATCGACATTGTGACATACCCCGAAGAGATGAGATGATTTGGATCAATGCTGCGGATGTGCGCAGCTACCGTCGCATGCCAGGTCGTGATCGTTTCTGTCGTGCAGGTAGGAGATGCTGGCAAGGTAGAGTTGCATCTGGATAAAGTGTATTAAGCTGAACAGCTCTGCAAGATAAGCCATCACATACCTGGGGTCATTCGCCAATTCGTAACTGAAGACCGATGGACTATTCACGTAGCGGGAGACCACTTGCGTCGTGTAATTCATGAAGGACGTTAATATTGACGAATTGGTATAGAACTGGTCATGATTTTGGAGTCCGAATTGACGAACATATAGATCCATGCCACCTAAAGTCATGATCAAAACGATGCAGGGATCGAGAGTCTGATTAAGACCAACCGTAATTGTTAGATAGATAATTGCGAATAGAGCTGTTGTTCGTGCCCGATGTGGTGCTGTTGGTCGAGTTCACGAAAGGGTACCAGTTGTTCGTAAGAGATAGAATGACATATAGTCCTCGTTGCTCAGCCATTTGAATGACTGTGTCAAGCTTTTGGAGGCCATTCGGTCCGTCGTTGACGGAAACGGTGCCATCCTTGATAAGCTGGAACCAAGTGCCATTCACGGGAATGGTGTCCACATCTGACCGTGATTTATGGCATCAATGATCATTCGCATCTGAAGGGCAAAACAGTGGTAGATACCATTGAATGCCCATAATCTGATGACCTTGATGCCGAGAGCTGATATGTTCCCAAGCGTGTTCCATATATCCTCGTTCGTGTTTAGCGTAGGTAGCCAATAAGCGTTAGTACCGATGTACTTCAATGAACTGATTAAAGATGATTTAGTGCGGGTTCACATACAACAGGGGTTGGTCCATACCTCCCGTTCACCACAAAGCCAGGGCCACTGGTGCTAACAAAAGGACTGGAAGCCCTTTTATCAGTGGTTCGTGATGGAATGGCAGCTACCGTGGAGGCCCAAAGGATGCTGAAGAACAATGACACCCAAGGGAGGAACTTCATGGTAGTGCCTATACACACCAGAGGCAACCAGGTAGCAAGTGAGAGGCGAGAAACGGAAATGATTTATGCATCGAACTATAAGTAGGGTTGACCCTAGGTGAAGTTTATGTACGTGCCTGACAGGAAGGCGCACCGCCTCGAGCGAGAGCATCAATGACATGCATGTGACTCGTGTTTGTTTCGAATCGAGCCAGGCGTCAATATTACCGGTGTTCAATTCCGAATGAAATAGCGCGTGATGCAGTGATGTTGGAAAGAACCATCGGCAGTAAACCGGGAGTTGATCGAGTATAGAACACTGGCAAGCGGATGACCAGTCCATCCCTACCAGTGACGTGGTGAGAGCGCGCGACGGGGGGACAGTAGAAGCTTGACATTGGACTGACATGAGCTGGAAATGCGAATAAAAGCTCCGATCAAGCTGGCGGACCTCGGCGTGTTCACACACTGACCTGGTGTTCACAAGCCTGTCGGCAGACGTAGCTATTAAATTACTTGACCTGCTGCCGCCCGCAATATTAATGTTTCGATCCGAGTCGTGTACGGATGTTTGTTGCCACCGCTCTAAGTGAATCCACAAACAAACGCATGCTGTAGTTCTACCGATGCTACACACGTTACTTCCTTGCAGGTAGGTACGGCAGTAATAGATGACAGGAGTACAGCCAAGCACAGCAACACTTGTTACTAGGGTAGTGTTGCGAGCCCTTTCGCTACCTTCAACTTTGCTTCAGCTTGTCTTGGTGCTACCACACGAAGGCCACGTGATGAGGCTGTCCCGAAATCCACCGCAAGTGAAGACACCCTCTTTAGGAAATACACGACCAATCACGTGGAATGTCACATGAACACCGACATCGTCGGACTAGTGGTTCATATCTTTTGGATTCGGAAGCACTCCTTGAAACTTCGAAACTCATGTGGTCTTAGCTTTCAGCTTTCCGCATCAATAACACAGCTGGGCGCCGAGCGGTCAACCTCCCATCAAGATATTCATCTGACACGAAGTTCTCACAATCTTCCGAAACTTCTGCTGTTCATCAAATCTTCAAGCTTTAAGCTTGAGCTACAAACAGTCCAATGCTCAGAGCACTAACAAACTTGCCTATTCGTCCGCTGCGTATCTATGCACCCCTAGTACCTAGACATCGTCGGCTCAAATCACAGAGTTCGGGCAATCAGCCCACCTCATGGCGAAAAGATGCAACTGCAGATCAACCCATGCTCATCGAGGACCCCTTCACCCAATCGACATTGTTTACTCTGGACTTTTTCAAGCGCCTGGCAAAATTTTCCCTTATGGGTGTTTTGGCACTCGGGATCACTGGCTGGACAGCATTCGAGGGTTTACATATGTGGGTGGAGAACGTCGAACTCGCATGCGATCAAGATAGCGAAGTACGCAGGTGGGAGTGGGACCACGAGGCTGAGAAGTGGTCAGGTGGGGACAAAGGTGGGACAGACATAGCACTTGGATTCAAAGGCAGGCACGCTGTTCGTAGTGCATGGATCGCCGAGAACTGGGGAACGGGCTCAGGAGCGATCATCAGCCGCTCGAACACATTTTCAGGACGAGGCTCCCAGGGTACAGGTAGTCCCGACATTATAGAGGCTCGCCTGGAGGTTGCCCAAACATTTATGGCTCTTGCCATCAGTATTGCCGAAAGCAAAGTGTCGTCCGGAAAATTACGCCCACAAACTATGGGTGAGCTACTCGCCCGCCACGCTTCTATTCTCGAGCGTATGGGGACGAGGAGTGCACTTTTACAGGCCCGGCCCTGGTATGAGCGGGTGTGGGTTGGGCTGCCCGCCAAGGGCACAGATGCTGCACGGGTTGCATTAAAACTCGGGGACCTTGACTATCGTCTCGGTGACTTCGAGGACGCGCTTGCATGGTGGGCACGGACCATCAGCCTCACCCAGGGCACTCAGCAGGCAAATCTTTTGGCTCCTGAATTAGCACAGACCATCCCTTCATCTCCGAGTGCACAACGCACGCTTGCTTCCACGTTGGTATCACTTTCCGCCTACTATTCCACCTCTGGTCACCTTAAGCAAGCGCAGCATGTACAGGAGTCCGGACTCGATCTCCTACGCTCGATTCCGTCTCCTTCCAGAATTTCAACAGCATCTCCGCCACAGGCATTGCATTCACTATTTCTGCTTCATCGATCGTCTCTGCTTTCCATTCACCTCGCAGAAGTTCTCTACGCCCTCCGCGCAGCACCTGAACACTCCATACAATGGCTCACGCGCGCTGCAGAATCATCCGAGCGAGTTGCTCTCGCCCTTGCAGGTCTCCCATTCACCCATCCTGACGCACCAGGCTCGGCAATTCCCCATCCGCCCGCCTCGGAAGCATCCCTAGTTCCCGTGTATACTAAATCGCCTGCAATGCAAAAACCAGCTAAAAGCCTCCTCCGCGATGCTCGCCGGACGGCTGCTGAAGCCTGGAATCTCATGGGTATACTTAGGGAAGGCGAGAAAGATGGTGCGGAACGCGCCCTTGAGTGTTATGAACGCGCTCTGGGGTGGGCAGGTGTCGCAGCAGATCGTTCTGGCGGCATTGGTGAGCCTGGGGAAGGCACACCAGAAGCAGAGTGGAAAATACTTTGGAATAACTATGTTCGTGTGCGTGAAGCGACACGGAAGCAAATGGAAAAGTAAACAGAGCCTTAGATTGAATTCATTATTTGTTGTGCATGGCTTGGTATTTCGCGCATCTTATCTGCATCATACTATTCTCATTCAGAATCAATTAAGATATGTTATGGGCATGGCGCATGATAGTCAAACGTTATTATAATTGGGGTGGCGGAGGCGGTAGGCGGTGGGCGCTCGGACCAGTTCATCTTGAGTTCATGCGCTGATTTCCTGAATTAACGCAGGCCGGTATGTAATCGTTATAGCGGCACGGGGCACCGCATCACCGACCCTTCATTTTCGAACAAAATTTCCCCACAAATAGCTCAACTGTCCCTGACGTCGGCAGTCCTTGGCAGTCCAGCATACCCCAGATTACACGCCCACCCAGAATAAACGCAGATCCAGGTATATCGGTAGCGTGCAAACGAATACTGACAGTAACCGATAATACATACTCGGTAGCAATTGATTGACGGCCCTGAGCTCATGGCAAGGCGCAACATACTTATGCCATCATTCATTAATGATACCTATCATCACATGCTCACGACATTTTGCAGCTGTGCGAGTTGGCACTGCACTTCAAGTTGTATGCTCGATATCAGTTTCCTGTCGCGGGACATACCCGATGACACCCGCGATGTGAAGGTTCAAACGTTCAAGGTTGCTCCTGCATTACACATCTTGCTGTCGGATTACTGCCTCTTCCGCTTATCTTCCGCTTCCTAAAGATCGTGAATGAAGTGGCCGCCTGCGCTCTCCATCGCTGGCAAAATCCCATAATGGACAGTCTGAGGGCAAGTCTGTCACCGACTCTGGGCCCCAGTCCGGGGGATGAGGAATAGGGTGTGTGCAAGCCGCTCGGCTTAATCGAACGGATTCTTAGTTACGCCGTTATTCTTGATGTTCATGCCATCTCGCCCCTCCTGCCCTAGTGTCGGTGCGTGCCCATCCTCAACGTTGCAATGCCGTCACCTTCAATCATCATGACCACAACTACAACAAAATCTATCAAGATTGTACTCTCCCCCCTTATCTATATATGATGGGCCATCAGCATTTTTGCCTGCCTCTTTTGTGCATCCCGTGCCCGCTGTCACCCGGTCACTCTGATAGTTAATCAATGAGTCAGCCTGTCAGCGCCTTTACTGCCATGCATCATAATCAATAACTGCTGTCCCGTCCCTATTTTTTCCGTCCTCCATCCATATGTCACTACACAGTTTCATTGTAATAGTCTACTACAGTACATACAATTGAACCAATAGCATTGCATTGTACAGTGCTGTGGAATGGAGGATTAAGACTAAGTCACTGTTGTCGCTGTGTGGCGCTAAACTTTCATTTTTCATCGATGATAGTTCACAGGCACACGACGTGGTCCGTAAATTTCGGCCAAGCTTGTCAATCATTGCTGAACCCTCCTCTAGTGGTACAAGTCACCGCCAATGCATCACTCTGGGCTTTTATATCTATCTTGTTGTTAAAAAGACATGCAAATGGCTTGTAAGTATCTGTCTACAGAACAGATGAAATGCCATCTAAAATACGCGATCAGTGTCGTCCAAGCCCACTCATGCCCCATGCAACCTTCAACTGCACGAAATCAAATTTGCCCAATACCCTTAGCGTCAGGTCGCGGATAGAGGCCCAACTGAACGGCATCCACCAAGCATATGGATCATACCCAAGGCTTGCGAGTTTCAAAAGTCTCTTGGTGAAGCCGATGGTTTCCAGCGCTCGCGCGTGACGCGCTTCCGCAATTTCCTGCAAAATGGTATCATCCACATCGGGGTCTTCTGCACAGGCCTGAATGTGCTTTGTGATAGCCTCTCCAAGGAAGATCGCGTCCCTGATAGCCAGGTTCATGCCCTGGCCACCTGCAGGTGAATGTACATGTGCTGCGTCACCGACTAGGAAAATGGCAGCGCCAAGACGCGTAAAGGTGCGGTCAGCGATCGCTGAATGAGTTCTGAAACGTGTGGACCAGACCAGCTGGTCGATCTTAACAGGTGTCTGGTTAAGAGAAGGATCCGATGTTATACATGCTGGACCGTATGTGTCGATCATGTCCTGAATGTACTCCTTCGGTGGCGCATGGGGTGGCTCTCCGTTCTTCACCGGTATGGCGCAACTTACACGGAAGACAGATTTCGTGGTGGGCTTTCCATTTCGCGTCAGCTCCGCATTGAAGCGGTTGCCGAATGGTATAAGCATGAAGAAGCTGTCTGAGAAAACCGTGCCATTAAGGTGGCCCTCGAGGGTTGGTGGGCCGGTAGGCTCGGGCTCGAATGTAACATCTGCAGCGACCATTTGAGAGAGTACATCACTGACTAGATTTGGGCCTTCTGGATCAGAGAACCCAATCCCAGAAATGGTACGGATCTGGAGATTGTTGTCAGACACTCCATAAAGCTAAATGGGTAGGGACTGAAGTCTCACCAGTGAGCGGGCGCCATCTGCACCATGATGTATCTAGCTCTGATGACTTGACCGTCGTCAAAGGAGACGTCGGTAATGCGGGCATGCTTCTCGTTCTGTTTCATTCCAACCACCCTGTGTGGACGCTGCACTTGAACCCCAAGGCTCTGCAGCTTCTGCCCAAGCACAAGTTCCGTCACATTTTGAGGGGTAATGAGTGGGTAAGGGTGGGCAGAATATTTTTTTAGAGGACCGAATTTGGCCTCAAATATCTCTGAACCCCGGGATGCGATTCTAATACTCTTCGCCTTGATGGCTTGAGACAGTAAGCCGTCTGCTGCATCGATGCTGGCTAATGCCTATGATCATAAGGTCATCAGTGGGCCTTCTTATGAACGCTCACGCGTCAACATACCTCGACGGTTGCAGAGTTTATGGAATAAGCCCGTGATGCATTTTGTCCTTCGACTGCGGCATCGGCAATAACGAAGTCGTGACACCCGCGGTAGACGAGAGAAAGAGCAGCTGTGAGACCAGCGGGCCCTGTACCGATAATAAGCACCGTTGTGTTCTCAGGTAGAGACATTGTCTTGAGGAATAAGAATGATAAAATGATAGTGAGAACGAGTTTTCCATCAGCCTGAGGTGGCTCTTGCACCGGTATTAACGAGGCCACCTGCAACGTCGGACAATTTCCATACGGTCCTACCAGTCGGTATGGATGCTGGAAAGCAGGAGTGATCTATGAATCTGTTCCGGAAATGCAGCTTCTAGCAATACTCATCATTATAGCCTTCTCCAGCAGGCAGATCTCCCTAATAGAAGGAAAACCATTCCTTACCATTTCTTCCGTTCGAGGCTTCGTAATGTCTCTGACACCGACTCTCGGCGATTATCATTTGATTTATAGCACAAGTGGTGGGTATTCTGCCTCGTCACTGCGTTAGTCAATGTCTTCACCATGGATCTCGGCATCTGTTGATGATCCTGTTCGCCATTTAGAGAAGCTGAACCGCACCAACGTCCAGACGACGGTATTCATCGATTTACGCCACGCTATCGCATACTCTACAACGGACTCTCATCGAAAAACATACAGTGCACTCGCGAATCATGTTCGGCAACGTGCACTATGCCTATTTCATGCGGGGGGGAGTGTTTTGGGTGACGTTTATCCGCCAGATTCTCGCACATGAGTTTGGTGTGCTTGTTACCGAATGTTTACGCTGGTGAAAGGTGAATGATTTTGATGTATATTGATGTGCTGTTTGCTGCCATTATTCTTGGGGTCGGGGAGTGGCGCTTCCCAGCGCCGCTACGTGACGATGTAGTATAAGTGGTGGGTATTCTGCCTCGTCAGTCAAGGCGTCAATCAGGCGTCACATTCAAGTTCACATGTCACACCCGAGCATCAGTGCCGCCGCTCCGCGTAAAGCCTCACCCATGCGAGCCAGTGCGGCATCGGTCCTGCAATATGATGAGTTCGTCGGGGAAACAACACATATTTTTTGTTCTCATCTCAGTCGGATTGCTAATGGTGTCTCCTTCCATGCCAACAGTTGAACTATATTCAGACCTTGTACAGTGCTATAGTCGTCTGTAGACCCCCCATAATGTGCAACCGACGCACCTCTCCTTCCCAGATGTGGCCCTTGCACCTACTACGGTGTATTTTTGTGTCCGTAGTGCTCGTGGGTTACTATTTCATCAATCTTAACGATGCATAGCTACATGATCCCGCAGCTCTCCAAAGTGCATGGGATTGCATGCCCATCGGTAGCGCTTGACAACGCCCATTCTATGGTCCTAAAAGTAGCGCGCTACTTAGCATAGATACCGATAAAACATCTATGAGGACCTATTTGGAGGTACGCAGAGGAAGCAGCACGCCAAACACGTCATTATCATTGACAAATGCGGGTATATATTCCAAGTCAGGTCCGAAGGCTCACGTATACGTATTCTTATACCATTTTTATCCAGACCGACACCCGAGGAGAACGCGACCTTTTTTTTTGGTTTTACAGCAAGTCCCGACTCCTAAACACTATTTTGGTTTCCCCCCTTTGGACTCCCGGTGACGTTTCACGGGTTGTTCCCTCTTCAAGCTTCAAGTCCGGAAGCGAAGGCGGATAACTCATGGCTGAAGAACGAGCGATTCAGGCGGCCGAGCCATATATATACATTTCACTCAATGAAATAAATCAAATCAAATTAATTCGAGAGGGGGAAAATAGCACCGCAAACCTTGTCCGAAGCTCAAAACCTCGCGCAACAATATCGCGATGCGCGGAATAGTATTGTGGTACCAAAATTCGCATGTACCATTGTAGAAAAATCCTCAGGGCTCTGTCACAGTATCTGGTCTCATGCAATGACTATTTCAATTTTTCATCGGTAGAGTAAACTAACAGGATATAAAATAGGCATCTACTGTGCCCACGCTGCCATGGACCTGCAGCGCTGAAACAGATTCCTTTGTAAGAAAATCATGGTGCTCTCCGAAGTCTGAAGAAAATAGTCAGTGACTGCATTCAGAGGTTGTTCAGAAGTATGCTCTTGATGGCTCACATCTTAGTGCGTTTCGCCCTTGTAACGATGTAACCTATCAAAATAGTGGGTTGATGCACATGTCCTTGGTGCTACCACCAACACTGTAGAGTGATTATTTTCACGAAGAGACATTGGTAAAGACGGTATTATACGATAACCCTAGTTGTCGGTGATAATTTTGACACGACGGCCCCATTGAATGCTGACACACGAACGACGAACGAGTTGTTCGAAGGTCTGCAAATAAGGATGTTAGTGATGAAACGAGCGAGGGTATATACATACCGATATCAATGACTGACCCATATTTGCTCTCCGCTGGAAGCCACGCATCATGACCTGGCATGGCGCCGAAGAAGCTGGTAGTTTGACTAACTTCGTCTCGCTGAAAGAAGATACAGGGAGATTGTAGTAGGGGTGGCGAAGATGTCAGAGGGTGAGGCAACGTCCGAGAGGGCTAAAAAAACTGTGAGAAGCGTTAGGAGTCTTAGGACGAGCTGCGAGCAGAGAGAAGACATGGACAATTAATCTGTAACAAAGCAGGAACTCACCACAATTTTCAACACGCTTTCGAATAATAGAACCTGCAAAATTGAATTGCAAGTTCAAATCTCCAAACGAGGATTGTTGTGATTATCATTCACGGTAAAGCAGGTACTAGGGGGATAGCGAAAACCTGTTAGAACACTTCGAGATCAATGTATTTACTTACCTGACCATATATATATTGAGAAACGCGTAAGAATCGAACTGAAGACGTCGATTCAAGTCACTGATATTAGCTGGACCACCGTGATATTCATTGAAGGCGCGTTTAAGGCGCGTCACGAGACCGCGTCAAAATAGCTATGCTCTAATTGGTCGGGAATGTCCCGTGAACGCGGGATTCGGGATTGCAGCCTGCAACACCCTGCATAACCACCTACAACTTGCTTGCAACGTTAATTTCGTGAGGTTGTATCGTCTGCGCTGCACCCTCCCGGGCTCACTGGTTCAATTATAATATCTAGTTGTTTTTTTATTTGTGTCCAGGATGTCCACCTCTCCCGCTGCTGTTCCGACTACCCCGAGCCTTCACACGGGGGAGTCCTATCAGGAGAAAGCTTGGAGAAAATTCAGGGAGCAACCGTTAGTCCCTATCGGTGCGCACGCTACGACATTTCCCAATCACTTTGTCCTCCGAATCTGACGACTCGCGCTGTACTAGGTACCCTTATAACATGTGGTGCATTGATCATGGCTACCGTCAAAATGAGACGGGGCGACTCCCAATCTCTGAATAATTGGTTACGTGTTCGTGTCATTGCTCAAGGTGCAACTATTGCCGCTGTCTGTGCAGGAACCTACGCACTGGGTTCCACTGCCGGCGAAGAAACAAGACAGACGAGACAACTCGACGAAATACAGGCGCATAGGGAAGCTCGTGCTGGCAGGGATCGAAAGGAATTTGAGGACCGGCTGAAAGCTGCGGAGAGGCAGTGGAAAGAGACTGAGGGTGGTTTGTCAGGGAGGGACTCGAATACGAATGTTGCCAAGGGTGACTCAACCTCGAAAGCGCTACCATCCGATCAAAGCCAGATGCCTCAGAGTACTTCGTCACGGTCTGGCGCAAGCTGGTGGTGGTTCAAGTGGCCGTGGGGCGGATCCTCGGCTTCCTGAAGTACTTCACAAAGCAACCAGAAATCTTTGTAATACAACGATCTGAGCTACATATCTCTTCTACAAATGCATAATAATACAGTCGTCGGCAAATCAGAACAAACTCTCATTAAAGCAAGAAAACAGCATGTTGTTGAGGGCTGACCATGTGACAGTCAATGTAAGAACATGTTGTCTTCCTGCTGTTGTCTATTCTGTGCAGTGCGCACTGCGGCTAACATGCTCTTTATTATGTCTTCATCATCCACGCCTAGTATCTGGTAGTATCCTAGCTCACGCATCTCCTCGGGTACGCACGTCACTCTGTTCCTCAACAGCCAGCCGCTCACCGCCATACAGCTGATTCATGACTGCACACCGTCTTAATACTGAAAGCTCCTTCACAGCCTCGTTGTATGCTTGCGAGAGCTTGATGGGATCTCGTTCTGCCTAAGTCAATCACATCAGGATACTATTCTTGCTGAAATTATTGAGTCAGAACATACCTGTATCCCACGGAATGTGTCCTCCGTCCTCCGAACGAAGTAGGTGCGAAAGTTATATGAATTGAATGATTTCGCCGTCCGCAAGGTGGAGGCGTAGAGATCCAGTACGGCCTTACGAGCAGGTGGAGTCGCCATTGTTTGGAAACAGAGATAGGAAGCAAAGCAACTTGAGTTGGTTGGTGAATATGTGTACGACGCTTATATAAGCAGGAGATTCACTTCTGTCTCCGTTGTACTACTAGTCGTGGCTTCTTGAGACAAAGTACGTCAGGTTGTGGAAGGTTAGAACCGATAGCCAACCTCTCCTCTTGTCTCAGCCGCCCATATCATTGCAGGTAGCTAGACATTTCTTGATTATCTACCCATGCTCACTCAGTCACACTGACATATCCAATAACTCGAGGATCTTCTTGACTCTCCGGTTAACTTTGATCTCCAGATGCCAAGGCTTTGGACACCCCAACTTCTTGGTGCCCTCCGGCGAGCTGATTTGGGTGGCTTCTCAGGCATGTCCGAGTCTTCTCTTCAACCCCACCATCTCAATTTCAATGTCGGCTGGAGATGCCAGTATCGTATACTCACAGACCAACCACATAGATCACAGACAGTATGTACTTCTCATCATTATTCTGGATGTATTTGGATGTGCGAAATGACGCAACATCGCTATGAATCACCTCGTGATGGATTCGTTATCGTGCGTTTTGCATCAGCATTCATCAGATTCGCACTCAGATCCTTACGATATTTCTTTCAATCCTTATGACATTATACCCCGATGCCGAGGCAAAGGGCATGAGACGACCAATGTTGCGGGGCATCCAAGGTATTGTGTTCGTGGCCAGCATGGGGCATCCGAGTCTTCTGTTCAACGCTTGCTGCGTTTGCACCTGTCCTGTCTCTATTTCTGCGTTCCGGTGTCATACTGAGAACGTCGGGCCTTGTTCAGACTCGGAGACTTTGTCAGTGGATGAGCTGTTATCCTCCACCGAACCGGGGCAGCGACTCAGGTTGAGAGTGCCGATAAGCTCATCGAGAATCATTGAGACGCCGGCAGGTTTCTTCGGTGGACATATCTCGCATAGGCGGTGTTAGAACGATGATTTAACTGGTCGGAACTCCTCCAAATCTGGCAAGAACATACACACTTGGTATCGCGCGCGCCTTTTCAAACTCTCGTGTTGTTCAAGTATTCCGCGTGTGTAACACCGCCTCGCAGACCCATAATCATCCACTCGATCCAACCGAGGACTTCTAGTTCTACTTCGTTTCATATGATAGTGCTTATGGCTGTGAATCAAGACAGGAACGAACATTCATTCACATTACGGCGCAAGATGGTGGTGGTATATCTAGCAGAAACGCCCCCGTTATACGACCATCAAGTTCACCATCCCCTTACTCCCATCCCTTGAATATGACATTAGTTTCAAATTATCACAGCTGGTGGCTGACAACTGATTCGACTCGTTTTTACAGTTATTTTGTAGGTTCGTGAAAACCCGTTTGGCGTTGTCTCGATTTAATCATGATTGCGCTTGCCTTCTCTTCTAGGGTGATGTACAATTGAAGTGAGCAACATGGTATTTAAGAAACACTGATATCCTCATGCCATGTCTAGCATTGACATTCGGACAAGAGCTAGGTAAATGACATTTTCGGAGCAATCATCTGGCTAAGATTGGTTTTATGGATTGAACCAGTTTGGGTGGGCAGTGTCCCACGTCAAAAGAAATTCATACAACTGAATTGGGACAGAGGCAACGTCGGTCCCTCATGACTGTTCTATATTTCGGTGTAGGTAACTTATGTGCGATTGGCAAGTTATGCTGATTTTATATATAGATATGATACATTGGAATAATATCTGCACTACATCAGTGCTATTGACCTCGCTGAAACATGACGCAAGCGATCATGATCGCTCGGCTACATGCCATGCGTCAAGGATCCAGAAGGATGCTAATATTTCTCATTGTCATTTTCCTGGCTGTCAACATCCCTTGTAGAGTAATTACCACAATGGGCATGAGGTATATTTTAATTAGGAGGTATGCTCTTTTATGAAAAACTTAAGTGGATCAAACTTGATTCATGAATGATAGAGGGGCTAACCCTCTCTGGCACCAATCAGCCTTGCATATGAGGTAGAATTTCAACCTCTCGTGGCCATAGTTTGGGTCCTTTACGTTATACGGGAGGTCCTCGCGCAGCGCGGATTACCCTAAAGTACTTCCGTAAATTGCAACAACTCGAACGATCGACAGGGAGGACCACTAGGGATTCCTTCATGGTGTAAATACAAACTCACGTGGTTTGCTTCACAAGGTGAACTTGCACTTCAATGTAGTTATCTTTTGTCGCTGAAATTCTGCGCATGGTAGCCTTACTGCCGTTTCTTGTTTCAACCTCGGTTGTTTGTCTTCAACGATCTCGGTATGCTGATCTATCTCTGCATGCGACTACGGTTCACCGTTTCTATGGTACTTTTATTCCATGGAAACCCAGCTGTATGTGGATGTTCGTCAGATTTTCGCGCTCGTACAGATGGACCATGCCTCATCTTTAGCGTTCAAAAATATCACGCTAATCTCGTAGCCAACTCCAATGCAGGACCCGTCACGGTTTCAATTACCTTTCAGGAAGGCGTGCGTGTATCGACCGCGGCTGATGGTGGTGTGTAGCATGTCCCCGACACACCTCAGAGATTTAGACCTATTAGGTAGTCTGAAGTCGAAGTTTTATGTGGTACATATGCAAGTTACTTGCACTCTGAATTGTATCGGTCTACCTAGGGAAGACTGACTCTGCGCTTCGCTCTCAGAGCATGCATTCCCCACTTGATAAATGACTATTCCACGCGACCGCAGAACTTGTCCAAGTACGCATTCACTTGCAAAAAGAACAAGTATTAATTAAGAGTACATGGAATTACTGTGAACTAGGTGTACGAGCGCGCAATATCAAACAATGGAGAAGTGAAGGTATAAATTTCGAGTAATGGCCTCAATCATATCAAAAAAGGGAGAGGTGAGGGTAAAAAGTTCGAGCACAATTGAATTATATCCACAAGAAATGCTCACTACCTTGTCCCCAGTCCACTCATCGCCCACGCCATCCTTGCCTGCATGAAATCAAACTTGAAGGCAAACCACATCACCCAGTCCCGCACAGTAGTAGCCGAAATTGGGAACAACCATGATATCTTCTTATCTGGCGTCCCCAGAAGTGAAAGTAAGTTCTTAGTAAATGCAATCACTTCTAGAGCGCGTTTATGCCTCCCCTCTGCAAACTCATGCAAGATATAATCAGCATCGACGCTGGAGGGCTGCGAAGCAGACGCGTTTATATGCCTTATGAGAGCCTCTCCAAGGAACACTGCGTCACGGATGCCAAGGTTCATGCCCTGGCCGCCGGCGGGAGAGTGGATGTGCGCCGCATCTCCAATAAGAAGGATGATACCACCGTGTTTCGTGGTGGACTTATCGCCCCCTACTGTAGCACCCTGGAGCTCGTCTCCACCAAATCGAGCGAAGGCCTTGTCAGCGATGGCGGAATGCGTACGGAACCGAGTTGACCATATAACTTCCTTGATGCGTACTGGTGTGGAGTTAGGATTAACTGAGGCAGTCTGATGAAAGGATTGTGGGCCCGAATCGATCAACGAGGTTCTGTAGATACTCCTTACTCGGCGAATGCGGTATTTCTCCATCCACTAGAGGGACACCTGCGCCAATACGGTATATTTGAGCTTCGACTCCCTGCCCCTTCTTGGCGAGTAAGTCGTTGAACGACTTGGGCAGAGGTATGGAAAGGAAGAAGCTCTCGGGCGACAGCGTACCTAAAAACTCCGAGTCTAGGTCATTATTGTCTTTGCCTTCATAGACAACATCCGCAAGGACCATTTGATTCAGGTTGTTAATCCTATCACCCTTCTCGCCAGTCTCAGGGTCTGCGAACCCGATACCCGCCATCCGACGAACCTATCAGCGAAAAAAGAAACAGTCAGAACTAGTAAAAGCGACACGAGACAAGACTTACAACAGAATGAGCGCCATCTGCGCCGATGACATACTTTGCAGTGATGGTCTTTCCATCTTCGAATATGACATCAGTGAAATTGTCATCGTTTTCATTCATCTTCAAGGAGGCGACTTTGCATGGCCGGTGAACTGTCACGCTATAGCCTTTGAGTTTCTCACCGAGAATATGCTCAGTAAGATTCTGCGGGATGACGAGACTATACGGGTGGCGGGTGTGTTTGTTCAGAGACGAGAAGTTGGTGGAAACGAGTTTTGAAGAGCGGTTGCGAAAATTAACGCCTTTTGATTTGGTTCCCTTCGCTACGATTTCTTCCCCGCAATCTATAGTATCCAGTGCCTAAACAAGACAAATGTGTATTATGACCGGGAGTCGTGATGCATGTCGTACCTCTAACGTCGCGGCATGAACGACCAGAGCGCGCGAGGTATTCTCACCTTCCTCGACAGCATCCACAACGACAAAATCCTTAAAGCCATGATGGAGGAGAGAAAGTGCTGCAACAAGACCGGAAGGTCCTGCACCAACGATCAAGACAGTCGTACTGTTTGGCATACCAGTCATATCGGCCATACTGTGTAGAATGGAAATGGAATTGTGGTGCTAACAGCTACTTCAGCAGTTGGCTTTTATGCTGCCCGGCGGCCGAACAAATACGAATCGTGCGGAAGGTCCATCAGACTCTGCGAGAGCAGCGCATCATTGAGTCATGTTGAACGAGTTTCCTATAGCTAGATTAGGTGAACATAAAAGATGCATTAGGGCCATGACACGGCATTGACACAGCTTATGTGACGCGGCTCGTCTAGCGTACAAGTAAGTCGGAGTTCAAACTATCGGCCGACTCATGCCGCGATGACTGATTTTGCTGACGTCATGCAACTACGCGACGCGTCTCATTTAGTCACGCGCTTTTGATTTTCATCCAGTGCATCAATTGAGAGCTTGTTAAGTGAATGCTGCGAACCAGGCTGAATCGAGTCTTGAACTCGAGATCTTATCGGTCTTCAATCTCCCACCACAGTACCCAACTTCATCGAAATATGGTTTCCGCAGCTGCAGACCGCTTCTTGGCTGACAAGGCTCCTCCGATCTGCCGTGTCGAGGTTGCGAAGTCATTCTCACAACTCACGTATGTATATTTCCGTTACCAGGGGTCGGCTGTTGATTATTATGCAGACCAAAGGAGAAGCTCTACACTCATTATGTCGGACAAGCTTCATGGGCAGGCGCTCGGATCATTCAAGAACAGTGGACTCCCCAAGCGCTAAGGCTCTACGATCTCCTCATACTCACCTTCAGCTCCGGTGGGAAGTTAGCTGATTTGGATGCACTCAGTCAAAAATCTGGTATTTCCCATGAAGATTTTGAGCAAGTACTGCAATATTCATCCCAGGTGAGTACTCCGCGTCCAAATCGTCGTGTACCTCGTTCAACTGACCCCTTTGATTCAAGGTTTTGCACAACTTGGTAAATTACAAGAGTTTCGGTTTCACGAAGATCGTACCTCGCGTTTCCGAAGCAAAATTCGCTGCTGTGGTCGAGAAGTCAGCCAATGCAGCCAACGCCATCCCTTTGTGGAACGAGGCGAGTAGCTAAATGCACGTCGATATCCCAAGCTAATGAAATAATCTAATCAGTTGAAAGACCATATCTATGCACTCTCACCTGAAAATTCTCTCTCCATCGGCAAACCAAGGGATGGACATATCTCCAACTATTACCTGGGTCAAACAATCATGGACGAAGAGGTTGCAGCCGTTCAAGCTGCCGCTGAGAAAATCGGAGTCGATGTGCTGAACACCCGGTAAACTTGACACTCAAATCCGCTATATATATATCCACCGCATCTGATTTCCTTGTAGTATCCGCAAGAATGGGCCCCACGACTTTACCCTTCTCGTGGCCTCTGTCAACAAGACTGAATCCATCGTTCATGAGATAAACACTGAATTGACATCTATCAGATTAACGGTCGAGTATGGCGACTTCTCAATGGCATTAGCAAAGGCTGTGGCAGCTTTGCATGAGGTCGCGTCAACTTTATGTCCATCTACATCTTTTAATTTCTTACCTTCTTTTTCAGGCCAAGAAGTACACGGCCAGTGAAACCCAGACAAAGATGATTGAGGGCTACATTAATTCGTACGTCTCAAGTTTTGCGATCTTGTATAACCTTTGGTGTATAATTCAATCAGCTTCAAGACTGGGTCGATCGAGGAGCACAAGGCTGCCTCTGAACATTGGGTAAAGGACGTCGGTCCCGTCGTCGAAAGTTACTTAGGCTTTATTGAAACTTATGTTGACCCATACGGTGGTCGTGCCGAGTGGGAAGGTAAGCCATTTGTATTCACCGATATTCGCAATGCTGACTGCCTCTGATAGGTTTTACTGCCATCGTGAACAAAGAACTTAGCGCCAAGTATGACATACTCGTCAATGATGCACCGGAGTTAATCAAGGTCCTGCCCTGGGGTAAGGACTTTGAGGTTGATGTATTTAGAAAACCGGATTTCACTGCATTGGAGATTGTGAACTTTGCTACGGGAGGCAAGTGCATCTCGATCGCGAAATAATTTGGCTCATTTGAGATGACACAGGTATTCCCGCTGGTATTAATGTGAGTACATGGAGTATATTCGAGAGTAACTGATTGATGGCAACCCTACCTAGATTCCCGTAAGTATTCTCGGCTGGGGGTGAAATTATCTCACTGACAAGCAATATTGCTAAGAACTATTACGATATCCGAGAATCGACTGGCTTCAAGAATGTCTCCCTCGCTGTCAGTATATTTGCGGGAGTAATGTGTCCTATGCTTACCTTTCTCTTAGAACATCCTTTCAGCCAAGGCGCCGGGTAAGCTTTACCATCAGCCACAACTTGTTGCGCTGCTTAGTCTTGCTTTACGCAGACCAAGAAATCACTTTCATCCATCCTGACGATCTCGAGCTGTACAATGCATGGGATTCGCGCGCCTTTGAGCTTCAGGTTGCAAACCACGAGCTGTTAGGCCATGGATCTGGGAAGCTTTTCCAGGAAGTTGCTGACGGCTCAAAAAACTTTGACCCAGAGAAGGTTTGTGTTGCTTACCCTGAGTGCGGCCGCAATCTAAAGTTGCATACTGCAGATCATTAACCCACTGACTGGGAAGAAGATGTATGTCCATACTTTTTAGACTATGGAACTAACGTGAACGTGACATAGCACATCGTGGTATAAACCTGGTCAAACACCCGGTTCGGTTCTTGGCGAAGTTTCATCGTCGATGGAGGAATGTCGTGCGGAAACCGTTGCCCTCTACCGTGAGTTGTGGAGAGCTGTCCCGTGAAGTTATACGATTACTAAAGTTGCGTCGCTTTCAGTCGCAAGTAATCCAACGATCCTCAACATTTTTGGCGTGAGTCTTCCGCTCTCACTGCGCGTGCTACTTATTGATAGCCCTAATGAAGTATACGGATAAGAAGACTTGCGATGATGTCGTTTATATCACCTTCTTGTTAATGGCACGTGCAGGTCTACGTGCTCTTGAGTTCTACGATCCTGCCACGAAGAAACACGGCCAGGCACACATGCAAGCTCGGTGAGTTTCGCGGCTTCTACATTACATATGCCAGCCATCTGACTGTCTCGACACTTAGTCTTGGTATCACCCAGCACATGATTAAGGAAGGTTTAGTGACTTTCGAAGAGGTTCGCGGCGCAGATAATTCGCTAGAGAACCTGTATATTCGCGTCAGTTTCCTTGCACCACACCGTCAGATGATCTTGTCTTATGCCTTTCCATCAGCTTGACCGCCAGAAATGCTTGGCCCATGGACAGGCTGTTGCAGGAAAACTACTCATCGACCTTCAAGTCCGGAAGAGCACAGCTGACGGTGCTGGAGCACGGGACTTCTATACCAAGCTCACCACGCCTCTTCCAGGATGGGATGGCGAGATTCGGGATGTTGTTCTCAAGAAGAAACAAGTGCGTGTTCACCATGAAACGCAATCATGTGGCCTTACCGTTTTTGTAGCCTCGCATGATAATGATGCAGCCCAACACTTTTGTCGTGAATGGCCAAGTGGAACTGAAAGAATACCCCTTGACACCTGCTGGTATCCTTGAGAGCTATATTGAAAGATGTCTATGAGGTTGGCTTGTTTGGACAACTACACAGCCATATAACCTAGCACCTATATATGGACTATGGACTAGTATGTAAGAAATGAATCAGTGCTTGTACATAACCTGGATTGATGACGCGTCACGATGTGTCAGCGCGTTGGAGGTCATGTGTTTTCAAAATCAAAGTCCAGGCCGCTCCTCGCTAATTTGTTGTTCCCTTTCATGATGATCGGGACCCTTGGCCTATGGTCATCGTCAGTGCCTCGCCTACTCACGCCAAAGAGCACCTGTCAATTAGCATCTGTGTCGCAGCGTGCTAACCGACCAATAATACGTACATACTCCAGCAGAAGACCCGCCTCCCCGCCATCCCGACCCTACCAGTTTCATTTTGGCGCCAGCTGGGCAGCGAAGCCCCCAGAAAAATCGCGCATTCATGTACCTTTCTCATCAGACACTACGTTAGGACGCTGGCGAGATGAGATGCTTGGAAAATGGAAAAATGTGACGAGCAGGGATGCAGGAGAGGACTTTTTCTTCGTGACAGAGGTGCGTCCCGGATGGTCTAGTAGCCACGTGCTTCACTCAAAAGGTCTGTGTCGTTGCATGGATATTTTCTTATGTGACAGATGCAAAATAGTTCGGTAGGTAAGTTCATGCCCTCTTATGTATTTCCTGTGTGTTCATATGGTGCTTTCTATCGATAGGGAGTATCATTTGGTGTCGCTGACGGGGTGGGCGGATGGGTTGACTCAGGCGTTGACCCGTCACTTTTTGCGCAAACACTCATGTATCATGCACATCGTTACTCGCAACATGGATGGGCTGGTGAACCAGAAATTGACCCAACTCAAGAGTACGAGGAGCGTGAAAGAGTTGAAGGATGGGAGTTGACGCCGTATAAGTGTCTTGAGTGCGCCTACCATGGTGTATTGCGGGAGCGTCTTGTCAATGCAGGTCTGTTCCTCAAAGCTGTCACACATATCTATCCTGAACGTCTACTAAGGATCCAGTACTGCTTGCTTAGTCAGTCTTAACGCATCGTCAGGTGTATTGCGAGCTGCAAAGTAGGCGGACTTTACTACCAGAGGAACTCAACTGAGGCAGGCTTCACATAGTCTTGGTGACAGCGGATTTCTAATCATCCGATCGTCTTCGGTAATATACCGACAACCACCGCAAACCCATTTCTTCAATTGCCCATAGTAAGACGCTTTTTATTGACAAGCTTCCTGATTTGTATACTTTCATCAATAGCCAGCTTACAAAATTTCCGCCAAACATGGTACCGTCCACTCACTTTGCTGATCAGCCAAATCGGGCTGCTCAGTATGAGACCAAACTTCGGGATGGTGATATCATCATTGCATTCGTGCGTCGTTTCCAATTCTCACTTGATATTGTGCCGAAGGTTCCGAGTGCAGACTGATGGACTATCTGACAATGTCTTTACGCCTGACATTGTTGCTATCTGCTCTCTTGTAGCTCGCTCAGGTGGCTCTGAAGATGTACAAGCACAGATGATGGCTAACCGCATTATTGAGTATGCACAAGTGTGCATGCGAGAACGGAAAAAGATGACCCCATTTTCACGTAAGTCTTGCTTTTGTTCGCATGCCTCTCACCTTTCATGTATCTGTGTCGTTCGCAGGTGAAGCCTTACGGGAGGGACTTTATTACAGAGGAGGGGTGCGTTCTTAACCTAGACTTTTTTTCTGGGACTTAATGTTTTGAGCTTGCAGAAAATTGACGAGTGAGCCATTACTTTTAATCCGTGATTTTTTGCTGACACCGATGACTATAGCGTCACGGTTGTCACAGCTATAGTGCGCGAGACCGTATGATGTCTGAGCGCGACCTTCATTGAAGAGTACACATGGACAATCGATGCAACAATTCAATTCATATCATCTATTACTAATTACTCAGTGCCATTTTTCGACCTCTGCAATATTACGCACTTTTTGTTATAGCCCGAGATTGTCTGGCATGAGGAGAGGTCCCCAATCACCTTGCTTGGTAGCAGGCTTCACGTGACAATAGAGTGACATGCAATCTAGAGCGTACACCACGCAACCTTGATACAATCCGATCAGCAAAGTAGTCGGTCCGTCACCGACTGGTGATATCGTGTCGCCTAATTGTGTGCTTCAGCCGACATGCGTTCTTCCGGATACTGCAAATTCTCTCGTTGAATCTTCCATTTGGTCACAGCAGCAGTAAGTTGCTGCCCCGACCGAACGTCAGCGGAGGCTGATGATAAGAACGTATATAGTTTTTGCTGTGGAGAATGTAGGATCGCTAGTTCGCAAGTACGCGAGAATGGCAGATTGTCCATGCAGATTAGCTTGATCTATCGTCTACTATGATACACCAAGCAAAAAGTCGAAAGCTTATAAGGGGATATACAAATGCCAAGCCAAGCCAGTCCATGCGTAAGTGTCCCAGTAATTAGATATTCTGACAAAGAGTGCAATGGAACGTGATCTCGTTTCGGAAGAGAGCAGCTACAACCATGTTAGGGACAGATTGCGGATGATGTGAGGTGAACTTACGCAGAACAATTAGAGATGCCAGGCCCGACACTACAAGGATATAAAGCAGGGTATATTTAATGATCTGTTGAAGACTTTAGCCAGTAGAGTGAGGGGTGGATTATGGTACTCACAATCCATCGTCTTTGTCTCTTCTGCTTAGTCGAGTAAAGAGGTGCTCGAATCTGTTTGGATGGGCGGAGCCAGACTGTAACGAGTTCAGACTCACGAAAAGGTAAAGAGCTCGACAGTATCACTCACACAGCATAGTTGAATGCAGTTTGTCGACGAACGGAATGAGAACGGGTGGCGTCAAAATCACCAGGAGGATGTGACCGAGCAAGAAATCTGAGCTCCACAAAGACATCTCGACTATCTTCACGATGAATTCACGAGCTGGCTGGGACATGGCGGTATTCCCAAGGCCACGACCATACCATTTGCCAGACCACCACGCACGATTAGTTTCGTCGTGTTTGAACTCACGAGACAGGAAGACCGCAATGAGAATCTTCTGGATCGCACGCTGAATGGCAACGATAGTGATGACGCCGAGCACTGCATGAGATGCATCCCAAAGCTCAAGGAACCACTGCGACATATATCAACTCAGTGTCATTAGAGCGTAAATCAAATTACGTACGAAGAACTCGAAGAATGAGACAATTCCAAGCAGCGCTAAGAAGTGAGCGACGGCAGCCATGACCGAAGCAAACCTCGTCCATTTGTCGAACATGGGACCCAAGAACAGTGATATGAAAAACAGCGATATGAGAACGGCAGCATTCCAGACGATAGGACCAATCGCTATAACAGCTATCCGAATCAAAGGACTGGGGTTCTGCTCGCCATTGACGTTGGGGAATGACTTGACGAACATGTATGCGATGACGAAGATAGCCGCATGGCAGATCGGCCAAACGACCTCCGAGAAGACAACAGCTCGCCATGGAGCACGAGGGAGGTCTCCAGACAGCTTTTCTGATGGAAAGCCAAGCTTCTTCTTCTTGTACCCGGTGATCATAGTCCTAGAAAGACGGCAGTATCCATACCAACTACTCGCTTTCGACCTCGAGTTCCCTCGGGACATCCAACGCAGGAACTCGCGATAGTCGATGATGAAGTCGGCAAATGAGAACTGATGAGGGTTGAAAACAAAGGGAGCAATGCACAATGAGAGCACAGAGAACCAGAAGTATATGAGATGGGGTATCCAAATCGCCAGAGAAGCATAGAGAAGGATAAGCAGATTCCTCATGCCCATGTAGATACCTGGTCCTGCAAAGCGGGAATACAAAATGCTAAAGGATATTCGAGTTGTCGCAAAACCGCGGCCAGTTGCAATATAGCGAGCTCCACCGAATGTCAGATTGCTTAAGATTGCTTGAGAGTATATCTGTGTCGAGAAAACCTCAAAGACGGGAGACAGCGATAAGAAGTGTTTTCCGAGACGTAGCAGCGCTTTTCCAGTTCCACGCTCAACGAGTTCTGCAGCTCGTCAGTCAGTAAAGCTCAGCCCAGGGTAAAATGCATGAATTACCTTGTAAGAAGAGAGGCAAGAAAGCAATGAAGAACACCAAGAAAATGGAGACGATGCAGCGCTTGATCCATTCGAAGACGGGAATGAGGTTATAACACCCAGAACCCTGCTGACCACCAAGCACATCGCCCTGAGCATCACCTTGACAGATCGCGAGCTGTTTGTTCAGAGTTCCGATGAAGAGCACTACGATTGGTCAGGAACACAGATCGAATGTGCAACACATCGAGACTCACAAGTGACCATGAATACCTGGATCGAGTAGATGACCAAGATATTGTTGATGTGGAAACCAGGGTGTCCATAGTAGAAGGTCAAGAAGCGATCGATGGGCAGCTGCGTCCCGAGGTAGTAGTACTCCCGACTGAGCATCTGCTCACCCATGCCGGTACCGATCTTGGTCTGGAAGTTGAGAATCGTGCCGAACCCAAGATCACGGCCCTTTCCACACTGGTAGTACTCCGAGTGCTTGATACGACCACCACGCCCAAATGCGTTCATACCGGCGAAGATATCCTCGTTGAGATGCAAACCCTTCTGTGCCTTGGAAACTCCACCGCGTGTTGTCATAAAAATGGCATTGAGGAAATCAGGGTGTCCATAGTGCAGCTTGCCCCCAATCCACGCGAGCGCACGAGCCGTCATCGTACCGAATGTCTGTTCCTTCCCAGCAGCAATGTCACCCAACACCCCAATATTCTCCGAGAAGATGTACTCGCGTGTGCCGACGATAGCAACGGGGGATTTCTTAAACTCCTTGTGGCCCCATTGCGCATACGGACTCTGGCTTGAGATAGAGTACTCCTCAAACTCGCCAAGGATGTTCCGGATCTTGAGACATTCTTCAAGGTAGTTGTCTTGGTTGGCATCAATGAGCTGAAGGTATTCGCCGCGATAGAAAATGATGGCATGGTTCTGGTTGTCTGACTTTCCATCACCAAGAATAGGATTTCCGGGCAGCTCAATGCGGAACTTGGGCTTCCGTTTGCCCGTAACGTCGTCAATCTCTGAGTGGCCATCAATCAACGTCGAAAACAACCGGCCTTCACTGCCTTTTGGCCCAGGCTCTTCATCAAGGTACGCAATCTGCAGATCCGGATATGCGCGCAGCAAAAACTCGGCGTTCTCCTGCTCCTCCTTGTTGAACTTCGAGAACCGCTGCATGGAGATCGCGAACTTGAACTTGCGCCGTGCCATCCTCTCAAGCTCCCGCTCGAGCTTCTCCGTGTTGCCCCCAAACGCGGACACGATACCGGGATTTTCAACGCGGTAGAGAAGCTTGATGGCCTTGGAATAGTTCATCATGCCAGAGACAGTACGGTACAGCGTCTGCGCGCGCAGCGAGGCCCAGATACGTGTACGAAGGGTATATTCTGGGCTCGATGTTTTGAAGCCGATGCAGTAGAAAGGCAAGTCATCCGCTTTGTTGCTTGTCTTCTCGTTGATCAAACCCGTTCCATCCTCGCCCTCCCCAGCAAGGATCTTTGTGTCCTTCACGAAGTTGTCCCATTCTACAGAGTGGAGCTGCTTCAGGTACTCAAGCAACGTCACACGAGTATTCTGGTCTTCTTCGCGGATGATTTCGCGCAGGCTGAGTAGAATCTTCTCAGAATAGTGCGGAACGAGGACTGTGAATGTGGGCATGGCTTCCACAGGGAGAGGCTCAGGCAGTGCGGTGGTGAGGGAGCTAGCGAAAAACGAAATCCTGCGCTCAGCCTCACCGTTTGCGGGGAAGAACGTATCTTTATAGTTCCCGCCGTTCTGATTCAGGAAGAACGGAGGTGGGTTGAGCGTTCGGCGACCATCAGCAGTCTCAGCCTGGTGATACAGCAACCGCTGGACATGGTCGATCCCAAGGAGATGCTCGCGATACATGGAAATGATAATGGCGTTCCAGATCTGCGAGACAAGGACCTTGGGTTTGTATTTGATCTCCATCTCAGCAGTGGAGAGGAGCTTGGCGTAGATGCGCTTGGGAAGGCGGGTGTATACATCTTTCCAAGGCGTCCAGATCGACAGGCCAAGCGAGAAAGAGCGACCAACGGAGAAAACGACGACCCAGATGATGTACCACAAGTACGTGTCAAGGAAAAACAGGATCAAGTCCATAATATACATGATAGTCAATGTGAAGGGGACCTGTTTCGAACAGAGGGCGTTGCCGAAGAGCTTATCATTGCATCCCTGCACGGTAGTCCGCGCCATGACCGCGATTGGCGAGCTGAAGGAACTGGTGAGGAAAAAGTATGATTCTGCGAATTTGCACCCGAAGACTAGAAGCCAGAGCATAATGCTTGCAGTACGTGCAGTACGCGTGAGTTCCGGGTAAGACGCGGTAAATGTCTGCGAGGCCATGTACTTGCGTGACTTGCCAGCAACACGGTCACCAAACATGCGTCCAGAGGGGAACAATCCAAAAGAAATGGTCGCAACGACAGAGATGAAGAACTGCACAATGCCAACGATGACAGGAATCTGGGAGGTGGTGGGGGTTGGACGGCTCTCTACATATGCAATGTATACCGTCGGACCGCCCGTGAGCGCCAGAATGACAAGGAGGAATATGAATCGGGTTGTGAGATGGGAGGCATTATTCCATGTTGTGGGGATGTACATGAACTCGGCGAACGTGGCGAAGAGCATGATCAACGTGGCGACTGCGCCTCCGAGGGCGGTCGCGGACCAAGTCATTGCGGGTGAAGGGAATTGTGAAGTTGGAGGCGCGTACACCTTGGGGGAGTTGAATGCGGTGTAGAACCAGTATATTGCAATGTGGAGAATCCAGATGCGGTTAAAGTTGACAAGTAGATGCGCGATGGAACGCTTCTCCTTGTAGGTCTTGAAGAAGACCTTGCTCCAGTCTACGCGCTGCAGGTTCATGTAACGCTTGGAGGGTGCGATATCCACAAGGCGAGACTGGAGAACATGTTAGCTTGATGCATGTTGTGGGGGAAAATCACCTACATGGTTCTCAAGGACAATCCGTGCTAGACCCTCAGGATACCAGAAAAGTTGGTTAATGTCGTCATAACCAATGATCTCGTCATGATCTCTCTCCCTCCTCACGAACTTGCCCTCTGAAACTTCATAACCCTGGTCACGCATGAACGTGTATAGTGGCTTGATGATTGTGTGCAAGTATAGACCCTCCCGTACAGGCTCCACGCTATTCTGGCACTCGGGACTACGATAGTAATCATCTGCGCACTTAAAGATGAAGCACAGGCACTCGGGAACAAAGCGGACATTGCCCGCCTCGCCCCAACAAAGGAGGTAAAGCGCGATCTGGCGGAGCCTGTCGTATTGACTCATGCTGTTCATCGCGTTACGCCAGCGATTCAGTGCACTGTCCAAGTGTTTCGAGCCTGGTGTTTTGACTGAGCCGCCTCGAACACTTTTGAGGCGCTGCAAGCCAGGATTCTGGGTTTGCCCGACGGCGTCATCAAGGTTAAGCTGTGCGGCAAAATACCACTTGCGATAATTTGCATGTTGACCACCAATATAATCGGCATGAAGGGTTAACAGGCCTGATTTGGACTCATACGGGAGGCGCGGGAGTCGAGGGACTGCATTAAAAAATCAAACTGCAAAAATAGATTAGTACCTGTGCATGTCAGGGTTGTATGATATGACGAACCATGTTTCGCATGGAATCACGTTGGAACCCAAATTTTTGGGTGAGGTCTAGAAAAATGTCCTCTATTTCTTCCATGGAAATTGGTATTTGACGGTCGGGAGACCAGGCCGGGTATGGGTAGGTAGCCGAGTCGGCGAAGGGGGAGCCATATGGCTGGCTTGCCTGTGAGTTAATAGATGGTGCGTAAGAGCGACTGCCATGTCCAGCATCAGAAGGAGAGTCGCGACCTGCAAAGGGGTTAGAATCATAATATTGCTGGTTAGCTGCAAGACGAGTGGTGCTAGCGTAAGGAGTGCCGATCTCGGATTCATTGTCATAGTCTTGTCGAATAGGCTGTTGTTGGTAGAAATTTTGCTGGCCGTAAGGGTTTGGGAAAGGACTGGTAGGCTGTTGGGGCCCATGGGCTGGTTGAGCCATGTCAGTAGTCTCGACGGACAATTAGCGATCGAAGTAAAGAACGACTGTGGAAAGCAATAACAAGAACTGAAAAAGATAGGAAAGTCAGCGCCCAGCGGTGGTAGGGTAATGGAGTGAAACAATAATGCCGTGTGCATACAGAACAATCACTCGTGAGAAATCAGACTCAGTGGTTACCGGTAAATTCTAAAAAAATAGCAGTCGTTGGTCGACGACGATCACGTTGAGCAACTACAATTTTTCTGATGGCACTTCCACGATTAATTCTGCCCAGGTTTCCGCAGTGGATCAATCATCTTCCACAGGTCGCTGGCCGCGTCGTTGATCCGATCGCGTATATGATTGTCCTACCAAACAAATCAAAACATCCACAGTCTACACGTGATCTCATAAAACGCGTCGCGCTCCAAGCTTGTTAACTTCACTTAAACACATGTCTCAACCAATCGTGCTATGGGATGCTAAACGGCGCGCAACTCATGTTTTTGACGATGCAGGCATTTCAATCACGAAAACTGTACTGCCTCCTCCAGGTCCCCCAGCCCCTTATGACCGTGATATGGACCCCCCAAAGAATTTGAAGACCGTCCCACCCCTCGCGTACTTTTGTATCCTCGCTCTCATCCCTCACGCAGACCAACTGCACCACCTCCAGCATACGGTACCTTACAGTCGGGACGTTGTCAGTGCTTTGGTCCCACCAAAACCGGCCCCTTTTTCTGTCAAGAACAAGGATTCGCAACCGTTTTTCGTTTCGATCGTTAACCCTAGACTTCTGGCAACACTTGGCCAGGTTATGCACCCCCTTCCTAAAGAGTTCAGAGACTACGATATATCCCTTAGTGATGTCCATCTACCATTGCTTCAACAAGTGCCCAGTCGGGAGAACTTCTGCTTCGTAACTCTCTTGGCTCTACCATATTGCAAGGAAGTGTGCGACGACACTGTTGGTGTGATTCGCCGTTTGAACACCCTCGCTGCGTTGGATATAAGAGGGACAACTGTAGGATCCTACGGCCTTGCTGTGCTTGCTCGTGGCTTGTCATGGAGCGACGACGAACTGCAATCCAGGACTGGTTGCTGGGGACTCAGAATCCTGAGCCTGCATAGCTGCACCAACATAGGAAACGAAGCTCTCCCCATATTATCCAAGTTCCCCTTGCTATCATCCATAGGTAAGTTCCTTCTTTCTCTATTCCACACCAAAACTTATCCGTATCGTATCACCAGACTTGCGCTTCACTGGCTGCACGCGACACGCTGTCTCTAAACATCTTGCTGATGCTGGCTTCAGACCCTCTTCAAATCGTTTATTGTTTCATCCTATTCCACTCGAGGTCTCGCTCAAGCAGCTTGAGAACCTTTGCCCAACTGCAATGTACTCGTGCGGGCTTACCTCCGTATTCAAGTTGCACGTTGATAAGCTCAACCATTGTTCAACCTGGTCCGAGCACAAACCCAAACCGTACATCCTCCAAAACATGATGGAGGAATCAATAAGCCTAATAGATGCGGATTTTGATGAAGAAAACAGCGGGCCAGCTGAACCTGCCTCTCAGGATGTGCAGGCAAGCACGACGTCTACTTTCTACACATCGCACCTGCCTTGCCGAGAAAACCGCATCCGGGCGGCAGTCGAGGACAAGAAAGAGCAGCTTCACCAATTGGCTTTAGCGCGCCCTCCGCCCCAATGGAGTGTACTAGACGCACTTCAACCACCAGTACGACATCAACCATTGTATGATCCACATGAAGAGCCGCTGCCACCGAAACTCGAATCCATGGACCGCGCGCGTCTCACCAAGCGTACCTTATCAAGCGTGGAGGATATGGTTGCGACCCTGGCGGGCAAGAATAAGAAGCGGAAAGTGGAAAGTGAATTCGCCAGCGCGAGCTCCTTCCCAGTTTCCGTTTCGAAGCCGAAAAACCCCTTCGTCAAATCTGCAGGCTCGACTTCCAAATCGAACGTGTCAAGCGGCATGGTGCGATCCGTGTTCGCTGAGCAGAGAGATGCTGCCATCGCATCAGCATCTGTTAAACGATGCTGGAGTAAAGCTGAACCGTGGCCTAAGTTTTGCGATGGAAGGCCCTTGAAACCCTTGAAAAACTCCACGCCTTCGACTTCCTCAAGCAATACCGCTTCGAATGCGATCTCCAAACTCCCCTCCCCAAGTGGCAGTTCACTTCTCCCTGGTGCATCAAACCCTGTCCAGATAGATTCGAAGCCTCCTGCTAAGGCTAAGATACTCAGACCCATTACATCATACCCCATTCCGCCGTGTCCATCAGAGCATTTCTTGCTGGTGCCACAGATATATCCGAAGAATTGGGAGAAGAACAAGGGGGGTGCTGCCCACGCTGTGTTTGAGCCTTTTCCCGATTCGACGGCGCCAATGGATGGAAGCGATGATATCGTTGAAGTCGAAGGGATTGGTCCCATTCACGATGACGATCCCAAGAGGAATGAGAGGCCTTCGAGGAAAGTTGGGAGAGATCGTGGCGGTGTTAGCAGTACGGCGAAGAAAGGAAAGCAGAAGGCGACTGGATTTGATTGGAATAAGTGGAGACGGGAAACCATGTGATTGACTAGTATCATCTTTTCTTTGTGTACTATTCTTTATCGATCCTTTATGACACCTATTCACGGATTCCTGTTTCACGTACTTGTCCCTTTACTGACGACTACTTATTTAACCGAGTCAGCATCTGTACTTATATACCACATGCTCGCTAGTGCTCACTAGCCAAGTACTTATTCCAAATTGCAAACTTGAAGTTGACTTGTAATTTAAAGGGCACATCACGTGAGAGGTATACCTCCAGTTTAGCGGATTACTTTCTGAGTCCATACGGGCTAGATTATTAATGTCCGGGCACGATGGACTACTTCTCCAAGTTCCTCCGCGCAACGCCCCAAGCTTCGCCAAAGCCCGTTCAAGACCATGCAGCTGAATTCAGTGGATCCTGGAATGTTATCAAGGTACTACTCCCTTCCTGAATTTCCGTAGATCCCAATTAAACACTCAACATGTTCGTAGACGATACTCGAGCACCCAGACGAGCGGCAGCTCACTAAGGGCATCAAGTCCACCGATGCCCCAGCCCACTTACAATCCATGGTCGACGCCCTAGTCAGGGAATCGACTCATACCGAAGAAGGGTACGTGCACTGCAACCATGAAAGTCTCGTCGATAGTGTTGATTATCACTCTCGGTCAGCGCGACTGGTGCTTGCTTAGAATTTCTGCTCAAGAATGGTCTGCACCCCAACAACTACAATCTACCCCAGGTGCCTGTAGCTAATAATCATTCCTACAGACGTCTTGGGCACACTCGTGCGCCTCGCAGAGCCCGACCGACCCTCTGGAATCCAGGCCGAGGTGCTCCGTGCAGTGCAGAACATGGTTATTCTCATGGACGAGCAATTCCTCGTGCACTCCGCTGTACACCGCGCTGTCTTGCGCCTCCTGCGTAACTGTGTCGGAGACGACATCCAAGAGCAGCTAGACGGTCGGAACAGGGTTATGGGAGCTGCCAAAAATGCCGTGCGGAGCCAGCCATCTGATTACGAGCTTGATCGTGAGTGTTTGTCTCGTGTTTGACGATCTATGGAGTCTGATGAACGGTAGTGTTGAATTTACTGTGTATTTTGTGCAGCCGTATACGAACGTACCGCGAACTGTTGATGATTTTCTTCCATGATAAGCACTGGTACCACTCGGAGCCGCTTTTCTCTGTTGAAGAAGAGGACGAGGACGAAGATGAGGACGAAGACGAGGATGAGGATGAGGGCAAGAACGAAGATGGGAAGACAGGGGAACGCGCATCGCCGACACCTTCGCAGGCCACAATAACGTCTGCTCCTGCATCTCAGGTTGCTCATTCCCGCAAGACAGAATACGAGTTCCTCCTTTTCAACTATCTACTTCGATTCGTTCACCGTGAAGGGCAGATCGGCGACTTTGCACGTGCGGGCTTGCTCTTCCTCATGGATGTTGCGATATCCCCTGGGGAACCAATACATAGATTAGCAGGGGATGAAAAGGAAGCCTCTGGAGTAGAGACAGCAGCTGGGGATCCGATCACAGATGCAGCGCTTGCCTTGGCGGAGTATATCGTCGATGGTGATTTTTCAGACGTTCTTGGGGCAGGTCTGGGCGCAGTATACTCTTTGCTTCCATCGAAATTGGAGATAAAGTCACCGACTCAGGCTGATCCCTTGCACGGCAATGGCATGGTGCTAGGCTGCACAGGACATATTGAAGATGAGACAGAGCATGCTGAATTAGTGGTGGAGAATAACCGTGTCTCAGGTATCGAGGACTCTTCCAACCCAGACTTCAAATCTCGCCTCGATCACTTCCTCAAGTTGCTAGAATTTTTGCAGGACATTTTCCGCAGAAACATTGTCCATGATTCCCCCGAGTCCAGCCTCGATGCGTCTGCGTTGGTAGGCACTTCCATTGTGCACTCTATACTGGATGCCGTGCGTCGCAGCTTCCTTGAGAACATCCTCTACCCATCCATCCTCGAGTGTTCAGATCTCGACGGCAGCGCTGTTGCTGTGATGTCTTATATCGATATCGTGATTCGCACGCTCGAGCCAGGTCAGCTTTCTGACCTCTTCGTCGAATTCCTCATGAGTGAGGATAACGATGACGTCCCCCGCTTACGACCGCACCCTCGCATGCTCAATCTCAGCAGTGCTCCACCTCGCGCTGCTGACCGCCCAACAAAACTCCGCCGGCGCAAAAGTAGTGCGATGGCCCTGCTTGAGATGGAGGCTCCTGAATCGCAGAAACAGTCGGAATACTTCACCTCAATGGGACGGTTCACGCTGAAAGACTTGCTACTCACGAATTTGCGCTCGAAGAATCAGGCGACGGTCGCATCTGCTCTGCAGTTGTTCCAGTCGATGCTAAGCCAGCGATGTCACATTTCAGCAAGCGGCCTGTTCCTTGTCTTCCATGATGCGAATGCGACGAGCTATCCTGAGCCTGCCATGATTTTCCCGGATATCACACAGATAGTTGAAGAGGATAGCGATGAAGAGGAATTCGTTTATCCTGGTGCAGAGGAGACAGAACCCTCTGCAAAGCGACAAATGCCGCCCCTGCCCACATTCGTCCAGCCAGATATAACGTTCTCAACGCACGAACGCGAGATGGGACTCTACCTCACACTGGTCTCCCGTGTCGACCCCTCACACAATGATGATGCTTTTAGCACTGGCTATGATCACTATCTCCGCGACGCCACGTCGTCCATCCAGAATCATAGCTGTTTCCACATCCATGATGACGAAGTACATGGACGCACGTTCAAAGTGCAAGCATCGGCTCAATGTCAATGACCCCATTCTCTCGCTCGTCCTCGAGTCGATGCGCACATTTTTCTCAAATTCGCCAAAGATGAACATATCGCTCACGGGCGTGCTTGCGGAGCTAGCTGTCTGCCCTAACCGCTCCATCGCGGGGTGGCTTACATGTGCAGTGTCAGAGACTCTCGCCTCGTTTTCGGATCCCTATCTTGATGTAGATGATGGCCGAGATGATAGATCCATAGACTCCGTGATCGACGAGAAGTTTGCTACAGAAACTAATATGCTTCCTGCCATGAGGCTCGATGAACATACCCGCCCCGTTGTACACACTATCTTGCATGGCCTCGTTGGCCAGCTGGAACGCTACCGGCAATCAGTCGAAAATTTCGACCAATATCTCCTCGAACGGCGACAGGGTCTTTTATTCTCTGAAAATCTGACAGACGCACTCACCCTCTCACTTGAACCGGTCCAAGATGTATTGTCGCCTAACTTACCACCGTCGGGTTCTTGGGATGTCGTTCAAACTCCTGACACGCCTCCTCAACGCCCAAAGCCGAAGCCGAAGACCTCGGCTCTCGTATCTTTCCTGACCCCAAGAAAAAGCAAGGTTGCCCCACCCAAGGCGCCTTCTGAACTCACGACGCCTCCGAGGTCGGGCGGCAAAAACGTCGCTGCAAGTCCATTTGCTCCCATTATCAGCGCACCCGGGATATTGTCGTTGAACCCTTCGTAGCACCCGTTCCCCAGTCAGGTCCTTGGACATCAGCCCAGCCGTCGAAGTGGAATGCGGATGAAGATGATGTCTTCAGTGCTGGTAGCCAGTGGGGCGGGCATGCGGCTACTCGATCAGAGGGAGAGGACTTGAATGGAGGGAAGGCAACGCAAGTTACGTTGTCGCAACTGCTGGACAATGTTGTTGTCTTGGAGGAGTGCATCAAGGAGCTGGTGGCTATTATTCACGCCCGTCGTAGTTTAGGAATTGATCTAGTAAGATACGTTTGAGAGTCTCACCTATAATCTCATTATCATCTGTGGAGGCTGGAATCTGAGAGATTGGCGCCGTGCTAGCTGATCAGGTAAATCGTCAGCCAGTGTACGTGCTACATGCAACACAGACGAGGGCCCGGTTTCGATAGTAATAATTTAGAAGATATACATCAAGATGAACACAATACAAAGAAAGATGAGGCAGGGCATGACAGCAAAGATCTACAGAACAGGGGTTATTTGGCTTTCTTCGCTCTCCCGCTCCGTCTCCCCTTCGCCGGTGATGATCCTTCACCTGCTGGCTTGCGCTTATCCGAAAACATCCTCTGCTGTATCTTGGCAAATTCCTCATCATCGATGTCAGGAGGATCCTGGACATGAGGTTTCTTCCTTGGTGATTCTGCTTCAGCCTCAGACTCGTCTGCCCCCTTCTTCCGTTTCCTTCCTTTTCCTCCCTTCGTTCTGGATGACTCTTCCATATTTGAGTACTTGGCAGCCAGGTCGTCCAGAAAACCATTGCGGCCCTTCTGTCTCTTCAGAATGAGGGCCTGGAGTGCTGAAGTGTCTCCCTCGTCTTCGTCATCTGCTGATTTCTTCGCTTTCCCTTTCCCTTTTCTCGCTCCTGTCTTGCCGCTTCCATAGAACTCATCCCATACGCCAAGTTCCTTCGCAAGCTCTTCAGCCTCCTTTGCCTCTTTGTCACTCTGCTTCTTCCTCACTAACTTGGCTTTCTCGTCTTTGGAGCTTGACGCCCATTGCGGAAGACTCGGCAGATCGCCAGCTTGGACAAGATTTGACAGTGTGACTACGAATCTTGGCTCATCATCAATAGTAGAGTGAGGAATGTGCTTCATGACCTCGTCAAATAATCCTCCTGTTTCAAGGTACGCGGTCTTGAGGTCCTCGATCTCCTCGGAAGATCCTATAGGCAGAGTTGCTAAACGATCTACCAGATATCATTCAAACACACCTTGATATTCCTTCTTCATTTCGTCCAGTCTCCCGCGTGTGACGCGGTCAAATAGGTCCTCAAAGTAAGCTTCCCAACCGCCATCCTCATCCGCCTCACCCAGTAATCCTTCGTCAGTCTTTCCAGTTTTGTCATATTTCTTCCTCCGCTTTTCGTCGCTTAGTACGGCATATGCAAAACCAATCCTCTGGAATTGCATGGATGCCTTTGCCCGTTCCTCCTCGGTGGCGTTAATGAGTTTGTCAGGATGACACAGCAAAGCAAGTTTCCTGTAGGACTTCCGGATATCTTCTGCAGATGTATCTGATTTAAGCGACAAGACAGCGTAGAGGTCTACATCTTCTTCGTCGAAAAACTGGGATATGGGGTCGTTGTCATCCATGGTGGCAAGAAACGCGTTGACTGTCACACGACGCGCTGAAATGAGATGGGTCACGTGCTACCGTAACAGTCACGTTCTATGCCGTCCAATTTGCCCGAAATTGTTTACTAGTAGGAGCTCTTTATAAATATTCTGCCGACGTGCAGGTACTCCCAAATTTCTGCTGCACCTCCATCATCTTTTTGACGCCAAGGCAGGATTTCTAGCATCGTAGGTGGACTTCGTCGGCCCAGCTACAGTGCTTCGTACGTTTTTTTTATATCATTCCCGGCGGCGCCATCATGGCTTTCAAGGATCATGGTAACTGACTTCTGAGATATATATCGCAGTGCAATCGTGACAACACCCACAAAATGGACTGTTCCATGCACTTTGCGGAGCACGCTTCAGGGAGCACTGTAGGAAGATGGCTAGCTTCTATATCTTGCGTATCTAACGGCACGATTTTGATCGATTTGGCAGAATTGTTGTTGCTGTCGAATGGCAGAAACCTATCCATTTGATTATGACCATTGTATTATAACCCGCTGATCCTGGTACCGCATTGTGTTAGGTGTGTAGTTCACAAGCGCACGCACTAGTGCCCCAGATTACGATACGTGAGTTCTCCCGCATGAATTGCGGATGAACCATCTCTGAAACCGTCTCTTGGCACGCTTTGTGTTCCACTCTTTGCAATTCGGAAATCCAAATTGCTCCGCCTATGTTATTTGTGTTGCCGTTGATGGTAAAGAACAAGTGTTTCATTCTGTAACCTGGCCTCCGCTGACTCGTTTCTGCCGGTCGTGCCTGCTGCGGTCGTGAAACAGTACCAGTTTATCCAAAGATTGATCTTTGCCTTCAGTTTGCATTTGTGGCTAGTTTAACTGACCGACATTTAAGTATGAATATCTGCAACGAGTTCATTTCCCCTATGCACCAGTGCGATCTCTCCTTGTCTTTGTCCTTTCCTCTCTACGAGATGGCATCGACTCTTACGCTCGAACGCCTCTGCGAATTGCAGATCACCGTGTCATCTGATTCGGACTTGAACTTCCTTGATGGAATCGCTCAGAAGTGGAATTTGCCACGCCTTCGTCGTTCAACGGTTTATGAATTACTAGAGCCATCTCTTTGGATCCCATATTACATCAACTTTATGGATGCCTACGGAAAACACTTGTCGACACTTTCCATCTGTGCTCAGAACATGTTCAGATATGTCCAGACCGCTGTCCCAATCTGGAGCACCTTGCATCACCTCTCGCCAGCCTTCAATCTTCTGGATATGGCATATGTTCAGATGTTCCTGGGACACTGTTTCGGTCTGAAGTGTCATGCATCATTTTCACACATACATGGGAGAACCTTCCCGACTCGGTACAGCACCGCGAGACCTTGCACTGGGGTTTTCCAAGAGTCGACGTATAGTGTGATGCAGGGCTCATATGCAGGCGGGAGTACTAAGTACGTCATGTCTTTTGTTGCGGCTAGTGATGGTCGTGAATCATTGTGAGGCATAGACAATATCAATAGCGGTGTCGACCCAATGTCAGAGAAATGAGACTCCGATAGTGGTGGTGGGACTTTCAGAAGCTTCTCCTCGTTATCATATTCAGTATGTGACAGCGAAGGAAATTTGGAAACACTCAATCTCCTGCCTTTTTGTTATGATGCTCCTGGGGACGTTCTCTAGGACGAAACGATCGTAGATGTTAGGATGCAAGAAAAAAACATAAGAAGGGACTCCACTTTTGACTTGTCTAGAGTCATTAGATGAGGTTTTATGCCGCGAAATAACAGGTAGAATATCTCGAGTACAAGAGTATTTGATGCATTGAAAAGAGAATCGTTGAACTTATTGGCAACAATGGTCAGAAGCAAGTCTAGTGTGTGTCTCCGAGAGTGCTTTCACAAGTCTAATCTACAAACTCGAGTACTCCGCCTGGTCCGTGCTCAGGTGCGTATTTGCAGGGAGGTCTTGATAAATATCAAGTTCCAGATGAGATGCAAAACCAGATTCACTATCTGTTCGTCTGCTTTGCGGGCTGAGATGGGCAGGAGAACAATCCTGAAGAGGTCTCGCATGATACCTGGCGTCAGGAGCGCAGCCTTGTAGTTGAGATGGCTGAACACTAGCTGAATATAGTCCGTCCCTTCATCAAGCTCCTCATCCGGCTCCTGCAGCTCTTCCGCCATATCAATTGGCCAGGTCATAGCAGTCATTAAATCTGCACATGTGATGGCCCGTTTGTCTTCCACGAGTCCCTTGCCGCAGTCGCCAACGGTGTCGGTACAAGGTCGCTTGGGAGGATCCGATCGCCCAAAATATGCACGCCACCGTACGTTCGTTATCTGTGTCGTCCTTCTTCTTCAGATCTCGGAGACAACCGCTGACGCTGACTTCATCACCCATGCGGTAGGCGCCACCTTCGTGACCACCAAGTGCATTGACAACGCGTTGGACGACAGGCTCCAGGGTAGCTCTTTTGTCGAGTTCTTCATTCGTGGTATGAGTGGATAAAAATAATGTCGTCATCCATGGGCGAGTGGTGTTGTGAGCATAATAAGTCACCGACGCGAATGAACAGTACTAGTAAACTACACGGTCTGTCACACCACATGATGAAAGTCACTATCATTTACTAAATTAAGTGACTCCGACAACCGACTAACCTAATGAGGGAAATACCATAAAAGGGAAAACTAGTAGATACGGTACCACTAAAACTTGAAAAAGAATATCATAATCTTGAACGTGCCAAAGGTGCGACGAGCCTGTCATAATTTGTCGAATGAAAGAAATAGCTAGGTGTGATCCTTCGACCAATTTACAAAGTCCACCAAATCTGATTCGTGGTCTGACTCGGATTGTACCACTGTCGTTGGAGCAGCAGCAGAGCCTGAGCGGCGGCGACGGTATCCGCTGACTGGGAATCGACATGCCAAACACGATCCACGACAAGACTTCTCAATGGTTCTGACCTAACCCCCATAATTTCCGACTTATTTTGAGAACCAGAGTGATCTCCTTCAGTCGCAGGCTTGTCTTGAGCATCGGTTGAAGTGGACTCCACTCTCGCCGTATCATTGACAGCGGCCGGGCCTGCAAAGAAATTACGGCCATCATTAAGTGGAAGCTTGCAATTGAGAATGAAAAATGACACTCACTTTCAATGGGGTCATCGAAACTGTGGTGGACAAAGCCGTCAAGCTTGAAGGTGGCCTGGCGTCGCCGTTTACGACAACTTCTCGGAGTTGATGGGTCACAAAAATGAAACTTGAGAGGTTGGGTTTTCCCTACCACTAGAACGTCAGTCGTAGGCACTACCAATGAAAAAAAAATACGTACCCATTACTGTGCGAACGCAAGGATCACTCATGGCAGGATGAGAGGAGTCTACACTGTTTGCCTTATTTATATGCAAGTCATTCTCGTGAGAAGTAGTAGCCTTGGCACTGCTTAACTATTAACTAATGCATAACGCTATTAAAGTCTACCACAAAGTTGTGACACGGTATCATTGTAACACGCAATGTGTGGTAGCGCACTCCTCTCAACGTCGTTTACCGTTTTCTTTACTTCTCAATCAAGATGTTATCTGGGGTTATCCCCTTCCTTTTCGCTCTTAATCTTGGAGCACCGTGAACATCTACCCATTCATTTTTTTTCTTACATCCATCTAAGTGGGAACGTCTCACGAAGCACATAATAGTACCAAGTTGGTGTCATCACAAATCGGTCTTTCGTCGACAATACCATGTGAAAGTGGGTGGCAGATTTACGTGGATTGTTATGATGCTCGATAATATATTGCTTTAGATACTACTCTCATCTGTTCACCAGACCACTGACAATGATTTGATTCGGACTCGGCATTGCAGGCTTCATGACTAAACACATGTAACCGTAACCGAGTGTATCATGGCGTCAGTTAAGTGTCTGCGAGCAAGTTGTGAGGGCACTCGTTTACAAGTCACAGGTTCTGAGGGAAGTCCCGTAGGTTATCCATCCTTGGGGAACGACGAAAGTGACGGAGATGTCAAATGTCGCAATGGCCCTTGTACCGATTCTGATCGAACTCAGCGAAAGATACGATGCATGAACTCCGAGAGTTTTATTACATAATTAAAAATAAAGACACCGTTCGTTTGAAAAGTCACGCACAGCTTGCATGAACTCTTTGAGTGATCCAAAATGCTGTCCGAGGCGAATGAGCAAGTTCGACTCTCGCGTAAGAGATTGCGAACCAGCTGGCTCGTTGTCTGAAGGAGATAAGTCGAACTCATCATCTGATGGGGACCCAGGCTCAGGGGTATCGTCCGCGCTCTGCATCTCGTCTGCAAAGTCGAGCAGCCCCAGATCATGACAATTCTACGGACGAATGAGCAAGAAATTCTGTGAGGTGGGCTTTCCAGACCAGAATTGAACGTCCACCGTTGTGATTTCCAGGTCTTGGAGTCCGTCTGCCTCTATATGATAAGTGCAAGGTGTACTAACCCTCCGTTTGACTTTTGTAGCTGGAAATGCGGTGCAAGGCAGTTACAGTCTGACGTTCGCGAAACGAGGAACGCCGAGATTGTCAAGGAGGGTATACAGATTCAAAGCTGACTCCACAGCCACAATGTTTCGCAGCGTGGAGACTGATATCTGTATGTGTTATTCAGATAGAGATGGTAGCGTATATGGCAGAGCCTTGTGTAAGGGGACTTCGGCTGAGAGACAACTATTGAAGTTGGACAATTGTCCTACCCAGTCTATGGCTGTGATGTCACCCAAATAAGCGATGATGTCCTGCAAGAGTCGTCCGAATGCCTTGTCTTTTGTCTCCGTAGATAATAAGAAGGTTGACATCAAAGATACCAAACAAAGAGTAGGCGATGTCTTCCTCCCTCTTGGTGTCACGGTTTGACGCCCATCGGAGTTTCTCTCAGGCATCTATTGTCTCTGGACGGAAGTCGACGAGCACTCCAAATGCTGTTTGCAAGCGCGCCCGACTTTGCCGAAGGTAAGACATCCGATAGGTAGACGATGGTGGGCGTTGAGTAGTGATATCAGACGAACATGGAGTTGACTGATTCTTGGACCTCGACCGGTCGATGCACCATGTATCGCTCCACGCCCAGCGATACCCCGCATCGCGAGCAACTTTGCAGAACTTCTGCAATTTCACAACGGTTCCGACCGGATCCAAGTCGTATATGACCTTGTCCTGAATGTCGTGCAGCCCCGGCTCCGTGGTTCCCCAACTATGGGAAAATATGACCCAACTGAAGCACTTCACGACCGTTTCTTGATGAGCTCTGTTTGGAGGGGCGTATACATCACTAATGAATGCAAAAGCTCTTTGTGCTCTGTACTCTCCGTGAATGCGTTTATCTGCATCGACTGCACGAACGTCCAGTAGAAGTGTTGATGGGACGAAGTAGAACGTTTTCCAGTTGGGCGTGAATGGCTCGTTGAATAGCATCTTCTACTTCAGATGGAATGACGTGTCGCTGGCGTAGCTCTGCAAAAAATGTAAGTCATCTCCAAGTCGGTGCTTGAGTTGTTTGGGGCTTACGTCGTATCTGTGGGCGGGTGCATCATCCAACTTGAAGGGCATTATCTTGGAGGCCTCGAATGCATCATCATAGCGCTGTACACCACGAAGCGCTGCATGCTTCAGTTCGTATCCGAGATAAGACAAAGGATTGAGCCCAGTGACCTGTGAACATCATCACATTTGTCAAATTAATGATGGATATTGTCCACACCTTGTCCGCGTCTGAAAGGGCCTCCGCATAGAGCTTTTGGCCCAACTTCAACTTACTGTAGTGCGCAAAGAAGGAGGAATCCGTCCCAAGTATTGTGGAAATCTCTACTGCTACTTGCGATGCGTTCGTCTGGCCTCTGTAGAGTGCGATAAGACGCAACCTGCGGTACGCATCAAAGGAAGTGCTCTAGTTCTAGAACAAAAGCATTGTGAGGACACAATTTAAAGCATGACTATAGCGACTATTTGTCAATCTGAGAGCCTTCAGAGGCTGTCTTGAGATGCGGAGGTGACAAGGGTGCTGCGAGTAATAAGGCCACAGGCGATGAGCGTGTGTATTCTAGCGCTCCTTGCCGCCTGGTGGGCGACACCGTGGGATCATCAAATTTGCTAGTTCTCACGCCCTCAACAGTGCAGTTGCTCGCGCGCGCTCACGTATACGAAAGAACAATCAATGATCATGGATATAACTTATTCTACCTGACCTTCTAACTACTCGCTCACGAGTACCAGCATCGGCAGCTGATCAGTGAAATATCGTCTCCATGAAGGTCGGATCTCTCACCCAAATTGATCTTGCTTAGTTCCTACGGTCACGGTAACATCTAACTTCTGTGGTTGTGTAGAGAATAGCACGCACTTCTTGTTCTTAGGTCAATATGTAGGGCTCTACTGTCGCCGGTGTACGTTGATTCTCATGGCTTTTTGTTTTCTTTTGGGTGCTCAACCGCATTGTAGATCACAACAACAAGGTCGCTAGCCTAAGGGTGTCTAAATACGACATATATCTTATGCGGTCTCCGCGACCCAACACCCGCTTGATTGATCGCACGCTGATGCATTTGGTTGCAAATAACCTGTAATCATTGGCAGGGCTGTCAGGGGCCCTCCTCGTATCAATGCTTGTCCCTAACGAGTCTGTAATACTTCATATATAAAAGGTCCAACTCGTAAATTGTCTGCCGATTTTCTCTTCCATTCCACGCCCCTACCATGAAGGCCACCATGAGGGTCGAATGTCATCGGTGCATGTCTCGTGTTCCACAGGGGCTGATGATAGTTCATGAAATCCAATGCCGAAACAGGACGATGACACCCACGTTCAATCCTCATGCACATCCATCTCATCAACCGGATCCACATAATACTCACACGTCACAGTTGCAGAACCGTTACCTCCCAGTTAGTGTACATGATGACTCGATCGCTATATGCCCTAATGTTGTCTCCCGCAGCCGGTTGCACATCCAGCCGTCCCTCAGGCTTCCATTCCACCCCTCATCGCACCGGGCTTCCTAAGTGACCTATCAAACTCGGACCCATGGCAACGAAAGCTCAGGCAATCGTGTGACAAGCTTCTTCGGAAAATCGAGAAATCCAGCGAGCTCACGATGGAGGACAAGCAAACATGTCGCGAATACGTTAAAGATGTCAAAGTCTACCAAGTGTTTCGGTTCTTTTGTGCAAATCATGAAGAAGTTCATCATGGTGTTTCAGAATCTGATGGTATACACTTTCGCACATCTGAAACGCTGCACGAACAATGGATGGTAGGGTAATCAGTGATATCGGATCCATATAATGATCGACACGCTCTAGGCTTCTGAACGAACTGAAACAGCAAGTTGCAGAGTGGAGAAGCTTGTTTTACGATGATCTGATGAAACTAACCATGTATCGGACTATCAGGGATACTTTGAAGAGCCTTTTGGATCGCAGTGTAAGCCTCGACTTTTGGCTCCTGGTCACCCGTTCTCACATCTTCCCGACAGGAAAGAGATCCGTGCCCTATGCATGTATCAGTCAGATTTTTACCAAGACATATTGTTCCCCGCAATGATGTGGCATTGCTTCGCGTCCTTCTGGTCTTGTGCGGAAGAGATTATGAAAATGAGTTTTATGGCCTCGCACACAACCAAGCACAAGAGATGGTCGATCTACTTGAAGAGGTGAACTCATATCTCTGGCCTATTTGTGTGATTGACTTCAGACACCCAGATCCTGCGAGATCCTTCCACCGATCATGCCACACATGCACGGCTTTTGAGATATATCATACGACTATCACGAAAATCTGGTCGTTTGCCATGTCAGTTGCAGTTGGACGGACTAGAGCCGACCCCGATGCGTATTGTTGAGCAGGGCGGATCTGCAACTATCTTTACAGCGTCTTATAACCATCAAGCTGTTGCTATCAAGCGATCGCACCTGCCATCCATATCCCAGAGTCGCAAAGTGAGCGGTTTATCATCCGTCTTTCTACGCCCTACTCACCTGTCCCATGTTTAGGACTTTGTGAGCGAGGCGGTAATTTGGAGTCACTTGAAACACGAGAATATTGTGCCATTCCTAGGAGTCACAGACAAGGATTATAGATTGTGGCTCGTTTCGAGATTCATGTACAGTGGTAATGTGAGAACATACATCGAGTATATGGGCAGGGAGAACTGCGATCTTCGTCACCTGGTAAGTTATCTTACTCATTAACAGCAACACCCATCGATTGGAGGTTCTCTATCCAGGCAGAAGGAGCTGCGAAAGGTCTTTGCTATCTGCATACTTTTGATCCACCTATCGTCCATGGTGATCTCAAGGGAGTGAGAATTCTTCATGTCAGAAAAGTTCGCATGCTTATTTCATATAGTTCAATGTCTTGGTCGACAAACGAGGGAATGCTTGCATGACCGACTTCGGAATCTCGAGATCTGATGATACACGCCAAGGATTGGACTCCACCAATGTCGGCCGCCGAGAAACGCTTAATTGGATTGCCCCAGAGCTTATCTTCTTTGGAAATTCGGAAACTATGCGCGTGACGCTGGAAACTGATATGTATGCATTTGCTTGTGTGTTATACGAGGCAAGTGGTTTTGTCCTGTTCAAGTCATTACTGCCTGCTTCACCTCACTTTAGATCTATACCGGAGGCATTCCGTACTATGGAGAGAATATAATCGATTGCCTGAGGGAACGAAGAAGACCCTCGCTCCATAGATTGGGAGAACCTATCGTAAGACTTATTGAAGGATGTTGGCATCATGATCCAAGGTTTCGCCCGAAAGCCTCCGTCGTCGTCGAAGCACTGAAGAAGATGAAAAAGTTTCAATTGATTTCTTTGATAGGACTTTGGACTTTGGTGGTGGGAATTCGGCAGTGTTTAGAGTTCCAGTTTTCTGCCCCCCTTCTCTGATTAGCGTCATACTTAGATAGTATCATATAGAGTGATGGAAATCGAAGGGGTATAACTGACAGGAATTACGCAAGCTGTAGAACATTAAATAAGACAAAAGAGATCCTCTCCACTTCCAACCATCGAAGAACAGATCTTTACATATGCACCCTGTCCATATTCTCTTGATTGCAGTCCCCGAGTCATTGTGAAGTTCATGCTAAGTATGAGACATGTATTACTCGATGGATATCTGTGGCTGAAGAGGAATACCGCCTGGGGAATATGGCGACTGGCGCTCTGACATGCCCCCTGGGGTTTTCGGGGCAGGTAAGTACTGCGAGTTCCTGTTGAGGTCTAATAAAAAAAAGTCAATGACTCATTCTAAACGCGTCGACAACCTGCATCATGACAGGAGTGTAAGACTGACCTTGCGCCTTGGACTCGTGTAATCCCTTGTCAAAGTCACAGAAGCACTTGATTCCGATCGCGAGCGAGGCTAAGAGGAGCAGGAAAGCAACGACGGCTAAATATAGCCGCCAGATGTGGTTTAGCGTCATGATGAAACAGATCACGGTGTTCATGACTTACTGAAGACGGTCAACGTGGCGCGAGTTGAAATGTACTGGCTCTCGGAGGAACGCGCATAGAAGCGATCGAGTTTGTACACTGAGGTATGTGTCAACTCGCGGGACGATTAATACATGTTATACACATACAGACTAAATCATGTTATCAGTTGCCAGTCAATGCATTAAGAGGAAATACCTCACAATAGGACATCGCAGGTAACATCAATGCGAGAGAAATAACCATCAACCTAGCAGACAATTCAGATAATCACGCGAAGTGGACGCTGGAGCCATCGTACCATTTCACTTCGTGCTTGACAGCACGCGCGCAACCGGCCAAAAGCAATAAAACGACAGGAATTGCAGCGATAGTGACACCAAATTCAGCGGAATCCCTGCTGAGAACAACGATGAGAAGCTGCGAATTTTCAGTCTCTGGACAATCTTCAAGAGCCATAATTTTCACCTGCATAGTCACCCCCACGAAACAGAAGAAGTCGAATTTAAGTAAGCAGATGAAGATTTCATAGAATTGATACATCGCTATTTTGAGTCAGCGCCACATCATCAAGAAAACTGAACACATAGAGCTCACACTTGAATTTCGGGTTTGCCCCCACGACATGGAAGATAACCCATCTGCAAGATCCCAGTAATGAGCAGGACATGTAATAATCTGTAGGATCGTACCCGAATTCAGCATACAGCTGCTTGATCCAGAACATCAAAAAGAACCAAGACGCAGCAACTATGCAGGGAGCGACAATTAGGAACGGTTGGACCTTATTCCATAGATGATTGGGGTCTGTGACGCAATCAGACTGAGACTGGCAATTAAATATAGCGACGTGGGTTTCATGAAATTGAAGGGCGGAAAAGACGATGAGAGCTCCATGAAAGACTACGAAGTGTTCAGTAAGGACGAAGCATCTTCAGACAAATGGACACTCACGGACGATCCCCATGAGCTGGATAATGTTCCGTAACCGTAGAGCATCAAATGCCATTATTAGTTCGAATATCCTGCACTTTTGTCAATAGCTTGGAGGAGGTGGTGAGGGTAACTACATACTCTGCTAGAATAAAAAGAGCCAAGTAGCATGGCAATGTCTTCATGGTGTGAGCGGTTTAGCTTGTTAATGATGTACGTAGAAAAAGTACCTTGTACCAAATATCTGTAAAGGTCGTCCCTGCGTCGGCTTGAACCTTGATGTCAATTGGTTAGTAGACATATCAATTCGACTGCCGGTACTACACAAACTCACCATTCCGAACGTCAATGCGACCATAGTTACTACCACAACGGCCTCTATGGACACCTAGGTCAAACTTCGATCGAGAAGCTTCAAGGAAACGACTAACGGACTGCGACTGTGGCAAAGGTTCTTGAGTGATAATACCATAAGATAATGGAATTAAAACGTACTTGTGATGATGAAAGCCTTTTGGGCTCTTGTCCCAAATAACGGTTCAACAGCCATGGTGAAGCAGACCCGTAAGCCTTGGGCCGGAAAAATAAGAGAAGTTGGTGAGCGCTACGTTTGTTCGGCTGTTGACTCTGAGGTTGCCAAAACCAAGTTCCCAAGGTGGCTGTGTCTTCCTTCCTGTGTCATCCAAGCTCCTTGCCATTGCTAGTGTTTCATGCTCGACTTTGTATATACAGGTATGCACCGAGCGCAGTTTAACATAATCAATTGGTCGTGAATGAGCAGGATTCAGCGTATCTGAGTCGTGCTAGAGCGTGGTTTCCATGATCGAAGTTCGACACCGCGTTCAAGTTGCAATTGAATGACAAAGCGCATCGAAACTGATATATTCTCCGGCGCAGACGTCAAGTTGTTCACCTCCATACGCCCACACGGACGCCATGTGATCAAGACTAGGTCAGGCGACAGCTTGATACGACCTGTACGGCGTACTAGTACGTTCGTAAACTTCACAACGTTCTCGTCCTTCATGGGATATCCTCAGTCTTGGAAGCTGAGTTGATTATCACCACTGTGACCATCAAGTGCGTACCTCTCGCTAAGCGCTAAGCAAGCAAGTTTGCAACACGATTTAACACGACTGACATTCCTTGAGATAACATCGCGGAATCCAGCGACTTATAATCTCGGAGGGTATTTCGGCAAAAGTTGAACATTGTTATCAAGCAGCATTTGTCTTTTGTACCACCACTGTTCATCAGTTACCGGTCAGTCAATAGTCGGTGTTACCGGGAAGCAAGTTAATATTCCATGTTCTCTGATCCTCCGAGTCTATTTGTCTTCACCAGCTTTGATTATACAACTGCATGATATACAATATTATGCTTTGTAACCGAGTCGGCTGTTCAAACGTTCAATGAGATAGAATGTCGCAAAGTATCTGAGTGCCACATAAATGGTCTCCGATAGTACATTTGATAGATTATGATATCCTCAGGCGAAAGCAAGATGGTTCTCTGCGGTAGTCAAGTGGTATCACTAGTCGATTTCAAGAGAAAACCGGGCCAGTGTTATCAAGTCAAAAATCGTCCCCTCTTAGTGCACGCTGTTTAACAGCCGCGGCTACCAATAACTCTTCCCTCCAAAGCGTCCGTACATTCTCGCGCATCCAAGGAAGCCACCCGTGACCATACTCAGCGCTGTCACTCTTGAGATTGTCTAGGCTGGCGTGGGCTTTGGCGACAATTGCATCGCAAATCTTGATCAACGACTCCTTCCAAGCGAGTTCGTTTCCATCAGATATCATCTCTCGTTTGCCTTCTATGACGTCGCGCCACGGTTGAATGGCGTTATGGTGGATTGTATTATTTGAGACAAAGAGAGAATGAAGTCTTAATGCCGTGATCAGGCGCCATGACGGCTGCGCTGATTCCCTCGAGCAATATAGGGTCCAATCTCTACGGTGACTCAATGAGGCGAATTGATTGACCGAGAGTTCAAGACACCCACCCCCAATAACCTTCGCCTTCGAGGACGCTTTTGACGTGGGCACCAGATTTATGGTCGAGTATTAATGATTCCACCACATCTTGCACGTCGACTTCACCGTCCGTAATTTCAACTTCGCCTAATGACTTGTTGACAAAACCATATTCAACGAACAGCGTGCGGTTAGGATGAGCCCCGTAAGCCAAAAAGATTTCTTCGTCCTCTTGAACAGATACACCCGCTGGCGAAAGAAATCTAAATCCTTTCCCAATCGGCTTTATCGGCGCAGTGTCCCAAATATCGGCCTCTGATGGGGCTGGAGTCATATGCGGCCCGTTCGGGGTATGGTTGGCAAAGTCGAGGATGGGACATAAAGCTAGATTATCGGGGTCTTCCTTCGATGCTTTGAGGCGGTAATATATACAGCGCGTGTTGACTGGAGGCGACGTAGATGAGGGAGTTTTATGCATACAGAAAATACGTGCCGTTCAACCAAGCCCACACGTAATTGCTGATAGAATCATCGATATTGGCCAAATGGGTATCATATTTTGAAGATATGTACGAATTCGCAGTCTGCTATCGCTTTAGATGATGAAACTCAGTGCGGTATTGAGTATTTCCCACCAAGTACGCTCGGACTGCAGCCCGGTCTTGACAAAATCGGTCATGTAGCGTAACCAAGGATGCATGCACGCTCGGCGGGAGATACCCAAGCAGTGGGACTCCTCCAGACTCTATGCCGCTTTTTGATCGAACAATCCAGGTCAAAGGATGACTGTCAAACTCCCTAGGCAGTGTCGAGATGTAGGGTCCATAGTGAGGGTCTAGCGAATCCTCACTTCCATGTGGGCGGTTAATATACAGATGCAGAGATATCATTTGCATAGCGGTCAGCGGCGTAGGTCCAGATGTTGGATAAATGGACTTTAATGTCCTGATATTCATCAATGCCTGAGGCGGCACTGCAAATAGCAAGGAAGATGGCTGTCCTGTTTATCAGGGCAAGGTTCGATCCAATCCATCCACAATGAAAGCTCACAGTGCACAACATTCGAGCAAAAAGACCATTTCCAGCAGCTGTGCGTCCAGACGGATGTTAGATCGAGCGGTGGTTGTCTGACGAATGAGGTAAATTGGCTGGTGACTCAACTGAGTGTTTCTTTGCACTCGACAAGCAAGTCATTTGCTCCTGTTTTCATTCCTTGGGTCTTCAACCATGCCAGCAACTTGGACCATCGATAGTTCAACGATGATTGTGCGCTTGAGATGCTCGCCATCGTGGAAACGTTGATGTTATTCCTAGCATGTGAGAGCATGTGCCATGCAAGGTCGTGGGACTGAAGAAAATATGCATGTATGCGGCTCTCCGCGTCTACCTTCGGACCGTCCATGATGGAAATTCCGGCCCCGCGACAGCATGTCTTGGAGATTTATTGGTTCCTCGTGTATCTCTTGCATTCGGCGATCGGATATCCATCGTAGAGCGCTCGTTCACCCAACCTTTTTGCAATTTTTTACTCGAAACATGACCGTCTTCAACGCAATCTCGCCTCCTTGGCAAGACAGTCCTTATCACGGGAGCAAGTTCTGGTATCGGAGCGGTATGTATGACCTAGCTCTGAGATGAGAGACACCAATACTGATCTGATCGGCTCACAGGCCACTGCCGTCTTGTTTGCCAAGGTAGTCCGCTATTATATGCCATATTTCTAATCATTCATATCTCTTAGGGAGGTTCCAACGTTATACTCACCGCTCGACGAGCAGATGCACTACAGAAAGTTGCAGATGAATGTACAGCTGCCCACAAAGAAGCCGGCCTGCAACATGGCGGCAAATTTGTCACCATACAAATCGACGTTTCTGACAGAAGTCAAATCAATGGTTTCCTAGAGAGGATACCCGTCGATCTTCGCGAAATAGATATCCTCGGTGAGTAGATTCATCTGTTGTCGTGCTCATTTCTTACACATGAACTCGGTTGCAGTCAATAATGCCGGATACGTCGTGGGTGTGGACAAAGTTGGCGACCTGTCTCTGGATAACATGGAGGCCATGTTCGCAACCAATGTATTTGGCTTAATCGCCCTAACCCAGTTGTTCATCAAGGGTGCGTATTCCAGCCCTTAGCCATAACTTTCGCTCAGTGTCGTAGAATTCAAGAAAAGGAAGAGTGGACATGTTATTAACCTTGGCTCGATCGCCGGCAGAGAAGCTTACGCTGGGGGTAGCATCTACTGTGCAACCAAACATGCTGTTAATGCATTTACGGGCTCTCTCATGAGGGAGCTTGTCGACACTCCCATTCGTGTCACCGAAATTCAACCAGGTAAATAGACCACTATCGCAACCGTGGCTAAACTCAACTTATTGGTAGGTATGGTGGAAACCGAGTTCTCGGTCATCCGTTTCAAAGGCGACAAGTCCGCGGCAGACAAAGTCTACGAGGGACTTCAGCCTCGTGAGTGGTTTAATACCCCTGTAACCCGCATATACTCACATATCACAAAGTGGTGGCTGAGGACATTGCGGAAGAGATCGTCTGGGCTGCATCGCGCCCCCCACATGTCAATCTCGCTGAAGTCTTTGTGCTTCCAGTGAACCAAGCCAGTGCCACTCTCAACTACAGGGCGCCGAAGTTGTAACATCTCAACTCTGATTTGATACTGGAAATCATTGTATCATAGACATTCCCTACACGTCGATGGAAGCAAACGACACAATGTGTCAGACACTAAGGATCCAGTAACGACAGCATTGAAAAATGTGCATTAGAGCGTGGATAGAATATGCAGGCAGGCTAACTCTTCATTTTCTTGCTCCTCGATCTGGTGATTTTCGGGGGTATAACCTCTTTCATCACCACCTCAATGTCGTTGTCATACACAAACTTCTTCACCACGATGTTCTCTGGGTGAAGGTCAGTGAGTGGATACTGCTCGACATCCACCACGTTGCCCAGTGTGTCTAAACGAAGATTCTAAAGGAAGATGAGCAAGAACGTAGTACAAAAGTTCCGACAAGCCACTTACCTTGGACGTCGGGCTAAGCAGCCTTTCTCGATGACAAAGTCCTTGGTCCATGAGGTAGGTCGAGGATGGATCTCATCCAGATAAATTTCCGTGGATAACCCATGGTGCCACTTCACCCGTTTGCGCTCTCTTTCCTCCTCCTGCTGAGGGCCTCCCCCAAATCGCAAACGTTTGGTCAGCTGGTCAGACCTAACTGGCGTCTCGTAATCCTCCACTTCTCCTGGTCCTCTACGATGCTTCGTCCAGACCACCTCATCATTTTCATCATGCTCCCTATCAAATCCGAGGATGGATTGATCACCCAGTTCGCTAGCACCTTCACAATCACTCAATCCAGGCCCGTCTTCACTCCGCCTCGCCCTCCGCTCAGCTCGTTCAAGTCGTTGGCGATCCCTCATCTCTCTCTGCTTTTGTGATATCGTCCGAACTTTGACTGCGGGACTCTCTGGCCTTGTGCCCTCCTTGCGAATTACTTCCCTTTCCAGCTTCGCGAAAACTTCCTGGTTCTTTGTGGTGTTGGAAGTAGTGAGGGCTTGGAGGGCAACTGCGCTCATCCCCATGAAGCCGTCGCCCTCAGAGCGCCGCGAACGTCGAAGCTGGAGAGGTTGTGTTGATGTGGAGGGACCAAAAACGTCGTTGGCATGCTGCGCTGCATGCTTGCGTCGAGACGTTCGACGGCCCCGACCTCGGTTCTCTGGTGGCCGGTGTGAAGATGTTTCCGCTGTTTCTTTGGGCTCAACAACATCGTTTGAGGGCTTCGCGAGTTCAGGTTCTGGTAGAATAGGTGTGGAGGTGGAGTTGGGAGGTGAAGATGATCGGGTGATTGGTGCCTCAGACACGACCACGATCTGCGGGCTGCTGCTGCGGTCGTCGGCAACTGGAGAGTCATATGCAGTCGGTTTAGAGGGTGCTGCATAACGTGCTGATATGACTCCGGGCTCAACTTTGCGAAACTTCATAGGGCCAGGCGGCTTCCGAGGACTCGGCTCTGGTAGAGAAGGAGCTGTCGGTAGGAGTTCAGGTGCTAGTTTGGGGGCATACTTTCCCCCAAGCATTCCGGGGACAACCTGGCGAACCATCACAGGGTGAGTAGGGGGAGATATGACAGTCTCTTCTACGCCACGCTTCCGCTTCAGTGTCGAGAGCACTGATGGCTCTGCTACAGATTTCCCATCGAATTTTCGATTTGGTGGGGGGGCGATGACAGACGACTCTTCGGAACTGCTACTGCCATTGCCAGCAGGAGCCGATTTGAAAAATGGGGTACGCTGATGAGTACAATTCACGTCAGTACAATCCAACAACAAGCCCGTCTGGAGGGCTTACCGGTCCAGTACCAAAGGCAGGCAACTTCGTAGCTGTAGACGAAATCGGTTTCTTTGGCTGTGGTCTAGCATAAGGCTTGGCGCCAATTCGTGGTATGCGACTACCAATAGAGGGCTGTTTGAAGCCAGATTTCACAAGGCTGGACGATGATGCGGCCTGATTGGCAACCAAATCTTCTCCGACAGCCTCAGATCCTTCCGCCTCTTCAGGGATGGAGTGCGGGAAATCCGTTCCTGCCTTCTGCCCAGCCACAAGAGGGAACGGCAGTTTGGTGCCAGATTTCGGCTTGGAAGAAAATTTAAGGAATATAGGCTCTTTGCCTTTGCCGTCAGCGGCACGGGGTGATGGATCAACAGAATGACTTCGTAGAGGCTGAAAGGCAATGGGTTTCGGCTCCGTTGAGGCGCTTCGGGCCCTCGCACCTGTTGGTCGAGTTGGTGAGCGCACAGGACTGTTGAGATCTGTGATTAGAATACGCTTAGCGGGGCTACGCGATGGATTGTCCAACGCAGGGCGCGAAAAGACGGGTCCACGCATGCCCACAAACTGTGTTGACGCATCACGTTTCGCGGACAACAGCATTGTGTTCTGTGAGGATGCAGAGCCCTGCACGAAGGCATCTTGAATGGGCACCCTCCTCGCTGGTGTGCGAGACGCATCGTCGACGGTCAAGGAAAACTTGAGACGAGAAGAACCTATACTCCCATTCGGACGAATAGGCGTCGGAGCAACAACAAGTGGCCGCTGTACTGTGGCCAGGGGAGAATTTGGTTGCTGAAAATTTGACTTTGGCCTCTGTGGTGTCAACAGTGGAGGGTCCAAAGATACGAAAGAAAGTTCATGTTGTGGTAGCGAATACTGTCCCTCTTGGAGTGGCGTAGATCGCTCGGACGGCAACAAACGCGTTAAGACATCCGCGGACTGAGGAGAAAGGGACCCCAATTCTCTTTGCAAATTGGGGGTGTCGTGTTTCCCGTTCAATCCCCGTCTTCGTGATCGTCGTCTCTCTTTTTCCTCTACCAATCTTTGAATATCAGGGTAAGGATCTGCGTCGCCGTGTTCAACAGTTTGCTCATCCCGCATCAAGGGAACTTCCCCCTCGGGCGCGAGTATTGTCGCCTTTAATTTTCCTTTGATTTTCGGCGTTTCCGAAGGTTGCTGTGCGTGGGTGGTTTGGCTGGGGCGTGGAGTCCCACTAAGGCGTGCTGATCGTCGCACGGGTGATCTTGCATATTCCTTAGTAATATCCGCTGCGCCGGAGGTGGCGACTAACGGCGGAGGAAAACTGGGGTATGGTGGTCTGGACTCCGGGTCAGCCGGTGCACACCCCTGAGGAAGCTTATCTGGGCTGTCCAAGGAACTAGACTGTTCTACGCCGTCTACACGAGGAGGGGTAGGTATGACAGAAGGATGCTCTGGGGATTGTGAGGGGAGATCATCTACACTGGAAGATAAAGTTTGAATTGGAGAGCCACGGGGACATCCTTCTGCAGAAGATTCCGTAGTCTTGACTAGAGTGGAGCAAGATTCGAATGAGATGAGATCGGGCTGGGAGATGTTACCTGCAGAATCCTGTGGAGGCGAATTCTGATCATAGAAAGCCTGACGCTGAGGTGGTTCAGGCGACAAAGCACGTTCTGTCGCGGAGAACTGGCTCAGTCTCTCACGCAAATTTATGGGGCGAAACGGGCTAGGGGGTGCAGATATATCTGGAAATGGTGTGCGTCCATCCCTCATCACAAGACCAAAGTAAATGGTGGGATGAGCCCGCGGAGGAGGGGAAGGATTATCGCAAGCCCGCATAATTCGACTTGCAAGAACGGAGGATGGTTCTGGAAGTCCATGTTTGGAATTTAGCTGCGAAGAGCAGACGAACAGAGCTCACCGTTCTGGCCCAAGGAATCATTCTCAGGTGTGTCTTCACGAGATAGATGAGCAGCCACATCAAAGATCTCATCTGCATCTTCGTCGCTTCGTTCGTCACCTTCATCCGGTGCGCGCGTGATTTCTTGTGGCGATGGAGGGGCGAGGAGAGCAGGCAGTCCCAATGGACGAAGGAGAGAGTCGACGGTATCAATATTGAGTGTACGTCTTCGCGTGACCTCGCTAGCGATGAGTCTCTTCTCCGGTGATTGCACTGGACCGAAGTAGACTCTCGCAGTTGAGCAATTGACAGCATCACTGTCAGTGGAAGCAGGGGAGTTGGTGTTGTCGGTATTCATCAAATTGTCCACGATTGTTGCAATATTTATGGACGTTAAATGGAGAGCCGTAAGACATTCAGTACGGCGGAAAAGTAAAAATCGTTCAAGGCCTTGAATATAGTTGAGTGATAATCGACCAAAGTTGCCAGGCTGTTGGCTGTTCACGACATGCACAACCAACACAAACGTCCATGTACGCGCCACACGTGACTCGTGCAACCTCACCATATCACCATCACTTTCACTTTCAAAAGTCCAAAGGTTGCACACAAAGGCGTTTTTCATCTAAAAAAACATGACATGCATAATACGGTGCCTTCAATTTCTAAGGATACAGGAGAAGACAAACGCCAAGTCGAGCAAAAACAATACAGGGTACATGGGCCACGCCACTAAAACGTTGCTGCAGGCGGGATCACGAAACGATGCTGCATGCTGGACTTACAATCCACAGATCTATGCGAGAGGATGCAAATGGGCGTCTTGTATTACACGTATGATAGGAGTCCTTTGTCTAGGCGGAGGGCTTTCGTCAAGGTAGTGCCTCCACCTCCATCGCGGTGGTACGTCGTTCAGCGGAAGAATTTCGATGGGCGGATGTGATCGATGTCACACGATATTCTGCCTCATGTGAGCCATCCTGAGAAGTTTGTTTCAGCTACATTCGTATTAATATTCCCTGTCCAGACCGATGACGCCACCCACCAGTTGTTTTTCCTTGGCAAGCAGTTCTAATGTTCGCGTCTGCATAGCCAAGGACGACTTCATCGTCTCCAGCAAACCTCTATAGTCAACGTTTTCTTCCTTTACGGGAAAGGCTGTCGGCGAAGATGATTCCACCCGACGGCGTTTCAAATCTGGCGATCGTGACAATGCCTTGGACCCATGTTCAGCAGCAGTTGCTCCATTCTCTCTATCATCGCCGACTGAAGTATTCTTCAACTCTAATAGCTCGCTCAGCTCCCCCCAGGATTGGTCCTGTGCCTTCCGTTTAAGCAAGAGCGGGCTGTGAGATCGGAAATATGGGTGCAGAACCGTATCCGTTTCTTTATGCAACAATACGATGGCGCGCTCCAAGTTGATATCTGTCGTTCTGACAATGGTCGTCACAACATTTGAGAGCAGGCTCTCCCACAGAGAATCTAGTTCTCTAACGCGCGCTGCCACGCGCTCTTTGGATTTCGCGTGACTTGTTATAACGGCTGCCAAAGCAGGAGTCACCGCCATCGCAGTCGATGGCGCAGCTTTAGAAAGTTCGGTAGACAACTCTGTAAATGCCTTCAATTTGTCTTCTTCTTTATCAAGCTGACATGAATCCTGAACCAGCTGGCTGCACAGCCTGTTGCTTCTTAGCATTCCCATATGCATGAATCTCAGAAGATCTCTTACTTTGCAAGACGACTAGAGAACTCGCCAACGATGTCGATAGACCTCTTTTTGTCATCTTTTGATTGAAAAAACGGATTTCCTGGCGTCATCTGAGAAACATCTAGACGGTCTTTGCCGTGGCGAGTACCGCTTTCGAGATTGTCACCTGAATCCATAACTGAGGACCGGATTCCATGCTGATATCCGTCAGATTAGATCCTGTTGTCCGTAGAGCCGACATGGAATACTGACCCCCTCGGTTTTCTTAGATCGCTTTGAAGGATATGATACCCTCTCTTCGTCAGCCCTCTCCCGGGAAGACCTGCGGACATCCCTGGAGCGATCGCGCTCACGAACATAACGCTCCCAGGAATCGAAGTCCCTGTCACGGCGGTCACGCTGAATAGGTTTTACTTCACGGTCGCGACCACGCTCTCTATCGAGCTCCTCATGATTTCGCCTGAACAAGTCAGACTGCGGCACGAGCGGCGATGAACGAGGGCCTCGTTGTAAAGGACTTGTCGATGACGCTTTTGGTTTGTGTTTCGGTTTGGCCTTCGATTTTTCGCATTTGGTATCATTATAAGCAGACTTTTCGGGGTTGATGCGGCCTTTATCCCATTGGAGATCAGATGGATGAATAAACCTGCAGATCGCCAACTTGGGACGTGTACATGTTGAGATGGAGAGCATGACGCGTACCGACAACGACTCCCTTGATTGCAGAATGGCTTTACACCTTTACCATGCTCGTCAAAATACTGTGAACACGGCGGGCAACCAAGCGGACGCGTCTAACGCGTCAGCGGAAGATCGATCAAGATGGAACTGGGGAGAGGTACGTACACGACAGCGCATTGTCTTGTAGAGCGACATAATATTGGTACAAAGCTACTTATTGGCAGCAAGAGAAAGGTGTGTCGTGGCGGTTGAGAGTAGGCGCAGAATGATAGAAAGAAGGGCGGGGATGTGAGCTTTATAGCGTGATGCTGGGACTTCGTCCAGGGGTGTGACGGAGCGCGTGACTCGTCCGAAGCTCAAGCTTTGCGAGCTTCTTCGATGCTTCCGTTGCACCTCACCGTCAGATGGGCATCCGATCTCCAATGTTATCCACGACAGGAGGATCTCTTGAGCTGGCGACTCCGTATTGTCGTGTTTAACATTCCCTGTCTGATGCATATAGCTACATCAGTCATCTTGCCATCCGTGGCTGAAGCGTCCAAAATTCTTGTTTTCGTTGGTCCAGCTTGCATTCATGCTGTTAAAAAATCATGATCGATATCGCAATGATATTATGTCCAATACAATAGCGCGCGTGTTGATCCCTCTGCACGAGGACTCAAGTCGTAAAGGCGCCGGCTTCTCACAATGGACTGGTTCCGGTTTCATCGCCTCGAGTTACTACGTACGGAACCTACTATTCATCAAGATTTTCGTCCTGTCTAGTCTTGCTCTTGTCTGTCCTTGCCGGAAGTTTCTGCAAGCAACGCTCGCTCTGCTCAATCCCACCTCATCGTCATAAATTCTCTTGCAGCCTTATATGAGTTCATTTTTCAACTGGTGGAGTGCACGCTATACCACGGAAGTACGATATCCGAAAGAATCTGCTCTGGTAGCTACAAAAGAACAACATTCGAACACAACCAGTGTTTTTCTACGTGATTTCGTGGAGCGGCGATGTCCCTCGCTCTATTCGGAGTTCTGTCCCGCATGGTGGTTGCCCAAGTACGCCAAAATATTATTATTATTGAGTTTACGGGTTGTTCATACCAAGTCAGCGGCCATATGCAGACTCTCTATTGCGTCCTCGGAGATTTTTCAGCTAGAGATAAGGTGGTGTATAAACGGTGATGATATTCATATGAATTTTCGACAATGCGCTCTAACGCGATAACTTAGGACCCTGCTCCGCCTGCTCGATGGCGGAACCGTGTAAGTTCATTTCCGGCGTTTGTTTTGGATGATATGCTTCATATCAACTAGGGGTTTGGACTCCACACCAGCGGATGATAGCCATTTACCTCCCGACACTCCGATCATCGTCGTCTTGCATGGGCTCACAGGGGGTATGAAGACTTCTACGTGATAAACAGCCAGAATCTAATCATGTAAACCTTCCCAAGGTTCATATGAATCATACGTGAGAGCTATTCTCTCTCCCGCGTGCATGCCGGTCCACCAGGGCGGACTTGGATATCGTGCAGTCGTGGTTAATTTCCGCGGATGTTAGTCCCCATCCTGAATGGACCCACAAACATTGTCATGGATGTTGATTGTCTCGCAGGCGCAGGCGTCCCGGTCACGAGCCCACAGCTCTACTCCGCTGGCCATACAGATGATCTCCGTCAAGCTTTATTCTACATATCTCACCGATACCCAGAGGCACCTTTATTGGGACTGGCTTTCTCTCTTGGAGCGAACGTTATGACACGATATGTCGCGGAGGAAGGAGAACGTAGCCGTTTGAAATCAGCATGTGTTCTCGGATGTGTACGTGCTTCGCAGGTTTAAGCTTGAACGGTAACAATTTCATTTATCAAGGAAGCCCTGGAATTTAGCGGCGAATGCTTCCAAGTAAGTCCAACATCTTTCTTACGGTTCCGTTTCCTGACGCTGGCCAGGCTCTTGGCCACGTATATAGGACGTCATGTTTACTCGAAAGGCATGGGCCGAAATTTGGTTAATCTTCTGAAGCGGCACGTTAGCACGTTTGCCTCCGATCACGATGTCGCTAAAGCTGCCGCTGTGACTATCGCCCTCACTAAACCCACGATCGACATGTTTGACGAACACTTCACGAGAATTGGTGGTGGTTCTTCGCCTCCCTGGCCCTTCGCATCAGCAAATGATTATTACGAATATTCATCAAGCCACAATGTGCTTAACAAGGTCAAAATCCCACTCCTAGCAATCAACGCTGCAGATGACCCTGTAGTTCAGGATGTGCCAATGGACGCGGAAGGTAATGGATGGGTAATTATGGCTCTGACACCCTGCGGTGGGCATCTTGGATGGTTTGAACCAGACGAGGGGTGGGGACAGGTCAGGCGATGGATCAAACGCCCGGTGTTTGAATGGCTGCGTGCAACAGGAGAAGACTTTGTTCGTTCGCCTCCACGCTGGCGACCATTGCATGAGGAGGGCGGTTTTCTCAAAGAGGTTGGCATTGAGAGGCTAGGGTGCAAAGAATTAGATGGAAGCGATATCATTGTGGGTACAGAAGGAGAGGTCGGGTTGTTGGCTGGGTTGTAATCTGAGAAAACAGATATACTGTTAGATTTCTTATTTTATTCTAATCACTATCACTAAAATGCACTCTATCATCATCGTCATCTTCATGTGCGCGCAGCTGGCTCCTGTCGTACTGGCTAATATCAACAGAAACGGTGCCTTCTTCCACGAAACTGTCATCATCGTGCTCCAAGTTCTTGTTTTTCTCAAATAATTGGCGACCTAATCAAAAATTAGAAAGATGTCGTCAAAATACACTAGACTCCGAATTACCGGTGGGTCGAGTTGCTGCACGTTTCCATTCTTCCCTTTCTTTCGACGAGAGTGCGCGTAGCCTTTCCTCTTCGTCTTTCGCCTTCCTTTGTGCCATCTCGCGGGCAAATTTGATCTTCCATGCCTTGAACGACTCCACTGTAACTGGGGTTCCGCGAGTCCTGGCTTCTTCCGCCTGGTAATGTGAACTCCCTGTTGTCCAAATAAAACACCCGACTTTACCTCAATTGCCAGGCGTTCCTTCTCTGTTTCCTCGGCCATGAGTTGATCTGCCCTTTTACGAACGAGGGACGTCATCTGTTCTCTAAGATGAGATACAAGGGTGAATGTCATGGCCATGCCAACATTCTCTTCGCCCTATCGATCGCCATGAGATGCGTCATGGCATCCTGAAGACGTCACCCACAACTTCCGTAAGACTCTCTAGCAGATTTTCACGTTCAGTGTCTTCGAGGTCACCCTCGATCGCTACCAACGTCAGGTGAGGCAGGTCGTCAGGGTATTCATCGGGGTAATGGACGGATAGCTGTAGTTTGACTGTTTATAGGGTTTCAGGACTATGTAATGGTGAGGTTTGACGACAAATCTCACAGGGATGTTCGCCATCTATCGTTTCATCAGGCTCGACATCGATCTGGATCTCCCTGTCCGAAATAACTTGGTAAGGGTCTTAGTGAACTGATTTGTGGTCAAGATCGGTAAGGACGAACTGGACAACTCTGTAGGGTATATGGATTCAAGTACCTAAACATGCATTGAGCACAACACGAAGCTCTGCAACAAGAGGAATAGACCTCAAACTCCTCAGTAAGAATCTCTGCGGACATCGTTGTGTTCAGGAAATGATCCGATTACCGATCATAAGGTTTTGACCAAATATGGATAACATGGTGAAAGAGTCCGAAAAGCGTCAAGCTTTCAAACGTTTTGTTGGACCCGACCTTCTGCAGCGGCTATGTCCTGGCTACGAGGAATAACATCGGTAGCACTGAGCGGCACTGCAAGAGGAGTATTTTCTCAAAGATATGGGTTGTCGGTTCGAATGGTCTCCAATGTCCGCCATCCACCCGCTCTACTCGACAAAACCAAAAATCAGGACCGCATGTGGTCAAAGGCTATCCAGGATACCATCAACCGCACAGCAGGAACAACTCAAACAAAGAATCCACCAACCCCAGATGAATTATGGGCTGAACGGAGTCGGAGTGCGACTTTCAACCCTCCAGCTGATCCGTACACGGGTTTGTTCCCTAGCACTCTAGGTCGTGCTTACGTCTGATCTCAACTTGTCCAGGGAGAAGAGTTTTTGTGAACGGAGACTTGGGTGAAGCCTTTAGGAGGTTGCAAACGCGACTCAGACGAAATCGTGTAATTCAGGAGGTGTCGCGGCAAAGACGACATGAAAAGAAGGGCGTAAAGCGGAGACGTTTAAGCAGTGAAAGGTGGAGAAGAATGTTTGCCAACGAGGTATTCATTTTTTTTTGGCCCTGCTCTCTCAGGGTTGTGCTCATGCTTGCGCAGGTGCGGAAGAAAGTGCAACTTGTTAGCACTATACGTCGTCGTGGAGCCTACTAAGACTCATCAGTGCTTCCTCTTATCCTTGCAACCAGTGTCCCCGGTGTCTTCATATATTTCTCTGGCGGATTCTTTCCCCGCGGGACGCTAGCGTGCAAAATTACATACCTTGCCAACCTGTTTTTGGTATTATAATGATTCTTCTTTCATCAGACAAAGGCCGAAGCCGACGTTCGGTGCGTGGCGATTTGTGAAGTACCAAATTCTCGCCTTTTTCTCGCCCTTAGTTTTCTTGGTCTAGATTTTCGACCTCATTTTGTCCACTCCTCTATCTGGGAAAAGGTATAATCAATCTGATAGTCTGAGTGACGAGCCTCCTAGTACTAGCCCTTTCCAGCTCCACCGTCTAGGGGGAATATTCGCCGCGATGCATTCTTGTCCGACTAGTTCCGTCGCTGGACACGAGGCCGCCTCTTCCGACCTCATGGCTGCCACGACGAGCGATTAAGTCAGAATCTATTGGTCCCTCGTGCCGTGTGCTGATATCCTGAATCGAGACACGACTAGCACGCCTTTCCGTACTTCATTGCGGATCGGTTCGGTACCGTTCAATACAAACCTGCCGGCTGCTGGGGCTAGATATGTGGCGTGACCACATCGCTGTTGTGAATTGGGACCTCCGTGGAGTAAATGCAATAGAATGCGTGTAGGGGTGATCGGAATGCTCGGCGACCCTACGACCGGCGGTTGCGCACTCACTTTGAAAGGTAAAAAGGCTGCTAAAATTCACACCCTCCTAGCGGCCTCTCGATGCTCTCTTAGATTTCACGACGCATGTTGCCGCAGAATGGAATGCGATCCCCACGCGACATAGGATGATGTACAAATTTCCTCTACATAAGAAGCCCGCGCCTGATGACCAGACGTTAAGTCAATAGCACAATCCTCTACCACGACTACTACTGAAAAGCTCTTACCCATTTCCAACATTCCGCGCCGAATATGTGTCACAATGTTCGTCGGTGCTCTGATGCTGGACCCGGTCCCCGGATTGACCTGCTTCTTTCCATAGATCATTGATGGTCGATACCACACCGAATGTAGTCACTTCATTGCCATGTCAACGAAGTTCCAGGACTGTTTGCGACCAAATTGTCTCTTCAGTTCAAGACATATCCATCTTACAGGTGTGCCTCTCGACTATTTCCCGTTTGCAATGTATTGACTTGTCTAAAGCATGCAAGTCGCAATCTTGTATACGGTTGATGGCCCTGCCCACCAAGAATCCTATTCGCATAAGTCCTTCAAAATGCGGCGACTGTAACTTAAAGACCAGAGAAGAAGTAATGCCAATGGTTCGAGTAGCTGGGATGCGATAGTGGGTTACAGTTCAGTCCTCGACATAGATATACCATACGACCGCCGCTTTAATGCTGATACTGGCGATGCAGTCCGTGTTTAACTTACTAATTACTGGAAGGTTAATATTTTGCGATTATGTATTCTGCTCACTTGTTCCGTAGTCATGCTTTGGTATAGATCCACATAATGATAACCACGTATTCCACGGTAACGCCACTAAATGCCAAATTGGTCACAATTGACCTTGTTCTCGGTGACTAAAGTGCTACTCTCTTATACTTCCCTTATACTTTTGTGTCTAGTCCAAATCGGGCTACGTATAACGACCATCAAACGTCTATATGGGACACGCGGGAAGGTCCAGACCAGCTATATAGTTTGATACATAATAGCATGCCTGTACCCAACTCCCCGCTCGTCCTGTATATTACATGTGTTCTGTGACTCGTTCACAGTTAAAACTTTACGCTTATGACTTGGAGAGCTCCTGATAATCTGAGATTCTACATACAGGAAGCACGCCTCGTGTCCATCAATTTGAACTCATCTCAGCCCAGCGTTGATGCCGCTTTACATACTCTTCCCCGCCGATACAGGAAACTAAGAGCAATCCATCCACTTCAGCTCGCGCTCTTCAACGAATATTGTCAAGACTGTACGAATTCTCATATTACGACTTTTCCAGGTCTAAAAATGTTTCTAGGGGCAGAGGATTTTGTTCCGTGCATGTCGCTTGGTGAAGAAGATGAGGATAAAGAGACGGGTGAGCGCTTCACGGTGCCCTGTCCACCTTTCTATCAAGTTCCGTCTATCAGTCTGGCCCGGGCTGATAGCCTCAAGCGGTAATAATCATGAGCTTGACACCCTGCCGTTAACTAATCGGACTTGAAGATTGTTCACGTGGATAGATCTTCTTCCGCTGGAAACCGTGCGACGAGCCGTGCATCTCCTCTACCCTGAGACAAAAGCTTGGTCTTTGCTTCTGATGCAGATGATCCGGATCATGCTATCTTCAAATGTATAACGTGGTCCCAATTAGTGGATCATGATGATGAGCGGCATTGTCGGAATGCCATGAGCATCTTCATCCAGCCCCCTTGGGTCCTCTCTGTCCGCGATCTCGAGCTATTTGGCAAGCGTCAATCAGTATGGACGGCTAACAATGTCGAAGCATTCGCTGCTAACGTATATCACCAGTTCTTTGGGTCATCTTCAACGCCGTGGCACGAACGTCCTACTACACCCCATGAAAGGCTATGGTACAAGGTGAGACGCCGCCACTTTTACTCATTAATGACGTACTCACGCCACCCACCAGCTATGGGACTGCTGTATCACCAGAAGCTGCCCATGGTTTGTCGTAAGCACTTACACCCATTGGGTCTTTGGAGTGTTCTCGAACGGTGAGCTGGATTTAGTCGCTTACCAGCATTTTCCGCTGAGCCTCGGCATTCAGGGTGGACTGCAGCGTTTGTTTCTCCAGTGTATAGCCATGACTCTCACGATCCATCTGTTTTACAACTCCTGTTATTCTGGCTTTGTTCAGCAATGGGACTTCCTGGAGGTTGGGTGGTCCCAGAAGTTCGCATCGAACCAGCTTATCCTAGTTATCATCTCACAGCCTTAGTCGCCGATCTCGCCGTCACTGATAAGTCAACATTGACCCTCTGGGCTGGTGATGACTAGATCCGCGTCATTCGATTCTATTTGATTGAAGCAGGCTGCGTATGCGCGCTTACTATTATTGTAGGTATACCAAAGTTCTGCTATTTCCCTTCCAGTTTGAGAGGATTACGCCGAATGCTTCGTTTTCATCTCAGCCCCACCATGATAACTATCCTCTAGTACTCCCGATCAGTTAAAAACAGCCAAGGCACCTACAGGATTTTCAGAGATCTGGTAATTGTAATTCAATGTAACGCATCCCCAAAAATAGATGAACAGCAAATCACTATCAGCCGGAATTCTCGATAAGTATGCATGCCTCCCACAAAAAGACTTCGTGTAAACGTTGCGCCAGAAATTCTTTTGCGAGGCCGTGAAGTAGCTGTAACTATTCTAGCTAAGATCCAAGCGGCCTATCACTTTCTTCGCTGGTTCTGGTATGGCCCTTTCCGGTTGTTCAGCAACGTGCAATGGTGTCTTGGCGGGCGTATTACCCCCGTATGATGAAATTGGCGTCCTGTTACTGGTGCCTGCGGGGGGGACAGATGCCGATTGGAATAATGGCTGTGGAACCTGAGAAAAAGGTTCATATAGTGTTGGGCGCAGAGAACTTGTGGGAGGGGAAATCTGTGAACCCTATTCAGACTTTGCTGGGTCAAAATTACATTGGGTCATCAAACCATGGTCAAAGGTGCCACATGAGGTGCGTTCTGCATGTCTTGGGCCGAATAGTATTCAAGCAATATGCTCAAGGCATCTAAGGCGTACCAGAAATTCTCAGTTATGATTGGTAGCCAGTTCCGAACGACTTGCCTGAGACTTTAGCTATGTCATCTTCTGTGAACCCGTAATATTCAACTGCGAAGCGAGAAGCATCAGGTGAAGCGGGTTTATGAGAAGGAGGTGTCGGAAGGGATGCTGAAGGCGGAGATGCGGAAATTCGGGCGTCCAGAGAAGCCGAATGAGGACCATCAACAGCTCGCTGCGCCAGAACGTAGCAAGCACTTGCGATGATACGAGGAGGGAATAAGACGCATAGTGGTGTCCGATAACTGGCACGTGAATTAAGATAACGATTCGCCTCTGTAAGTCTGGGACGACTAACTCACGAATCATGAGCAATACTCCACGCGTAATCGTAAACTCGAGAGTCTTCGTGGTAGGCATCAAAAAGATCGATTAATTCGGCGTGAGGGCTCGGGGCTACAAAATCAAAGCAAAGTGCCTCGAGGAGAACTTCTTCCGTAAGAAGAATAACGTTTTGTAGTTGATCGACCTCCTGGTGAAAAATGAGCTCAGTTGGAGCAACAAAAATATGATACATGCTGGACTCTCGCTGTGTATAAGGGAGACATCCTTCCCTGTAATCTTAGCCTGGCACACTCTTGCGACATCACGAAGCTTGCGTCCACACTCCTCTGTCTTGGTTGCAAGAAATATGCAGGAAGCTGCAACGTCCTAGAAAGAACGTCGCCCGCATCATCTGGGAATTATGAGATAAAGAATACCTGTCTGTGATAATCTTCCATGGAATATCTCATAAAAAAGCGGTGAAACCAGGTTGCGGCCGTAAACATGGCGGAAGTGGGCCTGCGGAATGAAACACGCGTGAAAAGAAGATCGAGAGGCAGCAATTGACAAAGGGCTAACAGTCCAAGGGAGGAACCCAGACGGAACAAAAATTCGACGCCCCTAGATCGATCATACAACTCCTTCGCGACCGTGTAGGATGATGTGACAACACTCGGGGTCAGCTGGAGAGCTGATACCGGAAATACCCACTGGGACTGCATGATATGATGTTATCCCCCAAAGGAGAGCTGGCAGGAAGGAAGCAAAGAAGTGACCACGCCACGATTGCCTAAAGATAACGTAAAGCTGTGCAAGTTCTTGGGGCCCCCTAGCGCTAACAGGTCTCGTTAACTGCCTCAAGCCTTTGTATAAATGTTCTTAAATTTATTTCGCGTGAAGCATGCGAGAGCACGCTGATCACTCAAGAAGTGAAAAACTCTTTCATTTCGGCAGCCTGGTTGTATTTTCAATTCCAGTTTTATTCCGTCTTCGTGACACAGGTTAACAAATCCCGCGTTCGGGGACAATCAGAATTACAGCAAAAGTGGATTCTGAAGTCAGATGTTCTTTCCGAAGGTTACGGCCGCGGATATGCATCTCCCTCACCGTGCGCAGCAAGGTGTGCCTCGTGCCTTCTTTCAATATTTGTTTAATTGGCCTGGACATCCCTCTAGTAGGAGTCCCCAGCTTGAGCTTGGAAATCAGAGAATCATCTAGAATTCTTGCTTCACGATTAATTTGCGTTATTTCCGCTTACGAATTTGCTACTAACTGCACTTGCCTTCGTCCGAATATTCTCGACATGCAGAGTCATTAGAAGCATTTGTGGCTTTCACGCTTTGAAGCGTGTTCAAAGTACAGCTGTCTGTTGTGTGACGTGCCTGTCGCACGCCTTCTGATTCGGATGACTCTTTATTGGAAGTAAAGCTTGTAATTCCTCCACCACACAACCCCCATCAATTGGTTTGGGCTTTGGTAGGAAGAAACGTCACAGTGGGGATTATTCCGCTTGTCCTCGCCGCCCACATGAGCCAAGTGTTACGAAATAATTACATTACAGTGGCGGAAGTCCCTCTTTCCCCCTGGTCGCTTTGGCCCACTTCGCATCGCGTTCTTTCGGATCTCACACAATGGCAGACGCCAGCTGCCTGTCAAGATGACCAGCAAAATATTTCTTCATAAATCGCTATAGCAAACAATCCTCAAGATCTAGCAAAACATATAGTGGAAATTGTAAGGAAATATCATCCATCGATCTCTCCGCACCGCTATCCTAATCACCGATCATCGATGCATCTTCATCGCCATCACCCGAAGATACCGATGTACATACTGCCAGCACCTCTCTGGTCCTATCTACAATACAGCTTCTATAGCCTCTCGACGTCAAGCCCTATCTGCCTTGGCCTGGCTTGCACAGCTAGGACAAACCGAGTCGATGAAACGGTCTGCAACATGGTGGTCAGCGTTGAATCCAACATACCCTCGTAACGTTCAAGCCTCACTAAATTGTTGGGGGAACTGGCGACTATGACGTATCAAAGGATCTGGTCAGCTTCGCGACCCTTGCTAATGAGCGCCACGAGGTACCCACTATTGCCAGCATGTTGTTGTGCACGAAGGCGGCACGCAAGTACTTGGATGAGATGAGCTAAATTTGCAATAACGATCATCACATCGGATCTAAAGGCGTGTGAGCAGTATGTTTTCAATGTTCAGGTGCGTAGCTGACCATCTCGTCATCCTGAATAGCGTCAGCCACAGCAAAGGTATCGAGCCGAACATGCTTACCAAGTCGAAAACATGGCCGCATTGACTGTACGTATTACGAACTCTGAATAGAAGACAAGGACCAGAGTAAGCAATGACTCATAGATCATAGGTCGGGGATGACCTGCCTTCGCCAGTGGCACATGGAGGAAAGTTGGAGGACGGAGAGTGGACCTGATGTTGTTGGACGAAATGGCTCCCTCTTATAAGCCCCAGGACACATCAAACTCATGCGAAAATTTGAGGACAGATGGTGCAGATCTTGTCGGGGAGCTACTGATTAGGCATCGGACCGTTTGGACAGATCTGTAGCCAACTAGTTGCAGCGTCAACTTGTGGCACGGAGGAACCACCCGATGCTCCTCGGAACAGCAAATTTGGCTCCACCGGTCATTCTGGAATATACATATCGGGGTAGCCAGTAAAGAAATTGGTCCCGTTTATCTAGCGAATGGCTTTGCTAAAAAGCTAAAAACCCAAATGAGTCTCCACAGCGGCGACAGCCGAACTTCATCTAACGAAGGAGTGTTTCTGCCAAGTTCGAGGATCAAACACCGCAAGCTGCACCATGCGTACACTCACTCGTTGTCGGGACGGCATCCCGAATATCTTACATCACCGTCCAGGAAGCATATTGTATTTTTGAGTCATGATGCGATTGGAGGACACTGATGGGTTGAGATTTTCCGTTTTACTCCATCCTCCTGATAATTTTCAAAATGGTTTGGGCAGTCTTCGGAATTCCTCTTGGCAGCTGCTCTCGAATAGTTTGCACCAGTCTCGCGCTCATATCGCGGCCTGTCACATTATAATTCCCGAAAATACTCACCTTTATCATCCAGAATCAGACTGATGGCCCCGAAGCATTGGCCTGGGTCTCTCCCGCAGGATTACGCATGTTTCATCTCAAGGGCGGCCGCAAATGCGGTTGAACACCAGAAGAATATGACGTCCCTCCTCTTGATTAACCTTGCACCACAGAAAGATTCCGCTTACATGCAGGTTGATCTGCAACTGATCTTGAAAGTGACAAAGGCTAATTGTAAACTCTATCGTGCCTATCGCCGGACGAAGGCGAAGTTTGGTGATGAGGAATAAATGGACAATTTTGTTATCCTGCAAACATCCCCACAACATATTGGCTAACCCCTTCAGGAGTCAAGCTGCCAACGTCGGAGAATACCAGCGTAATCAGGTCCGGTCTGATATTCATCCATCAGAACGTGTCATGACATCACCAATTCTCACACCTGGTATAATCCACTCCAGGGTTGCACGCAATTTGTTCTGGTGTCATTTGTCGTATGTAGTCGGCATCACTGGACCTTTCATGTGCTGATTTGATCGCGCCCGTGGTCGGAGGTGACGCAACATTGCCTCCCGAGGACAAAGGAAAAGACAGAACATTGGATGTGTGCGTTGGCAGGTCATACTGTGATAGCGGGAATAGGCGATGGAATTTGTAACTGTAAAGTTAAGATCCATGAGTTCCGGAGAAATGCATCGCCATACTGAAATTACCTCTCAGCGAGGGCATAAAAAGGGATATTCGCGGCTTGTGCAATGATTGCGATCTGGTTACTGCCAACGGCATTGATCAGGCCGCCACTTTCTACGACAGCTTCTGATCCCACTAGGACAAAGTCTACCTTGTCCATGACATATGATGCCGCCGAATCTAGCACTACCGTGCAAGGTATACCTGCGGCAGTAAGTTCTTCATAGGTCCGTAGGCTTTCGGGGGGTACATTAGTCTTCTTTGGAGATACCAAAGTTACAGAGCATAGATGCGAACCCTAAGCCACGAGGCCGTGCTTCTGTCACGTAGACCGATATTCTCTTTCTCTCATGGGCACGTAGTAGGGTCTTCATCACGACTCTCGAATAGGAATGAGTCAGGATCTTCCCGTTGACATGAGGGATCATATAACAAGGAAGCACGTGCAAAACATACCACCGAATCATCTTTGATGAACCCCAGCGCGAGGTTCGCAATTTTATCGCGATAAGTGAGAGCCTCTGCGGCATATTTTTGGCCTTGTCTAACCAACTCCAATTTTAAATCGGAGAAACTCTTCTGTAATTGTCAGTTTGAGAGAGAAGATAGACGGACGGTACTAACTGCGGAGTCATGCGGGAGCAGTGTGACAAAGGCGATGAATAATTCGCAACCGGCGTTCAAACTGATCGGATTGGAAGTTGAGGCCTTCAAAGCTCCTGCACCGTCGTTTAGAGCTTTCACTAGCTCAAGCATGGTCCCAGCTATTATCTTCTGGGTTAACGTGGCACTGTAGGAAGAGATATGGCGCAATACCATCAGATGTCTCAATCAACTTGCTCAGGGCTAGGATCGCAGCCAGGGGAGCCGATAGCTGGTCTTGGTGTGAGCATTACAAAGAAATGGCAATAGAAGAAAGTGGTACCTCCTCATTCTTCAGAAATGAAGCGTAAGTTTCACAGATATTGAAAGAAACCACAGGGGAGGCAGAGGCTGATGTATTTGCCCCCGTAGTTGCAAGGCCCGGCATGACAAAGGGAGTAATTTGAAGGTACTGGGGAGGTATTAGCTGGTATTAGAGTTCCTTCAGTGACGTTCCTTACAGAGATGATGATAGTATGACTCTAAAAGATCACGTGAGGCCGGGGACATATAGGCGCTTGTCGTTTGCGGGACCACATTGAAGGTAATATTCTTGATTACTGTACATGTTTAGATCACCCAAAAGTTCTTGAGCGCTCAGAGAATTTAAGCTCCTGCATAGCCCAATCATTGAGACTCTTGGAGGTTTTATTTAAAGATCACCACTATCACATACAACCTGTGATGAAAAGAGCGGCCCGATGCATTTCCGGGACCTTGTCTGTTCTACCATTGCAGTCTTGTAACCAGAAATTTATCTTGTTCCCTTCTACAGGATCGTTATCAGAGTTCTCACAACAGACTTGTGGTGTTGTTGACGCAACCTTGAGTAACTGACATCCATGCAATGCACTATCATCACCAAAACTGTTCCTGTCACAAGTCATGGATGTTGAAGGGAACACATATGGTGACAGCTGGGATACCTGACCCTGCCGCGGACAGCCTGCGGATGACCGTTTTTTTTGACAATGTGACAACAGAAATTACTTGGCTCCCGCGCGCGCGAAACCATTTAGCCCAATTTATGGCCCCGTTAGTGCGGGAACACTGGGCGTCACTTTTAGGTACTCTTTGTCACTAGCTTTGGGCAGCCTTTGTCCTTCTAGCTTTGTCTCCGTTGCTATGCAGGTAGCTGACAAGTCTATCGATATCCGTGACCCGTAATACATAGTTAATGTTCTGCTAGGATTCGCTCGGTGAATATTACGTCGGGGAAAGCGTTTTAGAAGGAACAGTCATGATCAACGCAGAACGTAATCAATATATCAGTGCAATATCATCGTGCAAGGTGGAAGGTAATTTTGCGCTGACCCTGCGATAATTTTCGTACTAAATTATTCAACTTAGGGATGAATTATAAATGAATTAAAACAATTAAGACCGAATATGGAGATAAAAAGGAGTTAGCTGGAGACGAAAAAACGTGTTTCGTTCTCTGGACATGTCGGGTCGCAATCGCTACGAAAGGCCAATTATAGTGGCGGGACCCACGCCCGCCAGCGCACCCTTCAAAAGGCCGGAAACGCAATGCGGCGTTTATGTAGTACCCTTGTGCCCTCAAAAGCCAGGTTCACTATAGACTTACTCCTCGAGGTTACATATCTTGCCCTGCATCTTCCTTACTTTCTCTTTATCAATACATAACCTTGCTCCTGGTAAAGGGCAGGCCTCACTTTCTCCCGAACAATTTGACTTGTCTTACAATGGACAAGTACGTTTTTTTCACCTATAAATTTTGTTCAGAGGCTCATGTAACTCAATCTATCCAGTACCCCCAACATGCAGACACCTACATCGTCGACTGCTCAAGTTCATTTTTCCAGTGATGTCCGCAACATGGATAACTGGGCTCGCCGTACAGGCATTCCGTTGACCACAGCGGAAGCTTTAGGCACTACTTATGCTCGTGCTCATAAATGGTTGATGTCGCTCAGAGCCCAACTAATTCAGCACCACGGGTGGCAGGACGCCGAAGCCGCCGCTGATACTCGTATGCTCTTCACCGTAGAAGCGCCTTCTCCATGGCGCTCCCCCAATGGGCTCCCTTTGAGCCCCAAGTTGCGACTACAACTCCCCACACACGCATCTTCTTTTTTCTCTCCAGAGCGACGCGTTCAGTGGCAAATGGTGTTCCACAGTGACATCTTTGCCACTCAGCGACTTATCGTCCAACCCATCACCGACATCCTGAATCTCATCCAATGCCTACTCACTGGTGTTGTGACCCTTGTGTACGAGGAGCAACTACCTCAAGGCACCTATACCACCACTCGGGGTCTCCCGTCGGTGCAGTGGATAACCAATAACCAGGCCGCCCTCCTTGAAGTCTTTGGGCATGCCCATTTCAAACAACTCTGGAAGGCTGCCAACGACAGAACGACATCGTTCAAAGTTGACTTTGAACCTCGGCGCCGTTGATCGTGGAGTGGCACAAAAGCCCTTACCCTGGGGGCCAAGGCTCGCGTGCAGCAAGCGCCGTATTTTGTCGAGCGCGATCTCCATCTTTTCATTTCCCTACTTGTGATCCGCTTCGTTACCTGATTTGTGATTGTGCCCTTCGCCGCATTGTTGCCATATACTGCTTTCCTTACGCGTCCTCGGCATAATTTTTTATATCTCCACATAGACCACTCGCATATCGTTAATTCGCTTTATTCTGAATCATCTTATACATACCTATCATCGATCAGGTTTAATGCCCGACATCATATCCTTACAATCGAATACTTAGCATCACCACTGTCCGTCTAATGTTACAATGCGAATACTCACCTCGATCAATGTTTCGTGCCCATACTGACAAAGGCCTGTCGAGTAAGACCCAGTGTGGTGCTCCCCTTGACCCAGCTATGGTAGCCCGATGGCATGGCTCAGTAGTATTGTCAGCAAGGGACAGGAATGACTCAAGTTACTAGTATAGAGGACACACAACTAGCTTATGCGTGTTGTATGCCAGCCCCCCTATTTAAAATTCAAGGCGGTCAGCGATCTGATGGGGATGGTGCTGCGCCGATTGCGCCAGTGTTAAGTAGTGTCAGAAGCTCATTCCAACCTACAAAAGAGCGTGGGCTTGTGGATAATCTCGTAGCGAGCAGACGGATATTAGTAATCAGGCTCTGCATGATAGGGGGGACCTTGAAAGGTTTAGCGCCTTCAAAAAACACGTTGAAGGGTCGCACCAACGGTAAGATCAGAGGCACGTTGGGAGCGTGAGGCTTTGAACAGTCATGTCCTTGTGATACGATGATATGCTAATTTGAGAATATCACGACATAATTGTATAACATTAGCTTCACCATTATGTCGGAAGGTCATCATACCCGCGTCGCGTCGGACAAATCCGCGTCACGTGCATCTCAGGTTGCTTGGTGCAGCGCTCAGCAGTCACTCCTGGAAATTTTATCTACTTTCCTGCTCGACAGAGAAGATGACTTCGGCCACGGTGCTCTGCCAGAGCTCCAATTGTCCACATGGGAACCCACCATCACGGCTTGAATGCCCCACGTGCAATAAGTATGTCACACACCATGTTGCATCCTGCTGTCAGCGCTGAAATCGACTCACGATAGGCTGGGTATCCGTGGTTCCTTTTTCTGCGGACAGGAATGCTTCAAAGGCAACTGTGAGTAGATCACGATATCAATCTGTGTGGAAGCATTGAAAACGCCACACTTTTGACAGGGGTAAGTACGATGTAATCCCAGGCACCACTTGCACCTCATGTACATTTCATTCCCTCCACATCCACCAGAAAACCCATAAAATCATCCACGATCTTGCACGTTCCCCGGCCACTGCGGCTAACCCATCACAAGGTATGTCAGCAGAGATACTCGCCGGTCGTGGGTCAGCTGATGCGATACAGACGGCACTTTCCATCCTTTCCCGAACTTCGATTATGCGGGCACTCTAAGACCCGTATACCCCCTCTCTCCAAAGCGTGAAGTTCCAGAACATATTCCATGTCCTGACCACGCAACACACGAAGATGGTAGGATCTTGCGCCTTCTCAACAGCCTAGCATGCAAATTGAACATGACAATGACTAATTTCCACTCCCACCTACAGGAGTGCCGATTGCAGAGATGAAGCGAGCAGGTCAGCCTCCCCGTCTATTAAACTCGGAGGAAATTGAGAAGATGAAATTTGCGTGCAGGGTAAGCCAGGCTTCGGTTATGATGAACCTGACTTGATACTCATTTTTCTCAAGCTTGGTCGAGAAGTGTTGGATATTGCAGCGGCAATGGTACGGCCAGGTGTGACCACTGATGAAATAGATGCTGTCGTTCACCAAGCTACGATCGACCGTAACGCATACCCGTCACCCTTGAACTATCGTAATTTCCCGAAATCCGTCTGCACGTAAGATTGTCTCAAGCTTGTCTTCTGGTTTGACCTTGATATTGTGTCAGCTCCATCAATGAAGCCATATGTCATGGCATCCCTGATCGCAGGAAATTGCAAGAAGGTGACATCATCAACCTCGGTGCGTTCCACAACTCATCTGTTCATTATGTTCTGACCTTCAAATAGATATATCACTCTACTACAACGGTATGTGGAAACGTTGTGTTTTCATTTTATCCCATGTTTGACAACAAAGGTCAGGCTTTCATGCCGACTTGAATGCCACATACCCCGTCGGTGACATAGACGAAGACTCTAAGAAATTGATTCGAACCACTCGACAATGTCTTGATGAAGCGATTAAGATATGCAAACCGGGTGCATTGTTCCGTGACATCGGCAAAGTTATGTCAGTAATTTCCCTTCGGTACCGTTAACCCAAGTTTACGTTGATCGTAGCGAGCCAATTGCACGTGCCAACGGATGTGCTGTCGTACGGACGTACACAGGTCACGGCATTAACGACTTATTCCACACGGCTCCTAACATTCCACACTACGCAAAGAACAAAGCAATCGGTACCATGAAACCGGGAATGGTAAGGAAGCTAGCAACAAAATTTTTTGGACTACTAACCTCATCGAATCTAGTGCTTTACAATAGAGCCGGTAAGATGCCTCATGTTCACATTATATCATATTTGTTCCCGGGGCCGAACCTCATGCACGGTTACAATCAGATGATCAACTTGGGTTCCAATTGGGACACATATCACTGGCCCGATAATTGGACTGCTACCACGGTGGATGGGAAACGGAGCGCTCAATTTGAGGAAACCTTACTGTGAGCGCTATTTGAAGCCAACTTATCTGAAACATCGCTCATCAATGTTTCAGTATCACAGAGACTGGTGTAGAAGTTTTGACTGCGGGGAGCACGGATCTGTAGCAACAACTTGTCATTATCACTGCCAAGCGTGCACTCAGGGATAGATACTTATGTGTTCTGGTCAGTTTTCTTCCGTTGCACTCCGCTTCAAAATATTCCCTTCAGCGGCGAGGCACGACAAAGCCATCGAGATCAATTGAATGAACCGGACATTTACGGATGTGACATGTGTACCCTTATCTTTCATCGTTTCCCCTTACGGAAAAATATCGTTTCGTCTTTCAATATCCCTGCAATTACACCCGCTGACATTGACCCTTGGTAATAGCGGAAAGGGTGGGGAACGGTTTGGGCATTCCTTCACGTTCCTTACTTTCCCACCTCCACCTACGAGATCACCCTTGTCAGTCTACTGAGCGCCTCTTTACTGTCCATATGTCGGGCAATGACACTGAGACTGAACCCTATCTTTTCGTCGAGAAATGTGGCTCAACCCGAGGGAATCCAATATATGTGATCACAAAATACATTCCGTCAGTTGGCGTACTCGAATAAAATAAAGTGCGGAAAGGGCTAATTGAGATCCCAGCGCTATGAATGGTTATGCGAGTAGGACGGTGGGCACTTCATTTCTTTGTTCTGGCGACGTTATTCTAATGTGCATTTTTAGAGGGAAATTAGATGTATGGATTTAGGTGGCGAAGCTCTCGGTTCTTACAAGGCTCGCCAAGGAGGCTGTACGCATATACAGGTGGGTGACGTTGACAGCTGTCGCAAGTCTATCTCAACTTCTATCATCACACGTCCTAGTTTTTCAATCAGCCTGAATATCTCAAGTATGTCTTTCCGTTGCAAACACTGACGAAGCTCAATATATTTGCCACAGCTGTACTGGGTGTGGCATGGAGTTTTCCAAAGTAATGCTTCGCCAGAACGCCTACATCGAGATCAAAGGCCTCCCTTCCTAACCCCTCCAATACTTGGTCACCATTCCCATCCGCTATGATCGCTATCCTTGTTGCTCTGTGGAACAGATATGAACAGCTATACCTGGTATACACGCCTCCCCTCCCGCCCCATACAGTTTGGCAATCGCAATGTAATACTTCATACCATCACATGCAATTTGTACAGTCCTTTACCATAGTCACATTGTCCAGAAGTTAAGCACCCGAGGGTTGTCTGCTTGCCTCGTTGTTCAGGCTCGTGGTCACATCTTCAAATGTCTCTTGCCGATCCACGGACCCAATGCGCTCGACCGGAATGAGGTCAGATAAGCTCTGCTTTCGTTGCCGTGAGCCCTGTCGCATATGCAGGGCTTGCGAGTCGTTGTTGAGACGGAGACCGTGTGAGCTCGAAGAAGCGCTTGTTTGAGTAGTAGCGGTCATTCGAAGTCGCTGGAGATCTGCATATGAGCCTTGTCGACTGCGAACCTTGTGCCTCGACGCATCCTCATACGCGGATATATAGTTGACGGCATGGTCGTAATCTCCATGGTCTTCGTCATCTGAGAGGTCAGGTGTCACTGGTCTGCTACTGTCATGAGTTGGCGTGCTTCCTCCCCACGCGCTTGTTCCACGTTTAGCGCTACGGCTCCATCCGAAGAGGCGCTCATCGATCCATGTCTGTGCAACGGTCAGGGTGCCGTGCGACCAGAGAAACCTGGAAATTCTCACCATGGGATGAATCAGCAAATTTCCTTGAGCATCCACTTGCCCCACGCTACTTTTTCGCCGCCAAACCCCGGGATTGCCCGTTGAGGAGGTGCGCTTGCAGGGACCAAAATACGGAACTGGTATGGTGGTCAATACCAGGCATCAATCACGTTGCTGTACTTGCCTGATCGAAATCATCATAAATCTTTGGGCCAAACTCGTTGATGACATCGGCAACTTCATTAGAAAGTCGAACTCTCATGGCTTTCACTTTGTCAAAGGACCGCTGTTGACCGGGGATTAACGCCACTATCAAGGGCCGCAAAGATCTAAGGAAATCGAACCGCGTCAGTACATAATTTATGAGCGAGCCTTCTAAAACCTCACTTCAGTACGTCCATGCCAGCCTCGCCGAATTTTAGGGCGGCGTAATTCATGAACGGCAAAGCCAAAATCACCAAGAAGGGGGTCCATATCCTCGTGGCTAGAGAAGCATTGGCTTTCACGGCGACTATTGTCGCAACTACGGCATAGAATGCATACATGACTGGAGCGATACCAAGAGAAATGAGAATCTTCCACGTTGCGAGCACATCGCGACCAGCCACTTTGACTACTGATGCAGCCAGTGCCTCTAAAGGAAAGTTGGTGGTCTGAGTAATTAATCAAATGTACAGGCGTGAATGCATACCTTTAGCTTTTTGACGTGAAATAATTGATGCCAAGATGAACATAGGCCCATTAAGTATGACACCTGGTAAGGCCAATGACGTCCAGATCATCAGGAGCACGAGACGATATACGAGTAAGCCAAGCGTTTTCCAGCTCGCTTTCTGGGCTCGTGGGACCTTGTGAAAACGTAAGTTGATGCACAACTTGGGGATCGCCCGTGGACGTACTTGGTGATCACGAATTCCCAAATCACGAATCAAACGATTGTACTTCAAAACGTCTGTCCGAAGTTTCTGTACTCGGGGCTCATCTTTGAAGTGCGTGTAGCCTTCCAAGAAGCGCCTATTCAGTTCGACTACCTGTCCCAAGGTAAGATATTGCCCCGGTGTCTTGTATAATCGACGGACGGCTTGAATAAGCTTCATGGCATTCAGTTCTCCCTTACGCGGAGTAAATGACGACAGTGACGCACCATAAGTGTGTCATAATCTGGAGCACGAATCGTCACTGTTTTCAGCCCGTCATAGATGAGGTCCAAGAACTTTGCCACAGCTTCACGCTTTTTGTTACCACCCTCTTTAAACATCTCAACTAGCTCAGCAGGCACATCAAGAGCAGTTCCGAATTCCACAACAGCGCGAGAACGAAAGCGATGGGCATGGAAATATGATAGACCGACTGGTACGATCTTGACTTGCACAGTTGGATCGTTGGCCATGGCACCTAACGCCATGATGGAGACACCAGCTTTGAGAGGAAGTAGATCTGTTCTGTCGTGACTTCCACCTAAGAGGCCAACAGTGTAATGAAACGCCGCAATGAAAAAAAAATGAGTAGTGGACTTGCCTTCGGGGAATATGCCAATACACCCTCCCTCCTTCAATCTCTGATATACCCCACGATACATTTCTTGCTGGTTGATGAATGGCAGAACCTTGAACGCTAAACCCTTATTCCCATTTTCTCGACCTTCGTCAATTTTCTCCCGGATGCGAGTTGTTCCTTTGCCACTCTCCCCTCCAAATTCTTTCTTGACACGCAACTCCGTATCTGAAATGACTTCAACGACCTCGGCGACGGCTGAGTTGACTGACTTTGGAAGCATGATTTGCATTTTCGGGACAAACTCAGTTTTGAATTTGGTACCTTCCCCGAGGACTAGACACGAGTCATCCGGAGAGAGGTATACTAAGCCAGTTCCTGATTTGGCCTCATCTGAAGCTCGAGACACGGGAACTGAAAAAAGTCAGTAGGAAGTGGGAAAATATGACGCAATGAACGTACTACTGTCCATGAGGCGGGCAAAAAAACCTACTGCCTTCCGATCCATACTCTTAGCAGCAGTTAAAAACTGGACGTGACGGTGTGTCTCGCGGTAAACCTCTAAGGTGAGAAGGAGAGGATCAAGGAACTACACAGAGAAACGGTCAGCGGGGCTTGACAGTGACGTAGAATGACAATTCACTTGATTGCTATGAGGAGCACCGACAAAAATGACGGGACCCTGGTGAGGAATGTTAAAGGCGCCGCGCGGTCGTATCTCTCTGAAGAATATCTGCGTGACCATACGCCAGAATACCAGCGCAGCTTCATATGTGATTGCTGGAGACATTATGAACAGGCTTTATGAAAGTTAGTTATAAAGTGACTAGTCGTGCGACATATGATGGTATAAAGAGAGGCGTAGGCTTGGCGTTTGCCGTGCTTTAGGGGATTAATATTGCTGAGTGTCCAATTTTTGGGGTGTCACAACACGTCCAAATAGACTCCTGCTCGATCTCTGGCACTACACGTATCAAACACATATTGCTTCAGTTAGTCGTCATGACCCTGATATGACGAGCTTGACTATTTTGTGCGTAATTTGCGTCTTAGATAAAAATCGGATCACCACTGCTCACGTCAAACCTCTCACCAGATCATCTTTGGGAAGATCTGCGGCAACACATGCACATTGCGCGGCCTATGATATCAGTCGCATCCGACTCACAATCCGGAGTTGGGCCAGAGGGGGTGCATACGATACCGAATCGCCAGGACCGGATCCGAGCTGATACGCTCGCTGTTCCGGAACTCCAAAATCAAGATGTCGATTCCACGTTCTGCATGCAAGCCCTGACCTCCCCAATGGCAGAAATTGGCAAATATCATAGTCTGTGGTTTTGATATCAATGATAAATGCAGGGGAGGGGTATGATCACGCAAGAGTAGACCCGACGAGCAAAGGTATGCGTGTAAGTCAAGGTACCAAGGTCCTACGACAGGTTTACAGCCTAAATCTACATATTTTTGCCCGTGTTAGGTCTCCGCGGACGGTGATACATTTTCCGAGGCGTGACATGAAATAAACATACTTAACATTGTGCATTGTGCATCCTGATTAAAAGGGTACTTGAAGAGTCGTAAATGATTGAATTGCAAAAACAAAGCAGGAGTGAAAAGTGAGATGTCGACAGAATCCATCCATCAATCTGGCTCAAGTCAGCTCTCCGATATCCGGGGTCTTGCAGCACTTTGCGAAGATCCATTGCTCGTTGTGCTTGCACGATTATAATGGAATATGCCGTGCAGCTGATGCAACCGATCCTCTCCTGGCGGATCGGATGTATGGTGTGCAGATTGAGGCGACAATTCCCCTCGGCTTGGAGCAGGGGAACTAGGAACGGGGGATTCATGGCCATTTGATTCCAATTCTAACGAACTTCATAAGAATGAAACTGGAAACTGAAATGAAGGAACATACTTGACAGTGTACTTGCAACGGCCGCGGTTCGTTCCATATCCTCGGCCGCCCTACTCGCAAGTGCGCGGTTGATGTACTTGCGAAATGCAGGGCCAGTTGTCTCTAGCAGCTTCTCAACGCGAGGACGCTTGTGTGGGTAGTTCTTCAAGAACTGGTGCAGCTCAGTGATACCCTCCTTGTGCATTGCTCCTGTGGTCTCGCTGGAGATGTGATTTATGATGGTGATCAACTGTGCTTCTGGATCTGGCTCTTCCACGGGCGGCGAGAAACCATTGTGCGAAGAGACACTCGGACTTGTCCGGTGACTGGGAGAAGATTGCTGTTGATTGGCAGAAGAGCCTGCAGGTGATATGGGCCGACTGGAAGCTGCTGAGTATGGGCGTCCAATAGGCTCTGGTGGACTGTGATTTGACCGCATTGGGATGTCTACTGCTGCTCGAGAGGAGGAGTTGAGAATGCGGTAGACGTATGGGTATACTATAGTTGCTGATGGGTCGTCGAAGGATGCAGAAAGGAAGTCGTAAACTTCGTCGCCATAATGCGCTAAGACTCGGTTAGTCAAGATCCTACTTACGTGGGACTTCACATACCAACTACATGCTGAATAATGACTTTGATGGTTCTCAACGGCATATCCCCACATGGGACCTTGTTCGTGGCTCTGGCCCTCCATTCATTTGGAGGTACCGACTGTAAGAAGTGCTCGACCGCAGGTAAGAGCTCGACCGGATCGAGTTTTTGCTCCTTTAGATCTTGAGGAATGTTTCGAGCTAGCTTCCAAACACATTTCAAGACAAGCTCAGCAACACGAGCCTCTTTGGAGTCTGAGAGTGTTCCATTGCTCGGGAACGGCTTCACGATCTGCAAAAGTAGGGAAAACAGGGAACTAACGTAGTGTGTCAAAATTCAGGAAAGCAATATCACGGGTGCGAAATACACGCACCGGAATATGGACATCCTGCGTCCCGTGGCAAACAGCCTTAAGATAATCATGTTGATAAATCGCGATAGATCCTTGACCTTGGTGACGTGACTCTCATCAGTCTCCAATAATCTCAGTGTAAGCTCCTCTAATAGAGGTGTGAGAATGTCAACGGTTAGGGACTCAGCCAGGAAGATGTGGTCACAGAACGTGTTGAGTGTCTGAATGAGGTGCTTCGCCAATCTGAAGTTTTCATCAGACACTAGATCCTCGGGGCGTTCGAAAACATGCGCCATTTGAAGTGTGATGGTTTCTATAAGACCTTCGGTATGTTCCGCCAATTCACGATACTCCGGAGATGCGTGCCCGTCTTCTGGCTTTGTGATTAAAATCCTTTGGATTGTCTTGAGAGCATCTACGCTGCGAGTCGGATCGCTGCTCAATATGCTGGAGATTGTGATTGTGATGTCGTCGGGAGTATCGAACGCAGGGGCATCATCATATGTGTGGGCGCTATCTACCAGAGTCTCCACAGACTCTGTAGAGGGCATAGATGGAGCATTGTTGTGCGAGTGACCATTAGTGTTGTTGGCGTACGGCAGTTCTGAAGGTTCTTCTGAACGTGGGGCCACATTCAAGGATAATCCAAAGTTTGGACGAGGCTTAGGAGGTCCGAGACGTGATGGTAACATGCTCCTCGGGCGCAGGCCCAAAGGAGAGGACGGCGCGGCCAGACTTGAAGTCCCTGCCATAGCCGATGGAACGGCAGTACCTGGGGGTTTCGGTCGCATTGGAGAAGAGGGTCTGGCGATTTGGGAAGGAGCTGGAGAGGCAGGCCGCGGCGTCCTGGCAGGGGAACCGGGTCTAGCAAATCGGGAGATACCCGAGACAGCTGGACTTGTTGGTCGTGGTGAGGTCGGCGAATCTGAACGCATAACAGTGCCTGCCAGACGAGATATCTGTGCTGGGTGGGCGGGTGTCTGCGGCACCGGCTTGCCTGGGCTACTGGGTCCTGCGACGCGGCGTAGACGCTCTTCAAGCTGTGTCTTATCTTTGGATGACAATGGTCCCACAAGCGACCAGACTTTCTCTCCAATCAAGGAGTATACCTCACTACATCTCATCTATCAATGTTCAAGACAATGACGATAAACAAACTTTACCTCAGAGCCGATAGAGCAGACTTCCGCACAGCAGAGTCTTTGTCTGCAATCATGGAACCCAGGACAGGGAAGGCCTTGCTGGGCTGATTGCATGCAGACATACCGTTGCGCTTCAGGAGACTGCTTAATTCATCCAGAGCGCCCTGGCGGGTCTTTGCCACCTTAGATTTTAAACCATGCTCCAGCAGCAGGTCGAACACTCGGCTGAATGCGTACACCTTTGGCATCATTTGAACGATTTGCTGTACACGGGCGCGCACTGGTTCACGAGCGTCACCGAGCTAGCGGAAGTGTACGTTAGAACCACATACACTATGATTATCAGTTCCGTACCTTGTTGATCAATGTCGGGAGGAAGCACAAAGCCTCTGAGTCGTCTATTTGGGCGTCAACACTGCGTAGGAAGGCAAGAACAGCTTCGGCCACTTCTAGGCCTTTGGCACTCAAGTTGGACTGAGGTTCATGAGCCTTGATAGAAACATATTTCAGAGCGAGATCGCTGCAGGCCAAAGCGACGGCTCTGAGATCGTCCGGAGGGACCCCAAATTTATCGTCCCCAGACTCTGCGGCAGAGAAGAAATTGTGTATCGTAGTCAGTCCTGAGACATGATCGTTAACAGCGTTGTGGTCGTGACTGAATAGCTGAGTAACGAGATCCTTGGACGCGTGTGGCTCCATTTGGTGCTGCAGGAGATCCGCCAAATCCTTCCTGGTAGTCCCACCTTCGTTAATCCACCGTTGGGCATCCTTGGCTAATCTCGCACGCTTAGCCTCCATGTTCATACTGGAAAATGGAAGAGCAGAAACTATCGCCGGAGGAGGTACCATGGAACCCTTTGTAGCAATACTTGTCGCTCCTGCGCGCTTGGTGCCACCAACTCCCGACTTCCCCGGAAGGCGAGACGTCACAGGCTCATCCACTGAATCCGCTCGAGAGTCCGGTCGGGAGTTTGTCCCTTGTGGCAACTTCCGTCGGACACCCGTGAGTTTACTAGCTGCCGTGGATGGAACCGGAGATGATGGAGGGGGACTCGGTGATAACTTTGCAGGTACTGAGGAAGCAGCCTTTGAAGCGGAAGCTTTTGCTGGTGTTGTTACCGCTGGTGCAGCAATGAGGGGTGGAGCAGCGCTATCTCGAGCTGCTTGAATAATTGGAACAGCAGTCTTCCTTGACGCTGGCTTTAACGAATTGGTGTATTGCATGACTTTGTCGAAGCCAACAGAAGTGATCAGGTTGGGCAGAAGGGCTTGCGCGCCCTTCCTAACATCAGCGCTCCGATCATCGAGGCATGAGACCACAGTAGCAGCCCAACTACTTAGGTCCAACGACGAAGTAGGGGCATGGTCTTTGAGGTAGTCGGCTATCCACCCAAGAAGAGAGGCTCGTTGAGTTGGGTTAACCGCTTCTAGAGCCGTTCCCAAAAAATGGACCATAGAATCCAGTCCTTCACTTGCGGTTGCCATTGCGGTCAATGTCTGGATTGCTGCCGCGCGGATGGGTGCCTTTTGATCAGAAAGAACTGTCGCCACTGGTACTACGAAAAGTTTGTTTTGTTTTTCGAAGGGTTTGCCCATGCCGGTTGCGATACGAGCAACTATGTCAAGTGCAAGACTTTGCACAGCTTTATTGGTGTCCAGTACTCGGGCCTTAAGAACTTGTGCAATCTCGCCTGAAAGGGGCATGAGTATGAGCACCATTAACCTTAGCCAGGGGATCCTTGCCTATAGTTGGTTTCAGGCGCTTGTTTGCTCCTTGGTCCAGAAGTGCTTGGAGCATCTCCAGAGCCTCCTTCCTAGCTTTCCAAGCGTCACTCTTGGTATCAGTAAGAATGGTAGTGCCTTTGAGCAGTCCGTCAATCTCCACTCTCGGAAAGAGGTCGTCCAAAGGGTCAGGCCCCTTAGCGGTTCCTCCACCAGCCACAGGTGCCAAGGCTGCAACGTCGGCAGAAGTACGACTTGGCTCTGGTGCTGGTGTACCCTCGACCTTGTCGAATTCGCCTTGAATGGTCACTAAAAGCTGAGCATTCAGGTCCTCCAGGAAATCCTTGATACCTATGGGTCATGTTGGAGGATTCAATTCCGAAGATGACAGCACTCTTACTAGATCCTGCGAATAACTTGACAGAGACGAGGGTCTTTGTAGCACTTGTTCTTACAGCCGCATTAGAATTCTTCAGAGCAGTCTTCAAAAAGTCGATGAGAGGACGAAGGGAAACGCCAACGATGCCAAATTCAACAATGGAGGTATCGATCCATCCAAGTGCGTCTGCAAGGACTTTTGGGGCCTTCTGCTTTCCAAGGGGATCGTATGCTACTCGAAGGTCATCACAAGGCAGGTCCGCAAAAAAAAAGCATGAACGTGCCTTGGTTGAGGACAAACTGTAGAGATGTTTTCTCTGCAAAGGCTGTCAATGCATCACCGGCTGATTTCTTGAGCTTCATATCGCCCAACTTCTCAGAAAGATGACTGGTCGACAAAGCGACGCACGACCTTCCGAATGATGGACAGCGCTCGGCAAGAATGGTCAGGATACCGTACAATTTTGCTGACACCTGGAAAAGAATCACACGATGGAAAACTGCTTCTGAGCTCAGGTTGACGAACCTGGAAATTCTTTTCGGACCATCCCTTCTTCGCTATAGCTCGGACAACAACCTCGGCATCAACATCCTCAACAACACCTTCTATCCAAGTTTGCATTTCTTCGCATGCAGCAAGCCTGGCTTTCCAATTGGCATCCCCCAAGCCTTCCATGATAGTCGCTGGTATTAACTCGGCCGCAAGACCCTCAGCATCCTCAGGAGTATGTTTATATTTGAAAGTGTCAAAAGTACCAGGTGCAGCGGGAGCGGCAGGCTTCGAGGGTTTCGCGGCAGCAGTGGGAGTAAGCTTCTTGACAGGAGAAGCAGCCTTGACCGGAGGACCCCCAGCTGAGGAACTTGTTTCCAGTGCCTCAGAAGTCGGTGGAGCTTTCTTCTGATGTGATGGTCAAATGTTGAGAATATCCTCAAGATGAAGAAAATGCGAACCATCAACCGGGCAGGCGGTTTCCCAACCGGCTTCTTTGGATGTTCTTCGTCTATTATTGGTGCATCGGTCACCTCCGCTTTAGGGGGAGCATTGCCTCCTGCTTTCTGGGACGGAGAGACTTTTTTCTTTGGAGGTTCTTTCGCAGCAGCGGGAGCCTTTGGAGCGCCAACTTTACATTTAACCACAGCCTTCTCATATGCTTCTTTCACCTTCGCCTTGCGAACTTCGGCGAGCCCATCCATCAGAGCATTAAGCGGGCGCTCGCCAACCATCTTCATGAGGATACCTAGGCAGGCAGCGGCTTCATTGCGTGCGCCCTCAAAACCGTCCTCGAGTAAAACAGCGAGTGGATCGGTCAGCGTCTTTATCTGGCCAGTTTGCACCGGCGTCGTTGAAGTCGATAGCGAGCGAGCGAGAAACTTGAGAGTCCCTTCCTTTATTTGTGGGTTCTTGTTTCCCAAAGCTGGTATCAGATCTGGTATCATATCGGGTAAAGTCGTCTACAGAATTCATCAACCACAAATGGGGAATCCATTCAAAACAACATACCGTCGCGAAAACAGCATCTAATGCAGCTCCGATTGCGTCCGTAACATTTGCTTTCCGTTCTTTCAAGCGCTCCAGCATCAAAGGAATGACCGTCTCCCTGAGCCTGCCGAATGGAGACATCATGCCCTTTGCTAGACCCTCTATAACATGAGCGGCAGTCATGACACAATTGATGTTTGCATCTTTCGAGATGCATGTAGCAAGTGATTTCGCTAGTTCTCCCAGCTCAGGGGCGTCCTGGATGCGAGGGGTGGCATTTACAAGTGTAAGCAACTCGTCCAACACCTCCTTTCTTTCTTTCCATTTTGAAGACGTGAGGTTAGCTTGCATGTTGGAGGGAAGCTTTGGAATGATGCTAACTGGCTCTACCAGAGTGCGAGGATCGGGAAGATCCAGTTCTGGAAAGTGAGAGTTAAACATCAGCATCTATAATTACTGATGATATTCTGACCTTCTGGTTGCCCGCCTGCTTCAACTTCGCCATCATCAGCGGCATCGCCTCCCATTTCTGCCTCACGCTGGTGTTCTCGCGTGAGCCTTACAGACTTCAATGTTCCTTTGCCCTTCCCCGTATTTTCCATCCCCTCGAATGCCTCCTGCAATTCCTTGACCTGCACTGGCTTAAGCTCCGATAACCAAGGGTCTATCGCGGGACCGATATACTGATATAGTATATGGGTGAGTTGCGCGCCTTCTGCACGGACATTCTTGTCGGCATGCGCGAATATCTTGGGCAATGCTTTTAAAACAGGGGCCGGAGGAGTCACTTGAGTTCCAAAAGTCCTGCACAGAAATAACAGTCAGATCGCCCGGAAACGGAGGTTCAGAGTGTAGCACGGAGGTGCCATGGCGTAGTGGCAGACGACTTACCGAACAACTTCTTTCAAAGCAAATATACTTCCGGCGACGGTCTTTGGCTGTTTTGCAGAAAGACCGGGTATTATATCCGCCTGAGTGAATAAGATGTCTGTAAGACCATGGGTATCAAGAGAAGGCGGACACTGCACACACCACAACACCAGTAGCAGAATTCTCAACTTCCACATATTGAAGAATAAGTTCTATTGCTTGGTTCTTTGTACCGGCCCTCGCAGACCCAAGACATTTGTCAACTAAGGACGGCACGACAGCTTCTCTGGTCTTTGCGGCAGACTCTCCAGCAAACTTGACTAGTGCCACGAGACACTCTACACCTTTCTCTTGTGCCACAGCATTGGAATCTATGGCGATCTTCTTAAGAAGATCAGGACTGTTGATGTAGGGCTTAAATGCGGGATCGGTGTCGGATGCGGTGGTTTGGAAAGTCTTGATCAATGATTCGTATCCGCTTACACGGGCTTTCCAGTTTTTATGATTAAGCCTCTCTGATATTGGAAGGGAAGAGAAATCTTCCTCCTGAGGTGGAGGCCCGTCCATACCAGTTTGAAAGTTAACGAGAGGAGAGTAATATTGTTGGTTAAACCACTACCGAAACGCGCCCCATTGGGTCACAAAATGTGACAGGTGGCGTGACAATTCACATGCACGTAACAAAAACGCGTATATGATAATCGATGTATCAGTCTATCTAGAAGCCAACGATTTCCCGATCTCTGTAACTGTATCCCATACCCTCGTAGACTCCGGATCAACAGGATTTTCCTCGAAAGCTTGAGCCAGCTTTGTCGACTGCATATACCGTTCAAAAGCCCCCTCCTCTTCAGCTGTCATACCGAGATTATGATAAGCAACTATGAGTAGCTGCTGGACTTCTGAAGTAGCTTCAAGCATGGACAAGGTCATATAGTCAGCTTCTGCCATAAGCAAACATGGCAGTGCTTCTCGAATGCCTGCCTCTGCGAGGATTTAAGTGCCAGGTACGAATACGTTTGAAAATGTCATACTTGATGAATCCATGGATGCAATCATACACCTTGCAAGTGTGTGGTTTGCAAAAGCACGGTGTTCCATTTCCTGTCCGGACAATACCTGTTGTCAAAGGTTTTTCAGTACCCCCTATGACCCGCAGTGCGACAGGACTCACCTGTGGCATAATTCCTAGAATCAATTGCTGGCAATGATCTGACATTCCGAACTCTAAGCCAACATCGGCGAGGAATGTCATGCCTAATCTATACAACGGAAACCTGCCCTGAAATTCGGCTTGCCAAAGAGCTTGCAGAAGTGGTTGGATCGCCGCCACTGCTTGTCCGCGCCGCTGGTACTCAATCAGCCAGAGCCCGAGAATGTGATGTACTAGCTTACTCGAGCATTCATCACTTCATGTAATTCCATATTTAGGGCGGAAAGCGATGTCGAGCTTTCATCAAAGAAATATTCCTTCGAGACGAAGGTTGATGACGAAGGTCTTCGGGGTAAGAGAAAGTCGTCAAAGAAGCGTCGTTGTCCACTGCCATCAATTACCGTCGACTGGGCCAATAAAGTATAAGAGAAGAAGACTACGGACCGACGACTTGTTCTCAGGGCCAGTATATGCCAGATGGCTTCCGCCCACTGGTGGTACGCGTCCAATGAAAGGCCGCGCCACGTCTCCGAATGCAGTAGCAGTGCCAAAGCCTCTGAGTACAATCCATTTCTGGCGCGCTTAAAGAGAAAAGATCAGCATCTTATTCAATAGTTCGCAATCGGAGGCATACCCTATAAGAGCGATTAATGAGTGTGTTCAGACGGTTTGGGTCGTCTTTGCCGGCCCTCGTGATTAACAATACGAACGATTCCTCGACATCGGCAAGATCGTAGCATCCTGTACATGTCAGTTTTTAGGTCATGCTAGCTCTAGACGACCTCACCTAACGTTTGCCATAGTACAGCTTGCATTGCATTGTGACTGCAAATGTCTGCGTCACGAGGCATTGCTTGCTTGGTATCTACCCAGTGATTATGTAGGGCAATAGCCTCAGTCAATTTCTCATAGCACAAAGTCAGCGGTTGTCCCTAACAGGGCATTAGTGATAGAATTGTGCAGCATCATGGGCCGTCATTCACGTATTGCGGATCAAGTAGCTTTGTCACGTCAAACAACACCTCCAGCGGATGGAGGTCAGGCTGAATCTCATTTAAGACTGGAGTTTCGTTCAGGGATGGCAAGCGATGAAGCATGCTACACCAGAAATCAACACTCCACAGTCAAACGGGGAGATAAATTACCTGATACAATGCTGGAGCGTTATACGATCTCCACTTGTCCTAGCGACTGCAATAGCTTCACGAAGTAACTGTGTGTGGACGCTTTGAGAATTGTGAAGCATAAGGAATACTATCGAAGATACCTTACTGGCAGCAGGATATTCTTTTCGAGTATAGTGCATGCGTACCAGATTCAGCAACGCATGCTGTCGAACACCCCTGCAAGATACCCAGTGAGGTAAGGCGCAAAATCAGAGCAGACACGACGCACGAATCGTTGTGTTCATGAAAATGCTGTTCAAAATATCTACGCAAGTTCTCGGGACCTACGACATCATCTCCTGTTGCCAAACCTTTTTCCCACCTATTGTCCCATGATTACTGTATAGTCTTAGTCTGCTAGAAGGAAGAGCAATTGCTTACGCGTCAAATGGTTCAGGTCGCGCCCAAGATTTCAAGTCACTCGACGTCTTGAATAGCCAAACATCAGAAGTAAGCGGGTCCTTCTCTATTGGCCCATAACCTGCGTTGCTGGATCCATTAACCCACGCCTGGTAGTCTTTTTGAAGTTGCACGACGCCATAGAATGACAGCTTGATGAAACTGACGAAGCATCTGCGCACAAAGAACCCGAACAGAGATGTTCGACGCTATGGCCGACTTTCTAAGCCATAACGCTACAGGAATGAGCAACTGCGTACCAGAACGGCCGGCTGGAGACCATCAGTATCGCCCTCTACCGAGGAACGACTTTGGCTTACTTGGTCATCACTTTTTTCAACAAATATTGAAGGTGTGCCTGGGAAATACTCATGACTGAAAGGTAAATCAGCACAAAAACGTACTTAGGAAGAAGTTAGTTAGTTGATCCAGCGCTCGTAGCTGGGTTGCCTATGATCACATATCCGATGAGAGAGGTCCAGGAGTAATATCACGTATGAACCGACCACATTCTCCAGAGCGCCTATAAGTCCCTGGACAACGGGCGTATCTGCATTCGGCGCGACTTTGACCATCGCCAGCATATGCTGATGGGACCTATGTTCAATCACCTAAGGCAGACGTTATTGATTACAAATTTTCCTCGAGAAAAACCCAACCCTACCTCAGACGTTTCCATCAAGAGAACTCGATACATATAGAGCAAGAAGTCTTTTGGCAAAGTCTTCTGGAGTTCGTATTCCTTAAAAATCAACAATAGCATTGCTATGAGATCAATATGATGTGGCCTGAGGATATGGTGAACAGGTGGTGGGGTGGCTCTACCATCCATTGCGCGATACAGTACCACAGTAGTCTAGGGAGATAGGATTCAGTCGATGGTCAACGTTAACTGCCACACGCTGGAATGAGCGCGTCAGTGGCAGTGTCGCGTTCACCAGGTCTGTTTCCTTTCTGGGGTAGACATATTTTCGATTAGGTCTGCAACTACTTTACCGAAATCTTCTAGGGACCCAGAACTTCATGGCATTAAAAAGTAAAAAGCGGACGGCTCCTGCTATCCCGGTACGTCTGTATAAATTTTACTATGTGATCATAGCTGATAGTTGGGCACAGGCACCCTCCAAAAAGCGAAAGCTTCAGGCAAATAGCAAACCAAGGACTGGTACAACACAATCGAAGAAAGGGAAGGAGCGAGCTGCAGACAGAGGCTATATCGAGGTACCTGGAAACCACGGTGATGCGGACACCGAAGATAGTGATCTCTCCGAGGAGGATGCTGGTCTCCTCGAGGAGTTTGGAGACAGTGCTGGATTCTTAAATACGCTTGATCGCAAAGGCATATCAACGTATGTTTTCTCTTACACGGTGATTAAATTCTCATGACACCTTTTGCAGGAGTAAGAAGGAGACCGAGCGTCTGAAACAATTGAACAAGCCAGTTCGCAAGCCAAAAGTAGACGATGACTTGCCGTCAATCGACTCTCATGATGAGGACGAAGAGGCCTGGAGCTCTGGTATTGACGATGATGCGGACACAATTTCCCAGTCTTCTATCAATGACAGTGATCAAGATTCCGACGCCGAGATGTCTTACGAACGTGTTCCTCGGAAAGTTCAAGAATCACGCGAGGCAAAGACAGACCGTCACATTCAAGGGCTGCCAATCAAGTCAGCGGATGGGCGAATACATTCAACAGGCATGAAAACTGCAGCTCCTCCATCATCAGACGAAGAAGATGATGGCACCGACAAATCCGCGGAAGAGCAAGAAATGCCCGTTGAAGTGAATAAAATAGATGATGTCGCGACCGGTGCACGTTTTGGCCGTCCTGCCGTCATTGACATCGTTGGCAACAAATCGCGAAAAGCCCGGATACATGGTGCTAAAGACCAGATCGCCAGCATCTGCCAGGAAATAATTGCAGAACCGGAAAATAGCGTACGTACTTCACCCCCACGTCAACCGGTTTGCTTGACACATTTGACAGTTAGGATTACTTCGCCGGCTTCATACGTTCTCTCTGGATAAAATTACATCTCCTTCCCACCCAGAGCCGGTTCTAAACAATATCATTATCCGGAAGTTAGCTACTCTTTCTCAGCTCGCTGTTTTCAAGGACATAATACCCGGCTACCGGATACGAGCGTTAACCGATAAAGAAAAGGCTGAAAAAATCAGCCAAATGGTGGCCCGTACCCGAGAGTGGGAACAGGGCTTTGTGCTTGTCTATCAAAATTACCTCCGCTCGCTTGAAGCTGAACTCAAAGGTGACGCATGTGTTCCTGCTTTGATAGTGGCTTACTGATGGTTGTTGACCCTTCCATATAGCCAAGAGCGAACTGGCAGAGGTCGCACTTAAGTGTATGTGCACCCTGGCTACTGAGGTCACCCACTTCAATTTTAGAACCAACTTGATAACGTGTATTGTGGCGCGCTTGAGCAAGAAGTCGTGGGATGAGGTAAGTTAGCCTATATATGTCGTATCTTCCCCACTTGATAATTGATAATTGTCATGTCAGGCTTCTGATCTCTGTATGAACACGTTGATCAGTATCTTCCGACAGGATCAAACTGGCACCCCTTCCCTAGAGGCTGTCCAGCTCCTAAACCGCATGATTAAAGAAAGGCATTTTAATGTACACCCTGAGGTACTTACGTGTCTTCTGCATCTGCGCCTCAAGACAGAACTTTGCAATGTTCGTGCGTCGGATTCCAAAGTAGACAAAAACATTCAATCGAAGGGCAAGGCTGCGGCCCGCAGAGCCAAAGGCAAACCAACCGAACAACCCCATCTTAGCAAAAAGGCAAGAAAAGTCCTGAAAGAACGGAAGGAGATCGAACGAGAAATGCGGGATGCAGAAGCAGAAGTTGACAAAGAGGAACGAGCGAATACAGTGAGTTTCGTAATTCGTCGATATAAAAAGTTGACCGACGAACGGTTCCGGTGTAGCACACTGAGACCCTGAAACTTCTATTCGTGTTGTATTTCCGGATACTTAAACATCCCCGTCCAACGCCACTTCTGCCGGCAGCCTTGCGAGGCATTTCCAAATTTGCTCACCTCATCAATATCGATTTCTTCAAAGATCTAATGCAGGTCCTAAAGGATCTCATTCTCCGCGAGGCCCTAGAGGAAAATCCCAGCGATGACTCAGAACCATTTGATATCGATGCCACTACTGACATCCAACACCGCTTACTGTGTATCGTAACCGCGTTTGAGCTCCTTTCAGGACAAGGTTCGTCATTCATCCTAATAAATTACTCCAACCTTCTCAATGCCGTACTTCAGGTGAAGCACTCAATATCGACCTTACCGATTTCGTCAATCATCTATATGCCATCATATTGCCAGTCAGCATATCAATGCAAGTCGACGCACCTCCACCAAGTGTTTTCGTCTCAAAATTCGGGAACTCAAAACCGGCATCAATCGCGGACATGCTCTTTCGAGCGCTGGATATCGTATTTTCTCCGCGAAGTACTGGAAACACGGCAATACATTGGAGGTCGGCAGCGTTTGGCAAACGCCTACTGATTGCGTCACTCAATTGGCCCCCGAGTTCCGCCCTCCGCGCACTAGAATTTGTGGAAAGTTTGGTCGCCAAGGATCCGAAACTCGAAGCTCTATTATCGACCGAAGATAGGCGAGTTGATGGTGTATACCTCCCTGAAGTTAATGACCCTCAGTTGTGTCATCCGTTTGGAACAAGTTTCTGGGAACTATCTCTTCTGAAACAGCACCATTACGATAGTCGAGTGCGAGACGCCGCCCACAGTTTGTCCAATTATACAAGGTCGTAACAACACGTAGAATGCCATACATATTATGGTGCGCAGTAAGTCGTACACGGTATCTACATTAGCATGCAACAGATGATGGAAGATACATGTTTAAAGTTAAGCAAAGCAGATTAAAAGCTGATCGTGCGTTTGAATCAACATGGTCCGTGAATGGCTTCCGCCGCAAGTTTGATACAACAAAAAAGTTCAAACGAAAAGCGTACGGTGATAATTAAATAACAAGTTCGTTAAGTTCATGAAGACATCATATAAGGCGATCCATGGAATGGAACAGCTCGGAGAGAAGAATCCGTACTAGGAGTGAGTGCATGAGACAAAGACGTTGGAGTGGCATGGATAGTACGAGGTATACTGTGCCCAGGTGCACAAGTATAGTTTGGTATGAAAGCGCCACTAGTAGTTGGCACCTGAGTGGTGTCCGCGTGGCTGGTGTATTTTTGGAACCCGGTGAGCTCCACAGAGGGCAAATTTTCACACTGCCTTCTGTCGAGATCGTAGTAAATGACTGCTATGACTTGTTCATCAACCACAATTTTCTGTATGATGCATGCTTGCATATCTGTTGTCACGTTGTTAACGTGAGGCAGCCGGTTTGAAAACGTGTACTCACTTGGGTCCATCCACCGACTTCGGCTTAACTGGGAGTCGGGTAAGAGTAAGCTGATGTGATCCAGTTCTTCAGGTCCGGTGGCATCCGCAGCTATTATGGAACAATAACTACTTTCCCGAGAGACACACTGGTTTCTGACAAAAACAGCTGTGGAGCACCTAATACTGGAGGTACGTGGAGCGTCACATGTAATCGATCCTTGAAAGCCGTGGAGAGCCGGAGAGTATGGAGCCTCTATGGGAGGGAGACGGAGCTTGACACGCAGCGCCACAACCGAAGCGTTCAGGTCCGCTGGCTGTGTTTGCGAGGAAAGAGCATCCACCGGCACCGTGGCGGGCTGCATGCCCTCTGCCCAAAGCGACAATCCTGTCAAAATCGGCAGACGAAGTGCACAAGAGAAGGGTATCGATGAGTTCTGAGTCCGGGGAGAATTCGATAGGAGGAGGTCCGATGACATTTGATCAGCGGTGAGCATGGGTTGATTTAGCCGTTCATAGCCACGGCTGAAGTCGGGGTCCGCGCGTGTGGCAGTATATGGTACATTTGGGCATGACTGTGATGCTGTTGACCGGACCGGCATATCAGGGGTCCAGAGTGAAGATGCCAGCGGCGAGAGTCGCCGTTGGTCAGCGCCAGCAGAAGTAGACATCGACCTTACGCGACGGCATCCGTCATCGCCCGTTTGTATCCGGGGACTCGGATATGGCGGAATTGCGGGTTCGGTCTTTGAACCCATTATGGCGGGACTTGCACGAGGGAGATTAGAGCGGGACGTACGAGATACCGAACGACCGGAACGGTCTGATGCTGGCGAGTGATCATCAAGGACCATCGACGCCAACAGATGAGAATCAGGTGACTCCTCTGCTTTGACCGATGCGGGAAGACCGGTATCAAGGAATAGTTCCTCGCCACCAGCCACCAAGTGGTATTCTATGACGACAACTGGTTAACGACGGATTATTAGACGCTCGATGAAGTTCTCTGACCTTGTTCGCCTTTCCACATATTACGAAGTACTTGTATGTGGCTTGCAACCTGCTTTTTGGAACGGTCTATTCCAGCGCGCTGTAAGTACTCGACCAAGAATTGGTTTCTCCAACGACTTCTGCCGCGAGAGTAAGTTGCCCAAGGTGACTCCCAGTATTCTCGAAGACCTGAATAACAATTCAGACAGCGAGGAAGGAATGATGGCGCGGTACCAACCTTGAACGAATATTCTCTCTATCTCTTCTGGCCACACTTCACTAGAGCCATCTTTAAGTAATTTACGGTGTTTCCTCTGAGGAGTGAGGGTCGTTCCATCGCGTTCGCGAGAGACAGATAGTCGTGAAGTGCGCATGTCAAAATATGCTGCACCAGTGTTAGGGCAATGCTAGTGAGCGTATGCTGCCTAGTGGGGTCGTAAGTTGAGTGATAGCGAAGGAAAAGGAGGGCATGAAGGGACCTTTATATATCTGAGACCCGGTTTCGGCAGTTTCTTAAATGAGAACGAAATCAGCATAGCGTTGCGAGATTTTGACGACCAAGGCTAAAGATCCGGAAGGGGCATGAGGGGTCCACTAGTTCGGTTATGCATCTTATTGAAATGCCCTGGTTATTAGATAACGGATCGAGGAACTACTTGTGAGAAAATATACCCATTTTCGAGAGTCATTCTCTTTCATACTAACAATTAAGAATCTTTATCATAGAAATGGAAATTCACGGCCATCCTAGCGGAGTCAGAGGAAGCTGGTCCATCTGAAGAGGATCTAAGCGCCGTTACTTCGACCCTATAAGCAAAGTTTTGGGGATGTTACAGTATACGGTCGAGACTCTGGGATGGGAGGATGAACCGGGCCTGTTGCCAAGGTGCTCTCGGTCCGACATGTTCGTGCCGTGTTCAAGCGGAGAAATAAAATACCGACTCCGATCAGGCAATGATAGGACACAGCCACCACTTACCGGTACTACTGTAAGAATGAGTACCGAATCCTTAACCCAGAGATGGCTACGACAGAACGTCAGCTCATATACTCAGAAAGACCGCGTCCTTCTTGATTTTGATACTGCGCTCGTCCGTTTCACAACTCTACGTCCAAAATCAGATGTGTACAGTTCAGTGGTTATCAGATTCCATAGTGGAACCCACCAGTTGATCTTCCTACTCCAGCTTACGATGATGGTCGAACCCAGCTTCTACTATGTCTACATGGCGTCTTACCAATATCCTTTCGTGGCGCTTCATATAATATTCCAATCGCTGTATGGGTCACCAAAGAGTACCCCCGTCAGCCCCCAATAGTATATGTTGCTCCAACCCAAGACATGCTCGTTAGGCCGAGTAAACACGTTGATGTGAGTGGCAGATGTAAAGTTGAATATATCCAACACTGGGAAAAAAAGAGCGAGGTAAGTCCACTAGTGAAATAACTACCGATCAGAACAAATTCATCACCGAGCAAGGCGTGTAATCTATCAGCTTTACTCGAAGCATTGCAACAAGAGTTCTCCCGTGGTCCGCCAGTCTACGCCAAACCAAAAACAACTGCAGTTCCATCGCCTTCATCTTCGCCTTTACAAGGCTCTAGTGTCTCATCACCTTCGTCACCTGGCCGCGTTGCCCTAGGCGATGATCGACCAGCGCTCCCACCAAAGCCCAGTTCATCACCACATCCTCTACTTCCACCGAAGCCAGTAATAGCAGCTCCGATTGCTTCTCCTCAATACTCTTCCACAGTAAGAACCCTGTTCTTCATAAACGTCATTAATGAAATGGATGTTCATAGGCGAAATTGCTCAATCGGCCACCACCGGCTCTACCCTCCATTCAATCACCCCAAATCATAGGTCCTCCAACTTACAGCCGCCCTTCCAACTATCAGCACACGTTCAGAAACCACAGTGACGGCACCGTGCTGCAACCACCTGTAGTACCACCACGAGATCCCGCTCTGATACCGGATCATGACAGTCGCTGGTCCGCACCACTCGGTGGCCCAGCCATATCAGGTCAATTTAATCAATCACGCGCGCCGAACACGCCATCACCTCCGGCTATTTCACAATATCCACAGGGGCCGCTGCCACACCCACCAAACTTGTGGCAGAGGCCGACTCAGAACCTCCTGGATGAGGAGACTGCCGATTCGTCACCTTCTGTGCCGCAGCTTCCCACAGCAGCACCGCCACGCCCACCAAACCCAGAGTTGCTCCGCTTGCACGCCCAAGTACACGACAAGATCGCCTCGGAGCTTGCTTCTCTGTCTCAGGTCATGCTTCTCGATGCTGAACGTTTGCGAGCGCAGCAATCGGACCTTCTTACCGGAGAACCCGCCATCCGGGATGAGATGGCGCGTTTAGAAGCCGTTCGAGACGTTTGTAGTAATGTTTCTAGCAGACTGCGGAATACTATTGATCAAGGGGAGCGCAACATTGCTGAATTGCGCAGGAAGGGAGATCCCGAAGTCGATGAGTTGATCTGCTCCACGAGCATTGTACATAACCAGTATGGAATACTTTTGTTTGTTAATATCAGCGGCTACTACTGACCGACGTGAATTCGACTTTCTAAACAGGCTCATCAACTTGGTCGCTGATGATAATGCCATAGAAGATACTATCTATCATCTCCATAGGGCTTTAAACACCGGACGCATTGATCTAGAACGTTTTTTGAGGGTGAGTTTTTCAAGGTTTCATATCACCTAGTCACTTTCAACTGATGGCGGTCCTTCTATCTCTCTCTTCTATCTGGGCTCTCAGAGTACGCGTGTACTCTCAGAAGAGCAGTTCGCAAAGAGGGCACTGATGGAGAAGATCCAACAGGGCATTCCAACGTAATCTTCTGTAGTCTACAGCTAATTCCAGTGTTATTTAATCAGGGTCGTAGAAGTTGATAAGGATGCTCGATAATGTATTTGCCTTATTCGTACTATTCGAGCCCTTTTCCAATCGAATTTCTAATCTGAAGTCAAGAAACGGTGTTCGGTTCGCATTTGAATGAACTGGTAATCTGAACTGTGTGCCTGGCGAGGTGGCATGCGGGCGCAGCACTTTTGCAGAAGATCTGACACCGGGATTTGACCAGAAAAACTCCGATTGGTCATACGACAGTGTGGCTAACACTAGTATTGTGAATAAGATTGAGGGGATAAAGACGTTATATAGGAGAGAAACAACCAGGACACAAGAAGCAGACAACAATAAATCGATCAGCACTCGTAACTACTACTAGTTGTAGAACCAGGGTGCTTCACAGGCCATTAGTGTTCACTTCATCCTTTTGCGTCTGAAATTGAACCTTCCGAATGTCTGGTCCACCTGTAGATCCTACCCATCGCCAGACGCGCAGTTCGTCCCCACCTTGTACTTCTTCAAGGTTTGCCCTCACATTGGCATTCCCTTCGACCACACGCTCCACCTGATCCCATAGTCTGCTTCGAACTGATATTGAATGTTCATCCTGTAATATGAGATCACGAAGCTGTAGAGAGGACAAATACGGCTGCGGTGCCGTCACTGGATCCGTGTGGTGCGCAAGTTCTTGATTACGCAAAGTATCAAGTGCGATTTGCACTAATTCTGCCACACGTCTCCCTTCGATTTGGCGGAGCGCCCGGGATCGCTTTATGAAATACAACGTGCACACACATGCAATAGATGCTGAACAAAGTGTCATAAAGCTTCGGAACATCAAAATGGGTTCGTGAGCCTTACCATACACAGATGCTCGCCACTGTTCCCAAAGCTCCCTAGACTTGACAGTAAATTGACAGTTCCAAGTCAAGTGTGGCGTCTTATGAGCCAAATAACGATTGCCTCTACTCTCATTTAGAATATTAAGAATGCGCACCCGCAATGAATCAACTCACGTGCTATCCTCCCCAAAAATTACGGAACCCCATTGGACTAGCTGTTGTATGGCTTCATTGAACGTGTCATCAAAATTGGCGAGAAGATGCGGCTACCGGTCCAAGAATGTCATAGGCTCATTCAAATTTGAAGAAATGGCTTGAGAAACTTACAGCTGTTTTGCGCTTCATTGTATTCCTCACAATCTCGATTTCTAAACCCCATTTCATGGCCTCGCCCCCTTCACTATCGTTGACGATCTCCCGACCTTGTTTTTCCCCGATGCACACGCGTCTCCCTCGTTCCTGGCCGAGAAGCACTTCTATCGCTTTACCCAAGGCGCCTATATTCCTTTTCCGTTTCGGATCTTCGCTGCAACGTGGGGGAAACGCAACAGGTCCCAAACCCGGTAAGCCATTGGTAACGTTACCAATCGAGTTCCATATGGTTTCTACAAGAGGGGTTGCGGTGCCGAAAGGTGATAAGATGCCAAGAAGAGGGTGTGGACGGGATACATAACCAGGGTTACAGACCACTGAATGTTGCGTACAAGTCGCAAATTCTGGACAAGGAGCACATGTTGAGGGATAAAAGGCTGGAACCAATGGTGGAAAGGGACATGGAATTCCATCCTTGAACAACCCAGTATCCGATATGACCGACGGGAGATATAGAACTGTCTTATTGTCTTTGTTACAGGCCCGGACTGCCTCTCGCTGCGCTGCAAGCTCCCGTAGAGCCTGATTAGTGTTGTTGCCAGTATCACAGTAACCAATGGCGGATGATTCATCTTTGTACTGCTTCATAAAGTATGAACCGGCGACCATCACAATTAGGTAGAGGAGTGTCAAGAAACGAGACCTAGAGCGCTGCAGCGGAGGGGCTGGGCGCCGGCGAACCAATTGGTCACCACCAGCTATACTCGGATTGGATGCGGCAACCTCTAGCGAATCAGGTTCCCTGTAGCTGTCGCTGTAGCTTTCATCAGGAGTCTGGCCATCAACTACGTCTGTGGCGTCATCAAAATCCAGGCCACGGGCATCGACCTTGGATGTCAATTGAGTAAACGGCCTAGACCGATGTTCGAGGGGACTGAAACGAACCGTCTCAGACGGAGTTGAAATTTGGGGCGCTCGTGAAATCGTAGGAGGAAGTTCTGGTTCAAACTTTGACTGCGGAGGGGAACGCTGTAGATCTATTGGGAAGAGAGGCGCTTTCGGAGGAGATAAAGATGGAGATGCTTGGGGAGGTGCTGACATCGAGTGGCGTGACTTCCGACAGAACCACTTTTTCGAGTACTTTGAGGACGCACAGGAGACGGCCGTGCAGGCGAAGATGATTCAGCGCCAGATTGGAATATGTTATTGTCTTCCCATCCGCTGTCATCTGCAAGCTTGAAATAGGGTCAGATAGATACCAAACAACAACACCCCCTCAATTACCGAGATTCTGCGCGCTTGCGAGCCAGCAGCTTGTGACTGCACGAGTGGTTAGTGCACCTTACGGTCGAACATAGCGCTCACTCACACTCTTCTTGTTCCTGCCTACCTTACGCAAGGGTGGGTCTTCTTCTTCAGGTTCACTTTCCTCAATGACTGCGGGCTGCATGGCGGTGCGAGCAGTAGTTTGATGTGCGCCACCAAGTCTGGGTTGTGCCGACGAACGACGACGCTTCGGCTGAGGAACGTAAATTAGGATGGGCATGACATAGTAGATGACGACCATACCGGATCTGATCGAGGTGGCGGTTCATCGTCATCCGACGGTGCATGAGAAAGTCTCCTGGAAGATCGCCTTGGCTGATTTTCATTAACAAGAGAAGAGGCACGGCAGTTATACCAAGAAAGCACCTTAGTTGCACCACTGAGGGGTTTCCCTGTTATGCCATCGGTTATTCCATCATCGCTAGCAGTACTGTTTTCCTTCTTCAGTCTGTCCTTCTTGAACTTGGCTGCCTTCGGCTTGACCTCGTCAAGGAAAAGCTGCACCAATTTTGGTTTCGTGTAAGGAGTCGGAAATCTAATATTGTGATATCCAAGAACACCAAGAAGTTGAGCTACTGTAAGGGTAGCAGGATCAAATTCAGAGTTAAGATATTCGCCCAGGCCGATGACCTGAGCTGCAGTCATGGCCCTCGACATCGTGGAGCGTGTTGAAGCCGTTGTGGTAACAAGTCACGCTAAACGCGGCGTCACGTACATGGTCACATGTTCAGTCACACTAATCATTGTCTTCAAAGACTCGAAGTTCGCTCCGAGTCGGCTGATCAAAATTTGAAGGCTCACGCTGTGGACCCACTCACAAAGTTTGTTTAAGACTGAGGTGGAAACATGAATAGTCTCCGGAGCCGTTTACACGCATACTCGTTTAGGACGTCAGAAGGAATGGCCCGGATCTTTCAAGAGCATCTGACGAGCGAATACTTATCAAATTCAATATGGCACCAGAACCCAACCAGGGATCTCGAACAGGTTCTTACTCGCATTGAGATAGGGATATCGGTCCTCGCTGGAGTACCTCAAGGCGATACTCATGATGCTGCGGCAATTTGTAATCTTTCGTATTACAAACACAACGGTGCCAGCGACTACGAAGGGGTCACACACATCTGATCAATTCATTTATGAAACTGAGGGTATTATTGTTTCCGATAATTCCTTGATGTCATTATCACACAAACTTGGGACGGAATGGTCCCGAGGGGCCGAACCATTTTCCGTCAACCTGTGGCGTACGACGCAGCATAAGATACTCCGAAAGCCCCGTACGAACTGTCTCAAAAGACTCACCACCATACGATTCCAGTATGCCCAAGGAAAAAGGTCCTAAGAATGGCACAGACAATAAGCCTATTTTAGGAGCTACAACTCCAATTGTACTCCGTACCTTTTTGAAGTGATAGAATAATCTGAGCGATTTGGCAGGTTCAATGCAATGATGTAAGTGGGAATCACAGGGGACAAACCTTCTCCGCTTTGTCTGATCGCCCAGGTAATTGGCAAAACTCTCTTTAGGCACAAATTCATACTTGAATTCGACTAGCATCAATTCCCCATATCCCGTCAAAAGCTAAAGTTGGAATTTGGTCAAGTGGACAGTGTTATTAGGAGGTAGACGGACCGGGCAACTGGTATAGCCATCGTACTTGGCACTGCTCACTTTGCCAGTGTCCATGACCGAAAATAAGTTTTCCGTTAAGACAGGCGCTTGGGATGTAATGGCGGCAATCGTTTTGCTAGTAGGCAGGGAGGAGCAGTCCCCCAAGGCAAATATGTTTCCGAACTCGGGCTTGACATGTCTGAGAGTTGCCTGATCGACTTCTACCCAGCCCGCTGGATCAGCGATGGGCGATCCTTTGATGAAGTCTAGCGGTCCCATTGGCGGTGTGACATGCAGGAGGGTGAAATCACGATCCACAGTCGAACCGTCAGCCTTCTTGAAAGTTGCTTTCCTGTTCGCCGCATCGATGGAAATTAAGTTATGTTGGAACTCTGCTCCGATACCCCGCTCGATGCGCAGGGCGTTTAGGGCATCCGAATACTTCTTGACGCTAAACATGGTTGGCATGCCAGTCATGAAGTCGATTTTGATGTTATTTCCACGCCCAGATTTCTGGTATCTGTCCCAGGCCATCCACATGATTTTCTGCGGAGCTAAAAGACGGTAAGCAGCCACCATACACAGAGAAATTTGGCTTACCTCCTGGACATTTAATGACACCTGCAGGTTGGGTAAAAATAGCATTTCCGGACCTGAGAGCATCTACGTCGTGCCGGACTTTGTCGCAGGTATTGTAGGAGTATATTGATGAAACACCAGAGGAAGGATCAGCGAGAGCCTGGGGCAAGCCAGCGATGCCGTCCCAGTTTATCTTCAAACCTGCTGCCACTACAAGCGAATCATATGAAATTGTCCGACCTGAGGTTGTCGTAACTGACGAGGATTCCGGGTAGAATGACTTGACATTCTCTGCAATGTGCATGATATGTGGCGGGAATAGGGACGCGAGCGGTCGTCTGAAATCTGTTTTGCGGCCAAGACCAGCACCCACCAAAGTCCTGAAGGATACGTCAGGTTTCGTATCAGTCTATGAATAAAAACCCTTACCAGCCAGGCTTGAAAGGAGGAGCCATCAAAAGTAGCTCACATGAGCAGGTTAATGATTCCGAGTGCTTACTTGATAGTAGTGATAGTCTGCTGCGTCAAGGACCACTATATCCCCTGCATTCAAAGGCTTTCCAGCAGCCTTGAAGCGGTTATATATCTGGTTGGCAACAGTCAACCCACCGGAACCTGAAGATTCGTCAAAGCTCATTCAAGGAACTCCATCGACTGTGTGCACCTGCTCCGATAACAAGCACTCGAAACTTTTCCTTGGTGCTCGTACTGGCATACCTAGATAGAGCGAGAGTTTGTCGAGCACGTGGGCCTGCTACACGCCGACATGCAGGCAACATGTTCAACATATGGTGGAAGGCGGTCACGTCGACGGCAATACTAAACAGACAGACAATAATGTGGAAGGGCGTATGAATGGTGGTACGGGAAAAGAGAGGTAAGATACAAGTATGTGTGCGTCGAACTATATATGAGGATCAGCACCTGTGACTCCCACGTTAGCCCACTAATAAGAGGTGACAGACCTGCAATATCTCTGCCTGCAGCTGGGACTTGTGAGAAATCACTGTGCCCTCGAGGTTTAAGTTAGTGGGTATCACACCACCCAGGCCTTCTTTGAATGAGGTCACCAGGTAGCCGTAGAGTCCCACACACCCACTAACCAGTACTTGGGAGTGAGTAAGTGCATTTCCCCTCGGACCGGTGTTCTAAGAACCGCTATAGCTATAGTGCGTGCTTGTAGAATTAGACAAACCAATCACTGAAATCAGACATTGCCTGATTTGGGTTGCGCCACAACGCTTCTCAGACGTGTGATCGTTTGCACTATGTCATGCTAAGCTACAATTGAGTACTGGAATCTGACAGCAAGTAGCTGATGTTTATTTCAGTCTGACATTATCTATAGTATATCATCTATATAATAAAACGACACTCTCACCATCCATCTTAGTTCCAGAAATTTCTAATCAGTGTCACGTGTCTGCGTACAGGCCTTTCAGTGCGCTCTTTCATCAGTGGATTGACGAGTCCTCGATATTGTAGCCGTGAGAAGTATAACATGATTTAATTTTGTTACTGCTAAATATTAGCTTGTATATTGCGAGCAATTTGAGCTGCACATACATACAGATACATACCCATGTATGCTTGTAAATCCAGCTTAACATGAATGATTTATGACAATGCTGGGACATTCTGCCTCTGCAGCCAATGAGTAGTGGTAGTATACCAGAGCCAATCGTTTTGAGCTTTGACATCTTACCTGATCTTGTTTTTTAATTACAATGTTATTCAAGGCCTTTTCATGGAAAGAGCCTTGGGCATTTGTCAACAAATCTAGAATGCCATTAGATTTAGCCACAAAGCTATGACTAGGGCTGCACACCATCACTGTAATATATGGTTTGTATGGTGACTGTCGATGGGTACGGTTACCATACCAGTGGGTCTGCAAAGGGAGGTAGACACATATGGTGTATGGCAAAACTGTACACCGTACAAGCCATCTTCTATATGGCTGTCAATGGTAACTTTATGGCCTATACAGTCAGAAAGGGTGCCAGTTTATCTGGTAGCTTCTTGCCCTGAACTGCCATGCCCTGCACCACTGACAACGATGACAGCGACCAGTCTGATGGCTTTCTGTGTGTGCTTAACACTAATGGAAGCATCACTGTCAGTATGTTTGTTATAATATTTACTGAAACTTTCCTAGTTACTTGCTTTTTGTATCCTGAGCTGGCATTTCTGTTCACAATGTCCTTGCCTGCCAATGAACCACAATTTGAGACTGTCCTCGGTTGTGGGCTCCATGTCAAAAATGCTGCATGCTTGACTGAGAGTATCATGGTGGAATTGGAAGGTAGTCAAGACATTCCCGCTGTGAAGTCTAAGCCATGGAGAAGCAAGAAGACAAAAACCACCCAGAATCACTTTGATGGTCTTACCATTGAGGGTGACTTGGATGATGAAGGGTGTTAAGAACCATGTTGCTCAAAGGAGAGAGAGACTGACTCAGAGGGGCTTGGCCTCAGCTCATATGCTGTGCCCCTTACCCAAGTATGTGCCCTTCATTTCATATGAGGTCCAATGATGGTCTGATGAAGTCTGGAGGACTTCTGGAGGCTGGCTACTCTGGTGGAGTGCTAGAGGACTTCCGGAGGAGCGTGGGAAACGTCTGGAAGAGCATGGGAGAGTTCCAGAGGAACACAGGAAGTGTTCAGGAGGGTTCCCACTGCAAGGTAATACTTCTACAGGAAACAGGATGGGAGGATAGGAGGTCTGAAGGTCCAGAGGACAGGAGGACAGGATGATGGAGGACAGAAGGACAGGATGTCTGGAGGTATGAAGGACAGGAGGATAGGACATCTGAGGGTTAGGAGGACAGAATGTCTGAAGGACAGGATGCCTGGAGGTATGAGGGACAGGAGGTCCAGAGGTCTGGAAGGAATAGGGGCTACATTGGACAAAGTCCAATGTGGAAGCAAACAGAGGTAGACTACCCTAAGGTAGAGTTGGAGAGAACAGGGATTGGACCTAAGTCCAGAAAGAGGGTAAGTGCCGGAAAGGCAAAGCTCTGGCCTAGGGAATCAATCCCTAGGCCTGATGAGTAGGACAGACTTAGGTGGACCAAAGTCCGAGAGAGGATTGGGCAAGTCTAAGTTGATATTCAAACTAAGGAAACTACAGGAGTATCTACAGGGGTTATATACTGGAGAATATCTGAGGGGATCAGTAAGCAAAGGAGCAGGGCTATGTATGAGCATGTGGAAACACATTAGTAAGTAAGACAGAACATAACTAAATGAACTCGGAGATGAAGACTTGTACAAGGATCAATAAGCAAGATGGAACAGGAGGTAACTGAAAGCCTGAAAGGCAGAGATGTCTAAATGGGGATAGGTGCAGGATATTGGACAGAGGGTGGGAATAGGTCTGGAGTTAATATCCAGAGGTCTGGAGATCTGGGGATCCAGAAGACAAGGTGGATACAGGACTGGGATATGAGAAGGTGGATAGAGTCTGGAATCCAAGATGAGGTGAAGTCTAGATGTCTTACTGGATGGAGTGTACATAGGGTGGATGGGACAGGGGGTTATGGTTCAGGCTAGCAGTGGAGATCTGATGGTCCGGAGCTCAGGGGTAAATTTGGAACAGAGTTGATCCTGCTGAGGTGTGGAGCACACAGCAGAAGGGGATCTGGGAATGAGTTGGATATGAAGTGGGGTCCGGGACATAGGCTCGGAAGGCGTGGGAATATGATGGAACATGGGTCCGGATTGTGGGATATGACAAGGGAGTGATTATACAAGTCCTTCAAGTTTGCGGTCAGACACTAGTATGTCAGACTCTGATCAAGAAACTGATGTCATTGAAATTACAAATGAAGAGGTGAGTTTAATACAGCTCTAGAACATTATATGTGTGCTCAACCTTATGCAAAATAAGCTCACTCACTTATTACCTTCAAAAATGGTTCCAGAACACTTGAACAGGCACAACAAGTGCAAGCACTTGGCCAAAAGGTCAACTCAGACCACTTAGACACCCACCAACAGTGGGGCTTCAGCTGCTATTGCTGTAGGGATTTCATATTCTGTGGGCTTGTATAGGCAGATATTACTTAGTGTTATGTTCGCACTTTTGGTGCTTATGTAATAATCACAGTTTTCACCACCTACCAGTACCAGTCTGAGACTGAGAGTTTTTAGCATGATTTCCTATCCTCTCTGAGCACTGAGCTTAGTCCAGAAACCCTTTAGGGTTGAATAGCAGCTGGACATAGCACATTTAGCCCAACATTAGAAGTCTACTTTCCAGTTCTCTTCTTGTTGTGTTTCCCACATCGCTACAGCAGCTATACAAGAAAGTGTCATTGAAGAAGATGTTGCACCTGTTCGAAGTTCTGTCCTCTCTGCCAAGGTATAGTTGTTTGCTGTCCCATCCATAGAGTTCAGTATTAGTACTTACAATATCATCAGGCTGCCAAGCAGAACCCGATATATTATTTATATGAGGCTGTACAGTTGAATGCTGCAGGTCATGCTGGTGATGCAGGAGACAAACACTATAAGTGTTACTTGGGTAATTGGAAGGTCCTCACCATCACATGGGCAATGAAAAGCAGTCTGAATGGTAAGTAGTATCATTGCTAGCATATTTACTAATACAATATAACTATCAGGTTTGATTGGGCATCTAAAGATGCATTTTCTGCCTATGTATCAGTTATACCTAGTCATGAAGTCTCATGGAACACCTCTGACTGAAGACGAGCTCAAATTAGCACGTGGTGAAAAAGTTCTTGATCCAGATGCAGCAGCAGCATACTTGACACAACTCAAGCAAGCATCTGCAAATCTTGTTGATGCCTTCAATAAGCAAGTCAACAAAGCATTTGGAGACTGGAGCCAAGAAAAATTTGAGGACCTGCTTGCAAAATGGCTCATCACATGTGATCAACCATTCAAAGAGGTTGAAAAACCAGAGTTCAAAGCATTCATAGAGTACACTGCACCAAGGTTCACTCCATATTCCTGGATGGATGGCAATTAAGTGACGTATCATGAAGATGGGTGATGAGACTACTGAAGGAATCAAAAACATGATTTGGGTAGGTTGAATCATTCAAAAAAGTATTCATGTTTCTCATCTATTAACAGGAACTTGAGGCAAAAGTAAGCCTTTCTCTTGATGTGTGGACCTCAAGCAATCAGTTCATGTTCCTTGCAATTATCATGCATTATGTGACTAATGACTGGCAGTTGGGTATGTTCATCCTATTATTTTGTGTGCCCAGCATCTCAATTTCAACCAGAGGAGCTTTTGATCAATTTTTGTGAAATTATTGGTGAACACAGTGGTGTAAATCTTGCTGAAGCTGTTTGGAATACACTGGAACTTTATGGGCTCAAAGATTGGGATACGAAGCAGCATGTTAAATGATTATTCACTTCACTCATTCTGATATTGTAGATCATGGGTGTTGTATGTGATAATGCTACAAACAATAATACCCTACTTGAATCTCTTGAGAACTGATGCACTGCTGAAGGAATCAAATTCTCACACAAGAAAGCATGCATTCATTGCTTACCCCATATTGTACATCTATCAGTGATGTGACTTCTTGAGGGTATTGGTGCTATCAAGCCAGATTTGAGGTGTGGAGAGTCTGCCTACCAGGACTCAGTTACTGCTCCCATAGACTGTGAGTACGATGAAAATGCTGCTCTTCTTGATGAAGGAGAAGAGGACAATGAGCAGTTCCCAGCACTGCAGGGGGTTCTGTTTGCTGTAGACAAGGTAAACAATGAGACATTCAAAATCAAGGAACACATCACTAACAAATGAATCCTTTCATACAACAGCTTTGAAAGATTGTTCATTTGGTTCAGTCAAGCCCATAGCAACACAAGGCATGGCTTGCAGAGGTGGCAATGTCACTCAAGAAAACAGAGAATGCTCTCAATCAAGTGGCACTCATGCTTATTCTGGATGTCAAGACTCACTGGTCTTCAACTCATCAGATGCTTCATAAGTACAGTGTTATAATTTGTGATTGAGTGCTAATCAAATTTGCAGGCTGTGCATTGGATTTTCGAAAAGCTATCAATGACTTTGTGGCAAAGACATGTGAACTACACCAATACGAATTTTCTGATGATGATTGGCAGTCAATCGAACTAGTAACAGGGTGGCTGAAGGCATTCCGGTCAGCTACTACTCAAATGTCAATGACAAAGCACCCAATGCTCTCTTTGGCCCATGCTATATTTTGAGGTCTTGAGGAATTGCTTTGAGATGATCTAGCAAACCTTCCAGATTCAGCACCAGCAAAAATACAACTGGCATTGATCAATGCACATCGGAAGCTCAGTGACTACTTTTTCAAGATTGATGATTCACTGTATTATGTCTGGGCTTCAAGTAAGTTTTGTACTACAATTTATATTTCTAGTTTGATAGCTAATCTAGTTCAAGTACTCGATCCCCACATCACTTACAAAGGTCTCCATGATGACTGTGGCACTGATGACGAAAGTATGTGATTGCAAATTGACTCGCTGAAGAACAACCTACACACCCTGTATAAAGCTGACTATATTGCTACATCCATTGCACAGGACTGTGCACCATCTACCAGCACAGGTCGCCATGCAGATGTGTCAGATGGCAGAATGTCCCCATCAAAGGTGAACTTTACAGCAAGGTATAAGAAGCAGTTGAATCTGTCAGTGGATGAATTTGAGGAGTACCTGAAGCTTCCACAAGAGGACTTTGACCTTTGCAACCCCATTCAATGGTGGGCAGGTTGTCAAGCACAGTTTCCAAACCTCTCTTGACTTGCATGTGATATCCTTTCAATACCTGGTGAGTACTTACTCCATGTCCCAGGTGTCTGTACTTAGTTATCTTCTTTGTAGGATCTGCTGTTGCTGTTGAACTGAATTTTCTCTGGTGGTCGTGACACTGGTTTCACTGCGGTGTGCAAGTCTCAAGCCTGAGACTATCAGGACATTGATGCTTGTGAAGGTGAGGCTTCATTTGAGTCATTCATAGTTTATTTGCATTCCGTATGTATCATACATTACCATATACATCCATATAATAGTCTGTACCATACTGTCCACTTCGTCCACCACCAATGTCATGTATGGTATATGGGTTAGCCATATACCGTATTTATACCATATGCATATGGCCGCACACTGTATACAGTACAGTGTGCAGCCCTAGCTATGACATTCCTCCTTTTCAGATGATGAGGGGTGGTAGTAGACTTATCCCAATTATTTTGTGCATTGTCATTTGGGCCTATTTATTTGTCTCATTACAATGCTATTCAAGCCCTTCTTGTAAGAGGATACCTTTGGTGCTGGACAACTTTTCTGGCTGCAGTGAAGGTTCAACAACTCTGCTGGCTTGCAGAGCAAAAGAAAGAAATATGGCTCTAACTCTGGGGAGAGAGAAAGGCCACTGACTCTCTAAGTGTTGGTCAAAGTGCACTGAGTGATATGTTCAACCCTTAAGGGAAGCAAAGAAAGCAAGGATCCACTGGATGACACATCAGGAAAAGTACATATTACTTAAGCTTGCCTTAAACAGACTTAAGTCATACTTTTGTTACTTAGCAAAAATGGATCTACTTTGCCAGTACTTTGCCAGAAATTCAACTTTAAGATATTCAGAAAAAAATTGTTCAGTCATATTAGCATACATATTTTGTTATAGGCTGCACTAAAAAAATACAAGATTTACTAGGTGAATGATGCATGAGAGAGACACAAATGTGGCTAAGTTGATTAAGTAAGATTAAGCAACATGCACTTTTCCTGATGCCATCAGGTCAACTCTGGTGAAGTGTGATGAAAGTGCATGTGTGAATGTGGAGTGTGTAGGTGTGTGAAGCATGGGAATAAGGCACAGGGAGTGTGTGAATGTATAAGAAACTGAAAGATGGTGTGAAGATGTGAACTAAAACTGCTGAGAGGTGACTGATGATGGTAGGCTGTGCTGAGGACTAGGGCAATGACTGATAGATGCTAACTCATGATAGATTCTGACTCTAGATGACAACTAGTGGTAGATGATGGTGGTTACTAACTGAAAACTTAACCTGGCAAGAGGTAAGCTGTGCCTAGGTGCACTCCCAGGGCTCAGAAGTGAATATATCAGGAAAAATGGGAACTACCATATAGCTCCACAGAGGCTACATAGCACAATATATCCCAGAGCATATGCTTAATTGCACACCATTGCATCTCATATCTTGTACCTCAGCTATGTAGTCCTACTATGTAGCACTCCATTGTCTACCATAGTAGTAAGAAGTTTATATTATGATACCTCATAGCACTTGTGCACTCGCAAATTGCAGGCAGTTCAATGGCATGCATTCACAGTTTTTAATACTAAGCAAAAGTCACAGTTATTCTACTTGCCCTCAACTTTGAACTCACCACCCTCAGACTCTAACTCAGTATCCTCATCATCACTCCCATTTGCACCACTTCCCTGCTGGTACTCCTGGATGGCATTGTTGATCTCATCATCTGAGATACACTCTGCATCCCCAACTGGAAGTGGGTCCACTTTTGCATGCAATCTGTAGTGTGGTTGTCAAATTCACAAAGCTTGAATATTTGAAACAGCACTTACCTGCCATTGTCATTAAGCTCCTTCAGTATGCTATTGAGGATTCTGTGATCCTTGGTTCAAGTATAGAACTTCTTGAGGTTCGCAATGTGCTTATCATAAGCCTCCTTGTATTCATTGGACAAGAAGCTGATATCCATCTGTTTGCTGTCAGACCATTCGTCAATGCAACATTCTGCCTTCAGTGAACAATATCACCATCTGAAACAAATGAGTGATAGCATCACTCACTGCAGTATACACCAAAGCCAAGGCAGCTACAGGAAATGGTGAAAAAAACTTTTCAAATACAATGCCTTTGTCCTTCTTATTATGGTACCACAGTAAATTCATGGCTTTCTAATTTAACTTTGTCCAAAAGAGGCCACCACAATAGATGTTCTTCTTTGGGTCTCTGAGGTTCTTACAATCAAATATCAGCATGGAACATAATGCAGGATACCATCAACTCACTCAATAACACAAGCTGATGTAGGGATTTCATCTACTGTGGGCTTATATAGGCAGATATTACTTAGTGTTATGTTCGCACTTTTGGTGCTTATGTAATCATCATAGTTTTCACCACCTACCAGTACCAGTCTGAGACTGAGAGTTATTAGCATGATTTCCTACTCTCTCTGAGCACTGAGCTTAGTCCAGAAGCCCTTTAGGGTTGAATAGCAGCTAGGCATAGCACATTTAGCCCAACATTAGAAGTCTACTTTCCAGTTCTCTTCTTGTTGTGTTTCCCACACTGAATTTGTCCTTGAGCTGACAGGCAAGTTTCTGATTCCTAGACTTCACAGACTCCCAACCACCAGATTCAAAACCATAAACATTCTCAACCAGTGGTCAAACCTTTCCTTTCACCTTGCTCGTGAGATGGAATGTGTGACATGTAATCTCAAGCAACAGATTAGGCAGATGAGATAATGGAAATAAGTCACACACCATTTGTATAATCTTGCTATTGAAGCCCATCTCAATCTCATAGTAGCTACATGCCTCTTTCCAAGCTTCCTTCACCCACAACACTTGACTCATGTGATCTGGATAAGTATACTCAGATGTGAGCTGTGCACAAAAATGGCTGATTGCAAACTTGATGAGTTGCTGCACTGCTACCTTGTAATCATGGGCTGCAACACATCCCTTACTCTTGTGAATCTTGCATGGAAGTCACTGGTCAACTTGCTGCAGGGAAGGTGAATCTTCTGATTTGCGCATCCATTTTTGACTATGTGTGCTGTCACCCTCATCATCAGAGGGTGATGCTTGCAGACACTTCAAGTGGTGCAAATCTGAAAGATCATTTAGCAACTACATGAGCAATACAATACCACTGACCCTCATAGTTATCATTGTCCCCACAGTATGTCTCTCCATCAGCAAATACATCACTGTTGTCTGCATCATGACTGATGGGGGCTTTATTATTATTGAGATCCTGGTTGCTATCAGTCAAGTCCATGTCATTATCCAAATCTTGATGAGTATGGATGGACTGCACCTGCCAGAGTTGGAAAAGCTCTTTTGCATGAGCCACTGTCAACTTCCATGGTGGAGGCAGAGGCTTCAACTTATTGGTGAGTGCAATCAATGAGGCAAAGGTGATGAAACTTACACTGAGATCATTGGACCTGTGTTCATGATCAACAAAGTTAGATTCCTTATGAATGTGGTGTCAGCATCCTGCAGAGATTAAGTTAAGTCATATGATAGACAACTCACCTATGTAAGAGGATCTTCCTGCCAGCCACTAGTCACAGATGTTTTGACCAGAGCTGGTGTATGTACCTTCATGTGTGATTAGACTTTAGATACTGAATAGTCAAACAATCTGGACTTACTTGTGAGACACCTTTGGGCCATGGGATCTGCTTTTCTCACAGGGGGACCTTGCTGAACCAGGGCCTCAGATCCAACTGGCTGCTGGGTGGTATACTTCCTTTGGATAGGGTGATAGTATGCACTGAAAACTGTGTCCCATCCTATGTCCCTGACCATAGTTAGGTGATGGATGATAAGAGAAATCAAGAATGTACCTCGGTCCACATGATTTTTACATGAGGCCTTGATTTTGTCTTGATTGCTGTGTTAACAGGCCTTGTGCTACTCTTGCTCTTCCTTGACTGAGTGTAATATAGTTAGGCATAGGACTACTTGGACATAATCAACGACAGGCCTTGGTACAGAGCCTTCTCTGAAGGCTGGCATTCACAATGTTGTTGCTGAGAGGGAGCTGAATCAGGATTATTGAGAATGCTCCTCAGAGCTTGGTGAGTGGGACCTGTTGAAGACATTGTGGAGTAAGATTAATGAAGCAGGGATAAGATGTTAGAAGGTGACGATCAAAATTGGGGCACACCTTTATAATATTGCATCATGTCCAGTCACAATCAACAGACTGCATAATATCAACAATACACACGACAACAATGCATACATGTCAAGTCATAACATCAACAACACACTTGTGTCAAGTCATGCAGATGAGCAATGCACTAGTGATTGATATCAAGGAAATCAACAAAAAATTTCAATGTCTGATAGTATACCTGAGACTCAGTCAAATTATCAAAGCTATCACTCACAAGTTGGCTTTGTCAGCTTGTCAGCCTCCTGCTCAACCATCATGTACCACTACAATTTTTGCCTCAAAGGCAACTTCAAAAGTGCAAGAGCTGTTAGCATCCATATCACCAAAGTGGTAGCCTGTAAGCAACAGATGGCACAGGTGTGCGGGCATGAGTAAATCACAAAGACAAAACCTGGCAATGATGAACCTGAACCTCCCAACTATGAAATGGACATTGACAGAGATGTGCACTGGGATTTTGATGACCAGGGTGATGCCATACAGGAAGGGCCACAAACACATATTGCAGTGACCTATCTCTGTATTATATGAGTGAATGAATGTGCATAATATCCTGTATGATATGGGCCAGTAGACCATGGGCTGAAGGTAAAAATATCCCCGACTATGATGGATGGGCTGGGAGGGATATTATTCCCAATGGAGGTGGGTGAGCCCATGTGGGGAATATGTAGAGTAGATGACTGGGCCAATGGACATGAATATTCTATAGATAGATGGGCTGAGGTAGTTGGATATTATGTAGATGGGTGTACCAATGTAGATGTGTATCAGATAGACAGGTATGCTAAGGGTACTTGTTATCACATACACAGGTGGGCCAAGATGTATATTGTATTAGATAGGTGGGCCAAGGGTGGTATATAATATAGATGGGTGGGTCCAGGTGAATGATAATTGTAGACATGATAGAGCTTAGGTAGTTGTATATCATCCAAATCAAAGGAGGTAATATTTCAAAGTCATCTAATGATGAAGGTCACAAGTGCCAGAAAATTGAGCACCCAGTACAGACACAAACATGTAGTACCAACTACTGAGTAGCTAATACACATGACTTGTGTTGCCCTATGAGACGCCAAGTTTTGACCACTGAAGCTCAAGTGAAGCATACCGAGTTCTGAGACCTAGGTCTTGACAAACAAATATTTCTCCACCATCTTTTCACTGATGCCCTCTTGTTGCTCCTCAATCAATGTCTGGAGGTGTTCTCTAATCCACTTCAGTTCCATCAGTGATAAAACTGAGGTTTCATCCACCTGCTCAGGAAGAATCAGACCATCATCCTCAATGCCACCCTAGAACTGATTAATCATCACTCAAGGAAATTGTGTATAGTTCTTACTAGCCAATGCTGGTAGTGAAAGACATAGCAACCCATTACCCAATCCCATTGCCATAATTTATTCGGGATTGCAGTGCATCTGATCTACCATGGAGTATCATAGCTGGATATAATCCTGGAGGGATCTCCTGGATCTGTGATATCATGAAAGAGACATAAGTGGGATAAAAAGACATCATGATGGTCTGGAACTGTGTTCCAGGTGAGCTGGGGAAACAACTAAAGAATATGAGCAACCAGGTTTGGAATAACCGAAATGATGTGCCTTGCAGCTGAGTACTATAGGATGGGTGTCACAAAAGTCTGTTGGAAATCTCAGCATTGACTACCACAGTCATCAGTCTCTTACAGTGATCTCCCATTGCAGCCTGGCTTTAAAGTGCATGATCTGAGTAGCAGAAGGCTCCTCAGTGTTGGCAGCCTCCATCTGATATTGAGATATAGATGCTTGGATGTGTGATGCAGCCATTGACATTGTAGCTGCAATATCTGCAAGACTGAGTGTGAGGGGTTGGTATTCATTGCCAGAATCCTTGGTATCAAAAGGGGATACAGGAGAAGTATGCAATACAGGCATGGCTAATGCAGGAGTATGACACTGGAAATCACAATCACAATCACAGTTGGTTTGGATGTGAAGATATGAGCCACTGGTTAATGGATAAAATTTTTCAAACTCTGACATTGGTTGATCCAGGCATTTCCCAAGACTAAAATGTTTGGGTTGAAGTAGCTGTTTCATATCATTGGCAAAAAAATTCATTTATCTCCAGCATCTATGAACCTGCTCTGCAGGTCTTGAAATGCTGCCTGGGCATCCTGTGCCAGTAATGAATACATTTGGGACTGCCTTCCCAAGTAGCATGCATGACCTGGAAGGTGTTTTACCAATGATTCCTGCATCCTGTCACCCCATTATGTTGCTTTCCACAAGAAAAAGTTACATGTCCAATTCATCTCCAATTGGACCAATGTCATTTCTTCCTTCCATCAATCTCATAGGGCCTTTGCCTGAAGCCAATGAACTTGGTAAACTTTGGATGGGTCCCATTAGCTGAGCATGGGATATGTCAAGTATGCCTGAACTCACATTTGTTATTCCATGAGTGATCAGGACCCCCCAGGTTGACTTCAATGGACCAGAACTGAGTGAGGGACTCATTTTGCTGATCTCAGGCATTTGAATCACTGACAGCAGTGCTGATTTTGAGCTGCTCACAAAGCAGGGGTTTGTATTTCTGAAGCTGGTCTTGCCCCGGCTCAAGTTACATCATTTGCTTACGGGTCTTTGTATATATACTGGCATGGAGGGACACTACCTGCTGCACCAATGTCACCTGGGACCAAGCTTGAGTTTTCAGGGCTTGAGATTTGGCTTACCTAACTGTTGTTTGGAACAGGATTACCTTGTTGCACAAGTGAATTCAGAGGTTGTGAAGGACATCATTGGCCTGCCCTTCATGAAGTGACATCTCCAGTGGAATCAGATCCTCTGCCATACAGTGTCTACATTGATCTACCCCAAGGTTTGATGGCAATGGGATGACAGTGAGCTCAGGGGAGTTTGCCCATGTATCAGATGTGTTGGTGAAATCTGCCAGGTCATCATCAAGATCATTGAGAATATCTACATTCAAGTCATCAGGATCGTTGTCTGCATCAAATCCCTCTCCCAGATGCGTAAGAGCAGACTGAGTGAATCCATCTATCTGGCCTTGGAGATGATTGCATTGCTGGGTGATGTCTAACCTCTGTGTCTTGGTAGTTCTTCTTCCAATTCTTCAGACCTCAATGAGCAATGCAATTTGAGCCTCTTCAATTGCCAACTCCATTGATATCCATGTTGCCACAGATCTGCGAGCAGGTGCTGCATTATGGGTATTACCCTCCTCTAGCAGTCTAAGCTCAATCTCCTTTTTGCTCAGTGCTGAGTGCAAAAATTAATTCTGACTTTGATGGAGCCAAAGTCAACTTACCCCTCTTAATATTAATCTCATATACATTCATCACCATAGGATCATTTATTCTATTGGACTGAGTGATCCTCTTACTGGCTAATCATTCTGTCTTTGAATCTGCAGGTGCTGCTTCATCAAGTCTGTTAAAAGCCTTTTCACTTTCAGCAATGCCATTCTTCACCTGCTTGTCCAGAACCATTTCAAGAAATCAGCTTCAATCCACCTGAACCTGAAAGTACTTGTTGTATTGACAGTTGATATCATAGAAGGTGACAGCCCTGGTGATGCCTTCCATGTTGTGCTGGGCAGCCTCACAAAGGGCATAGTCCATGTTCATTTGTTTGCAAATGATGCATGGTTAACTCGTGAATGTCAGATGGCATGTTTGGCTTGTCTTTTGCCTTTCTGAAAATCTACCATTGAGTGAGGGACAAAGCAACTGTGTCAGGGACAGGTAACTCCCCTAATACCTGTGGACTCCAGCTTGTGCCAAGTCACATTTGCTTGATTTACTGCCTGGTGATTGTTGCAACTCAATTTTTTCAAAGTGTCAGCAGCCTCTGCAAGATGTGTTTTATACCTGTCCTTTCCCACCATAAATCCCAACTCATCAAAAAGCCAAACTTCATCAAATGGCTTGATGGGATGCAGGTGTTCGGCTTTGAAATTTCCATCCATAACAAATAATTGGGTGTATTTCCAGCTTGGAGTTGTTATTATCACTGAGGTGACTTTGGTATCGAACAAGAGTCACTTATCAAGTGATTCATTCCCTGACAAGGATATGTTAATCCCAGGCTAAGGACATGTGGGGCAAAACAATGTGAGATCTCCTGCATTTGGGTTGTTGGAATGATGGCCAAATCCATGCCATTTCATGGCCTTCAACTGCCTCCACTGTCAAGCAACTCTCATGAGCTCTCTGTATTGGTCCTTACCATGTGCTTTGTCAATATAATGTCCTTTAGATGATGGAGATATGGCATTACTGGAACAAGATGTGGAAACATGCTTGAGGTCATTCACTGGAGCTTGCTGTAATAGTTCATTGCTGAGGTGCCACATTCAAGGTTGTCCAATAGAAAATCATCAAGCACCATGAAGGTGAACAAAGTCTTCAGCTTGTTAAATGATGTGGGGAAAAATCCATGTTGAAACATTTGAATGTCTGGACTCATGGCATTGGGACAATCACAGCATTGAACCTCAAGGCAATGAACTCCTGACTTGTCAATGATAACCATTGTGTTTTCCTTCAGCTGGAACTTGGGTCCCAACACAGATGGTAGATCTTCAGGCTCAAGCTGGTCTTCATGTTTGTCTTCTTCAAACAAATCCCACCTATCTATGAGGACTGGACATTGTTTGCCATCATGATTGAGGTGTATGACAAGTCCAACATGAGTGAGACAACTCTGCTCAAAGAATTGACCATTCCATTGACTGATCCAGTGGAAAGGATTGCAATGATGTTGACTCCTGCAACAGCCAGTACAATAGAGTGGCTCCCCAAGACAATCTTGACATTTTTAGACCTTATCCTGGTCACAGACAACACATCTCCTATCTTCTGGTAGAGCTTCTCAATCCAGGAGGTGATGCAGATATGATTCCTGCCTTGGCAGCCATTGCCTGAGGTAGTCATTCTGACTCTGCATTTTTTATGCTTAGCTATCATTTGAATGACAATCCAACATTTTACATGAACTTGCCATGGTTTTTGGGAGTTGCAAAGGCTCAAATGAGCCTTGGTCATGCTTGTAAGCATTGTCAGGAAAGTCTTCCCAAGGAGGTAGTGCCTTAACAGGCTGAAGTGTTGGTGATTCTGGGAGAGAGTTAGGCATGAACCTGTAGGCATGTCATTTTGTGCTTACAAGTGGGACCTTGACCCAAGTTTTCCTACCTTTGCTGCCCCTTGCTTCTACCCTGTGGGATTTTTGCAATGGGGTGCATCTACCTATCTTCATCTTATTTTCTGATGTTGCAAGCAAAGCATTAGCTCAGGAAGGACAAATGAATGTTGTTCCAATATGATGTTATGCAGTCTTGATGCGTCATTACAAATTCATTTCCATTAATGGCATTGTGTCCAATATGGGTCAATTAACCAACTGTTAGGCTTTGCTCAAAGTTCAACTTGGAACCATTATTACTTCCACCTTGCTTATCCTCAGCCCATTCTGCAATCTGATTCACCATGGCAAGATCAGGTCATTCCACTCAGTTGACTTCTGGAAGACATAGGGCATGTCAACCACAGACACAGAAGCTCATGGAAAATGAAATTTCAGAGTTAAAGAACTACCTTCCTGAGTGTACTTCAGCAAAAAGAAAAGAGAAACAGGCAGTTTTCACTGCTAGGTTATTTGCTCCTAAGGTTGACCAAGCACAATGGAAGAAGAGGAAGCAGGTGATTTATCCTTGCTGTGTTGAAAAACTAAAATTTCAATATCTCATTCTTCCATCAATGCTCAGATGTACATGACTTGGTTGTTCAACAACAAGAAAAAGAAGGAAAGGAGAGAACATGATAAAGTATGGGAGGAAATGGACACCTAGGATGGTGATCTACCAGTGGAACCAGGAAGAGGTGCTACAGAGGATCGAGGATGAGTCTAGGGCAAAGCCAGGAGGTCCTGGTATGTTCAAGCATTATCAGGTGGCTGTGAAGAGAGTCATGGCTGAATTGTCTAATGACAAGTTGGAGAAGGTGAAGGAAACAGCTGAAGAATGGTCCAACAACTCTCCTCCTTCCAAGATACAGGCACAAGTCACTCATAAGAAAGGACCTGTGTATATGAAGCACTTTTTGAAGGAGATGTGGAGGCAATATGGGATGAGAGTGTTGGTGATGTCAGCTTGGAAGAATAAACAGGGTGAGGTGCTGTTTGGGATGTAAGTGAATTGTGTTGGTCATCACAGATCTTCAATCTCAATACATTTCATGCAGGCATGATGATAACGAGGCATTAGGAGATGGGGACAGCTTCATGAAGATGAAGGACTGGGAGGACATTGAGCCAGTTTGGCAGGAGTACATGCAAGAACAGTTCAGTGAGTGTTTGAACTCTGGCTATTAGAAGGAATTTGTTGATTATTGTGATGATAGGTGCTGGGACATGGAATGGAGGACAACAGATGAAGGGAGGTCAAAAAAGAATCAGAAAGCCTGCTTTCAAACTGGAAACTGATGGGGATGGGATGCCATTGCTTCCAGACATCACCTGGAATGAAACTTGAGAAGAAGAAGGCCATAGTGAGGGCATTTCTTACATTGCACTATTGTGAATCTATCATCACAACACCCAAGAATTTGTTGAATGCATGGACACAGAGATCTGTTCTGGGAGCAACAAGGCAGTCATGCCATGGAGTGCCATCATACAAAGTCAGGATGATTTTGTGACAAGAAAGTATGTTCCGGCAAATGTGGACTTGAAGGAGCCTTCCAAGTTGCAAAATTGGGACACTATGGCCTTACTTAATTTCTGGCATGCTCAGCAGGAGAAAGGCAAAGGTCTCACATTCCTGTTCAAAGCATGGAAGAACAAAGATGGAGACATGGTAGCATCAGTTGCATCTGGGAATTCACCTTCTTATTGGACTCATAAAGTCAGAAAGCAGATGATCCAAAGGCCTCAGAATTCATCAACTGACACCAAGAGTGATCCCAGGAGTAATCCCAAGAGTGACTCTCATCACATGGAGGATGATGCTGATGATGATGTGGCTGACAGTAGATCCCTGCAAAAGAGACCCAGAAGAGAGCCAGGTCCTTTAACAGCACATGAAGGGACAGCAGTCTTACATGCAATTCCAAAGCCTCACCTGGTCAAGCCAGCAAAAACTGGTGCACTGCTGACATCACGAATGGACAACTTCCTGGCTGGGTTGACTGATGGAGTCACCAGCAATGTTGAGGAGGATGTTGCAATGGAAGGGCACACATCTCTGGTGCTGAAAAACATGTGGGGAAAAAAGTGGTGATTAAGTCATTAGCAAGGACAACCTGGAGTAAGTCAATGCAACAGCCATCAGACAGTACCCCTTGAGTGACTAGAGCAAGGGGAAAGAAGTAATGGACTTATACTATACTCCCTGCCTTTATGTATATATCAATGTTATTCAATCTCTATAGCTCAGGAGTTCCTGAGTGTCAAACACTGAAGTTTAATTCTCACTTTGGCTCACCAAGTCCTGAGTGTTGAATACCAAAGTTCAATTCTCACTTTACTGAGGATGACCGAGTCCTGAGTTCAATCATTGAATTGAACTTGGGACTCAGTCATCCTCAGTAAAGTGAGAATTAAACTTTGGTGTTTGACACTTGGGAACTCCTGAGCCTCCAGAACTCAATTGGAAATGGAAAAGGAATGTGTCACAAATTCAGTTGTTTACATGATGTGGGTATGTTAATGAAAATTTGGAAGTTTACATGTGATTTGACTACTATCAGAAATTTGGTAATTTACATTTGAATTTGATCTTCAAACTGATTGATCAGGGAATCTACTACCTTGAGCATTTTGATGCTCATCTGTTGAGCTCTTTGCAACCTCTGGAGGTCTGCATTAGCTTTTCTGAGTTTGTCAGAAGTTTCTGCCCAAGCCATCTGGAAGGGTCACTTGGCCTCAAGTAGCAGTGGAATGGAAGGATCAAGAAGATCCCCAGTACAGTGTTTGTAATCACCAAGTTGATCTTGAACAGATTGCACTTGTAGAAAAATTAGTCCAAAGATAAATGATCTACTGTGTCAGATACTCACACCCAGTGTGTTCATATGACCCAAATGGTCAGAACTCCCAGACCATCAAATGTAAATCTTCATTAGTGAGCTCTGGCCATTGTGAATGAAGTCCAGTAGATGTTTTGTCTGCTTGGGAGATACATTAAGTATCTATAATCCTCTGGAATGAATGGACTCACATGACATAAACACTTCTGATGCAGCCAGAGCATCAATCTTAGGATCAGCAGAATCCAGCAACTCATCAACATTGATGATATCATCCTCATGCCTGAGATACAAGTCTGGATTGATGGGAGAACCTGGATGATCAACTTGAGCCAGAGGTGATTGATCTGCAAGGGTTTAGTGAGCATGAATGATGATCCTCCATCTTAATGAATGTATAAACTCACTGGTTATTGCAGCCAAGACATCCAGTGATCTGGATGACGCAGAATCATATCCTATGTCATCATCTGGCCCAAGGTATAGATCATCTAAGTGATATCCAGTAAATAGATAAGGCATGATAAAAATACAACATACCTAGTGATACCTGGGACACAGAGGACTCATCCACATCCATTGAATTGTAGTTGGTCACCAAAGGGTCATGAAATCAAACAGCTGACTGTGGGCTCATGTTGTGTGGGGAACTTACTGATTTGTTGACTGATAATTGAAAAAACTTCAAAGTTCAACACAAAACCGGCAATTGCCAAAAGTTGAACCATGACCAAACAAAGACAATCAATCATCCGGACCTCTGGACCTCCTGTCCCTCATACCTCCAGGCATCCTGTCCTTCGGACGTTCCATCCTCCTAACCCTTGGACATCCTGTCCTTCTGTCCTCCATCATCCTGTCCTCCTGTCCTCCAGACCTCCAGACCTTCAGATCTCCTATCCTTCCATCCTGTTTCCTGTAGAAGTATTACCTTGCAGTGGGAACTCTCCCGCACTCCTCCGGACTTCATCGGACCATCATTAGACCTCATATGAAATGAAGGGCACATACTTGGGTAAGGGGCACAGCGTACGAGCTGAGGCCAAGCCCCTCTGAGTCAGTCTCTCTCTCCTTTGAGCAACATGGTTCTTAATACCTGGAGCCTGAGGTGGAAGGGAGTTGGAAGAGGAAGTCTCCCATGATTTTGGTACTCTCCTCCCAACCACTGAAGTCTGCGATGAAGACTCACAAGCATGCAAAGTCATCTTGCTTTGTGAAGTCTAAGCCCCTCATGGAGTCAGAAGATGAGGAAGACATGAGTATTCAGGTATGCCATCTGGTTCATCTTTGACTTGTCTCACATTTTCTTGTAGCCATTTTTGGGTGGAGTGCTGGATGTTGTCCTTCCCCAGCTCTCCAATTCGCCTTGATCACCCCAGGTTGTGATGAAAAAACCCTTTGGCCCTGCTACAGTAAGTCACATTTATGCATTTGGGACTCGGGTGTATGCTTACAATGTAGCAGGTGATTACCAGCAGTCACCTGGCAGTTATCAAGCCCTCCCAGCTGACTCCCAAAACACTGGTGCAGGCACTCCTAGCCATCAATGCAGGTGATATTCTCATTCCTGGACTGGTGAGTACTTTAATTTATCTGAAGTATGTCCATTCACTAACACAACCCACAGAACAACCCATGCCAGGTTTGCACCAAGCTAAACTGGCCCTGCACAACTTGGTTGGACAAGAGGACCAGGAATCCATGTATGTCATGTGTCCGCTGCACAACAAAGAAGATCAAGTGCATCCCTGTGACTCTGGGTACCCTACTGAAATGCATTCATGCTTCCTCTACCACCCAGAACATGAGGTCCAGGACACCTTCCAAGGCTCCTTCCAAAGCTCCCCCTGCCTTCCAATCCAAGGCCTAAACTCACAATCAGTCTCATGGCAAGTCCAGAACTCTGGGTGTCACTGCTGTGACAACTCCCAAGACCCAGACACATGGTCGCAGCAAGACCATCACTGCCATCAAGGCACCTGCACCTGCACCAGCTTGTAAGTCACCCAAGTTTTTTTTTCATCACTGTCTGACCTTGATTTTTCCTTGTAGCACTTCTGTCTTCAAGTTCAGCAGTCCCTGCTTCAGCACCCAGTCTGGCAGTCCCTGCTGCAGCACTCAACCTGCCCATGCCAGATCTCCATGCCATGGCAATTGTGATTCAGGATGGTGCAGCTCACATCGCCATTCTTGAGGCTCATGTGGCAGAGCAGGATGGTAAGATTGATACCCTGCAATGCCTCCATGAAGGCCTTAGGCATGAAATCATCAACCAGCACCCCACATTCCCAATTCCCAAACCTCCAGCCAATGCAACATCCTTGTTGCTTGATCAATCCATCCCTGTGTCCATGTCACCATTTGAATCTGCACTCCCTCCTCTCATTGATCTCTCAATGAGAGAGATGATGCCCACACCCCTGAAATTCAAGGATGCCTCTGCCATTAAGGGCCTCCTGTTTGAGTATAACCAGGTTGTTCAACCAGAGGTTCCAGATATGTCCAGCAAAATTGTGGACCCAGGTGATCTGAGCAACCTTGTCCCCAGAATATGATTCTTCCAATGACATGGATGTTGAGGTGAAGGTTGAAGCATCTTCTGAGGAGGTTGACATGGCTACATAATTGCATAGTGATAGATGTATATACAAGTTTTCCAATGAATGTTACCTCTGCCAGTCCATTTATTGAATCACCAAGTGTTGAGTACCAAGTACTGAAACCTGAAACTTAGAAACAAACATCAAAACTCAAAACTCATACATTTTTACAAGTTTCAAGTTTCAAGTCTCAAATCACTGAGTCCCAAAACCCAAACATCAAACCCCAAACATCAAAACCTGAGACTCAGGAGTCATAAAAATGTAAAACTCATATATTTTTATGAGTTTTGAGTTTCAAGTCTTGAATCACTGAGTCCTAAAACCTGAAACCTGACACCTGAAACCCAACACTCAAAAGTTGTAAAAGTGTATGAGTTTTGAGTTTTGAGTCTTGAACCACCAAGTTCCAAAACCCAAAACTTGAAACTCAAAAAAATATGAGTTTCAAGTTTCAAGTCTTGAGTCTCAAATCACCAAGTACTGAGTACCAAGTACTGAAACCTGAGTACCAACACCTGAAACCTGAACATCAAAACTCAAAACTCTTCATTGAGTACTGAATACTGAATGCTGACACCCAAAGTTGTTTCAGTACTCATTATTTGGTACTTGGTGAAGAGTTTTGAGTTTTGATGTTCTGGTTTCAGGTGTTGGTACTCAGTGATTTGAGACTTGAAACTCAAAACTCATATATTTTTTTGACTTTTGACTTTTGGGTTTCAGGACTTGGTGATTTGAGACTTGAAACTTGTAAAAATGTATGAGTTTTGAGTTTCGATGTTGGAGTTTTGAAGTTTTGGGTTTTAGGTTTCAATATTCAGGGTTTGATGTTCAGGTTTCAGGACTTGGTACTTGGTAATTTGAGACTCAAAACTCAAAACTTGTAAAAATGTATGAGTTTTGAGTTTCAAGTTTCAAGTTTTGGGTGTTGGGTTTTGGGTGTTGGGTTTCAGTGCTTGGTGAATGTCAGACATGGTGTATTCATGCTTTCAGCTTTCTGTGGTCAATGGTAGGTATATGCACTCATATAGGGGTATGTACTCCATGTCTTCAATTCTCTGGTGCCTACATCAGCAAATTGATTTGTTTCTTATCCAACTATCTAAGCCCAGTTATGTTTATGTGTGATAGCAACTACCTCGCCCCACTCATTGATATAATATATATCACTACCTCAGCCTATATGTCCATACATCCATATAGTATACAAATACCTTGGCCCTTATGTCTATGGACCGTCTTCCAAGGTATCACTGGATTCTGAGTTGACAGGGCGCTTGGCTGTGTTGACTTTGATCAACATTGACAGAATCTGAGTCTGAATGTCATTGATGACTCAGATCAAAACTAGTGCAACAGCATTGCTCATATGTCCATATAGTATACCAATACCTTGGCCCATATGTCTACATGATATGTATCTGGGCCCACCTGTCTATGTAATATGCCCCCACCTTGGCCCACCCATATATATAATAAATATTTCACCACCCCATTGGCCCACCTGTATATATAATAAATATTTCACCACCCCATTGGCCCACCCATCTATATAATAATATCTGCCATATATCTCTCTTTAGCCCAGCTGTCTATAATATATGTCTATCCTACTCTACATATTGCCCAGATGGGCTCACCCATCTCCATCAGTAATAATATTTCTCCTGGCCCATCTGCCATTGTTGAGGATATTTATAACATTGGCATAGATGGGCTCACCCATCCCCATTGGAAATAATATCCCTCCTGGCCCACCCATCAACATCAAGGATATACATAACATCAGCCCATAGTCTGCTGGCCCATCTTATATGGGATATTATGTGGGTCGGGTGACCTATATAATATGGAGTTTGTCACTGAAGGGACTCTCAAACAACCCTCAGATTATTACTGCTTCCCCTTGTGGCCCTTCTAGTGAGATGGAATGTATGAATAGTACTGCTTCTTCATGGTCCATCTGGTCCTTAATTGTTGTTATGTGCCCTGCTGAGTACATCTCTTTGTGTGTGAGGACAGGCGCTCTAGCTAGAGTACTTTTGGTATTTCGGGTCAGCATAGTGCTTCTTTCTATGCTGACCTGCTGGCTTTTCCCTCATCCTGCTCTGATATCTCTTTGATCCAGGCTGCAGTGTACTCCAGGGTCTGGTTGGTAACGAGTGATATTGGGGTAACTGTTGCTTGATTGAACAGACCTAACACTTTATTCACAATTGCTCTCCAAGCAGCCTCTTTGCAGGAGAGTCATTCTGCATGGTTTGCTGGTAGTACACAGTTCTGACCGTTGTATCCATGAGTTCCACAATTGAAGCACTTGCTTGAGGCAATGACTGTGGTCCCTGGCTTTAGGGAGTATCCTGTCTCCTGTGTGACCCTTGTGTGCTCTCCCCACTTTGTGTTCCATTGTGCAATCTGTACTGTGTATGCTGCCTGACCTGCTAGAGTGTCTAGGTAGTGTATAAATGATAAGACAAGTTGCTGTATTGCATTCTTAAGGTCTTCCTTGATCATGAGCAATTGGGGGGATGTTACTGGCTGATGGGTGAATGTGGGCTGCTGGTATTGGTTCATTTGGGAGGTAGGCATGCATAAAACAGTGCTATTGCCTAAGGGTGTGTTTGGTGCTTTCATAGGGTTGATGGACATTTGCAAGAGCTGGTTCTGGAGTGCTACAAGTGAGTTCTGTGTAGGATTGCACTGTTGTAAGCACACAACATCTACACATAGCACATTGACTTCATATTCTTGTCTGTTATACTGCTCCTTCTTCTCTAGGAATCTATTGCCCTTGAGTCCTTTGACCTCCATTGTGAATGCAGCCCAATCCACATACTCATCAGCCTTTAACAGATCTTTGATGATGCTTGGCAGTTGCCCTCTGACCTGCCAAATTATTGAAGTGCTTGCTGCAATCCCTGCTCTATTAGCCAGCTGCAATGCCTTGGTCACCCAGGCTTCATGCATCCAGCACTCTCTGTTGTACAGTGTGGTCTTTGTTCCCACATCTGTGTCTGACAAGAGGTGTTCCATCAGTTCCCTTTTGAACTCTGCCTTAGTCTTCTCTGTGACTATAATTGGCAGCCATTGAACTTCAAATTTGACTACAAATGCTGCCCAGGTTGCTTTTGAACTTGCTGTGAGCACTTTAAACCATATCTCTGCATCTGACCCTGTCCCTAGATAATTACCAAATGCTTCTATCTTGTCTGTGAGCATGGTGATAGACTGTTGTCTCATGGCCTGGTTGAATGACTTGAGGAAGTCCATTGGGTTCTTTGACTTGCATCCATCTCTATGAAAGATTTTTGGCATTTCTGTTGGCATGTTCTTCTGTTGTGCAAGTGCAAAGAATATGTCAAGGTCATAGTCAGGGATTATTGAGGTAGATCTGAGTGCTTTTATTTTTGTGTAGCATAGTAGTGGCTCTATGTAGAGTTTGGGTAGCTCTAAGTCTATGACTGGGACATTGAGTTCTGGGAATGAGATGATGTTGTGTTCCTCAATGCTACTGAGTGAGATAAGCGATGAACTATGGGAGTGTTCTTCTGATATATCAAGTGGGGAGGACACTTCAGAGGTTGCTGTTGATGAGTTTGCTTTCCACAAGCCTGCTTTCTTTAAATCTTTTTCTGTTGTTGCTTGTCCATCGGCTTTTCTGCACCTTAAGCTATGTTTCATCAGTTTCTGATAGTGGTCCATGTAAAATGACAGCCTGATACAGTCCTTTTTTGTATTGTGCAGGTGTCTTTTATGGACACCTGCTGTCTAGCTTAGCCTTCTGGCATAACATGACGTAAATGGGGGCTTTTGTTTGATATGTACTTGTTGGCGAGCACATTGTCTTCTGGTGCTCTAACTTGCAACCAAATGTGCTGTCTAGTATGGCTGAGGCTTTTTGTTTTACTGAGGTGCAACTGAGACTGCAAGCTGAGACAAATGCTAAGGTGATAAGATTTGGCAAGTTCAAATATTCTCTGTTCACCACATTGGAGCAGGGGCCAGCAGCCTAAGCCTAGAGCAGAGCTGATGAGTGAGTGAGATGATGATTGTGTAAGCTATGTGCAAGCTAGCTGTGCTACTGGCTGACTAAGCTATGGAAGAGGCTGACTGACTCTTGGTGCAAGGCTCTTGCCTTTGGGACCCCTGATCCAGTGTCTGACCAGATCAGTGCAGCAGATCATGAGTCTAGCCAGCCAGCCCAGCAAAATAACCATGAGGAAGTACTTGTTGAGTTGCACATGGAGACCAGGAAAACTGACATACCTGCAGATGCAAATAATTCATCCTGGGCTGTGAGGAATCCAAGCTGACCTGTGCTAACATCTCAGGCCCCACTTAATGCTACACAGAAGGCATAAGCCAACACACAAAGAGCTTCCTGCAAGATTTCATCAGAACAATGGAGGGAAGCTGACAATGTACTCACTGCCACAATTCAATTGCTACTTGCAGAGCAGAATGAGAAGATTGAGGCTATTATGCTCAAACATGACATCACTCAAGACAAGGTCAACAAACACATTGGAGGCAAAAAGCACTACAAGGGGCATTGTAATGTGCAACTCGCCAATGCTCTGATGCACACAAAAACCCAGGAAGTCAACACAGGTTGGTTTTTGTGTTTTTAAATTCATCATGTATGATACTCATATAAACAAAATAGATTGTCCTCACAGGGCAAAACATACACTTGACAAGATTCAAGAAATGGTGAATGATGATGAGACTTTGCAGAACCTATCACCCAAGGATCAGCTGTTATGAACTAGGATTATTGTAACAACAGCAGCTTGATAAGAGCAATGGCTGAAGTTAAGTCAAGACCTTGCAAATGCAAGGGTCGTAAGACAAGACAAAGAGAGTGTCTCCAGCTTGAATATCAGTTCAGATGACTTAGGATTGGAGGTCCTAAGCGAAGGAATGTTCAGGTGAAAACCTAGTAGATTAAAGTGAAGAACTACAGGACACATCATCAACTATATATAGTGAATCGTAGTTACTTTAGGGCAGGCATGGGATTGATGATGAGTCAGAGATAAGGAGATAAGAAAGGACACATAAGCAATAAGTGATGAGTCATCTAGTGATGGCAGCAGTAATCATGATGTAATACAAGAATGAGTCAGAGATAAGTCTAGCGGTGGCATCATGCAGCTCATGATGTAATACAAGGTAAAGAAAGAAAGAAAATGAATAGGGGTGCACATGATTGTAACATCAGCAAGAATACATCAACCAACTTAATGAGCACCATGCCCTGCAGAATATAAGTGTTCATGAAAACAACACAGTGGCAGCCCATGATACTCAATCCACCTTAGATAATGTTTTTAGGATGGTAGGTGTGTTACACCACTTTCTAATACCTGACAAATTCATAGCTCAATGCTCTTGCTGTTCAAACTGGAATTTATGCATGTCTCTTTGCCTCTCATGGACATGTGTATGATACTGCTCAGGCAACATGGTTTGGGATGGACAATGTCATGGACTTTTGGGAGGATGTCCTCCAAATGGAGGCTGATGAAATTGCAAGGAAATTGGAACAATGGGTGTGTATGGCAGGCCAAAGTGTGTTACTTCACTTTTTTACTGGATACTTATGCTAATATATTCACAGTAGACATTGACAAATACAAGACAGTGCAGAATATACAATGTGTTTGCACTCATCTCCTTAATTCAGGTTTAAGTGCATTCCCCCCCTTCATTGTATCAAAATAAATGCTAACTGTAAGGTTTTTAGGGACTATAGCTAAAAGGCGTGATGTTCAAATCAACTATGCAAACTTCAATATTGCTATCAAGGAGAGGCTTGGGATCAATGTCAGAGGTTGGCCTGAGGGCATACCATTCCAGTCCCTGACCAGCTTAAATGATCTCAGTGCCCTCCAGAAAATCCATGATGCATTGAAGGATGGCTCCTGCTGTTGGTTCAGAATGTCTCCACATCAATGAGACGAGTACAGTTCCCAACTCACTGCACACTGCAAGAAAGGGGAGGTCATTGGCAAGCCACACAAGAAGCATGGTGATGCAGGTGTGCCATGCAAATGCAAGGGCAATGGCAAGGAGAACACATGTCTGAGGAAGCAAGTACAAGCATTGGGATCATCTATGCAAGCTCCAAAGAGTGCAGAATTTGTGGAGACAACAGACAAAGATGACACCAGTGAGGAAGAAGTTTAATTGTATAATTCATGATAGCTTAGCACTGAAAGGCTTGTTATTTGACTGAAAACAATGTATACAACTATTGGCTACCTATTGCAAAAGTCCGCTCTAAATTTGTGTTCATTTCGATGAGATACATGAGCTCACCATTGAGCACAGCGAGCACAAAGGTTCCGACATCGACAGCGGCTATGCCCGGTGCCGCCGGCATCTAAATATGGCAGCAGGCACACGGGTCACAGTAGCCGAGCCCCTCATAGTGCCAAGTACTATCCATTCACCCCCCAAGGCCCTTCAGTATTGAATAATTATTCATTTGGGTGTGTACAGCTAGAAACCGGTCTACTAAGACCTGCCATCAGGGCCCGCTGTCACGTCTAATTAGGCCCGGTACGTGGGAACATCAGGTGCCTCAACGTCATTATTACACAAACTTGGGACGGAATGGTCCTGAGGGGCCGAACCATTTTCCGTCAACCTGTGGCGTACGGCGCAGCATAAGATACTCCGATAGCCCCGTACGAACTGTTTCAAAGACTCACCATACGGTTCCAGTATGCCCAAGGAAAAAGGTCCTAAGAATGGCACAGACAATAAGCCTATTTTAGAAGCTACAACTCCAATTGTACTCCGTACCTTTTTGAAGTGATAGAATAATCTGAGCGATGTGGCGGGTTCAATGCAATGACGCAAGTGGGAATCACAAGGGACAAACCTTCTCCGTTTTGTTTGATCGCCCAGGTAATTGGCAAAACTCTCTTTGGGCACAAGTTCATACTTGAACTCGGCTAGCATCAATTCCCCATATCCCGTCAAAAGCTAAAGTTGAAATTTGGTCAAGTGGACAGTGTTATTAGGAGGTAGACGGACCGGACAACTGGTATAGCCATCGTACTTGGCACTGCTCACTTTGCCGGTGTCCATAACCGAAAACAAATTCTCCGTTAAGACAGGGGCTTGGGATGTAATGGCGGCAACCGTTTTGCTAGTGGGTAGGGAGGAGCAATCACCCAAGGCAAATATGTTTCCGAACTCGGGCTTGACATGTCTGAGAGTTGCCTGATCGACTTCTACCCAGCCCGCTGGATCAGCGATGGGCGATCCTTTGATGAAGTCTAGCGGTCCCATCGGCGGTGTGACATGCAGGAGGGTGAAATCACGATCCACAGTCGAACCGTCAGCCTTCTTGAAAGTTGCTTTCCTGTTCGACGCATCGATGGAAATTAAGTTATGTTGGAACTCTGCTCCGATACCCCGCTCGATGCGCAGGGCGTTTAGGGCATCCGAATACTTCTTGACGCTAAACATGGTTGGCATGCCAGTCATGAAGTCGATTTTGATGTTATTTCCACGCCCAGATTTCTGGTATCTGTCCCAGGCCATCCACATGATTTTCTGCGGAGCTAAAAGACGGTAAGCAGCCACCATACACAGAGAAATTTGACTTACCTCCTGCACATTTAATGACACCTGCAGGTTGTGTAAAAATAGCATTTCCGGATCTAAGAGCATCTACGTCGTTCCATACTTTGTCGCAAGTATCATAGGAGTATATTGATGAAACACCAGAGGAAGGATCAGCGAGAGCCTGGGGCAAGCCAGCGATGCCGTCCCAGTTTATCTTCAAACCTGCTGCCACTACAAGCGAATCATATGAAATTGTCCGACCTGAGGTTGTCGTAACTGACGAGGATTCCGGGTAGAATGACTTGACATTCTCTGCAATGTGCATGATATGTGGCGGGAATAGGGACGCGAGCGGTCGTCTGAAATCTGTTTTGCGGCCAAGACCAGCACCCACCAAAGTCCTGGAGGATACGTCAGGTGTCGTATCACAGTCTATGGATAAAAACCGTCACCAGCCAGGCTTGAAAGGAGGAGCCATCAAAAAGTAGCATGAGTATGTTACTGATTCTGAGCGCTTACTTGATAGTAGTGATAGTCTGCTGCATCAAGGACCACCACATCTCCTGCATTCAAAGGCTTTCCAGCAGCCTTGAAGCGGTTGTATATCTGGTTGGCAACAGTCAACCCACCAGAACCTGAAGATTCGTCAACGTTAATCAAAGAATTCCATCAATTGTACGCACCTGCTCCGATAACAAGCACTCGAAACTTTTCCTTGGTGCTCGTACTGGCATACCTAGCTAGAGCGAGAGTTTGTCGAGCACGTGGACCTGCTACACGCCGATACGCAGATAACATATTTGACATGATGGTAGTGAAACAACGAGGCGCAAGTTATGAATATTTTGATTCCAGGCCACACTGATGTAGAAGGTCTTGCGACATCGGTGCCTGGTATCACAAGAAAGTAATTACATAATTGATCTCTCCTCGAGCACTTCTTACTTGTCGGTGACACTATACAGCTAGGGGTGTTTCAATTAATTGATTTTGAAAGACTCGCCGAGAGAGTGCTCAGCAATCAAATTCGATTTCAATGTCAGACATGCTTACTATTCACTATTATGTAAGCGCTTTCTGTCGACAACACTACTTGAAGTCGACCAACAACGCTCCTTATTCTTATTTACGTTTCATCCAGCTGGACTGGATACTGTACATTAACATCCTTTTAATCTCTTTATCTTTTCGTTCCATACATCACTCACACGCTGGTCGTCCATGCAATCGAACCGTCCTCCCCTCCAGGCTGGAAAGCTCGGCCTGCCAAGTTCCCCCGCATGCACTCGTCTCAAGAGAGACGCGCCTTTCGTGGAAGGTCACTCGCGAAACCAGAGCCAGCCCATTTCGTTCACTACTACTCGTTCGTTACGCCCTCATAGGGCCGTCCATGTCTCCCGGGTATCCACTCGCTCTGGGCCTCGTACTATAGGAACCACTTTTGATTCTCGCTCCAAAGTACCTGCAGGCAGCCGCGACTCAAGCACTTCGGCCGGTTCCGAATCATCTACTTCATCCTTCTCATTCCAGGGGAGAATGAATAGTCAATTATCTTCGTCCACTAGCTTGGGGATTGTTTTGAGCCGCCAGACAAATCCAATAGACCTGATAAGTCATTCAAGACCGATTCGGATCAACATGAAGGTTCGCGATTCACAGTTTCATATTTCACTCTTCTGTTTATACTGTAATCTCAGACCCCCAGCATGGTAGATATTTTTCAATATTGGAAAATGGTGATAGTATATGGAATCGTGTCGCTGCGGCTGCCAGTGTCTTGACAGTCAATGTCAATAAAGCATGGTATTCAAGGATCCTCGCCTCAGACGACGAAGGTGGGTGTACATCAATCGTTACCCTTTGTGGTCTTGCTAAGTTTTCTATCATAGAAACGGCTCCTGGACGTGACTCGCATTTGATCCGCGTAATGAAAGCTTATCATCTTGCAAAAGCCCGTCACCCTTCAGATCTTCCTGACTGGCTCTTTGACGAGCGTGAACGGAAACCATCTCTCAGTTCTCGCTTCAGAGAGTCGCCAAGAGGTGCAGCATCTCACGCCCAATCTCTGTACCCTCCAGCGCTCCGTCATGTCTATGACGACACGGCCTCTCTTGCACCACGAACAAACCATTCACACACCACATCCCATGTCCTCACTTCCCCAGAAAAGACAGGTTCATCAAAGGCCGCGGATCGCCTGAAGGCATTCAGGGACGCAAAGCGTGCTGATTTGGGTGTGCGGCACGTTTCATCCAAGTCGGAGAGCTCGTCCTGCTCTCCATCACGAACTTATACCAACGTGGATGCACGTCATAATGACAGTCAGCAGGGCGTATTGTCTTCTCCTACCAGACGACCCGTACTGTCGGCTCAGCCGTCAAAGCCAGGCGCATTCTGATTCAGTTGGCATACCAGTCTTTCTCAGTCCTGAAGTAAGTTTCTATGAGCGCTCAGACACGTATGGATAAACATTTTTTAAATATCCTGTGTAACTTGGGTGTCATACATGTATGTACGGGTGTTTTAGACTTAGTTGACTTGACGGTCGAATATATGGATTCGTTTGAACACCTAGATTTTATCTTATCTTTATTATTGGTGAGTTCCGACGTTCCAAATCGAATACCTACAAAACTGACGTGACTTGTTATTGGAAATTCACAAGTCTGACAAAATTATGAGACCTTGGTTGCGATGAAGATAAGCTCCACACCGTTCCGCTGCTCGTACTGTAGCGTGCCGTTTCCAGAGAGACCAGTTGACACCGAGACAACTCCGCTAACCAATTTTTCAGGTGACGAAGACAAGATCTGCTGAGCAATGTTTAACTACCTTCCTTGCATTCAGGACTTCGAAGTAAGATTTACCAGCTAAATGTTCAAGGACCAGCTCATCGTGGATAGAGACTGTACTGTGGATTAGCCAGAAAACTCATAGTCTGTTCTTGCACGTAAGATCTCTCAAGTGACTCCAGTTACAGGGCGGAAATAGCCAGTTCCACCAGGTTCCACCCCGTCGACAACGGACGATCTTCGATCGAGAATTGTCCACCCCGAGTTCGAGTCGCTATGGTAAGTTCTGACACAAGGGCGAGACAGTCCTACTTAAACCTCGACCCCTGACTGTCAGGTCTCTTTACCTTTTCGACCTCTTCATCGACCCTCCTTCTCCTTTCTGTTGTCTTAGTCGAGTTGACTCTCGGCTCGCACACTTCGGGGTTCGTCCGTGATTTTTCTTTGCAGCTTGAGCTAAGCCCTGCTTCTGGTGCAGATCACTCTCTTTGATAGAGCAGGACTTCGCTACTCCTAGAGGGAGCACTACGTGCGCTCAGTCGCCAGTAGTCTTTGAACAAGGATTTTTTTTTTCAGTTTTCAAAATGGTCTTTATTGCGCCTCTTCTAAGCGCTGCAGCGATATGCGCCACCATAGCAGGGGCTGTTCCTCAACTTGATAACTCCCCCCGGCATGAATCACCTGCGTATGTGTTTTTTTTCCTTGTTTAAGATTTTTCTCATTCGAATGACAGTGCTACCTCGAGGACCACACCTGCCATGGGCGCTATGGTCACCCCTCGCTCCGAAGGAGGTTCATATGGCGATTCACAGGGAAGCCCACAAGGTGATTCACAGCAAGGCGGGGGTTATATGGACACGAGCATGACGATGGCGACATCTACCATGGAAGATTATGGTGGTATGGGTGGCACGCAGACGTCCATGACAATGTCCACAAGTTCTGTCGTGAGCGACTGTAGCAGTATGGCCAACATGGGTGACTCCAGTAGCATGGGCAGCGTAGCGACAACTTCAACACCCGATGCCACGTCGACTGCTATGAACACCTACTCCACACCAATGTACACCTACTCCACGTCCACCTACTCCACGCCTATGTTCACCTACTCTACACCCATGTACGGCTCAGGCAGTTCTGGAGGTAGTGACGGTGGCTCAGGTTATCAGAGCTGCATGCAGAGTGAGTTTGCGCGAATTTTGGGCAGCAACAACATGCTAATACCTCTGGTCAGTGTGTGCTGCATCTTATGCCGCTCCTACGATGGCATCATCTACGTGGTCCGCTCCCCCCGCCACGACTACTGCAGCGGGTGGTTCTGGTTGCACACACACCGTTATTGTTGCTCCTACCCAGGGCGTTCTGCGATATGTGCCTTTTGCCATCAATGCATCTGTTGGTGATACCGTCGCATTTGTCTGGAATGCCAACACACACACTGTTACAAAGTCATCCGAACTGGCGGTAAGTCTGTTCATGAATATCGATTTCGAATCAATATCTTAGACGCTTTTTAGATTTGTAATAAAACTTCGGACATGCCATTTGCTTCTGGGGTGCAGAATAGGAGCTTCGTTTGTACGTGTCTGGAGCCAGAAATTTGATGGAGAGACTGACCAGCATCTTAGTCACCCAAAAGGTCAACGACACCAATACAACATTCTACTACTGTGGAGTTCCTGGACACTGTCAGAAAGGAATGTTCGGTATCATGTATGATTCTTTCTTGTTTGACGTGACAGTTATCTAACTCATGGTCTCAGAAACCCTCCCAATGCTCTAATGGGTAGCAATGGAACGGTCTCCAGCATGATGCCTGTCATGGCTTCAAACGTGAGCACTGACTATATTTTTTTGATTTCCTAATCTCAATTGTCGCCAGAGCTCGAACATGACCGCAATGATTCAGTACACAAATATGGTGACGGCGAACAATACCATGGCTGGCAATTGGGGTGGAAACATCGACATGAGTGGCATGCCTCCATCGTCCTACCAATATATGCTCGAAAATGTGATGTAAGCTCTTAATTTTTCTCCCGTGCCGCCTGACATGACGCTTACGCATCTTGCACAAGGTATACGCGAACCTTCTTGGCCGCCAACCCGGAAGTGTTGTCAGCAGACGGTGTCGACCTGTCTAGCGCAGGAACCACACCACTCATAGTTCCAAACGACATTACCACCGCTGCCACCAATTCCTCCACATCTTCTGGGTCCCCCACTTCAGGATCACCGACTGCAGGGGCTACTGGCAGCAGCCCCTCACCAGCCTCGACAGGTGGTGCTGGGAGCCTCGGTTCACCAAGCATTCTCGTCAGCGTTGTTGTCGCCTCCCTTGCGTTTGTCCTATGAACGTCCTATAGTGGTTGAACGTGAAGTTGGCCATCTTTCTAACTTCTATTATTTGTTCTCATTTGGCAGACTGTTCGTCCTCTTACGCTAATACACTTCGTACCAACTAGAGTGATGCTGTTCATTGTGAACTTTTTTTCACCAGCCAGGCGCTGCGTTTTGTTTTGAACCATACTTAGCTCTGCTATCTTTGCATTAGCTTGCGTAGAGACACAGCAATGGATGTAGTTATAGAGAAGCTGGAATCCAAGTAGAGTCGAACGATATCTTCTGAATATCATGAGAAATGAAGTTCAGCTAAAAGCCGAATATATCGTCAATTTCATCTTGTTTCTCCCTGGCCTTCTTCGATCGCCCTTGGTCGGCAGGAGTAGATGATATCTTCCGCTTTGTCACAGTTTTGTCTTTTCGAGTGGACGATGTGGTAACAGTAACTTTTTCTACCACTGATGGCTCCGACTGATTAGATGCAATGTTGCAGGCACGTCGTGAGGGAGATGGCAACGTACCGACTGCAGCTTGCAAGGAATCAGAGTTTATGCTCCTAGCTTTTCTTATAACGGCCCTAGCATCGACCGATGTGGATGATGGTAGGTCAAGCGTCTCCTCTCTAGAAACAGCGGAACCAAAGTCCTCCAGAGGAATATCCGGATTAATGGTAGGAGTTGGCTGGTCACTCTGACGAGACAAAAAATGTTCCGACGTCTTGGAAGTCCTCGATCCAGCTATGAAACTCGGTTTGTGGGTCGGCTAGGAGATCACAGTTAGAATCAAACAACAACTGGTAGAAATAGACCAATTTACGTCGATAGCACTCAGTACTCGATCACAGGTAGCCTCGCAGCCTCGGACACAATCACTCATTTCAGTCAGCAAAGTCGCCATTCTTGAAGCAAGTCCAGCAAATAGTACAATTAGTTGAATGAATGCACCAGACTGCATTGCAAGGGAAAAATGGCTTTACCAAGCATTAAGCAATTAAAGATGCACAGATTGCCAGTGACTTACTAATAAGCTTCTCGAACTCGTTCAGATGTCTGTGAACAGCCATTATTAGGGCTACATACAGTAATATCTGCTCACTCACTTTGAGTATCAGGCAAGAATACGCCTTAAACCTCTCAGTGATGAAAGATACATATGACCAACTTGGGATATGATTCCAAGACCCTCTCATCAGTTTTTCGCTGTAAATGCTCGATCGCCTCATCGCATTCGCAAGCCAAATGAAATATCACACCTCTGAACAACGGTAGCACCATAAAACGATGCTCTAAGGAGATGCACATCCTCGGTCATATTTACTTCTAGCAGTCGCCAGCCATAACGTCTGATCTCCGAGATACGTTTGAAGAACAAAGCCGCTCGATGCTGATTTTTGCTTCTGTAGTAAAGCCTTTCGAGCACCTGCATTTCGTCCTGGTAGCTGGCGAGAGCGGCTTGCAACCGACGTGAACATGCTTTCAGATCTTTGAGAATGCCGTCAACAGTAGAGTGCAAGGAATTCTCGAGGGAACCCCTTTCTGAGAAAGAGGTAACTGTTGGAGCACAACTGCGCACGCGTCGTGCATTCATTTCGAGCTAGGATAGTTTGACAGAGTCCTCAGAAGTTAGGGCCATCTGCAGTTACCGGAAGCAAAATGTGATTGACAGTATTACGTACACATACGTAGGAAAGTTGACGTTAACAAAGTAGTAAATACTACTTCGGGTTCTCTATTCTTTCATCCACTGAGGACCAGTTTGCGATGTCCACGCAACAGGGTCAAGATGCCAAGTTCTTCCAGCGCGGAAAGATCGAGGTGCGACACTCTCAGACGGGTCGACTGGAACTCGGTGACGAACTTGATCATGTAGGAGTTCCGCGCTGAGCTGCAAGCCGCGGAGGCAAAGGATAAGAAGTACCAGAAACGAAAGACCGTCCTGAAGAAGATTGTGGCAAACATCACGATGGGCAATGACAGTGAGTATTCAAGATTCACGGTATCACTCGCTCATACATATGCGACATATACCCCAGTGTCACCTCTATTTCACGACGTAATTCAATGCATTGGAACCCCGTTGTTAGAGATTAAGAAGAGTGGGTAGGCATGTCCTTATAGTCAATATCATGCTGATGCCGCTACAGTGGTATACCTTTTCCTCGTCAGCTATGGGCGCTCGAAACCAGATCAGATACACCTCGTCATTCCTAGTTTCCTACAGGTATTGAGTTCATATTTGCCGTACAGGCTCATTCTCTAATGTGCTATAGGACTGTAGCGATCGTAACCCTCTCATACGAGCACTCGCAATCCGAACAATGTCCTATATTCCCATACCTGTGGTCACAGAAGCACTCGGTGATCAACTACGACATTGTCTCAAAGATCGTGACCCATATGTTCGCAAGACTGCTGCGATATGTGTAGCGAAGGTCTATACTGCTGACCCTCGTAAAGCCGAACGTAAAGGCTTCGTCGAACTTCTAAGAGACATGTTAATTGATGAGAACGCAACTGTGGTTGCAAACGCTGTGGCGGCATTATCGGAAATCGGAGATCGTCAAGACGGCGTCATATTCAAGCTCAACTTGACCATTGCGAACAAACTCCTCGGAGCATTAGGCGAGAGCTCTGAGTGAGTGTCTAGTCCTTTCTACTCTACAGAGACTTACGAATGGCTTTCAAGATGGGGTCAAATTTATATCCTTGATTCTTTGTTGCGTTATGTTCCAGAGCAGCACGCAGACGCCGAAATGATGGCTGAGCGTGTAATAGTGCAATTACAACATGCCAATTCTGCTGTGGTGTTGACGACCATCAAAGCTCTGCTGTACTTGATGAATTACATAGGTGATCGTCGATTGATAGACTACATCTGCAGAAAAATGGGCCCTCCACTTGGTGAGTGGGATTCCGAGTTTCCTAGGACTGCAGGAACTAACAGAAGGTACTTGAAGTTACATTACTTTCTTCTGGTCCTGAGGTCCAATACGTTGCCCTTCGAAATATTTTGTTGATCATTCAACGGCGACCTACTGTTCTCAAGAACGATGTCAAGGCCTTCTTCTGCAAATACAATGATCCAATATATGTCAAGCTTGCCAAGCTCGAGATAATGTACCGCCTTGCTCGGGAAGAAAATGCCCGAGAAGTTCTAGCTGAGCTAGAAGAGTGTGTTAACATGTTATCTTGCGTCAACGTGCGCTAAACAGCTGCCGCAGATATGCTTCTGAGGTGGACGTTGATTTCGTCCGGAAGGCTGTCCGGTCAATAGGTCGTCTCGCCATCAAAGTGGAACCTGCTGCAGACAAGTGCATAGAATCATTGCTCAAGCTCATCGAGACAAAAGTGACTTATGTCGTCCAAGAAGCAGTAATCGTCACCAAGGATATTTTCCGAAGGTACCCTGGAAAGTACGAGGGTATTATTCCAAAACTTTGTGAGAACCTTGATGCATTGGATGAACCCGAGGCGAAAGCTGCCATGGTATGGATATTGGGCCAATTCGCGGACAAAATAGATAACGCCGATGAACTTCTGGATGACCTTGTGTACAGTTTCCTGGATGAACCAGCTGAGGTGCGTATAGCTTCCTGTTTCCCTCCCAAACTTTCTGAGATACTTCTGTCAGGTCCAACTCGCACTTCTCACAGCTGTCGTGAAGCTTTTCATTTACAAGTCGCAATCTGAGGTTACGAAAGCGCTTGTTCACAAAGTATTAAAGTGGGCGACGGAAGATATTGATAACCCTGACTTGCGAGATCGTGGTTTCATGTATTGGCGTATGCTCGCGATGAATCCGGCCGTGGCTGCAGAGATTGTGCTTGCAGAAAAGCCTGCGATCACGACTGATTCAGATCGCATGGATCGTGGGGCTCTTGACCAACTCTTACTGCATACTGGCACACTCGGAAGCATATATCACAAGAATCCAGAGGTGACACGTCTGACATCTTTATTCATCACTTCCGACTCATATATGTGATCACAGACATTCATTCGAAATGCAGCGGGTAGAGCACTGATTGACAGCCCTGCGTTGAACGCGAACTCCAGGGCGGTGCTCGTTACCCTAGCGCGACCGCAACTTCCACCAACGGTCATCAGTGTATCAGGACCTGGTCCTGTTGAACCTACGCGGCCATCACAACCCGGTGAAGCAGCAGATAATGTACCTCTACCGACTATTATGGAATCTTCACGGAGTGATGAACGGGATTTACTAGATATTGAAGGTGATGATGGGGCGGGTGGCGACAGCGGAGAGGGGTACCCGGACGGTGATGATGATGGCCCGGTCACCAAAGCTGCAGATCCATATGCTTCTTGGGTGGTGCGTTTGGTGGTTACGTGACGGATGTACCACAACCTGTGGAGGGCGGGGGTCGTGGTGGTGATCTGGACTGACTTACTATTCTAACAACTTTGCATTTTGTTTAATTAGTTTACACATCTATATTGACACGTGAACAAGGATTGATTGGGTATTCCGCGCCCCTTCAAAACATAAATGGAGGATCGCCGTATGTGAATCAAGAGAACGCAGACTGAATCTTGCCAGCCATTTGTGAAATGGTAGTTTTGGGCCGTAGAGAGTTATAGTGCTGAAGAAAGATCATGATAGTCAGCATGTCACATCTTTGATGAAGCGTGGAAACATACCTCCCCTAGTCCATACATTCTTCTATGGAAACTGATACGAGCTACCTTAGAAAACAGCCGAGGCGACGGGACCTGGGTTATGCTCAACGATCCGGGGGACACCGCCTTGTACAACATGTATGGGAACATTATATACTCGACTGAGCGCCAGGATCTCTGGTTCTCCACCCCAAGCACCGGTGTCCTTGATCGTCATGCAGTACTGCTCAAATTGCTGTGGGGTCATGAAGCCTGCACTTGTTGCTCCAACACCATCTTCGCCAAACGCAGATGGTAGGAAAGGTAGAAAGTCATCTGGGTGGGTGTAGATGAAGTTCGATGCAGCAGCGCGGACGGTGACGTAGTTGGCTTGATTGGGAGGAAGTATATGAAGGATAGCTAGCTGGTCCGCTACTGCAGAGAACAGACAATGCCCATCTGGTGGTATCTGTTGACGAGTTTTTGGTGAGGTTCATTGATACTAACGAACATCTTGCCTCATGCATCTGGACCCCAAGCTTGTCGCATGTCTCCTTGATTGATATCTCTTCTTCCTTTGCCTCTCTCCCCAGCCTTGCGTCAGCCTCTGGATCAATAGGTGCATAATTCTGAGCTAAGGCTGCTGCTTTTTTCGCCTGCTAAATGTTAGTGTGTGATTGACGAAAGGTCCCAAAGGAATATTCACCTGTCGTGCTTCATGTCGGCTCCTACTATCCTGCTTTTTCTTGACTGATCGAGCATTGTCTCCAACTGCATTCTCTTGATTTTGTTGCATCTCCAGCAACACGGTAGCTGACTCTTGTTGTACAGTCTGATTCCGGGAGTCAAGCTCCGCAAACAGGTCATCCACGAGTGCATTATTATCCTCGGTTTGGGCCTGATCTGGCGTGCTGTTATGTGATGGGGAGACGAACTTCTTAATTTTATTCTTTCTCGAGCCTGCCATAGGTTCCTTGTCACACTATGGTACCGTTACGAGTATAAGAAGAGGGGAGCTTGCTGATAGTAATACTTGGTCGTCGAAATCAATTGCTCCATGCAAGCTATGCCAAACCAAAAGAGGGATTGGACATAACGGATCTAATCTTATTGTAGCTACGCCGCTGACACCCGAATCCCGACTCGGCGACTTGATCCGTTCAAGTTTCAACTCTGTAATTTTACCTTTTTTCAAGGAACTTTGCCCACCATTGTTTTTATTTCATGATTCCACTTCATCAGTTGTTGCAATTTCGAGATCTCAGGAATGAATTTTGCCAAAAATGATGCACGCACTGACTCCATGAAGTCACGGTGGAGGGAAATCGCGCCGAGAACTGCAATTTGGTGCGGCGGACGATAGAAGCACCTGGGATACACGAGATAAACTAAGCATTCGCAGGCGAAAGAAACATACAGGCGCGAATTCAAAATATTTCAGCTTACACAACTCCCACTCATCGATATAATATTCCCATAATTTTTTTGCAGAGAAAATGATGTTTCCTCCAGACAGAATCCTCCCCCACTAATCGTGGGAGTCGGAGAACACCACCTCCCTGACCTTTGTTGCGCAAACGCTGACTCATACATCGTAGTATTCAGGTTGATTCTCTTTCCCCTGAATGATCTAAAGGAAAGGAATGCAGACGGTCATGAACAACACCGCAGAAGATGATGCAAATGCTCACATCTATGAACAGTTTCCCTTCATGAACCCGTCGATCTGTGTCAGGCCGTGCAAATCATTTTCCGGAAGAGAGATGATCGGCATTGACTCCATTGTCCAGCCAAATGTCCCCGTTTCGCCAGGCAACCCTAACATTTCTCCCCAATCGGTATGCATGAGTCAAAATCAATTATTACAGGATCTCCCGCGTCGTCAAGCATAATGTTAGCGGGGTTGATATCGCTGTGCACAGGACCGAGTGTCTCATGCAGGAAATGGAGCCCTTTCGAAATACCATCGAGAATCGCGGCAGGGTTCAGGGTGGGATCTCTTTCCCAAACTGCTTCCATAAGGTCACGTCCTATAATTTTTCAAACATATGGCGGTGATGTGATCACCGTCACGAACACATCCATGGTAAACGCAAATGTTAGGGTGAGGGTGCCGCTTGAGGATTTCGAAAACTTTGGCCTCATGGACCAGACTATCTCCAGGGGTCCGGGAATCATGCTTGACCGGCTTATCTGTGTCATAGTCCTGCAGGAGTATGAGTGGACGCTTTAGAAAAGAGTCTGTGGGAGCCGCACTGCAGGAGGTAATTCAGTTAAAGATGGATGCCAACGGTCCCTTGAAAATATGCATAGGGATGGGGATGGATTCGGAGGCAGAAAGACTGTTGAGGTCAAATGGTGCGGCCACTGCAGAAAGCTTGGATTGATAATAGTCGTCACTCCTTCCATACAATGACAACATGGTCCAGCTTGTCATCTGAATTCCACATTTCATAACTTTTGACGAGCCCTCGTGTCATTAGGGACGATAAAATATGAATATCTTCCAACTTTATATACACTGGAACTGAATATCAGTGAGGATGAAACGATAATAGTGCAAAAGATTTTTGCTCACCAAAGGGTTATGACTAGACCGTGTTGTGACTTGGTCCCCAGAGTAGGCAAACCACATGGAATGAATCGTTCCTTGCTTGCCTTTTTCTGTGACTCAGTTGTAAGGAAAAATGCATACTCCGCACGTTGTCATGATACGATTATTTTTCTGGCCAACGTACGCCACTTAGGGCCCACGCGCTCACGGGATCAATAAGTGTCCACAAGCGCCCACATTAAAACATTGGTTTCGTTGTCATACGTCATTGATTAGCTGGAGGTGGGCGCCTTATCAACTGTTGTTTTCCTTAGAAGATCTTGGATCCTTTAATAAGTCTCATAGCTGTCAGCGCTGAAACCCACATGTTATCACGTACTGCTGATTAGTTGGAAGCAATCGGTGCTCATTGGCGTTCATGTCTGTGCAATTTGCCGCACGGCAAATGGGGGTAGAATAAGGCTCGACATGATGAGAGGGGTTCCTAATCAAGCGGCTAGTTTGGTAAACAAGTACTCGGCACCCAGATTAAAATACTGGGCAAGAAGCTGATAATAGGCGAGCGACCGGCCGTATCAACGCCAGTGAAAGCGGTGAATGAAGATAATTCAAACTCAGCCTGCAGACGACTCACAACAATAACGTCGATAACGAGCGTCTATCTGCCAAAATACACGAAAGGCTATCTCAAGCACTTGCTGTAGGCATACGATAGCTTGAATTCTATCCCAGAGCTCCACGGATCAGAACCCAACACGACATATGTTGGCGGTCTACAACGAATAACAGTCAAGTCATGCTATATCCTGAATGAGGTGCTCAGACACAATTGTATTGACTCTTGGATCGATGTCTCCAAGGATCTCGAGGGTCTCATACTATTCGGTCGGATATCAGCATACATCATGGTAGTCAAATACGAGCAGGTACGTACCCACAAACGCTTCGAAACCTCCCGTCCTTCCGCACTGAGAGTATAATCACTCACTTCGGTAACTTCGCAGCTCGACAGGTAGTGCCCATGCCGTTCCCTCTCACCTGGCTCGATTGCCGCATGGATAAGTGTCCGACTGCCCATCTCAGTCGTGCGTGCCACCAACCCTTTGTAGATTCTTACGGCAGACTTGAAGAGTGGATTTGATTCGATTTCTCGCGTAAGACGGGAGTGGCAAGAACCAGGATTGACCGCCGAAACTGCGACCAAAGTTGGTGTGGGAAGTCGGGAAGACAACTCACGGATAAACATCACTTCGAGGACTGCGCATGATGGTGTGGTGAGCACAATAATGTATGCAACTCTATTACTCACGCTTGGTTAGGGAGTAGCGGTTTATCATTACGCTGCTGCATGTTATTAGTGCTCCAGGAAAAGACGTTAATGAAACCTGCCTAGAGGTACAATATGCCTCATCGTTGATTGTTTCGATGATACTAGGCCATCTGTCCGCCCCTTTTAGTCTGTTGGCTAAATAATGAAACTCGCTAGACACAATAACCAGTCTTGAGGCAAGTTCAGGAGTCCCTGTCTTGATGAGGTGAGGCAGCATCAATAGGCTCAACAGAGCGGTCGACAGGTAATTCACTTGAAATCTATCGAAATTCTCGAGGCAAAACAACGGCGTTAATTGGAAAGCACTCACGTAGTTTCGTAGCCATCTGGGGTTTTCGTGTACTTCATCGTCGATATGCCGGCGTTGGCAATGAGAACATTGGCTGTGCAGCCCTTCGCTTCAAAATTGTCCACAAAAGAACGCACTGAATCGAACGAGCACAGCTCAAGAGGCCAAGATTCGATACCAGCCATGCCAGACCGAGTCTCCACATCTATACAAGCCATGAAATCACCCGATAACTTTCAGAGGGTTCATGCATACCTGCTTTTGATCGTTCACACTTGACTTCGTCTCTGCTGGTGATCAACAGGCTCTTGGGTTTCAGCTGTGCTAAATGCACAGCAGCTTCATTTCCGAGCCCGACATTGGCACCGACCACAACCAGCGACTGGTCACTGACGTCCGCAACGGAGATCGGAAGCTCTGTCCATTGCTCGCGAAGATACCCGAAAACGGTGAGCTTGCCCATTATGCCTTAGCTGTGCAACTTCAGGCTGTGGGGGGCTACTAGAGCTGGAGCAAATGATGACCTTACCGTTCCCAAGTAGATTGGTTTATATACCATTCCTATGGACATCGGCTCCATTCCGAAGTATGTAGATCGGCTCCATTCCGAAGCATGTCATGTGGATCGGCTCTCTATTTGTCAGACGCAAAGACTTGGCAAAGACCTTTACTTACATCGCTCAGGGACATGCAGACGTAAGTACGCGATTTCTGTGCAGCTACAACGTCATCGTAGGACGCGCCAGATCATCGCCAAATTCCATTTTTACTGCATTTCGGCCCAATTCGTGTTGACCAGCGTCCAGAGTGCTATTTGATATAGATGCAAGTCCTTGTGAATCGAGGTTTGTGATGTCTCCCTCGTCTCGACGATGCTGTCAGTTGTTTGTTGAATTTTTGTGCGGAGTGGGCAGCATAGCCGTTCGCACGCAGGCGATGACCAGAACGCAGCAGCCTCAAAGCGGTCTAAAATTAGAACGCATATGTCAGCGGGTACTTTGGTACGTTTCCTGTTTGTTTCCTGGAGACAAAACACTCTACCACCTATCGCTGGAGTGTTGATTCGCATTATCATATGGTGTGACCACCTACTACGGTCGAAACTGTACAAAGGTACTGTATCAGATCTCAAATGCACGCCTACACTGTAGCTGCACAGTAGATAATTATTACCACTCGCCTTCCCAACACATCCCCTTTGTAGGCAATTTCATCCACAGAAGAGGTCTGGTATCCCGAGTGCATAGGAGCTGTTGTTAAGTATGGTCCTCCTAGCAAAAATGGTGCCTGTACATTCAGACTGTCAGGCAATTGACGACATCACGGACATTCTGAGTTTGACACTGCAAGACCACAGGACGTACTAAACACGGTTTCTGCCTCCGCTTTGAACATCTCCGACGTTGCTGATGAGGATCCTTGCCCCTTTCTCCGGTGTAGCAGCCAACGTTCCGGGTCCTTCTGAATCTCGGCCATCTGAGGGAGAGCGGAGTCACATCACAGTTATACATGCCAGTAAACAATATACCAGAGCGTCCACCTCCTCCAATCCAGGGACAGGATGTTTAGGCTTCCTCTGGAACTTGTACCAGCGACTGGCAGATACAAATTTGAAGAATTATTGTGCAGCCGGCACAAAGAGAGCGTGTATCTCCGCCCTTGGCACCTCCTCAGAAGGAGCGGTCTGACTTCCCGTGTTCGATAGCTTGTGCCCATTCCTGTTGTAGACTTTGAAATTGACCTTGCCAGTACGCCATGTATATGTAACTTACATGCATAATGATTCTAATTTTTTAAAGTTTCCTTGCAATATACCATGCATTCCAAACTCGATATAGGTACCTCGCACACCAGTTTTGCGTGGTAAATGAGTTTCGGGAGACATTCTCGCTGATCACCAATTGAATTGCGCGCCTAGTCTCCTGTAGTAGTTAGACAGGCCTTGACAAGAAGAAGATAGTCGCAAACATGTATTGACCCTGAGGGGGAATAGAAGTAAACTATAGAATAGTAGAAAGAACGACCGTCTTCTTTCTAAACAAGGGAGACTATTATTGCCGAAGCGATTGAACACTAGTGCCTTACACTCACATGTGACGACCAGAGGGAATGCTGGTCGGGGTCGTACACTTACATTATACAGAAATAAAGACAGGATACAAATGGAATAAGATGTACAGTAAGACGAGCACACATCGAACACGGAAATCTAAGTAGCCACCTCGAGGCATGCTGCAACGCAAAGTGTCAAGTAGCTCCATCCACAACGCCTTTCTTGATCCCGCTGATCCTACCAGCTAACTCTTTTGCGACTTCTGGAGACATGTGGCAACGCTTGGTGAGGCGGGAGACAATATCCTTCCTCACACGTAAATTCCCATTCCTCACAATCGATGACACAAATAGGTCGTTTCTCCCCTTCCATGCTCGCTTTTGCCCGTTAGCAGTGATATTCTTGACCAGGTCCCAGATCGTGTCGTGCGACTCGGAGTTTCTTTGCAAGGTTGGATAGGTTTCGATGGTGGTGATGGCGGTGATACAAGCGTGACCATCGACGCGAATCTTCTTCTCACGAAAGATCTTCTGGTTTCTCGTCCACCAGCTCTCCATGTTCTGCTCTCTTTCAAGGTTCGTGATCGCTAGAACGATGGGAACCTTCTTGTCGCAGAGGAAATAGCGCAAGAGCTGGTAATTGCGTTGGTGCATAACTTTGAGTCTGCCTGCCGGCATGCAGAACAGAAGAAGATCGATGCCACCTTCTTTCTCCAAATTCTGAATAAGAGTATAGGTATTCTCGATGGCATCGAAGTACTGTGGGATTCCCAGCTGTGGTTCATCGAGTCCAACGGTATCAAACACCTTGAAAAACTCGCCACCGAATTCGAGGGAATATTCTTTCCAGTGCGTCGTGCAGGCTTCAATGCCACAAGAGGTACCTGCTACGTTCTTTCCCGCCATGAGGTTGATAAGGGAGCTTTTTCCTGCTCCAGTCTCCCCGAAGACTACGATGGTGTTGCGCTTGGTCCTACTTATCAATGTCAGGAAAATATGATACAAAGAGTGTAGGGGATACGTACCTTGGGACGTTGTGAACAGTGCCTCGTAACAATTCAGTGTGAACTCTTGTCTCATTCGAGAGGTAATGCCGCTCAATGAGCTTGCAGATAGCGGTATATGATTGGGCGCGGCGCTCCATGTGCGTAGATCCTGTCATTGCGGTAATACATGCATGGCCAGTGAAGGTCATCCCGAGGTTTGAGATAGTTCGCTCGTTAACCATCCACCACTCTTTCATCTCCGGCTTATAGGATTCTAAACATGTGACGACAAGGACAATTGGAACTTTCTTCTTCACTTGAGAGTGGATTAACTCGTAGTCCCGGCGGAGCGTCCGAATCGCTTTCTGTCCCCGTACGCAGTACATGATGAGATGGATATTGCCTTGCTCCGTCAGAGTTCGAAGGAGCTTCCTCAGAATTTTTCGAGCTTCCTTATCAGGGACTGTCCCTTGAGCGCACTCGCCCAAACCTGCAACCTAGTTCAGTAATAGCCGCGAAGAGCGGCGAACTGGACCGACCAGCTGTATCGAAAAGGTTTATGTTCAGCAACCCGTTCTGAATCATCAAACTGTCGTTCACAATATTGGTTCCGGTTGTACATCCCGCAGCATCAATGGATGTCACCGCCTTGTTCGTCCCAGTGATCAAATTTATCAAGGAACTTTTACCAGATCCGGTTTCTCCACAAATGACAATATTGAACGTGTCTATGCAATGTGGAGGTTTGCCGGTTTCAGTATGGCTGGAACCAGCAACAAATTGAAGTGAGAGGGAAGACTGGGTTCAAGTTAACCTTGGCTGAAGTAGAGTCAAATACCACTTACACTGGATGGTTGTGGCCCAGCAGGACTCCAAGTCGACATTACAATAATAACTGAAGACGAGAACAGGTGCCCGGAGATTTGGAGCTGACACAACCCGTAGTACTTCGCAGAGTCGGGGATTGATGACTGAAGAGGAGAAAGCGAAGAACCTGCGCATTCAGGGTTTTTGAGTCACGTCAGTTCTCCTTCGGCTATCTACCCCCCACTCGTAGGAGGGGGTTAAACGTTTACGGTGATCACTGCATTCCCAGTCTTTTTCCGAGTCTGCATTTGTGAATAATTTGTATATCTAGATATGTTTGAACATATTTGTTCAGATGAGTCAGATTGGTCACGGACTCCGAATCTGTGATGCCATCAGACGGAAATTACATGAGAGTCGTGTTTATTTTGAATGACGAGCTAGCGGATCAGAAGAAAATCGGAGGTCTCTCCAGATCTCGAATCCACGCCTACGTCGCAGCTGAGGCCTGAGACGATTGACAACATCACGGACCATAATATTCTGAGTTTGACACTGCAAGACCACAGGACGTACTAAACACGGTTTTCTGCCTCTGCTTTAAACATCTCTATCTGAGGAGGGGGTCCTTGCCCTTGTCTCTGGTGTAGCAACCAACGTTCCAGGTCCTTATTCTTCTGAACCTTGGCCATCTGGGGGGAGCATCAAATCACAGTGATACATGTGCAATAAACAACATACCAGAACCTCCGCCTCCCCCAATCCAGGGACAGGATGTTTAGGCTTCTTCTGGAACTCGTACCAGCGATTAGTAGGTACAAATCTAAAAAATTATTGTGCAGCGTCTCCGCCCTCAACATCTCCTCCAGTTTTCCCACCCACATCTCGTTCTGCTTTGCGCTCTCCATCACCCAGGGGCAACGCCCTCTGCATCACAACTGACGAGTTGCCTCAGGCATCAAGAACACTTGTCGTGTCTTCTTGTCCTTCGACTGAGCCTCACTACCGTCCTTCGCCATCCACCGGTCATCCGCATCAGTCATAACGATCTTTCATCTGTACCAACAACAGGCTTCCCATCAGGCCCCAGCATACATTTCGTAGGCACTTGGGAGGATGCGAGAGCAGAGGACCTAAGCTTGAATTCGGAAATCTCGCCATCAGGGAGCTTAGAACTGTCATCTGCATCACCAGCAGGTAGGGTGGGCTGTGCGCGGGGAGTCACGGATTTGCGGAGGGATTGCTACAACTGAGATGGCTGTGACTGTGATGATTAAGAGCCTTGTGAAATCGCCAACGGCGTGGAGTGCTCCTTCTTTATTGCCTTCTTTTTGTGAAATAGAAAAGATTCAGCCGATTTTAGTGGCATTGAAAAGATAACTTGAATCCGGAGGGAAGGCGAGTCTTGATGATGGTATCAGGTAGTCAGTGCCACAGATGACTAGGACAGCGACGAGTTAACAGGCAGAAAGGACAGAATCGCCAGAGAGCATGTATACACTAACAAGGGAGTAGCAATGACTGTTGGAGAACAAGGCTCACATGCTGACGTACTACATGCAGTGCGAGCACACAGGACACGGAGGGCTGTCCATTGATCATGATGCGTCCAATGTTATCAACAGTGGGGCTTATACAAGCTTATACCACAAGCCAACCGTGTCAGAACAACTGAAGCAAAATCTCTCTTATACGACTATGAGTCTACGGAGATTCTATTACACTTCCAACATTGGCGGAGTCATTGATATCAGCGTATGAACAGCACAGACGTATTGTATGAACGAAGCGTACAGCAAATATTGCATTAGAAATGAGGCCTAGGCTAGGCTGAAAAAATAGCCATCACAATTGAATCAGAATTCGATAGAACGGATACGCTGTACTAAATGCTGTAGTCCCCTTGCTAATAAGTACTAAGTACTAACTTGCAGTTGCACTGCCACACTTGATCTTTCAACATATGGTGAACTGTCCTTAACCGATTTCCCTCGGTCCACTCTATCAACTTCCTACGTGAGCAAGCGATTTTTGCTGCCGTCATAAACTCTTCATCCCTTCATTACATCAAGCCGACACACGATATACCACACCACCTCTGCCATCTGCAATCAGACATATGGACACTCCTCCGATGTCCCTGACTTGCGCTCAGTGCGCTCGGAAGTTGGGTGATCTTGTAGCGCAACTCCCTGTTAACGACATCGAAGAAACATGGAAGGAAGTCGAGTCAACCGCCCAACAACTAGCAAACGGGCTACGTATTCGAGATGGTCCTGGTGAGAGTGACATGTTTACAGCGCAGCTCAGGGGAAGTTTATGCGTTACTGATAGATGATAATCACACGATGTTGGGAAAAACTTTGTTGCCTCAGAATATCACTACTTTACTCAGCAGTGCGTTGAACGGTGCGCTTATCCCGGGTGCTAGCCGTACAGCACCTGTCTTCGAGATTCTTCGTGTTGGCGCGAACCTTTGCGTGGAGCATGGTTAGTTTCGTTTCTCAACTGCTTCTCGTGATAGTGTACTAAATAAGTGTTAAGACCAGAACCGGGGATACCTCCTCGAGGCAGGTTTCCCCCAGGCTGTCGTATCCTTACTTGAAGGCTACACAGACACTATTCCTGAAGAACCTCAGATGGAGATGGATCCGTTTCCTATGTCTATTGCACATTTACAGATTGTGAAGACTGCTGTCGGAGTCTTGCTGAATGCTACATTGACATATGGCATGTTGCATTCTTAAAATCATCACGGGCAGATATTGACTTGTTCTCTAGAACCAGTGAGAAACCGTCTCATATCGCTAGAGGTTGCGAAGACAATTTTCCGGCTATCCACCGCCTTCTATCCTCCCGCTGCATGGAAGAGAACCACCTCTAACCTTAATCTTCCCGACGCACCTCTAACTGACATTCCTTTTGACCGTATCACCGAATCTTGGACAATAAGAGCTGGTCTGTCGAGTTGGGCAGGAAGGTTGATATCAGAACTTCAAGATGATGGTGCAATTATCTCCTGATGTCATGTTTCGGCTATTCTTATGATTATTTTGCTCTAGTACACCCTCTGTTCTCCCAAGACGTGCTACCATATCTCGTCCAATCGCTTATCGCCTTCACGCCACCACTCTTGGCTGCGCCCCCTTCCCCTCACTTCGCACAACCTTCTCAACTACGGACGACTCTCCTCAATACAGATTTCGACCTTCTCTCAGAGTCGTGCTCTCACCTCGAGTCATCAGCGCTTGACGTGGCGGACGTGCGTCTTTCGCTGGCACGCGGTTTTACATTTCCCGCAGAACATCATGATATTCCCTGTTTTTCCGCGATGCTCGATTTTGTTGAAAAGGGGAAAATATCCTCCATTGTGGTATGTCCAGTCTGAGAATGGTCTCGAGGGCGGCGACATCAGTAAGAAAGAGAAGGCTTTCGATGATTGCAAGGCTGCCGTAATCAAGGCTGTCGTAGAAGTCTCTGGAGACGAGAGGAATCTCGATTTACTGTGGGACGACTCAGACGATGCGCAGCCAGGAGGAGAGTTTGTGTCACGAATGATTGACTGGATCAGAGCTTTCGTCAGTGGCGAGACTCCTGGCAATGGGAGAGATGACCTCGTCATATGTGCCACTTTATCTCTGGGTAACATAACCCGTGGAGGTAAGTGACAGATAGTAATGTGGATGACTGACCGACATTGGTTTAGAATCTCACTCAACAATTCTACTCTCTCAGCCACATGATATTGCTCGACTCCTCTCATCGGACGCTCTGCTCGCTCCGTCCACTGACATCAAACTAAAGCACGGTGTCATTGGCCTATTGAAGCACCTGGCACAGTCCTCATCTCAGATGCCATCCAATCGTGCAGCTCTCAGCGCGGCTGGTGTCATACAGCTCATACTCAAGAGCGGCGTTTGGGATGACAGAAGCGACTTCATGCTTGAAATAGTCCAGGTGAACGCCATTGGTGCTATAAAGCACTTGTGCAACAACAGTGGTAAGCATTTTCGACTTGCTTCTGTGATGATTTAAAATAATTGCCTCCTTGCAGTGGATAATGCTTGTAACTTTATACTGGAACCAGTGGATAGCCAAGACCCTCCTTCGACAGGTCTGTCCCAGTTGCTTGCCCTTGTCAAGCGCTCCGACACAGTCGCGATCAAGAGCGAAGGTACACGGATCATTGTGAACCTGATCAGGTCGCTCTGGACGAACGAGCGTAGAGATGAACTACTCGGCGAGGAGGAGCTACAAGCCAGACAACAAAAGCGAGTGAAAGCCATGGACGCTTTGCTCACTCCAGCGTGCGCAGAAGCTTCTGGCTGCCCTTATCGGAAGAAGCGCCAAGCATCTCATCCTCATCAATGAAGGCGTAGTAGGCATCAAGTCTACTGAGCATGCATCGCGACGGAGGTGGGCGAAGCGAATTTCTGATGTTGACTGAAAAAATGACTAATGTCGCTGCATAGGTGCACTGGTCCTGAATGCCTTGACTATTCCACTACCAGTAGAGGTGACGCCGTCTTCAACGGGGTCCGCCCCAGCGTCTACGATAGCTTCTACCAGCAGTGAAGCGATGGAATCCCCGATCGTCTTTTCTCCGACGGGCGCATCGAATAAGATACCATCCGTTCGACATGCCCTTGACCAGCTCGTCGTCTCTTTAAAGAGCGAGTCCACTCCTGCCGAGGTCCGAACAAACATATGTGCGTTCTTCGGCCAGATCAGTAAGCGTGGAACCGGAGATGGACTTCAGAGGCTGAAAGATGCCACAAGACCAATTCTTGAAGAGTTGGTCAGTGTTCACGGACAAAGCATGCTTGGGAGCGCGGCGAAGAAGGTGTTGGATATGTGGATGTCGGAATGAACTATGCTTGGAATATAAATGGAACGGCAGATGTTATCAATGTATTTTTGTGTTTTCTAGACAGTATGAGTATGAGTTGCGACGTTGTCTGAGAGAATATCTGCGTGTTGTTCAGCCCTAAGCAGGTAGAGCCTTTAAATCGACCTACAGATCTGGACAACCTGCAGACGAGACCGTATCACTAACAGAAGAGTCGGGACGAGGAAAATGAGCACAATACTGCCGAGTTTTATAATTACGTCTTGCATATCTCTTCTTGCACCAATGTCAACCTTTGACTGATTTGATTCGATTCTTGAATGTTGCTCGGGCGCGTACATTTCTGATCAAGAATTCAAGCACGAGAACGTGTTCAGTTGGTCTATTCTATTATTCTATGAATCCAATAATTAATTCGAGCAAGATCCAAGTGTAACCGACAATCCGAAGATAGAAGAGAAGAAATTGAGTGTCACAGGGACTACGAAGTAAATCTGGGGCAAGTTGGATCGCTACAAGGCCTATCATCTATCTAACATCTATCATAAACCTATTTCGTAGCACGTGACGTACGTGCGTTTAAACACGACAAGAACGGAGAACTGAGAATCGTCGTAAACGGCCACTGAGCTCACATCAGCTCCAAATCCTATTCGCCCGCCACTAAAAATTATTGGTTCGGCTCTTGGTTCGGTTTCTGGTTCGGTTTCTGGTCCGGCCAGGGGATGGGAGAGCGGTTTGCTTGACTGAATAATGGCAAGGAATAGTAAAGCTCCTGGATTTCCGTTCAGAAGGAAAGAACGTACCAGCGCCTGTCGAGTAGGGTGATGCTATATTGATCACCGCGTACTCGCCAAACGTGTTACCATTGACTACCACACTCTCGCGACCGTAATCGACTGGAGCCAGCTCTCTCGTTAACGGACGTTGTAAGGACGTGGGCTCTCCCGGTTGGGCGGCGGTATGTTCTAGCTTGGTTACGGCTTACTCAAATGGTGAGCGTGAATGGCAAGTTGGATATGTGAAGAACTTACTGGAGCCATAACTGTTGCTTGAACATATGTTGATGGTAACACCCTCGGCCATGTAATTCTGCTGTATGACGATGGTACGATTGTTTGCGTCCGAGGGTCGACTCGGCAAGGGTTTGTCTTCCTGACCGGATGATGAACCTGGCATTGCATCAGCACCTCACGGCGAAGGGGGATATGAATTATAGTTGCAGTACCTGGAGTGAATTCCGTTGCCATGTTGGCGATGAGGTAGAAAGTGAGTTTGGTGGTGATACAAAGATAAAAGGATTTACGATGAAACGGAGTTTTATCTTGTGCTTAGATAATTGCGATTGGATTGCTGTATTATCATAACACACCTTAAACGCACGTCAGAGTCCGTGCATACATCGTGTAGTTGTATGAAGTTCCTGCCGACACATGTTGGACAAGAGTTAATGTCGCAGTTAAACAAGATATTAACCCACAGAAGACGATTAAACCTCAGTGTGCGACGTCACCTGCATCAAGAACACTCAAGGCCCGGAATAAGCTACCTTTCAGTAAACATGGGGAGACTGGAGCTGATACGCGTGCCCATGCCAGCATAGTCCTCGCAACTTCCCTAATGCATGTATTCTCGACGAAATTCCAAAGGGGGTGCATGTAAGCGGTCATTGAGAGCCTCCCAGTCTGCATACCTCGAGTACGAGTTACGATAATATAGTTGTTCGTACCCAAGCGCCTCACGGTAACTTGTCACGGTGAGGAACCTATGTGAATCACTGAGCTGCGTTTTCACGGACATTGTGACAAGAGTGTCTCCTTTGATAAGGGTAGCCTATAAGCTGCGGTCACCCGGTAACATCATTGCGCCCTATGAAGTTCTCATAAGTCGACACGGCAAAGGCATCCCCACGAGGTTCTCGTAAATCGAGAAGGCGAGGTGTTTTCCACTGAGGCTCCTATGAGTTAACACGGAGGTGTTCCCCACGAGGTTTTCGTAAGTCAAGGCGAGGTGTTCCCCATGAGGTTCCCGTGAGTCAATACAGAGGGTGTTCCACACGAGGTTTCCATGAGTCGAGACTCATCGTGATGAGAACCTGCACCACGAGGGGTTGCACGCACGTGACGAGGAGGGTCTAGCGCCCTACTACGGCATTGCGAAGGCCCGCAGAGTGTGTGAAGGTAGCAAATCTTGTGGTCCGCGCTCATAGCTAGCGGACCCATAGGTGCCGCAATAGGGCAACTCTGATCGTACATGATGAACGTTTCAAGGAAAGACTGTGCATATAGTGAACTTACCTTGGAGGGACTGACCTGGGCGGGAACCCGTAACCTCTGGTATCGATCCAGTGGAGAGGATAGAATACCCTTAGTGGGGTCAGGTGCGTTGTGAAGGTCCGAGGGTTGTGAGTATGATTGGCAACGGAAGAATTGGTAGCGCTACGGGAGGAGAAACGGAGAGAATGGTGACAACAGTGAGCTCGAGTGGCAGCTTCGTGAATCATAAGTGAGGAGTGTAGAGAGAATTACTATGAAAATAAAGAACTAGTCTGCGACGCTGCAAAAGATATTGATCACCATGGCACACTTGATTGAAGTGCGAAGTGCCACTGTCAGTAGGGATGTTTTCGGGTGTCGAGAATAAGTCCTTTCTCCAGGACCCTGACTTACGCGCAGTTGTATATATGCGACCAAATTAACGCTGACCAAACCCTGACAAAGGGTTTTTAGCGCCCTACCGTAGGGTTTAACGACCTACTGACGCCCTACCAGAAGTTTTGACGCCCTACTCACGCCATTTTAATGTTGGTAATCGATCAAACCACCCAACAGCGGCCTGGCCAATACTTCCGCCAATACTGAATAGTGCAACCATGTTCCTGCTTCTTTTGGCCGACACGTGTTTCATTTGCCTCATCTACACAGCATCAGAGAACACAAGAAGCAGGAGCTTCATAGTTGGTGTAAACTTCAACCGTCCAGAAAAATCGCATAGCACCACTCGGAAACAAAGGCGGGACACAAAAAGCTTGCGGGGAGATGGGCACAAAATATCCCATTCCTTGAAGAGAAACATGTAAAAAATCTTCACCCACGGTGTCGATAGATAGACTGCATTCTGTTTACATAATGACACGCTGGGCATTGCAGGGCATTGCCCCATTGCATGCACATGTTTCGTAACTTTCGTTTGGCACTAAAAAGATCTGAGAGGTTTGAACATGCTAATTAGTTGCTTGGCTCCGGAATTTCCTGCAGGATCGTAAGGGAGTGTAACCAAGTATTCGATAGTATCGAATACATATGTAATGCATTGGAAGGATGCCACTAGGGAAGTTTCCTGGATGTGGAATTACCTTGCTTGCAAGGAACTTAATACCGGCACAATTTACTCGATTCTCAGCACTTTGACGCTGCATATCTGGTACCCCATGGGCTGTGCCGGGGGATATGGTGACGGATATAAGGTGTGTGAGATGATGTGTTGGTCTGCGAGTGCGTGACTTCGGCGTCTGAGTTGGGTACAATATGATACACTTCCTCCTCCGCCCCTCTATCTTCACAATCCCTTTCTAGTCCTAGTGTGGCGACCTTCTTGAAAGCGCCAGACTCCTCACTAGCGTCTCTATCCTTTCTCCGTACCCAGGATCTCGTCCAACGAGTATTGCGTTGTTGAATACTTCGCGCAAGTGGATGCGTTGGCGTGAATAGTGAGCAGTCACATAAGATGTACATTCACGTTTTAACGTGGTTCTCCACATGAGCAGGCAGTGCTACGAATGAAACATAGTACTCTCCGGCGAGGAATCCATGTCCCATGCGACACTGTAAGACGGCCGTAAACTTCGCGAGGGGTATTGGTGAAGTGTTTGCAGGGTTCGAGCATCGGCCGAAGCTCGTTTGCGAGAGCGAAACACCCAGTCTGCGTTGCCACGTCTCTCTGTCCAATTCTCTGTCCAACACTCAGTAGTACTTCTTCCCCGTTTCTTCAGCGTGTGCTTGTGTAGGTTAAGTGGAGCGCATCATTACGTCTAGTGGCTTCTTTCGCGAGTTTGTCAGCGCGTTTATTGCCAAAAATATTGTGATGCCCTGGAGCCCATGCGATCTGGACGTGACGAAAGGGTGATACGGTTAGGAAGCCTTTAATCAACTGTCTGGTCTGTAACGCGATGTGTTGCTGAGAATCGAGTTTGCGACCAAAAATCTTAATATTGTGCCTTGCATCGATTTTAGTGTTATTGACGACTTCGTCCGAGATACTCTGAAATTCCGATCCGGGCACTGTACGAATATTGGTGAGTCCTTCAAGACAAGGGTTTGCGATTCCTCCGTTCTTCTGGGGATGAAATTATCAATTTCCACAACATGGCCGATGTAAACACTTGAACCTGCTGAAACCCTGGCCCCAACTGGCCCGTAGTACGTGCAAACTCTCTAACAAGGGCATGGGGTCCTCGCTCGGGTGTTTCCGAAGGTTGCATAAGTGATGGCCTTGAGGTATGCCCCCCTAAAGCCGCATGACGGGGGTGTGTCACCCGGTCCACTCGTATGACTGGAGCATTGTCGTCCTCTGTCTTCTGCAACCAACTAAGTGCGCTTGCTTGTTGCGGGTAGCCCGCGTGACAATTGGGGCGGTGACGAAGCCACGGTTGTGAACCAGGCATTGATAAGAGCACAATCTGAGCGCGCGAAGGAGTGCTCACCAAGATATGTACAATCGCAGAACACGAGTCAAGACAGGTACACGCGTTGAGATCATGCACGTGATATTGTCCTCCACCTGGAGGCATCGGTTCCCATACTTCCTTGTGCTTCCTCCATGCTTGCATCAGACTTTGAGTCGCCGTTCTCCTCGCCCAGTCCAATAACAGAGGGTGTGAGTCTTCCGCCTGACACAGACAAAGTCGAGGACGAACAAATCAGCCGCAAAGCGCCATTGCTAGTGACCACCGCCTCCAGCGATGTCGAGAACGTACGTTTGAAGCGTTTATCGGATGATAACTTTTGTGACGAGTAAAAACAGCCTACAAGTAGAGAGACAACAGGCTGCTTCCATGCTTTGATCTGCCCCGCAACGGATCGTGGTTCTGAACTGGAGCCCGGCGAACGAGCTAGGGGAATAGAGTCTGCATCGTGAATCAAGTCATCATCATTGGTGGGAGCACCCGCGCTGTAAGTGGGTGCATTAAACCTCCAATACGCCGAGAAAAATAAACCGAGCACATGTCTTTACTCTCCACGAGAAGAACATCGATAACACATGACCCGGGTGAGTGGGTCATGAAGCTGATAGGTAATGTGGGCGGGCTTTGACGGTAGCAGGAGCACCCGCAACAGCAGAGGACTGGGTGGCGGGCGGTGGTGACTGATGAATGTAAGTTAAAATAATATAATTACGGGCAGTTGACACTCACGTTTTCGCAGTCATCCATATCCGAAAACTGGGTCTTAACTAGCGTCGAGGGAGGGCAATTCAACTGTGGAAGAAACATGAAAAAGAAACGTGGGGAGAGCTCATAGCGATGTCGCTCAACGGTTACGGCGCACGGCACGGCGGCGTGTGGAGTGAACAGAATGGTGGACAGATGTGTCACAAGACCAATGCCTGAAGACTTGGCAGTGTTCATGCAAGTCATGGACGAAGTATGTTCGGGAGCGCCACGTGAAAAGGGCATTAAATATGTGGACATCGGACTACACTTGAGCTTGAGATATGAACGGAATAACAAAATTTGTCGATGTATTTGTGTCTTCCATAGTAGACAGTATGAAGAACCTCGGAGCGCTGAGACGCTGAACGTGCCCACTGTAATCAGATGGCCTCATTGAACTAGTAGAGATAAGATCATATCACTATGAGACGAATCAGGAAGCATAACATTGCTGAGCGCTGAGCTCAGAGCTTTAGAGCTTTGTGCCTGGGACAAGCACATTTCGGAAGAAAGTCGTTTGTCTAACTTATGTAAGGATGGAACGTTTGATCCCGCGGAAGCAATTCGCGTGAACCCCTGTACATACGTGCTGCACCTGATGTCCTCTGATCTGAGTCTACCCTCCATTTGCAATTATACTCTGCCAATGTCTTCTGAGCTCCACATGTGATCGATGATCCCTCATTTCTCTCCTAACTATACTCCTGTTCTTTTACCACCATGGCTTTGGCGTGCTCTTTTCACGGCGTTGTGGGTATCCAAAACGCTACTCACAGGGAAAACTATTTTTGATTCACAGACCAGCTTGAACACGCTGTATTGAAATGGAAGGTGATGCGAGGCAAGCTCCGGTATGAGGGATTTGAACCTCGACAAATCTATGGAGAGCGGTGATGCGGACTCGCACATTTCGTACCAATCCGTTTTGCGCATACTCCAAAGCATAAGGGCCCGCTTATGCAACAACATTCGACAGATATCAAGGGCTGATGTTATAAAAAGCCGTGCTTGACGCTCGCATTCCCTTAGTAAAAACTACAAAAAATACTTAAAAACTTACCATCTCATTCTCATTCTTACGTAGCCACGCTTTTGATAGAAAGCTGTGGGATATAAGCGAAAGTCTATGGTGGGATGGAACTCACGAATGTCGGCGTCATTACAGTTCGGAATGGTCTTAGAACAGCCACTGCTCTCACTAATATCCGCGAGGGCCAGGATGATACGGAGACCAAGCTTGTTTCCCTGCTGGCTCTTGTCGACGGCGATATCCTCAATGTGACCAACGCTGCTGAGACCGCGGAGAAACATGCCCTCGATGATGACAGTGCCTACTCCGACGATCTTGTTGCTCGCCTCGTCGAGGATGACGATGGAGAAGTATGCGCTCGGGGTTGTGCGCATGGCGTGGAACTGGCTGACCCACGCTACTTCGCCGAGAGCCGATGATCGACTTACCCGGAGATCAGGGGGAAGCTGTGCTGAAACTTCCAGTGGAATGAGCTCTTAAGGGAACATAAAGCATAGGGATGTGAGGTCTGCGTGTGTCATGGACATCGTGTCAATTATCCCCCTCACCCACTTTAGTGGAAGGAGGGTTTTGTTGGTTGATATCGTCCAGGCACTTGTACCCTGAAGCGCGGGAAAATTTTACGTCCAGCGCTTTGAGATACTGTCGCAGTTCTGCCAGTCGGTCCTCGAGATTCGGTGACATGTAAGCTGTTGGTATTGTAGGGGAACATTGGGAGAGGTGCCCTGAAGGGGAAATACTAGCCTTTGTACGACTGTTTCCGAACGGAGATCTGGCAACAAAAGTATTTGATGATTCGATCTTTTAATCCCTTCGGGGTGGTGCTTCAGAGGGATCGATATCGATGTTGAGGGCAAACAACTTGAACGAACGCACAAGAGGTAGGGGAAATTACTACAATATCACCACCGTTACATGCTCAGCGTTACGGTCACACTAATTAAATATCATAGTACTTGAAAAAAAATCGCTGTAATTTTTCAATTCGCATGTTGATCCCAGCCCATGGTATTTACCCATATCCAGGGGTGCAATATAACTCTCTGGTCTATCGTCCGCGGTGGAAGGTGTCACTGGTTAAATTCATGAGCACGTGTAGCTATCGAAAGGGCGCAGCATTGGGGGAGCCTACTAAGTAACTTACATGTTGTCTGTTCATTATGGCTTGTATATTCTCTCTCCCTCCTTGCTCCCAATCGTCCCAACAATAACCGAAAATAACAAGATCCAGTCCATAGTCTTGTTCGCCAAGATCACCCTGGGGCAACTCGCGACCATTATGTACTTTGCCTCTCTCCTTGCCTCCACGATATACACGATACCATCTCATAATTGCCTCCTTCTTGAAACCCAGTCTCTCGGCAGCACGAATGGAAGGGGCATTCACGGAGCTACATTGCCACTGAACCCTTCGCAACCCCAGACCGCCCTGCGATGGCACTTCTAACGCATACTGCAAAAGAAGCCCAACAGCATTGGAATTGACATGGGTCCTTTGATATGGGGGAAGGATAATGACACATCCTATTTCTGTGGATAGATTCACAGAAGAAGAGTGCATATAAGATATCATCCCAGCGAGTTCGCCTTCCCCGTCTGCAGCCGAGGGTGGTTTTGTTTTATCTATGATGGCAAACAACACCGTTCCTGGGTCACGATGGATCACGGCCCCGAGGAAATTGGTATCAAAATCTTGCACAGTTTCGAACGGGCCCGAAGACATGTGTGCCCACAGCTCCGGGTGAGCTGATACGACGGAAAAAAACGGAGACGAATGTATTGATGCCTGTGGCAAGTCAGTCGGTTTGACTTACTTATTGTATGATGCTATCTGACGATTTGAATTAGCTTACCTTGAAGGGAGTCATCTTGACGCGTTCATTCGATAACTCCCGCACCGGGAAACAGAAATTGAGGTCCTTCGAGACGATCATGGTTGGTTGGACTAAAAAGGGGCGAGAGCTGAAGCGCTGAGCGTTCAGCAATGTTATACTTCCCAACTCTTCTAACAGTGATACGATCTCATCTCTACTAGCCTGTAGATCTGTTTCAAGGCTCTACTACGACCGTCTGGTTACAGCGGGCACGTTCAGCATCTCAGTGCTCGGTTCCTCATACTGTCTACTATACAGAAGACACAAGAACGCATTGAGAGCTATTTATATCTCGAGCTTCAAGCTGAGCATATTTCGGAAGAAGGTCGTCTTGCGTAACATCTGGTGTTTCGTAGGTCATATGTACTTATGTCATGGTGCCTTTAACTCCCCAGACGAGTACTTCTTTGCTCGATAATCTAGCAAAAAAATCATCATATGGCTGCAACATGCGGACGCCTCCCATGTTGAGCGTGACATTTGAGAGCATTTGAATCCCAACCACCATCAAATTGAACTTCGCCTTCCTACTGACCCTGCCCGGCTGCAGCTGGCCCTAACAATCACATCTTGTAGTGACTTCTCAAAGCATCATCGATAGTACCGATCATTATACGTGACCCACACCACGAAGGTGATCGTTAGAATATCAATGCAATAAAACAAAATGATTCTACACATAGTACACTACATGTCATGACCGCGACAATGCCTTCCGTGCCTCCTCACTCGCCTTCCGAGCACCTGCAAGCGACGGCCGAGTGCCATGACCGGTCATTCCTGCAACGTGAGGTTGCTTCCCCTGCTTGGCATTGTTCGCAGCTGCTACGACGCGCAAGAGGTTGCCGGGGCCTGGACGTTTCGTTGTCCGAAAAGTTCCAGGAGCCATCGCTCTTTCACGTTCAATGCGCTTGAGGAATGGACTCGGTAAATTTTCTTCATCAGAAAGGTCATATTCCGTCGGGACGGGGGGTGCTGTTTTTGTGGTCGTACAAGCATCTGTAGACTCTGTGCGTGAGGTTGTTGACTTCGAGGGCCGTGATGAGGATGCGAATCCTGTAGGGTCGGAGGCAGATGCCGGTAGAGTCGCAGTTCTCCGGAGAGGTGCACGTCGAACAGATCCTCGAGTGGACGGCTTGCGTAGACGTGTGGGGGGGACAACATTCGGGTTTCTTGATGACGAGGCTGAGGCAGTCATCTCGGGACTTGTTCGTTCTCGTTTCGACGGGGAAGGCGGTAAGTCGGCATCACCTTCCCCCTCTGCATCGGAGCTCTCAGCCCCCTCGTCAAAGTCAAATATCTTGGCGAACTCGATATTCACTTTTGGTGATTTGACAAAAAGCTTAACGAGCTGAGCTGGAGTAGGTGTTGCTAACGGTTCCCCAGTGTCTGTCAGGATGACACCTTTCATCGCTGAAAAGGGTACGATAGGTTTGACGGGACGGTTAATCGGCGTTTCGAGCGTCATGGTTGTGTTCATGAAAGAAACGTCCTGCGACCGCCGTTGGGCAGACCGAAGACGGCAGTCTTGAGTCATCTGGGCGAGAGGTGCAAGGAGGTTTTTCACTTCTTCTAGGGGTGTCTTGGCTTTGTGTCCTACAGTTGACGCAATCAGCAACTGGAAAGTATGAAAAACATCGTCTGAACCTTTAGCTTCGTTTGCAGCCGTCTCTTCTGCTGCTTTCAGCCTCATTTCCAAATCTTGCCTGGCTTCGTCCACTTTCCCCTGCTCTGCTTCGAGCTCTTCTTCCCGCCCTCGAACCCAATTCACCTTGTCCTCTAGTTCCTTCATCATCCCTGCCCTTATCTCTTGTTCTCTTGCTGTCCACCACGCAAATAACTCCTGATCACGCTGGCGCACATGTTGTTCGAGTTCTTCCTCACGCAGCGCCATCACTTCCTCCATACGTTTTCGCACATCACGTAGCCGTTGTTCTGAGAGGGCCTCTGCCTGTCCCAAGAGTTCGCGGAGTCGGACAATTTCGTGGTCTTTTTCGGATACAATGGATGCCAGCCGTGCTTCCCGTTCTGCGAGGGCCGCTTCGCGAGCAGCGACTTCCCGCTCTTTCGTAACAACAGCTACTTTATGTGATTTCACTGTAGTGAGCCTACAAAAGCCATTCAGAGTGATTCATTGCGAGTCTTGTGACAAAAACTAACATCTTTTCAGTCTCTGAAACCTTGAAGACGAGCTCTAAGCGCTCGTGTTGGAGAAGCTGAGCTGCCGAAGGCCTCATCGCGGGCTGCAAGGGGTTGTTGAATAAGCAGTACAACAGACAAAGACCGTAGTGTGCACCCCCGTATGATATGATACGTACATTAAGGTTCAACATTGCTTTGATGACACTTGACAGCGCCTGGCTGTACCCTTTTGGCAATGGAGGTATTCGGCCATTCCTGTATAGGTAGAAGTTCAAATTTTTCTGCCGCGTGAGAGGGAAGCCATCTATACAACTTACCGTATAAATATACTCAATTCTGCATGAGTCTTAGCTTCATGGAATGGCGGCTTCAGGGCGCAAAGCTCGTATATGAGGCAGCCCAGAGACCAGATATCGGACTTGGAATCGTAGGCCCGTTCTTGCATCAACTCAGGAGACATATAATATGGTGTCTGGTCTCCTGAATTAAGTCATGAAAGAGCTCCAGCCAAAAGGCTTACCCCGACGTATGTATTCGCAAAGTTTGCTTGGGACAGTGCTTTTGACAAGCCGAAGTCACCAAGCTTCACGGTATTTGATTGGTCCAGAAAAACTGCGGACGAAAGGTTGGTGTGAAGTAAGGAATGATCTTAAAATGACATACCATTATCTGGCTTGAGGTCTCGATGTAAAATCTGTGGCCGCTTGGCATCACCTTCAGACGTGCCACTACCTGTTCGTCCATTGCTACCAGGGTGATGGCAATAATAAAGCGCAAGCAAAATTTGCATGAAGTAGTTCCAAATCGTGTCCTCTGGCACGGGTCGGTTGTACTTTTGCGCCTGCTTTATGACAGTGGATAAGTCTCCTCCGCCACAGTATTCCATAAGGATGTACAAGATGCCTGCATCTCTGTCGACGTGACGGTCGTGATATCGTACTATATGTTCGTGGTGCAGATCTTTCAAGATGTTACTGAACAGCGATGAGTTGGAGCAGCGGAAATGAACTTGAACACTGACACTTCAGCGACGATTTGTTTCCTATCACGGTCGCTCATTCTCTCGAAGTTGAGCTCCTTTCTTGCAAGAACCTACCACGAAGAATGTCAATTCCATAACTATGTATGAATATCACCTGCGGACTTACCTGGCCATCCGACTTCCTTCTGACTTTACGAATGATTCCGAATGAACCATTGCCGATAATATCCAGAGGCTCGTACAGTTCTAGAAAGCTGCTCATGACGTTGCACAAAGTGTGCGGTGAGGGTAGTGGTATGATGAAACAACAACTTTACAAGATTCAGTCAAAATATAAATTTGCCAAAAGGCGCGAGTGGAACTAGTGCCACAAGTTTGAACATGTCACGCGTATCGATTATATTCGTCATGTGACCGTGATTTCTGTCGTGTTTGGCATGACTTGACTCATTCAAATTTCAGAGTCGGATTGACAGTCATTCAATTCGACCGGTCTATGGTTGACCACATCCACAATTCACATCTGATGCACATTGCACATGCACCACATATGGAGCTCTGGAGGGTGGCGGTGCCACACGCGCTCACCCACAGGAGAAAGCTTAATAGGTTGCAAGTCATATAGTTCTCAATAAATGCAGCGCAGGTCAATCTTCAGAGAGCTCTAGGTTGACCCACGTTTAAGTCGTACGTCACAAGCTTGTTTCACGGTCACCCATCTCCCAACGTTTGTTGACATCTCATTCAGCTGCAAGTATAATCTATATCCAAACTGCAATTGGCTATGATATGCTTGTCGTAATCGACTCTCCCGAATGGAACGCTTCTGTGTATTTTTGCTTTGTGGAAGGCAAGCTATTCATTTGGCAACTGATCTTGCGTACCGATTTTTCATCCGCAGTCATTCTCATCTAACATCTTTACGCACTATGCAACCAATCCAAGCTCCTGCTTCATGTTCTAGTGGGGTTGTTCTTGCCAATTATCATCCACTTGACAGGGAACATCTACTTCTATAGCCGACCTAATGCATTCTCTGGCGAATTGTCGTCGCTCGGATTGGATCGACTGCGACTAGCTGATTCCGTCTTGTTGGACAGTCGAAGAACTGGTAACTCCGAACGCCAAACACTGCACTTTTTCCTTCAACATGGGGTCTATCCACGCGATCTATACCATCCCCATTGTGTGCTATGATGTCTTCCTGGTTGTTCTCGCGGCTGCCACCCTCCTTGTGAGACACTTCAAAGGATGGATGGAAACGAGGCTTAATACCTATATGATACCAATGATAGTCCGATATCATATCATGTACTTCGTCCCGTACGCTCCTCTTCGTCTGATGTTTCAGAAGTTATTAATCGACTCCCGCTTAGGAATTTGACCGACCAAATTCCAATGGTGATATCGTGGATTCACATTCCAGTACGATACTCCCAAGGTTCTACACATCGACTTACGCATACTTTCACAGATGGCGGGAACGAAGCTCTCATTTTGGTACAGTGTCATTTATCCTCGCGTCCGTGTTATCAGTATTTGTGACATTCATGCCCTGGATGACTGCATATATGTCAGTAAAACGTTCGCAGATTGTGTGTGTTAGACCTCGCTGCCGAGGTCCGGGCAGTACGAGATGGAATCTGACATTCCATCAACTCGGTATGCTGGGGTCTGTCTTGCTTGAGTGTAGTGATGGAATTAACCTCCGATAAACACTTCGACGCACATTAGGCAAGCGCAGTATTACTCTATTAGTTCCACTCAATTATTTATTTCGTTCATTTTATTTTCCTGCAAATGGAGGTATATTCCCTGGGGAACAACCACATATGACTAAATAAAAGCATGCTGGACCTGGGCCCTGTTGAATACGCCATTACACTCATCATCGCGGAATTCCAACAGTAGGAGCGCAGTGACGCACCCGAAACCTCTCTTTTTCCATATGGCGAAGATTAGAGGCCAACTTAGTGTAGAAACCCTCGGGTACGTGGTTTCGGTGATCAACCAGTCTATGTAACTGTCGTTCAAAGCATACCATGACACATGCTCACATCGTTCGCTCACGTCGTCGCTCACGTCGTTCTAGGTCAGGTTTCGAAAGTTACATTTACTTATGAATTATCTAGCCCTCCATTCTTTGGGCCGTTCTTCCTCGTATCATGGCTAGTGATGGTCTTTCCGCTATGATGCACACGTCTCCGTAGAGGTTCCCCATCATCACCTCTCGACCGCCCGCAACATAATGCGAGTGGAAACTCCATGCAGAAGGCCTTGTGCTAACCAACATGATATCTGTCGCATCTTTGCCTTCCACCACATTTTCGTCTAACTTGGCCCTTCTTCTATCCGGCTCACCACGCGCCCCTACGAAACGAACAATTTCAGGACCCCCCAGTGTTTCCACCAAGTAGTGGACCTTGTCGTGGCTGGAAAGATCAACTATATGATCCGCCAAGAAACTGAATTCCGTCCATCCAACATTTCGATACAGGATGCGGACTGACCACGGGATGGAAAGGGAGCTTAAAACGCATGCGATCATTGCATCTCTGCCCTTCAGGTGGTTGCCGACATCAACCACAGACCCAGACGTAGACATGTACTGACCGTGAAGGCCAAATGCCAGATATCCACCTTCAGGCAAAACACCTGGATCCAAAAGCAATTCGGTGATACCTGTTGTCAGCGAGTTCACATCGTAGGCACCCTTTCTCTCAAGGGTGGCGAGGGGAATGTTACTATCGGTTGGAAAGTGTAGGCGATATGTAAGTATCACACGATGCCCTGACGTGATTTTTCTGACCGCAAACTGCACGTCGTCGTAGAACGCGAGAAATGCCACAGACGTCTGCGCAGTCCTTGCGAACAGTTCCGCGAAATCAATGGTCCATTCTTGATGTCCCTGGCGGAGGAGTAACGCTCCGCCTTCAATGTCCGTTGGGAATACAACTAAAACGGTTGCAAATCCTTTGGGGGTTGCCTCGTTTGTACATGGATTGATGGACTCCCTCTGACGGACGACTGCGGATGAAAAGCCTGTAAATTATGAGGCATTTCGGTTTTTTTAATTCGTTGCCACGAACCAAAAACATCGCAGAACTCGTCAAGGCTGAGAGAAAACATTCGTGCCTCCTTATGACTCTTGATAAGCCGATACTCGTGGAGACAGACATCTAACAGACTAGGTTTTTCGGGTGAGTCCTCTTTAGTTGCGGGGAGGACTGGCGGAAATGTTTCATAACAATCTGCGTCTGCTATGCTATTTTCAGTGTTTGCTACAATGAAATATAATAACTAACCATGAATCTGAAGGTGTCGGACAAGAAGTTGTAATGGTCGCTTGCTATTACCACCTTCGAGTAATTCACTTCGAATGACCTCAGTGAGACGGTAATGCTCCGCGTCGAATGTAGTGGCGATATCGATTGCGTTGAGCTGTGCTGGAGTAAAGCGAGAGTTATTTGCTGTTGGAGACTGAGCATGACAATAACACGTCAAGCGGTGGAGCTCTTCGGATGTTGCAGACAGTAAGTTCATTTTTCTGTTGGCAAAAAAATAACTTCGACTTTTCATATTATGTAGTATGTGGATGTGCGAGTCATACCCTGCGTGATCGTCAACTCCCGTGCTGTAAAACAAGGTGCATGTATCTGGTGTGACAGGAAGCGTTCCATAGCAATACGGTGGTATGGGCTTCATGGAAGCTTGAACGTTGTCTAACTTCCCCATAATGATCCATTCAAAGACCCCCAAATATTTAACATATTATAACACGAAGAGAAGACACGGTGAGTCAACATCCCGACGTAATTTTCGCGCAATAAGAAGCGCAATACATACCTGACTCATTCCTCGATCAAACCTTCGTCAACGTAAGGCTCCAAAGGGGTCTACGAACTTCAAGCTTCAGAATCATCTAGTTAGTGAGTCAATATTGGTCGAAAGTACCCCATTTGATGGACAGTGACGAGAAAGCTGCTTTCTAACATCTGACCTCAAATTAACGCAGACTATGCGATCACAAACAAGCTCACTCCCTTCATCTCTATGCAGAACAACTACAGTCTACTCTATCGCGAGGAGGAGCGCGAGATGGAACATGCCTTGTCAGATTCAAAGCTCGTACTAATACAAGACATTCGCAGGGACCTCCGCAACTATGCAAATGTCGCCATACAGGTTTCCCATCATTACCTTGTTCCCGTACGCAAGGTATTAAGAATGCACGTTTGTGACGGAAGGCATCTCTGTCATTTGGATGATGTCAACAACATCTTCCGAATATTTGGAGTAATCGCCAGCCCGCTTCTCGTCGTCGTTCCCAAGTTCATCATCAAACCGAACGAATTCAGCCCCTGGACCCATTTTCTCACTAGCGTCCCAGTGACTCCACACGAGGTCTTGCTGGGATAGATCCGATATGAATTTATGGAGCACGAACGTCTGCTCCGAATGAGACCCTCTGTCTCGATATAGAACGCGAATAGACCACGACAGAGGGAGTCTATTCAGGACGCGCGTAATGATTGCATCCGAGCCCTTCAAGCATGACCTGAGAGTGTCCACTCTCATCTCCGACGATACCGGATACTGATGGCGAAGTCCGAACCCGAGATAACCACCGTTAGGCAACACCTTTGGATCATTCACGAGTTCGGTAAGGGCGGTTTCAAAGGACGGTTCAAAAGGGCCAGGTGCGGAGATCATAGTAGCTGATGGACTGTCCCCGCCAGACACAAAGTAGAGCTTGTAACTCAACATCAGGCGGTGACCAGATACGATTGTGCCGATCTCACGTTCAACCTCATTGAAGTACGCTGCATAACCGACAAGAGGGATCTGTGCTTCCGACAGCATCGTTGCAAAGTCGACAAGCCACGCTCTTTCGTTGTTGCGTAGACTGCATATCCCCCCGGTATGCAGAGTCGGGAATACAATATCAAGGAAACCGAACATCTTGTCGCTGTTCGTGGCGTTCTTGTGTGGTCCGACAAAACTGCCCGCACCTAAGCATAACATAAATTAACTTCGACAAGTACGATATGCGAACATTCACTAACCATAGATATTCAATTCATATAATTCGAATCTGATGTCGCGCCCAACAGCGATGCCCTCCAGTAATGACTGGCCCACAACATCAACTAAGCCAGTGTTTTCCAATCTAAATTGGGTGGCAAATGCGGTGGCGTCTAGCCTGCCGGCCTTGAGTTTCTTGGGAACTTCCCCATGGTCATGACCATACACCGCAAGCTGACAAGCTTCATGCAGAGATTCAAGCTGGTCCTGCGTATGGAACAGCAGATTGATTTTTCTAAATAGTTTTCAATTCGTAGCCACCGGCGAACAATGTGTGACGTACCGCACACCGCTCGTCGCTGTACTATAAAAGAGCATAGATTGCTCGATAGCAATTTCGCAAGTTCCACTGCAATACGGAGGACGAACATCTAGCGTTGCGCGGATGCGTGCCAGACCATCAGACATGGTATGAACTGCAAGGGATAGACAACTGGGAATCCCTATTAAATATTTGATCCTACCCTCATCGTACCAGAATCAAATTCAGGTCTGTATGGACAAGATATCGTTATCAATATTAATGGAGGATGCTGCAGATCGGAGCGCCTGAGGTAAAATGCAGACTGCTAGTACATCACGATCACGTACTTGTATAGTCCCTGACTCATACGTCTATAGTGACACCACATGACTCATGAGTCAGTCCCTATCCTCTCAACACGTTTTCTTAAAGTCTGCTTTTCTAATATATAACTGCCTTTGTGCAATATTAACATGTGAAGATGCGGAGTTTGAGATCGAGATCTAACAGACGGGTTGCTTTCTGATCGTGATGTTGCAAGAAGTGAGTCAATTTCTGTAATCTAGACAGCCAACGAAACGATCCAGAACGTCTAATAGACGCTTACGTCGGCCCTTCGTATCGAAGACAGTAGCATGATCCAAGTCAGGATCGAAGAGCACTTCTAGCGTGTCCGTAGCCCAGTATTGTGAAGCGGCTGGTTCCTCTGTCAAGTATTTTCTGACTTGCTCTGAGTTCACGATTTGATCTTTTCCGCTCAGCCATACAGCGATGGGTCTTCCCACTAGTTCTTCTTTCCACAGTACATTTTCAGACCAAAAGAAGTGCCGCGACAAGGTCCGCGAGATATCCGGGTCCCTGGACGCGAAATACCAGAGCTGTAACTCGTTAGCAGAACGAGCTTGTCGGTAGACGAAATTAAAGGCGACATCGGGAAGATGGAGAAGAAATGGTATCGGGTCAACGAAAAGTATCGCTGAAATGCGAGGAGACAAATGAGAATGAAGCATCTGCGTAGTTACGACCGTCCCATAAGAGTGTGACAGGACGACAACGCGATCGAGTCCGAGATCATCCAGAATCTGGGATATAGCAGTGCAGGTGGCTGAGCTCGAGAGTGGAGAGGAGGTGATGTGCATGCTGATGGAAAGGAATTCAATTGCCAAAATTCCAATATCCGGATGCAGAGCGATGAGCTCCTCGAAGAAAGCCATGTATGGGTATAAGCCAATCTGCGGAGATATTACATTCATTCGCATGAATCGCTCAAGAGCTCACTCCAATGCCGTGTATAAAAAGGACGGGCAGTTTCGTACTTGATCTGTGAGGGCGATACCAGTATGGCAACTTGACTACTGGCGATCTTCGCGAGATGACACAACATGGGCGCATTGGAAATGATGCCACGCAGTCGCCGTCGTCATAGTGGTGGAATCCCTGGCACCAAAGTCTGAACGATGAAAAAAGATCCACCAAACCCACGACCTGAATAATCAGTAGGTCGTTGAGGTTCATTATATTTTGATGATTACTTACTAAATACCAGATCAATGGCCGGTGCAACATCAACACGCTGTCGATGGTGGGTCGCATGCATCGAGCCCCAGTGTTATATCCAGGGGCCAACTTTCTATCAACGATAACTTCTACCATCGAGAGATATTCCTCTAGTTCCTCCTCCCATTCCACTAGACAGGTGTCTCTTGTTGCAGAGAATAAAGCCCAGAGGAGCCAGTCCACAACGTTATCCCTCTTAAACTCTGCTGAAAAAAACCATCCGGAGAGGTAATCTGAGGTTGCCAAATAGCTCGAACATCGTTGAAATAGCATCTGCCGATATTCACGAGTGTGAATGGTGGGGTGCACTGCAGGCTAGAGAAGCAGCTCAAGATATCATGCCTGCCAGGGATACGGATACATCCATACCTTTTGTAACAGCCACCGTCTAGGTAGGTAGACCGATGTATAAAACAATATCTCCAATAAAGCGTACCGTCCCAATGAAGTTTGCCATCCGGTACCTGGTTGAGCAACGACGAGATATGCAACGTACAGAAAGCTAATTGGTGCCACCAGACGAAGAAGCCCTATGCTGATGAGTATAAAGATATATTCAGGCAGACTTTTGCCAATCATTGGCGTTGGCTAACGAAAATGAATGGCAGGTTGAAGTTATCGAGTTAAACTCTAATAGAGTTAGTCTCCTTTGGTGACAGTCCTTAGACAGTCTTTTCGGCGGGTCTAAGTAGGGGGAGCCCAAGGTGCCTCATTTAATTAATACATCGTTGTTTTCTCACGGTTACACCCATCAGCGGGTGTCGCCGAAAAGTTTCCCTTGCTTTCCACCATCATCCAACGGCGACTCATCGACGAAATGGCAAAGAAAAAGAATAAGCAGGTTGGTGTGCAACTTCTTTTTATACACACTGATTAGAGAGGTTTTTAGATCATCCGCCCATGGTGCTGGTATTGTGAAAGGGAGTTTGAAGATGAGAAAGGTAACCTTTTCCAACACGTCTGGAAGATGGAGTCTCATTTGCACGGATTTTTAGTCCTCATGCAACACCAAAAGGCCAAACATTTCAAATGCAACATGTGTCCCCGCAGGTTGAACACGGCTGGCGGTTTGGCCGTGCATATCCAACAAGTACATAAACTAGAACCAGAGAAGTGCTTCAAAGTCCATCCATATTTAGTTCGTTTTGTTGACTTTGTTTTGTTCAGCCTTCCACGGATCGAGAACGCTATGCCAGGACGTGATGGGTATGAGGTGGAGATTTTCGGAATGGAGGGCATTCCTGCACCTGATGTTGCAGACTATAAGCGCCGCAAGGAAATCGAACTTGGCTTAGCTGCAGGTTCTATATCTCAGCCTCAGCCTAAGAGACCTAAGATTGAAAAGAGGCCTTTATCGGAGGATGAACTCAAGGCCCAATTAGAAGCCCACAAGGCCTTGATGGGCGGTAGCAGCGATAATCCTCCTGCTCTTCCTGCAGCTGACAATAGCGCTGGCGCGGTATACGGCGCTCCTCCACAAGCATATGCCGCCCCTCCTACTCCAGCTCCCGGCATTCCACCGCCGGGGATGCCTCCCTCTGGTATGGTACCAGGTGCGCCTCCTCCATTTTTTCCGGGAGGGCCACCCCCTGCCGGCGCTTTACCACCATTTCCGCCATTCCCCGGCATGCCCGGTTTCATTCCAGGGTAAATCGAGTTTTTTTTTGCAGTAAATCGTGCGCTGATCTGTCATACAGACATCCCCCTCCTGGCTTCCCGATGCCTCCTCCTGGTCTCATGCCCCCACCAGGTATGCTTCCCCCAGGTGCGCCACCTTTTCCTCCCGGAAGTGTTCGGCCACCATTCCCTCCGCCGCCTTCTTTTGTGCCCGCTGGTTCAGCATCACCATTTCCACCAGTTACACCAGGATTTGGACCTGGTGCTCCTTTGGCGCCATCGGCTGCGGCTATTGGGCCACCTGCTGCAACTGCAGCGCCAGCCTCCTTTGACTTGCCAAATTCGGCCCTTGAACAGAAATATGCGCCTTTCAAGAAGCCGACAGAACTCAAATATGCAGACCCGAACTTTTCCCCTGTAAGTTGATGCAACTTTTCCCCACCCCTACAACTAATGAGGTGTATTATAGGAAGAGAAGCGGGCTTACACTAAAAAATACTATGTTGCTCGAGACTCGACGAATATGCTGCTATCTGGCATTGACTCTTCTGCACTTGCAACTGAAGAGACGAGAGGGAAGAAAAGGGCACGAGCAGAGGACTTCCTCTAGTGGTCAGGACTATACTTTGCATTATGCTCGATCCAATGACACCGAGGCAGATCGTCTTGACAGAGGGTCGTTACAGCCCAGGCAGCCAATGGAAGAGGGATACTTGATGGAGACTCACCAGTCCGTCCCATCCGTCTACTTCTTTTCGCTCATAGATTTTTGGCACTCATCACCTCCTTATACTCATGTCACACTGCACAGCGCGATGTTTGTTGCGATTTCTTCCATCAAGCCATGCGGTGCGGACTTCTTCTTTGCCTTGAGTTTCTATATCGCCAGAACGTATTTTACTGTGTATTACGGTCGGTCTTTTCTCTTCTGTTATAATATTCTTGTTGCGCAAACGGTATGTCTATCGAAGGTTGGTTTTACAGCGTGAATGGTATTCCGTACAAACATAATCACTTGATCCCACAAGGTGTCGCTGACGCTAGCACGAACCTGTACCATGAGGCATAAAACGTTGGCAGCTGAGACACTGTTCTCGAATATGCCGTTGGTTACTGCGCTATACACTGCAGCTATGCACCTGCTGATTAGGCGAATCATAGGTTGCGCAAAAACTGGCTTGACACCTCAAGTTTGTCTGCACGTCTACATAACGTAAGAACTGTACGTCCTCAAATAGTTGGATATTGCTTACCCTGCCACGCCCATGTAATTTCCAATGAGCAGGAACAGGCAAATGCCTGGAGATGTAGATAACATACCAAAAGCTACATTGTAAATTACACATCTGCTACAATAGATCTCCAATATTACTATGCTCTAAAAGATCCAAGACTGACCGCGCCAATTTCACTGCCTCTTTGTCGTCATCCATGTGTATCCGTTGGTGGCGTCCCCCAGGGCTCATGCTCACGCTGACACCCGCAGTCCAGTCACACATGTGCCGCAGCGTCGAAGTAATCCCTGCTTCGGTGAGCTCGTGCTTCCGACGAATATTGGACTGGACGAGGGAGAGGATGCAGGAGATCAGGGGACAACGTGTGTTGGACTTGGCATCAGTCATGCAGTCGTGCATGGCGTGGATGATGTGCGGGTGCGCGAAAATGAAGTCCTGTTCTTCTCGCGAGCCGTTTGCTATGTTCGCCAAAAAGCATGCTGTCTGTTTACTTGCTGTGTTAGCGAAGATTGCCAAGCGGAATCAAGTTGAGAATTACATGATGGGTCACATCATCGTTGGAGGATTCTAGACCAGAAGTAATACAATTGGCGAGAGTCTCCGTATCGATAGATTCAAATACGTAGTCCACCCTTCTTCGTTTTCTGCAAGGTTGCGCAGAATACTCATGGCTTGTTCTTGAATTCCAGGATTGGAATCGTTGCACAGCCTGTGGAACAGAGGTCAAGATGATCTATCAGCAGCACAGGAGTTGAAACGGACATGACGAGCCGGGGCCAGCACAGATGTGTCATTACCTGTCTGTCTTGTACTGGGATCGCTTGCCCGGAGGGTATTCCTCATTGCCCACAAGGCACCGACCCTCATATTTATGTCGTCAGAAGCAAGTAGTTGCATCAATCGCGGAAGGAGCCCTTGGTCCAATAGTTTCTGAGGAGTGAATCGCTTGGAAACAAGGTCTTTAAAAGAAATGTCGGACGCACCGGCCTTAGCGGTGAGAAATCGTTCACCAAGTTGCAAATAGTATTCAAAGCTGCATATGTCACTCTTGGATCCTCGTCTTCCTTCTTAAAGATAGCAAAGAGCTCCATTCCAATTTTGCTATCCACGATATTTGTACGGATGATAGAAACCGCGCGACTAAGTGCACGTAGGCACGTGCATGCTGCGTGGCGGATACCAATGTTCTTGTGTGACAAGGAGACTTGTATCGTGGGGACGAGGTGGAGATCATCTGCAACTTCCCGGCGAATGTTATTGTCAAAGAGCGAGATCGCTGCGATCACGGTCAACGTCGCCTGTAATTAAAAATAGGTAAGTACATCCTGGTAAAAAGATGGCACTTACTTCTCTGAGGGCAAGAGTGCTCTCAGGCTCATCTTCTTCCCATTCCGACGTTCTTTCGAGTGGAGTGATGTGCTTTGCCAATAAAACTACCTTTTCCAATGTTCCGCGTTCATAGACTTCTCGGCACAAATCTTTATCGTCTTTCACCAAATGATCTAATGCGAGATCAGATAACTGCTAAAGGCAAGAGTAATATTCTCCCACAGAGAGTGTAGCATGTTTTAATCTTGTTCTGCGGAGTTTCAGGTGACGAAGAGAGCACCCGGTTAACCACATGAATAACGTTCAGAGCGGCAGAGTAATCTATTGATCCTGGATGGTGGTTTGCATTGGCTCGAAGAACGTGAGCAGCGCTGAAGGCGGTCAACATTGAATCAAGGGTCCGAGATCAAACTAAGCACATACCAAAGAGATGCAGTAAGCTGCACATCAGTCGATCTACTTTTCGTCAAATTCAATACGATGTTCAAGGGGGTGTCGACTCGTGCCGGATCATCAAATTTGGTCCTAATCAAAGACTGACAATCGCGCTTACCTGCGTCAGGCCAGACCCTTGTGAGCGTGGTTGCAACTACAGTATTTTCCATTGCTAGGGATGATAATGCGCCAAGCGCGGCTTCTTGTAACTGTGAGGCATCAGATTCACTTGCTTCTGATAAATGATGGAATGACCTTTATATCCTTTTTTCGAAGGAAATTGACCAGAAGCCGGACCACCCATCCACCTTGTCTAGCTGATGAACTAGAATTTACCATTTCCTTTTTTTCCCAACCGCGTCTGCCCTTGATCTCTTTGGGACGTTCAGCAGGAGGTAGCCATTCTATGACGGCGTTCCGATGAGCTTCTGAGCGGACAGTTGTACTGATGAGCTGTGCAATAGCGATGTTTGTTTGTGATGAAGGATCGGCCAGGAGCGGGATAAATATATTGAGGCAATCAAACTCGAGTCCTGTTAACAAGACCACGCCTTGATTAAAGGAAATCGAGTCACCTCGAAAAGATAACTTAGTGCGACCTTAGCTTCACTCCGCAAATCGGGGTTCCACGTTCGAAGACCGAGTTGGGATGGGCCAACGACTTCAGCAATGGCCGTGGACAACACTCGTAAACCCCGCGCTAATGCAGATTTTAGCTGCACAGGATCGTGGGGTTTCATATTTGACAGCGCAAAGAGGAACGCATGAAGAGCATTCGCGCGGATCAAGCTAACTAAAGCGACCTCTGAACCTGGAATGAAGCATTGGTCTTTGAACAAGAGACTATCATATGAACACATACCATAGGAAATAGACGCGATCACATGGGCGGTTTCGATACGAATATCGTCATGAGACCCTTGTGTATCAGTATAGGACGTGAGGCAGTTGACAAGCCTAGCAAAGGAGCATGAGCTTTGCACTGTGCACAAGGCAGCGTCACATACGAATGAATGAGCGCTGTATCCTGAGCGAGGGCTAGTTTGGCGGCGGGGTTGCCGATGACAGAATTTTTCAATGTCTTAAGGGTGCTGGTGGTGATGGTTCGCACTGTCATCCGTTTAAACTACGTCGATGCAGTATGAGCGAGTGATGGTGATATTGAATCAAAACCTACTCAAAGTTTAACCCAGGTTGACTCGGAGTACTGAGTAATATTCACTTTGTGTGAAAGTTTGATGCTCCTTTGGGTGAGGTCAACGTTTGCAGTCCCGAGAGGTGGCTAGAAATGTATTGGTTGAGTATATACTAGCTACAGGAAGAGGTGTGTGTAATAGTCAGAGTATCATTACCTGTACTTTACCACCCACACCGTGACGAGCCCGGCTTCCGACCAACTTCCGACTGTCAGAGTTCTGGCCTCCGGCGGACCTGCCGATGCGGCGCTGTACTTCATTGACCTGTCACCTCGCTGCATTGGGCCAAAAGCTTTGAATTCAAACCACACCATTCACTTGCCATGGCGTCTACCCACTCAGCTGAGGATTTATTACGCTCAGCGACACAAGGATTTGATCACCTCTTTGCAAATGATATCGATGCAGCCAAGAAGGCGTTTGAATCCGAGGGCGCTCCTTTTCACTTGTTAGGACTTGGCGTCGTCGCATTTTTACAGGCAGCCCTCGGTATGGAGGTTGGTTGATCACTTAATGTATCATCTCTAGACAAGACTGATTTTTGCAGACGGGTCTAATGGAGGAAGCTACTCGCTGCCTTACAGCTTCGGAAGCAGGCGCCAAGAAGCAGGCACGTGCGGCAAGGTCGTTACCCTCAGTCCATCGATTCGACGCTGGAACAGAGTGGGAAGTCATGCATGCCGATGCCGTCGTTCTGCTTGGCCTGACCCATGCACTGAGGTATGTTTGAACATATTAACACATGCTCACCTCTTATATTCGGTTACAGCGAGTCGTACCGGGGCTACCTGCAGTGTTTGTGAGTCCTATTTCATATCTGTGTTCTGCTTGCAGCCAACGCTTTCACAGGTATGAACTTAACAGGCGAGTTTTGGAATTGAACTGTGCCATGTATGACTAATGTCAGAATAGTGCCCATTCCAAATTCAATAAGTGCGTTGTCATAAGTCATTCATACACCGTACAATCCATCGACTATCACTAGACTCTTCAAGGCTGTTTACCCCGATGGTCTTCAGTTCTACGCAACTCCAGCGACAACCCCTCTACCATCGCGTAAAGGTTCTGATGGAAGCCTGCATTCTTCAGTAATACGATCTAAGCCAACTACTGCGCTTAAGTCAGGCTTCTTCAGCAGGTGGTTCACTCCATCGACGTCACTCGCCGCCCCAGGAACAATTACAAATCCGCCAAGCGGGCCTATCGAGGAACTCGTATTGTCCGGAACTGCGTTTGGTACCTTTTTCCACACCTCTATGTTATCACATTGAATCCAAGGTTGTCAGGGTATGGGTTGTTTAACCTGGTGCTTTCTCTCCTACCTGCAAAGATTAGGTGTGTTGCTAACTGTGCGAGCAACATCCCCTTGACGCCGCTTCAGAAATGTAGTTGGCTTTTTTGGCTTCAATCACGATCGCAAGCTAGCTCTACAGGCTCTTGCTGTTTCTGCCGCCAGGAGTGATATTCATTCCGTGTTTGCTGGGTACGCCCCCTCCGTAGTCATTGATGCCCATTGTATTGATCAAATCAAAGGTTGGTTTTAATGACCTACCACGGAGTCGTTCTTCTTCTTTCTGGGTATCAAGCCGACGAGGCGCACATTATCAAGCAGTACAAGGCGATAGTTTCAAGGTCAGTAGTTTTCTCCTTCAGTTTATTCAATTAAGGCGTCGCAAAATCAGAGTAGATGATCGATACCCTGATGGTTCCCTGTGGATCCTGAATAAGGTTTGTTTTCTTCAACGTGAACCCTCTCATTCTCATTCTCTGCCAGGCAAAGATACAGCGCATGACATATGATACCGAAGGCGCGATCGAGACCTTGAGGGAAGGTTTGAAGCCTGAGAGGAAAAAATCTTTCCCTCAGGCTGACACATTGGTATGTATCAGATTGTAGCGGTAGTTTTCCAGTTTCTGATCCGCGTTTTTGTCTCCAGCTCACATTTGAGTTGGCATGGACCCTCCTTTCGCATCGTCGTTACGAAGAAACAGCAAAGCAGTTTCTGGACATCACTCGACTGAATAGCTGGTTCTCTGTCTCTTTTTCTTCGCGTACCTTCGAACTAACCTATCAATCACACAGGAGCCACGCGACATACTATTTCATTGCAGCTGGTGCGCCGATTCTTACATCATTCAAAGCATACTGTTTACCATTGCCTTACTAGGCTGCTACTTCTCATTGAAAGATCATGATAGAGCTCAGAACCTTTTGGACAAAATTCCCGAACAGCTCGACAAACGGAAGCTTTCAGGTAGAGATATGCCCACAGAAACCTTCATTAAGAAAAAGCGTTCGTCGTGCTCTGAGCCAATTCTTTGACATTCCATGAAGCTCACATTAGAATAGTGACTTTCTACAAGAGAAAACAGGCTCGCCTTGGAGGGGATGAGAGTCGATTTGTAGAGGCTATCAAGATCAGTCCCGCAGAAGGTTCGTTTCATGGCGTGTTTCTTGTACATTTTCTTACTATTTTATTTACAACAGAGATTGCTATTTGTGCGTATTTAAACTAATGACTTCAGCAACAAACATTGACTTGATCTTACATAGTCTGGAATACCCACGCACGTATTGAGAGCTCCGTCGCCATAGCGCATATCCAAGAGTGGTCCTCGCTGACCCCAGCTATCACTGATATCGAGAGCAAGTATTTAGTGAAACAAGTTCCAAAGACTGATACCGACGACCTTGATACTGTTGACGAACTTGCAATACGCTCGCTCCTCCTCGGCATCGTCCACCGTACTCTCGCCGAGTATGCGGCTGCGCGCGCATTCCTCCTCGATGCGCTAAATAGAGCCCCTAATGTCGAGATCAGCTCATGGGTTGGGGGTGTCACCGCCTTCGAGCTCGCCGTGCTCGATTTGAAGGAGGCTGATGTGAAGGCTGCAGACATGAAACCGGAGGAAGCTATGACGATGTGGGAAGGCGTGCTCGCCGGCGCCGGCGAGAAACTAGACCAAGCATACGCGATGTCCACGAAGCAGACGGACCTGTCATCGAGGCTTGATAGCCGAATTGTTATGCTCAGGGATGAGATTTCCGACAAGCGTGGATTGCTTGGGCTTCCTGCATGAGACGGGACAGCGTTGACAATACACATACCCTATCGATGTTTATGATACACATTTCGTACTCTGCATATAGTGTCTATGCATCATGATATCTAAATTCCCTCTAGTGGTCTCCGACTCCGTTGTCGCAATCGTTTTGCGGACCTCCATCCCAACGTCCATAGCGCAGAAACTAAAGCAAATGGAGGGAAAAACCAACTAAGCCTCCATGACCACCCAGCTGTCCGTTCCAGCTTCACAAGACACAAACGAACTTGCTGTTCCAGATCCTGCAAGGTGCCAGAATTATCAAGGACGATGTCGGCATACTCTACTTTCTGCGTTATAGGAAGCTGCGAATTAAGGCGTGCTGAAGCATCTTCGCGAGACGAATTATCGCGCATCATGAGCCTTTGCAGTTGAATGTCTGCTGAGCTGCGATGGGTCGTAGCTGCGGATAAAAACGAAAGATATTAGAGAGAAACGTACCAATACACCACGACAACTTTCCCCATCCATTTCCACAGCCCTCCTTCTATCAGAAGAGGGACGTCCACAACACATAATTTCTCCCCTCTCATCCAGCACCAAAACACATTCCAAAGAATGGCACGCGAAACAGCAGGATGGATGATAGAATTCAATTTCTTCCGCTTCACCTCGTTATTGAAGATAATAGCACCAAGTTTCTTTCTGTCGAGGGTGCCATCTGGGAACAGCACTTCAGAGCCAAAGTATGCGACGATTTGAGTGAGCCCTTTTGTTCCGGGTTGCACTACTTCTCGTGCGAGGACGTCTGCGTCGATGACGGGTATCTGTACGGGACTTGAGGAGACTGGACACGGTTGATTTGCCCGTTGCGATACCCCCGGTGAGACCGACGACTGGGATTCGTTTAGAAATCAGCGGGGACATTCGTATGGAGACTAAATACCCAACATTGTAGAAGTAAGGTGCTTGAATGACCGCTCCTGAAGCTTGAGATTTAAACTTAAATATTTAATGAACGTTAACAGCGACGAAGTTCTGTGACTGTCGAAGACTTCAAGTGGCTCGTGCTTCACCACGTGATGTCCACCCTCACGGCAGCCTGAGTGTCCTTGCTACATCTTATGACTCAAGCTCTCACTTAGCACCGACTGGATCGCACAATAAACAGTACACTAATTCTTTTGGCATTAAAACAATTGACCGAATCACCGCTCCCATACCACGAATCCCAATGCAGCTGCCACTAGATCTTGAAGACATCAGCGATTGATTGATATCCTGGGTACTACATACTCCTTCCCGAAATATTCTTGGGAATCTAGCGCACGATTCCAAATGACAGATTATCATATCACAGGATACCATCACAGCCAGCAAGCAGAGCTTTGCGCCGAACAATCGGCGCTTCCAGCTGTATGTTCCAAACTTTGGGGTTTAAGGACATCGTGAATCGTGACACGAAGCAGCTCCGCCTGACCGGCCATCGCCGCAGTTCAGTGGTTCTGCTTCGCAATTTGAAGTGACAGCTGCGCACTCCAAGGCTCCAACAGAATTCTAGAAGACCATGAGTCAAGCTCGAACCTGGTCGCTGTTAAAAGCCATTGACAAATATGAATTCACGGCGCGACTCCGCCATAGCACGACTCCACTTAAATATACCGGAAGGACGGGTAGTAGGTCACACCTTCCTGAACAACTCAGGCTTCCGTTAGATGTGATCAAACGGCGATCAACGAACGAACCTGAAATTGTTTGTCTCAGATCTGATTCGGTGCCCGAGTTGTATCATTGATCTCTAAGATGTACGCATGAGTCATGAGCATGCAAAACATGACTCTTACGATAGTTATCGGTCAAGGCGAAGTTCCACACGTGTTTCGACTCCACAAATTGCATTACAGTTCGAGAAAATGTCCATAATCTGGGGAATAAGATCAAGTTGGGCCTCTTTGTTTACCCGACAACGGGGGGTAGCGTGGGCCGCTTTGTAGACTAGACACGGTCGAATCAGATAGTCAGCTTCAGCCCTCAGCGGGCGTTAGAATAAAACGATGAGCCTATACCATGGAAAATCGACAGACTCGAAGATCTCCTCGGATTCCGTTGAGATTCGTTGCTTGCCCGCAGCCGATTTGGTGTCTCAAAGGTATCTGAGATTCGGGCACAACCTCACAATGGGGAGGCACTGAGCCAGACACGTCTCTGCGGGTGACCCACTCCTAGTGTCGAATGTGATCGCCCCCGTTAAAGGCCGATGTGAATGAAATACCAAAAAGTGACTCCATGATGAGGAACATATAGTCATGCCGTTGTCGCTCGACATGCCGGTGAGAACTTTGAACCATACCAAGATGTGCGTGGGTAATTTGTTCCCTGTAAGAGCGAGACATTATTCAGCACCTCCGACGCGGTGAGGACATTCTCCCCACAATGGTGAAGACCACTGACAGAATGAATTTGTTTCTAAGCTGAGTGTTGTGGGCTGATCGAGCTCCTTTACCAAGCAAGTGAGCGAAGGGTATATAAATTGAGATTTTTTCTCCACTGTCACGGTCGCCCACCATAGTTAACTTCATCAACTTATTCTTCCTCTTTCTTATCCCAGTTCTCAAACTCTCACCTAATCATATGGCCTTGAACATGACATCTCGAAATGTTGTGAAGAAGGTGCTGTCTATTGACACTCCTGAGGTATGTCAATCTCATCGACTGTTAATCTCATATACTTCATATCCTGTCGATAGGGTGCTGGAGCACGCGTGCGACGGTCCATTGGAAGCGCGAGCTTGCGCAATTTGACGCCTTTCCTGTTGCTGGATCACTTCCACATCACTGAGGGTGCCGTAAGTTGATGTCACGCATGGGCGCAATACAGATCATACAATTATTTTCACAGGGGTTTCCCGACCATCCCCATCGTGGTCAGGCAACCGTAACGTATATGCTGGAAGGGTGAGCAATTTCTGCTTTTAGCATATGCTGTGGGCTTAATGTGATGTTTTGTAAAGATCAAGTCGCCATGAGATTCCGCAGGACATTCTGGTACGCCCATTTCTATCGATTTATCTGATACGCGTTGTGACATACAACTTCACAGGGACCATCGAGGCCGGCGGTGTCCAATGGATGTGTGCCGTCAGTGAACAGCACTTATTTTGTATTCATCGTGAATCTTAACTGTCCCGTCATACAGGGAAAGGGGATCATTCACGCGGAGATGCCCGTGCATGGAAAGAACGTCCCTGAGCCTCGAGGATTGCAGCTTTGGGTGGACCTACCAAAGAACGTTAGTCCCATGCGTATGCTACTGCGTGATCATATAATTTACGAACGTGCTACAGGTCAAGATGACGGTAAGTCTAGCAGGGCGTAGAGGATGTAGTCTTTGTCATCACATTTGAAATAGGAACCGAGCTATCAAGAACTGGACCCTGAGGTGTATGTCGCATATGTGCTTTGAGAACTCTTTTTTCTCTAACGCTTGACTTCGCAGAATCCCATTGCGTATCCTGAAGGCAAAGATGGCAACATCAGCATCAAAGTCATTAGTGGAAAGAGCCATGGCGTTGAGTCACCTGTGCGACCACTTGGCGGGTGCTGGTACTTCCACGTGATGATGAAGAACGGCGCAACCATGTTCCAGGATATTCGTACGTATTCTTTGATGCCACACCTGAAGTACATTAACACTGTCGACAGCTGCTGGTTGGACAGCATTCGTCTATAGTATGTTGGCCGAATATGTTGGCTCTATCAAGGGCTGACCTGTCTCCTTAGTTTTAAAGGGTGCAGTGAGCGTCGGTGAAAGCGGTCCTGTCCATGATGCTTTCCACACTCTCGTTCTTTCCAACGCAGACGGTGAGACTGGTGTGCGATTAACAGCTGCAACCGAGGATACTTCGTTTGTCTTGGTATGTACCCTGTCTTTATAGAGGACCATTCCTGAGTTTATTTCGGGGAAAGATCGCTGGGGAGCCTCTCGATCAGACTGTTTTCCAGTACGGTCCTTTCGTTATGACGAACCAGGAGGAAATACAGAGGACACTGATGGACTGTGAGTGATGCACTGGAATGTTTGATAAGGTGCTCAAGGAATGTCCCTACTGATATCCAGACCGAACGGGTCGTAACGGATTCGAGAAAGCACACACGTGGAAGAGTAAGATTGGGAATATGTGAGAACCGCTGTAGGCATGGTGGTGTTCTTGTTCTACGAAGAGTAAGATTCTTTGCCACAACGTTTCATGATTTAATGTTGACGCACGTTCGCAGTTCTTTCTGAAGGTTTCTTGCAAATGAATAATACTTGGTCCCATTGCAATAGCACTGTAAAGATACTTATTTACATATTGAGAGGGCGTAGCCCTCTTTCGAAACACAATATTAATCGATTCGATATCATGTCATACCATTAATAACGAAAGCTTGTATTGGTTCGATAGCTGTAAGATTTCCCTCCCCCCAAAAAATTGGTTTTATCACAACAGTAGTGGACACAATCGATGAAGGTGCATCTCACGCTGACACGTGTCTTGCGTTGAATGAAATCGGGAGGGTGAGATGCACCACAACTGCCCATAGAACCAGTATGTCAGCTGAAGGTGATTTAGTGCACATATCACACAAATTCAGGGGCAACTTTGAATTGGTCACCGTGGGAAATTAGTTCCTCTATGTAGTATATAGGCCGCCATCAACCAACGATCGGAACTCCGAGTATCCAAATGAACGGTGTCCCTCTGAAGATCTGATTTCGAAGGTTCCGTTTCCGCGTGCTCCCTCCGACACTAACGGCGCGGGATCTGCACGTTCTGATCCCTCGAACGGACAAGTTGTTTTTCCGATAGTCAACACAGTTCTTCGAAATGTGTCTGTACTGATCAAGGACCAGGAAAACAGCATGTCCAATGCGCTCCTCATACCCTAGGTAAGCTGCGAGCGTACAAATACTGGGGTCGCAGGTAATCTAGGAGCTCAAGCACGGCGCACGTACCGGTCTGGTACTATGTAGGCACTCGGCGTTCAAAAGGGAACTCTCAATTATTCTAATTCACCTTGGCGCACGTGTAGATCCACATTGAGGTGAATGCGCGTTAATCCAGATAGATAGAGTTCACCGAAGAAACTTGCAAGAGTGCATTATTACAATTTCCATTCAAGGTCTTCAATCTGGATAAACGATTGGCCGCGGTCACTTCTGGCTCCGATTTCTCGAAAAGATCTCTGTGTTTCCCACCGGGGTCGCTGGGTCGTTATATATCAGACCTGAAAAATTCCATGGCACAACCCACCCACCCTTCCTGTTATTTTCTGACCCAAACTTATCCATCCATTTAACCCGGAATCTGCTAGTCATGAGTTTTGATTTAATATCCCCTTCAAGTTTCAGCAATATTATCTGTCGTGTAGCACAGAGTTCCAACGGCGATCAGACTTTGATCTGGGAATAATTGGAACTCAGATGGACTCGCGGCCAACGACAGTAGTTGGATTTGGTTGCGACGACTTCCTTTGGGGGAGAGTTCTCTGTACCAGCCACACGAGGGCGCCTCCTGTTGTAGAACCAGTTGGTTTCATAGATAAGGAGGCGCGTGTGCATGTCCTCGGTGCACCGCTGCTGGGCTGGCGCTGACTAACATCCTTAGAATCTGTACCAGATTTTACGGGTGTTATGTTGTCAGACGAAAGACAATACTAATGACAAACTGCAGGATCTCGACACTAAGGAGCCAGGTTCCTTAGAGTCGATGGCAACTCGTTCATGCACTAGTACTTTCTTTTACTTCCGGCTGGGAGCCTTTAAATTTGAAATGTAATACTTTGGTCGCCTTCGCTGGTTCAACCTTTCCAATTAGGTAGGGAATATGTGGTTTCTATACGCATCCATGGTCACTGAGTATTCTTGTGGTGTAAATTAACTCGACCTAACTTTCGTACCATGAACAAACATACACAAATCATTTACACGTTACGCAACTGAAATTTGATATGCAAGCGACGGTAGAAGAAAGTTGGCAGGGTGAGACAGGGTGAGATTCCTCCTGATTGGGAAGGGATTCAGAAGGACCCGGTGATAATCATAGCCCGGTTCAATCTCATTGTGGATTGCGCGCTTGTTCCTGGGTGACACAATTGTACAAAAGCAGCGGTGAGCACATAAGTGACACGCACCATAATCGTCGAGAAGCATTTAAAATCTAGGCGATCCAGTGTGGCTTGGCAGTGACATGGAAAAAATCGGTTCACAGAAGCTTTAACAGATCATGATCATTTTCCACATTCCGTCATCTTCAGCGCCTAGCACGCACCAGCACTCGTTGACTGTACGTTCCATGCTGTTCGATAACGCACGTTTGACCTTGACTGGCGTCCATGGTTGCAAGCTGATGTGATAGCATCAATATGTCATTTCCGATGGCCGATTGGCTCTCGCTCAGTGAAGGAATAGTAGCTGCGTACGCAGTGATGCAATTACGGCCTAGTGTGAGTTGCCCAAGATGTTGCGAGCGACGCAGATTGATTAATTTCATCTTTTCGTAACAGCCTCGAAGCGGAGTATGCGCAGTTGTGGATGGTGCTAAAGCTATGCTGTGAACCCCAGGGTTTATACTTACCTAATACTACGAGTCTGTGGAAGGGAAGATCCAGACGTATGGCATGAGTATGTACGCGTGTATTACGATACAGCAAAACCACAGGTACCTGTTTATGAAAAACTGAATAGTACTTAACAAAGATGGGTCATCGATATTCGATTCGGGCGCCGCGAGGTTCGGTTCCTTCGTGAGCAGTTGCGGCGGCCCGCACAATGTTGGAACTTCTGTGAGACCAAGTTAACGGAGAAACTCCAAATAACAGCTGGCCATCAAGCCAAGACTTCTGATAGGCATGCGATACAGGATTTCGAAGTTCATATAGGGAACCTCGAAGACTAGCCAAGTGGAACTTCTTAGAACCGCCAAGTGCGGGTCAGTGATGTGGCACGATAGCTGGCCAATAATCGGCTTTGTGGTGACGACGATGATCCTTGGCTTAACCAGACAAGGCCAACACAACCGGGTACATCGGAGACTGCTGGTTGTGTGGCAGTGGAGATGGTCTGAGTCACGTTTAAGCGCGTACATTTCGAACGTGCGAAGAGAGGTGAAACGCTGACTCCCATTATCTCAAAATGGAAATCAATGATCTTTCATAAAAAGCTCTCTCCCCAGGACTAGTTGCACTGACAATACCGCTTTCGCCCAGCCACATCCACAACCGCTTACTAGATATTAGTAACCACCAAGGGCCAACCGTTATATAAACCACAGAGCCTTCCCCCCCAACGCAGTTCTTCCGAAGTCACTTCTCTGTGCTACTCCACTTCAGCTTTCATGGATCGCTTCTTCGCCCCAAACACTTCAGAGGCATTGGCCCACACCCATTTAACGTATGTTCAATTCCTTTTACGGTTCTAGCATGACCTGATCCCTGTGTGACATCCCAGTGAAAATTGGTTCACCTGGGACCAAGATCATCCTTCATTCAACGAAACCCTCGTTGCAGGATGTGCATCCTACCAAGCATTCACGCGTTACCTCTCAGGTTCTGACCTATTCATCGTACCTCGGTCTCGTCGCGAACTTGAAGGTGTTTTGTAAGCACTCTTTTTTCTGTCTCGAACTTTACCCTCTCTTATTCGCTTGCTTGTCAGGCGACGTTACGCGTATGATAGCATACACAATGCCATAGCGGTATCACGGCAAACCCTTCAAAGAGGTGGATATAGCCGAGTCAGTGGAGCGCTATTTGTCATCGGTCTCCAAGCTGACCCATTTTGCCTAGACGTGTTCCCTCGCAGAAAAGTCAATTCGTGACGTCCTGAATACGAATGACAATGCAACTGTCCTACTCAATTTGCATATGCCGCAACCCGAGACGTTCACAGGAACGGACGTGTCCCTACCTAATTCAAATACCCGCATCAGGACTTGATGTCGTTTTCCTCGCATCAGATCGTTTCGTTCAACGGTTTATCCACGGCTCCCCACTGATATTTTTTCCACTGTGGCTTGTTGGGATCTTTGTTTTCGTTATCCTCTCGATCTCGTTATCTATACTCGCATCTGTAATACTCCCCACAACGAATCACCTTTACGCATTCTGTATGTACTACTGCAATTCAATCATCCATTGATTCAATTCATTATTTGAACTTTGATGGGTTTGTCATTCAGGGGATCCAACCAATGCGTTGCGCGCTATTATGTAATACCGTCTCGTTTGGTATACCAGGCACAAGAAGTCTGCAGCGTGTCACTTGCTCGTGTGGCATTCCCCGCAATGACTGACACTGCACTCCGCAATCCGTAATTACTCACGCAACCAACTATTCTTTGGCCGCCGACCAACAATATTAATGCAACCGTCTGCTGATGGCCTTGTGCGAAAGCAGCAGTCAAATGAATGCGTCGGAGCGGCGGGCGATGAAGAAAGGAAGTAGAAATTTATAGAGTGCGCGGCCTAGTGCTAGCCCGCACTGCTAAATGGATCTTTTCGGGACTGGCAGTCCCTGTGAGTTTGCTATCACGCATCGGCAGATACGTGCGAGGGGCCACGGTTCTAGGGATATCGATAATCTCTGAGCTGTACGGCACCCCGCGCGTATTGGAAGCTGAATCATGTCCAAGTCTACCACTGATCAACCCACGGCCGTGCAACGTTTGAACGGGAATTAATATTAGGTAGCGCTTCTTCTAATAAACGAGCATACATCCCGTAGATACTGCGGGCGGCATATAGATACTCAAACTGGATGCACACGTTTATCCGTCACATCAGTCTAGACGTATGTGAATATGGTTATCTCCCCATCCCATCAGCTTTACGCGTACCTACTATGTAGTAGTTCCTGCTCGAACGGGCACGTGAGATGACAGCGGACATGACATATGAATGAGAACGAGCGCCGTGACGCTATCAGCGTTGCGAGATAACGTTGGTGACAAACTTCCTCGTGCTGAATGGCCTTTCCGCTATGGGCAAGCTGAACCAACACCCCTATGACATATGACACGTTCAGGGAATGATCCAGTTCGTGTAGATTGTTATCTGTCGTTATGCAAGGGTCACCCTAAATTGCATCGCTGCTGGGCAGGTTTACACAAATGTAGGTGAATTCTTAACGCAGCATGGTGAGTTCGGTCGTTACGAACACCGATCACCAAACAAAAACGTATCAGCGCTGTGCTCACAATAGATCCGCAAGTCTCTGCCATCTCGACATCTTACCCTCTCGCGCCTTTTCCTCCAATATAAATCGTTCCTCTTCCTCATCGATCTCCCGTTTGCCTGTGATGAGATCGACCTTGAACGATGGTATAACCCGGGTCCTGTAACGAAGTTTATATCCAAGCCAGAATATAAAAAACAATGGGACTGGGAGGTACGATCTATATCAAAGACAGTGAAGAACCCTGAGAATGTGAATGTGAATACCCTCACGTGATGAACAGTCCAGGCGTAAAGGGCAGGAAAGTATTGAACCCTGCAAAACACGTTATCACGTTGGCTTCATTTCATATAACCGAATATGCCAGGCTACCTTTGAAGAGTAGAATGATTCCAGTTGAAATCAGAACGAACCAAGAGCCTAGCGGTTGACCCGGTCCCTTATACGGCAGACTGTCGCGCGAGATGCCTTGAGCCTTGAGCGCCTTCATAAAGTGTCTACACCTATTCACGAGATAGTTACCGAAGAGGAACGACTACTCACATGTGACTATAAGCGATTGTCATCCAGGTGATGGCCCCAAACGCAGAAAGGAGGTTGACCCCATATGCGAACACTGGTACCAGTATGAATCGGTGTGAGGTCACTGGCCAGATAGAGCTCACCCGTAGAGCTTGAAGTGCTCACATTCAGGAACGTCAAGCAGGTGAATAACGATACAACGAGCAGAGACACCCAAGGAACACCTCTCTTGTTTACTTTCGCGAATATCTGGGGTGCCTTTCGTTCTATCGCGAGACCGTAAAGTGTCCGGGACGCAATGTATAAATCACTATTGGCAGCACTGATGGTAAAGAGCAGAATCATCGCATTGATGACATGGTTGAGCCCTCTGATTCCGACCAGAGTTACGCCTGAACGGAATGAGAAAGTTGGTTCTATGGATCAGGAGACCCCCAATTGATGACTCACCAACAACGAAGGGTGATGCTGCTGCCCCTGCACGCGAGCTATTGGCAACCAACAATTGCTAGAAGTAGAAAGATTGAAAGCACTAGTCAGTCATCTCCTAATAGGCTTACGTACAGTGCTGGTGCTGGGCACGATAAGACTAATCGCAAATACGCATCCGATATAGAACACGAAGATGCGAAAAAAAGTCGACTTGATAGCTCTGGGAATCGTTTTCCTCGGGTTCTGTGCCTCTCCAGCCGTAACCGCAACCAATTCACTGCCAATATACGCAAATAACGCAGTGGTTAACGTGCTCCAGAATCCAAGAAAGACCGCGAGTTGCTCATTGTGCACCTGGTGGACAAGGTAGCTGCCCATTGGTCCGTTTGGTTGCCGCCAGTATCGGAATCCAATGCGATCATGTTTTGGGTTTCCTCCGAGGTCGATGATAATGCCAAGAAGAATCAAGCCCATCAGAGATACGACCTTCAGGCCGCTCATCCAAAACTCCAATTCTCCAAAAAATTGTATACCAAGCAAGTTCATGATAACAACTAGTGATATCAATAGACGGCTGAAGGAGATGTTGGCTCAACTCACCGAGGATGATGTACAATGCTACAGGTCCACTAGAATGAGATTCAGGTCAACATGTTGGATAGCGTTCGTACCTGCCCAGACCTCGATGGGCACCGAGAGCGTCCAATATTGCATCACAATGCCAGCTGCATTGATGTTACTCGCAGGAGCAATGAGATACTTGATAAGGTATACCCAACCTAGTGCGAAACCAAGGGCTGGGTCCACAAAACGCGTTGCGTACCCGGCAAAACCCCTCTTATGTGGGAGATACGCAGTCATCTCCCCCAGGGCCGCAAGAGTCAGAAAACAAATGAGACCGACGAACAGGAAACCAAGACAAAGACCGAGAGGACCACCCTGAACCAACGCAGTTCCGGAGCTCATGATTAAACCTGTGCCGATAGTCCCGCCTAGCTGCGTCTTGGTTAGTATGGTAAGTGACTGAAAAGCGGGCAACCGACTGCTATCATGGACATTTGACGGGCCTTGAGCCCGCGGTGCAGCGTGCTCTCATGTGGGTCTTGTAAATCCTCCGCATGATAGAACTTTTCGTTTACGTGCTCAATAGCAGACCCACTCAGGCGGTTGCTGGTCATAATAGTCTCGAGAGCGGAAATAACTGCAAAAGATAAGAAAAAATCGTGCGAATATATTACATCTCCTCGTAATTTCATTGCGTACAAAATACCGGTCCTGTTGGAGGGGGTATACGACTAAAATAGCCAGGTATACATGTGTCACTGGTCAGTCAGGTGCACCGGTCGGCGACAAGTCTCGCAAGATAAGGGCAAATATACATACATAGATCACAATTTATGCCTGATTTCTTTCTTGGCAATTTTGCTGAAGCGCTCAGCAGGTATTCCACTACTAAATCTCTCCGCTTGAGCATAACTTTCTCGCAGATTCACGGCGTGGAAGTCGTTCTTATCGTTCAAACCAGCTTTGATGAGGGTTTTGATGGCGAAGATAGAGGCAGGAACTAGACCATCAAGTTCCTTCTTCAAATGTTGGTGAACTGTAGAGTGGAATTCTTCTGTTGATTTCGATGGAAAAATCTTGCTGAATCATTATCAGCACGGGGTAGGAAAAGTCGGATGCGGAACACACACTTAACGAATCCACATTCAAGCATCTCTGATGCGCTAATCTTCTTGTTAAGAATGAGGGCCTCGTTTGCCTTGGCGATTCCCACTTGACGATATCATGAGGAAAGGTCATAAAACAATGAATTCACTTACTGCGGTTGACGAATGAAACACTAGCTCCTCCTTCTACTGCAATGCCTGGGAGGGTGCAAGTCTTCAGCATGTATCGAAGAAAACAATCAAACGCGCATACCCAGGAATGGGAAGCCGACATTCAACCAAGCACCTGGTACGGCGTATATAAAATCAAAGTTGCCAAGGAAAGCTACAGGAACCTATTGGAGATGGCGGATATAGCATCTGTGGTGAACGTACCAGCTGCTATGCCTAACCTCAAGGTCGTTACTTAACCTGTTTGCGAAACATTCAGAAAGGAAGTTGCATACCCATAACCGGGCCATTTAGTGCCGCAACAAGAATTTTGCTGTGAGCTATAGAGCTTTCATCGTAGGAATAATCAGTCGACGACACTATGGAAAGGTAAGTGATGCAACGTACTGCGTGTGTACAATCCGTGTTCCCAGCCACAACTCCATGGACAAGATAATCCCTCATCGAGCGTTGAGTCGGAGTGTTCGGAACGTCAGGGTTTGTCACGGTGCCTGCTCGCTTCACAGTCCGTACCACTTTCCGAAACAGTAAGCAACGAAACACTTGCTCTGTGGACTGCAGACTTACGCGCAGAACCACTTCCCATTTGCTGTGTAAAGATAAGTTGGTAGTAAGAAACTACTGCCACAAATTTGATGATTTACTTGCCTTGCCATACAGTTGCTACTACATCTTCTCTTTTATCGATGGCCCTTAATGAGTTAGCAAATTCGTCATAGTCTGCAAGTTGATAGTTGCTCAGCCAACGTAGTTTGTTCAAGCACACCACAAACCTTCTGGTCTCAATGCATTCAGACGGTGAGGTTCGTTCAAGGTTATCGTAGCGATGCCCTGAGAAACGTTCACCGAGATTTTACTTACGGGCATGGTTAGGATGATGTCTAAGAATGCAAGGATTTGATATAAAGAGACCTCAGCTGCGATGTATAAATACTGTGTCTTGAATACACATGTGTATGAATGAATAACCGGTTACAACCGGTTTCGGTGCGGCGTATAACTTTCTCGACGTAGGTAAATATCAAATATATACTTTACATAATATTCAACGTCGAACTTTCAAGCATTGACTTCAATTGAGCTACTCTCAACTTGAGCTTGAACGTCTGCAGCGATGTTTATCCTAGACATCTCTAACACGAGGCAGCGAACATCATGAAAGACTTCCCCCGCTATAAACGCCTTCATGACATTGACGTCGACGCGTCAGTCCCATTGAAGCATTTCTCTAAATTAATAGCCGAACTACCGTGACGACCGGACTAGTATTGTGGGCAGAGCTTATTTCTACCGGCAGAGCTGGTAAAACCTGGCAGATGGCCCGCAGAATCACAGACTCTTTTGATGGTACTAGAAGTGTCTAGATGGATGGAAAACCGCTAGGCCCGATATATATAATAATATTGAGTCCAAGTCCCATAATCGTTTGCGTTATGATCCGTGACCATATTCGCATCCTGCTACAAGTGGCAGCAGTCAGACAGGTCGGCTCCTCTTCAACACGCTGTAGTAAATCTTCTCCTGGCCCTTTCAAGATGTCCTTTCCGTCCACATCCCAATCCAAGGCAACCTGAAACTCCCGCGATTCCGCACAGCTGCATGTCTTAGAGTTCTGCCCACAACACCATACCCTTCCCTTATGTTTCAGCTCCGTACGGGCATGCACCACTGAACAAACACCTCTATCGCATCACCAAAGTCTCAAGCCATGTCTACCCGCTGCCACCAGCGCGAATAGACCGTCCACCAATTCCCGATCGCTTGCCGTGTATGCAAGGACAGCGTCATGCGCTTCAAAATGAACTAGGTTCCGAGCTAGTCACCTGAAGAATTTGTTGAACAACTGACAATGCATCAAAGCTTTACTCTACTTCATCGCGAGCACGCACAGACTGGAACAAATATTTGGAAATGTCACACCACTTGCAGACGACAACGAAGGAGTATGAACGATGCACTTATACCCTATCGCCCTTAGCTGGCTTTAATTATCCTCGCATCTGCCTGGACCGATGCAGGGACATCACATGGCTTGTAGAAGTATATACCTGTAAGTATGTTTTGTCTACCATAGGGCGTCGTCCCAACAAACAATAAACACTGATCCGAAAAAAATCCTGGACTGGCCTATCATCTGCCCTGATCGATCATATATCGATTAGGTCCAGTATACCTTTCCACGCCTTGATTGTGTCTGCGGTGGCCCGCAACTCAAATGGTATGAGTATCTTCCAGGCTGCCTATGAAAGACTATCAGAAACCCTGGCTTCAATATCTCTACCTTGAGAATATTCTTATCGGTCTCCCGTAGGCAGAGCAAATCTAATGACTTAGTGAGTGCGGCCAATAAAGTTTCCTGTAGTACTACAAATAGAATGAAATCAGTTGTTTCTTCGCTGCGTAAATGATTCGTAAAGTTCGGAACATTGTTCAGCGCTCGTGATACCTATAGACTGGCCTCGAGGATGTATAAGAGTATGTTCATGAGACCTTGAATAAGCTTCAACTAAAGCCAAATTTAGAAAGCAGAACGGAGTGAGCAACGACCCCCACATATTACACCCCCCCTTTCAAATTACCTAATTAGCATCTCGTGCCTTCGACCCAACCTCCGACGACAAGTCTCCAAGTTTGAAGCTGAAGCGCTGAAGCTCGAAGTCTTGAAGTCCTTTCGAAAGTCCTGTCGCTCCCTGATTCTCAAGTGCATTCGAGAAGTCGCGCAGAATGCCTACTGCAGTTAACGGTATAGCTACCAAGTCCAATGCCAACGGAAAGGCCATTAAATCCAAAAACCAGCTTCGGCGAGCAAAGGCAAAAGAAAAGAAAGTCCTTGCCTCTCAAACGACACCTGTGCGTTTCACATCTGTCTGAATTCGAAACAGCGAATCTATGGAATTGAATTATGGCTGCAGGAGCCCAATGGGAACTCTGACACGGTGAAGCAAGAGGAGGATGGGCCTTTTGGCAATGTCGAGTACGTGATTGAGCAGCTGGATGTCAAAGATCCAGCTCTTGTGGTCTTCTCCGACATTTTTGCACGTTTCCAGGCTCCTCAGGACTATGCAGAGGTGCGTCATATAATGTCCACCCACTCCCACTCCCTTAGTTCACGCAATATCTAGGCAAAGGATTCGGAACCCACAAAAGGGGAGGTCATCTACTCAGACGATGATATGGAATCAGACGCCGGTTCGGACGCAGAGGAGAAGAAACCTCTTTCGAAAAAGAAGCAACGCAAGATGGCTCGTCTGACGATTGCAGAGCTTAAGCAGCTGGTGGCGAAACCCGAGGCAGTCGAATGGACAGATCCTTCGGCCGCTGACCCAAGATTACTGCTCCATCTCAAGAGTTACCGCAACACCGCTCCTGTTCCTGCGCACTGGAGTGCAAAACGAGATTACCTGCAAGGAAAACGTGGTATCGAGAAGCCACCATTCCAGCTCCCTTCTTATATAGCAGATACGGGTATCGCGACAATGAGAGACGCAGTCAAAGAGAAGGAGGCTAACATGTCGTTGAAGGCTAAAACTCGTGAGCGAGTGCAGCCGAAGATTGGTAAGGTCGACATCGACTATCAAAAGCTACACGACGCCTTCTTCAAGTTTGCAACAAAGCCAGTGGTTACTGGCTTTGGCGAGATGTAAAATATTTAATTCTTTTCATTCGATTTTCGCTTATTCTTTTGCTTGTCAGGTACTACGAGGGGAAGGAGTTTGAGACGTCGCTGAAGGAGAAACGACCAGGAGATTTGTCGCCAGAACTTGTTGAAGCGCTATCGATTCCACCACTTGCACCTCCACCTTGGTTAATTAGCATGCAAAGATTTGGCCCTCCTCCGAGCTACCCGACCTTACGGATTCCTGGTCTCAATGCACCCATACCAGAGGGGTGAGTGTGGCACATTTTGACGAGCTCGAAGTCACTGATCACATCTTAAGCGCTCAATGGGGTTTCCATCCTGGTGGATGGGGTAAACCACCGTTGGACGAGTATAATCGCCCTCTATACGGCGATGTGTTTGGTGTGTTGCCGAAAGTCACTGATGCGAATGTACGTGAAGGAGTTTTCATTAAATACATTTCTCTTACTATTTTTCACAGATTGGTGAGCCAATTGACAAGAATACGTGGGGAGAGCTAGAACCGGAGGAAGGCAAGTTCATTTCTATCGTCCGTACTATCGCGAATGCTGAGAAAACCTGCAGAGGAGGAGGAAGAGGAGGAGGAAGAATCGGAAGAGGAGGACGAGGAAGAAACTACTGAAGGAGCACCAGTCGATGGCCTTCAAACACCTTCCGGCCTGGAAACGCCATCCGGCATGGCCAGCGTTGTCTCCACTGTTGCCGGGGGACTTGAAACACCTGACTTCTTGGAGCTGCGAAAGACGTCGTCCAGACATGCATCAGACGTCTCAGAGAGTGGACCGCGGTCACTATATCAGGTTGTACCGGAGAAACAAACATCCGTGCGTGGGCTCATGGGTAGTGAGCGTGGGTATGACGTCAGTCAAGTTACTAATCCGCACAACCTTCCCGTGCTTGGGGAGGAGCGGGGAACGAAGGCACGTCAAAATACTTTCTTAAATCTTCAACGAGGAAATTGATCACTGTTACAGCGTAAGGCAAATGGTGTCGACATTTCTATCGATGCAGGTGAGATGGAAGGCATGACGGAGGATGAGCTACGGCGAAAATACGAGCAACATTCACGAGGTTCGGCAGGAGTAGCGGGATCAAAAGAAGACTTCTCGGATATGGTAGCGAAGGAAATGGCGAAGAAGAAGCAAAAGATGGATCGCGAGCGGGATTCAAAGAAGGGCAAGGAATTTAAGTTTTAATCCAGCCCCCAGCGTCTTGTACATTTGCTGTTTTCCTGCAGGCTTATAGTATCGGTTTATCATTATATCTCTTTGTCTTTTGGCCTCATCATTATGAAGTTGTTAATTTTATAAATGGCGTCAGGGCATATGGATTTTTGATGGAAATGATGATCGTGCATAGGTTTATGTCAAGGTTGTGTGAAGAGTAGGCTGTGCATTTCGGCGCCTAGTAGTCGTCAGGTCTGATAAATCTGCTTGCAGTTGTGCGGAAAAAGTGACTTGAACTAGGCACGCGGCGCCTCCCCTTCCACTCGTTTCTCTCTCTTGCGTTGGATATCATATTCCTCAAGGAATGTCGCAAGTGAAGATGTGAGTCCTCCGATTCCTACTAGTACCGCCACTCAACAAGTACTCTCAGTGCACTTCAGCCACCTCCAAATGTCGATTTTGTCGTTGGTCAGTGCAAAACTCTTATGCTTGAATCCTTTTTATGACACAATCCTCTTAGGCTATCCCGGCATACCACCGGCTGCGAAAGATCGTCCTCAAGCAGCAGTCAAAGGTGTACGTGCTCGCTCTACACAACAACTAAGTTGGCTTCTTATGTATGTTAGGCTGTTGAGGTGCGCGTGGGGCCTCAGGGCGCCAAAGCAAAATGGGTCCGGGTCGAGCTCAAGAAGATAGAGACACTCCCTGGCGGTGGCCAGACAAACTCTTACTTCGACTTTGTCGGCTCAAGTCCGATAAATCTATGGCAGTCAAGCGATGAATACGGGTTACTGGAGTCAGTGAGTGGCGTAATCATCCCTGTGCAAACAGGTCGGGGGCTGAGAGCTAGCGACAGCAAGACCTCCCATTTCATATCCGTATACCCGAGTCCATTCCGCCAAGCATTGCTCTTGAAAGAGGCGGTGAGTGACTGCGCAAACAAAATTCTTGTTATCTGATGGTGTCTCTTTGCATAGCTGGGATCCGTTATGAGCTAGTCGCAACTGTTTGTACTCTTGGGAAGAAGTGAGTTTCCCAGTCAGATCTTGAGTCGCGTGAGTTGACTTGCCATCTGCAGAGGTTTCTTCCGCCGCCGTAAAACTGTTGTAACATCACAAGCCACCACTATCATTATCGACAAGCACGAACTCCACTCAACATGGCCTGTATACGCACAACCAGAATCACGCACCGTCAAACAAGAGGGTGTACATCTCACAGTGGAGCGCCAACGAACATGCTTTGGACCAGGCGACCGTGTGTCGGTCATGGGTATCCTCAAATGCGACTCAGTGCATCCAATTGTCCTCCGTGGATTCGAGTTTTCTCTCAAGGAAACAACCATATTCCGTGCTAGTACTCAGACCAGCAAGCGCAGTGGTCCGCAGTCGAAAGCTGGGCTGGTTGGCGAGCAAAAGGTGCCTCTTAACGTCACGTTGTTTGGTGGCATGCAGCACAAGGCAGAAGTTGGGTGTTTAATCCCGAACACACATACCACTACCACGCTCAACGCTGCGAGGCACATTGACATAACATATGCAATCGAAGTCAAAGCGTGGTATAATTCGATGCAGTCAATTACTATAGAGCTCCCTGTTATCGTCTCAAACTGGCCAAGGTGAGGACTTCAGTTAATATCTTATGGTATATATCTAACTTAAATACAGGAGCGTGTCCGAGGAAGCCGTTAGGTACGTGATGCTCGCTGTTGCGACCGATCTATACTAAAAACCATCTCAGGCGTATCGGCGTCGCCCCCAGCCTTTGTATGACCCCAGCAAGCACTGCAGCCACGGTCCCGGCTCGCCCTCTCACCGGCAACTCACAGATTTCCGATTACAACTCCTCCGCTCAAGGGCATGGGCGCACAGTCTTGACACCTCTGACCTCAACCATCAAGTACAATACTACACCCAACGCACAGAATGGCGATAACCAGCACGACGATCTTGAAGTGGATGAGGTCGGTGCTCTCCAGAGTCACCAGCCGCGTGTGCCGGGTACAATAGACCACCCAGGATACGGCTCGTCAGCGCAAATTCCCATGGGTAGCATTCAGGAGGACAGCGCTCTCGCCGTGCGTCCCGTCGGTGGCTCGGGCCGCAGACGACGTGGCTCGGCTGCTGCTTCCGGGACGCAAAACCGCCTTACAATCACTAACATTAGTGATCGGGATGCAGAGGTACGGGAGGCTGTAGAACAAGCACAGATGGCTGCCAGACAACAACATCCAACGACGCCGCCGATGAGAGGTCAACGTTCGTGGCTTTCCGCCGAGGAAGAGAAGAGGAAGCTGTATGAGAGTGCAAGGGCCAAGGTTGAGCAGGTCCAGGGTAGTGCTGTCATGGCCCTCCAATCTAGTGAAACTGTTAGATTCCAGTTAACATCCCAATCTCCTCCGCTAATTTTTCCTGTAGTCCCCACAACCGAAAGGTTCTCCTTCGCTCCATGCAGTCTGGCCAACAGCAGAGGAGGAGAAAGTCCGTCTGTTCGACAAAGCCCAAGCCATTGCCAAACGTACTCAAGCACTTGGTGCCTCAAGCCACAGCCGAGAGAGTTCGGAAGTCAATGGCTCGCCTGGACTCTCGAAATCCTCTCGTAGTGTCAGTGCTATATCAGCAGGTGCCGCCCTCTACCAGCACGCGGTATCCTCCTATGAATAAGAACCCTACGAGCTACACAAGCCCCAATGCCAGTGTGGATGTTAGCCCATCGCGCTCTCCCAACCCGCCCTCACCACCTCTTTCGACTTCCTCTAAGACCGTTCCACACTACCGGTCCGCTGAGGAGGAGAAGGCTACCTTAAAGCGGTACCAGGAGGCCAAGCTCGCCGTCGATCGGAGCCAGAACACCCAGTACGCGACTCGCGAGGGAATCTCGTCCTCAGCAGCACCCGTTGCTTACGATACTCTCTACCCTTCATCCAGCATTTCTCGGAGCGCGTCGTACGGCGCACAGCCAAGTGGGTCTGATATGCCTCCGCCGTTTGATGGGCCGAATGGCCAGCCACAGTATCTGAATGAAAAGGAGAGGCTGAGGAGGCACCACGAGGCACAAGATGCAGCTGCCATGGCTGCACAAAGTTCTGCTGCCGCTGACATGTCGCCCTCATACACCGCTTCCCCATTATACTCTCCTCCCGCACGATCCTCTACAACTAGCGCCCTGTCAGAGAAGGAACTACTCCGGAGGAGGTTTGAGGAACAAGACGCTGCAGCACTTGCCCAGCAGCAGCCTCAGTCTCCCCCTCCACGGGCCGTCAATGGCTCACGCCTCCCTCCTACCCCCGTTACGCCTATGAGTGGCTCAAGACCACTCACAGCAGCAGAGGAGAAGGCACAGCTACGTGCAAAATACGCCGCCGAGGAACAGCAGGCCAATGGCAACGTGTCCGCATCTGCGTCAGGTTTCAACTCTCACCACCCTTCGCCATCGGGTGCCGTTCACTCAGCCAGCACCGCCTCCTCCCCCGCTCATGCCACGTCCACCCGTTGAGTATATCCAGAGACTCAGGAGCAGGACGCTCGCGTGCGGTATTACGATAGCATGAGCATGGGAGTTGACAATTCACCTATGCGACTTGGGTCCCCGTTGGGGAAACCTGGGATACAGCTCGACATACGCCCGTTCACGCCATTCAGTGTTGGGCTGTATGACCCTGGCAGTCCTGCGGCACAGCGGCTCCCACCGCCACCTCCCTGGCCGCCGCAGAATTGATTTCTGCATTATGAATAACCATCTCAACGATTTATTTCTTGGATTTTTAGCACAAGCTATTAATGCATGTTCCTTGTTCTTCCCGATTGTGCCACTGACAAGTCGGTCAGTGTATTTCTGTCTATCGTTACATTTTTCGACGTATTACAGCACTACATGTGACAGTAACGTTATAATAACACAGAGTGGTAGCAGTATCATTATAGCTCTACAGTGTTCTGACATTCCTTACACATCATGTCGCCCATCCTGTTATTTATTCATCTTTTCCTTTTAGTCCTACTACCCGCTGATGATGATGTCGATTCTGTCGGACCCGAGAGTGAACCAACATCTGCTATGTCTGATTTGCGCTTGCGGCCCCGCGTGGAGTTCGCGCTTTGGGTTGTTTGCATCAAAGACGCAGCCATGTCTACACCGCCATCCTGAGAAGCAACCCCGTCAAGGAATGCATGCATCTCTTCACTCGGCACTTTTTTGTCCACGACTGCTCCACGCGCCGTCGATGGGTCCAGCTTGTCTGCCAACCTCAAGCTCTCCATGTCTGGGTCTTCTTCACCCTGGCCCGTATGCCCAGCCGTATCATGCGCCAGATCCATTCCATTAAGATATGAGCCGATGTCGAAAGAATCCTGCCCCCCTATCCCATATGGATCATCTAGATGTGGCTGCGCGCCGTCAGTGGCGTCGAAAGTCGACGGATCAAGGCCGAGGCTCTGAATAAGGGAATGGATGTTTGTCTCCAGCGAGTCAACATCTGTGTTGATTTCATGTGCTGTAGAGTAGCTCTTCTGCAGGTGATCGTCCTGTGCTTCGAAAGCCGCTAGGTCGGCGCCACCACTCTGCGGGAGGGAGTATGAGCCAGGGTAGTCGGTCTGAAATGCGGCAGGGTCGTACGGCATCAATTGCGCTGGGTTGGCGTTTGTGTGCTGTTGGGGCAGCTGGGATTGCAGCTGGGGCTGGGGCTGGGTGGGGAAAGGCTGCTGCATGATGGATTGTGGTATCATTCCTTGCATGGGTCCGTCTGAAAACGAGAACCCACCCCCACCAAGAGCAGCTATCAGTTTCTGCATCTGCACAGGAGACGAGAGCACCTGGGATAGTGCGGCATGGATGAGGGCATCATTCTGTGGGGAAGGCGGAGGGGGTGTTGTGGTTAGGGAGGTGAAGGCAGGCGCAGAAACTGAGTGCTGAATTGGGGCAGGGCGAGAGAATGAGTTATTTGGCGAGGTGGGTGATGCGGCATTTGTATTTGATGGGGTTGGATTGATGGGGTTGGCTGTAGTGGTGGTGTTGATGGGGGCGGTGTTGGGGCATGACGTGGTATTTGCATCTACTGAGGGTGTTGGGGCATCAGGAAGAGAGGGTTCGACAGACGCAAATCGGGGTGAAGTATTGCACGAAGGGCCATACTCAGATGGGATAGCGGAAGGTGTGTCCAGAGTTGCGAAAAAATCTACAAAATCATGTAGACTAGGGCGTCAATACCGAGACACACATGCAAACATAAGGACGTACCCATTTCAGAAGACTTTGCACTATCTATGCTGGTCCTCTGCTGGTCCTCTATGATCTCAGTAACGTCGACACCCTTCTTTGCACCACTCCCTCCGCTACTGCGTCCATCGCCGATCATCAACCGCTGTGGTTTCCTTGCAATGATCTCACCCCCCTCACCACCACTGACAACGCCACCTCCACCTATATCATCCTTGCGTATTGGATTGTCTGCATGACCGAACACTCCAGCAAGGAATTTGAGGATACGATTAATGGTGTCCTGGTGTTTCTTATGCCTCTCACGAGCAGCGATGGCTTCCTGCCAAAGATGTTGATTGGAGGACTTGAGGTCGTTGAGGTCAGCAGAGATGGCAGCTTGGTGTCTTTTGATCGCTTGAATACCATTCACGATTGAATTCATGTCCATCAATTGGCCAGGGGTCAAGGCGCCCACAGACGCAGCTGCCCCCACGTCTTTATTGGGAACTTCAGCGACGGCAGAAGCAATATCGGAGGTGGATGCGGCCTGCTTCTTGCGTTGGATAAGGCAGAGCATATCCGGTTGGCCACGGAGGAAATGGGGATGCTCGAAGTTCCAGAATTCGGTATCAGAGTCTGAACGGAGCACACCTTGTTGGAGATGAGGAATTTTGTGAAAGCCATACATGTTGAGTTGGCGGACAAATGAGGAGAAGTTCTTGTGTTTGAACCAGCGTCCTAGGACTTCGCTTGCGAAGCGCTCTTGGTCGAGGACTATGAGGTGTCAAATTCGTTGAATATTGAATGGAGGGGGCTGGTGCTGGGACGTACCAAAGAAAGAGTCACCGGTATCAGACCATCGAATGAGATCGTGGTCTGAGGGGTCATTAACCATTCTATAGAGCAGGATGGTTGTAGGATGTCAGGACTACAGCATTTGTGAGATTAGATTTGACGAAATACGCACTCATATAGTTTCTGGAGAAAGGCGGGCACGAGCTGACGTGCTGGTTTGTTCAGGTGCGACGAGCTAGCTCTGGGAGCTACCGCCAGATACATTTGTTGATCTGTACTCATATTCTAGTCGATGGAAGAGACGAGAGTGACTTTTGCTTTTGACAATCTCGGCCACAAAGAGCCAACACGTCAAAACATGCAAACCATAACCTTGTACATACGTCACCCGCGCTTAAAGTAAACTCTACTGCGATGGTTTTACGAGGACTACGTACAAAAGACGTATGGTATATATGCATGTGAATCGGGTAAGTATCCTAAAAATTATATGGCTCCAGCCGTCTGACACACTTGGGCTGTGGTCTCTTCCATTCCCCTTTATTTGGATCTGGCCATAAGGAAGCGCTGTCCCATTGGGCTTGAAATGGTGGCTCATCGCCGTGAAACCCAAAGGGCCAAGTAGGCAAGTAGCACATCTCCTACATAATGAGGTAAGTCATTTCACAGACAAGTAACTTGACGTTGTTACCTCAAAACCACAGGCCGGTCGGCATTTCACCCACACGTTCCAGTCTAACCAGGAGATTAACTGTGTCACATCCTCCTTCCATTCGTCTACGAGAGTACGTATGTGATCGGTTTTGGGGCGTTGTTCCGGAGGATACAAGGGGTCAACTCCAGTCATCATCCCGGATGCCCACATCTTCGTGACAACGCGGCATATTTCACGCGTAGTTTCCCGTACCGCCTGCAGGAGTAAATGTTCAGAGGGCATCAATGTCGGTCCACGAGCTACTATGGAGGCCGTGTGTGATGTAGCACATTCCCGAAAAACTGGTGCAGCCCACGAATTTGTCGCGTTGGCACTGACAGAGGCATTAGGAGGTAGAGCTGCAAACACAGTGTAGGGCAAAAGCACGGTGCGCAGTTGCCTCTGGACTTGTTGTGCGTGGCCAAAGATCGACATATTGTCCAGCGTCATGTTCACAAGGTACTGCATCATCTCCAGGCGGCTGGCATATCGATCAACCACTACCCGCAAGACGGTCTTCCAGTCAATGCCGCTGGGAGTCACGGGTGGTCGTACCAATGCTTGAGCTAACCTGTCTTGGACGCGTTCTGTATCCTCCGATGATATTCCTTCCACTCGATGATCCCATCGCTCCAAGCCTACACGGCGCGGAACCAAGGAGGGAACAAGAACGGTGTCGTAGAAAGAGACTAGCCCAGAAAAATCAAGCATAATCCGGGTTTCTCCTGGATACATTTCGCGCCGTGAAGTAGAATGCATCAATTCAAAATAATAATGCACTGATGTCCGAGAATAAATCAGACCAATGTACATAGTCATGGTCGCTTACCAGTATTAAGGTCCTCTGGAGGATCTGTAGGCGAGCCGGGAATGAGGCGAGTGCTCTCGAGATTTAAGAACGAAACGACCTCCATGTGAGAGGTGAAGTCGCAGATCATGACTTCACTGTGACCATCGTTAGTAACAAATCATGAAGGAACCACGTAAGGGTTCGCACAAATCCATCTCCATCCTATAACTCACAAATCAGCATCCGGCATCGATGTATCTCAGAATCCAACGAACCTCACGAAGCCATTCACGCCATATTTCTGACCCCATTTACACAGATCCATAATGCGCTGCTCTTCGTTGCCCACCCACTCGGGTTTCATCGTCGACCACGCTACGAGATCTTGGGTGTCCATCGTGCCCTCAGGGATTTTCGCAGCGCTGCTTCCGTCAAAATAGAGCACTTTCATCGGCTGAGTGACTTTAAGGGTGAGGTGCCAGCACCCCGTTTCGATCGACCCATGGCTGAAACCTATGGAGTGGTCTGGCTCCACAGACACCCAATCTAGAGCGGTCGGTAAATGGGGACCGGTGATGGATCCATGGTAGAGGAGAGTGCCTACGGGAATAGTCCCTGGGACTATTGTATGACCTGCAGGACGAGTTGTGACACCTGCGCGGTATTCAGTATTTTTAGACATACCAATACGATAACGCGTGTTTGGCCAGTGTTGAAGCAGGGAATTGGCCGTTTCGAACACTAGATGTCCTGTCGCGTTCACTACAGGTGCTTCACCGAGATCCCATTGTCCAAGATCATTTTCGACTTCCGTGTAAAAGGATAAAGGTGCATGACTCGATAGTGGTGTTTGTGCAGTCAAGACCCGTTCAAATGCAAGGAAAAGCCAAACGGCTGCGGCTTTCCTGGTAGACAGCATTCCGATAAAGGGCTGGCAAGGGCCTTGCATCAGTGAACCGGTGAACAGATGAGAAAGTTATGTAAAGCGATATATTGTAGAGCATCGCAACAATCTTCGTATATCTGCTGACTGCTTTCACATGGGAATATTTGGCATTGTCGAGCAAAGACGAATGAACAATCACGCCAGCCTGGTAATATTATTTGCTTCGTGACCGTTTTCATTTGGATGTACCTAAGATAAAACAAACGAGCATAGGTTCTTGAAAATCAATACGGACCGAGAATGAGAGGGACACAAAAGGAGGTTTTAAGGCGCAGAAGGCGAAAAACACTTTGGCGATGTCCCCAGCGATGCGGATGGCATATCATTTGCACATTAATTTTTTATTTAACATGATCCTACATCTGATCATTTCTTCGGGCAAAATCAAAAGCCTCCAATTTTGATCCAGTTCAAAGAGTTCTCGGTAGTGACAGTATCTATAAATGATTTGAAACTTGGTGTAGCGCTATAAGCTTACGTAATGATGGTGCTAAGTTGCAATCTGCGCAATCATTGGCATCTTTCACAATTTAACCCTTCTAGCCTGGAAAGTCCAAAGTTTCTGAAGAACTTGTCCACTCCTCGACTACGTGACGGATGCCTCAAAGCAAGTGAGCACAAATTTATACATTGCGGGCTAAAGGTGTTCAACTAGAATATTGCTGCTGATCAGGGAACCGGTGAACAGACTTCGCGCTAGGGACAATGTTTGTACATGCATCGGAATTTTGACATAGTATACGTAGTGGCAGTGCTACATTACAATCTCGCGGAATCTTTGGCAACTTGACAACTTCGCCCCTTCCTGTTTCCCTGGTCCGAAACTACTGACGATTTTGTGGACTACTAAGCTACCTCACGGGTCACTTAAGGCAGCATGAGCATGGTAACTGGGCATCAACATATCATAATCCGAAAATAACTAAAAGTACAGTTTTCAACACTGCTCCTCCGTTTCTGCATTACAGACCAGGTTAGTTTCATGAACCAAGACAACAAATTCCTATCAGGCAGGTAAAACAGCCCTCCTGGAGTTATCAGAACAAAGAAGGTTGGCGTGACTTAATCCGACATCTGAGCTCGAGCATATGTGACAGTGTATTATTGATAATGCTTTATTGAGACTGCATATGACCTCAAGGTGTGTATGTTTGCAGTGCTACACAAAGTTTTGAATCATCTACAAACATTGTCGTTACTGCAGCATCTTCAGGACTTGATCAAAATTGTAGACTTTACATTTTGCTCGGAGGGATGATTTGATGTGTGATTATATTCCAAAAGGTTCTCACTGGGCAACTGACATTTATCAGTGTCAGACTAGAAAATCCATCCATTGAGAAGTCATATCTACTCTGACATATCTTAGAACAGCATTCATGCTCATGGTCTTGATTGAGTGCATTAAAGCCATGAAAAAAGTCGATGGCTGATCATGAAGCCACACAGTGTGTTCTGGTTGGTGCATTTGTCACCACAGTTATATAAAGAGCGAACTTCCCTTCCATTTGGCACATTGGACGTCACAATATATTTAGTGTCAAATAGTATGTGAATGGTATGAGATTTTGATTGCAAATGACCTCCTCAATCAAGGGTATTGTAATTGGAAGCACATTTGGCAGCAGATGATGAGACCATGCAGGTGGTTGGGGAAGCCATTAAATTCATCCCTGGGCCCACATACAACACACAAATCAGGAGACATTCACATCATGGATGTCATTGCTATTATTATATAGGACCGGATTGAATATGGAGTGGGTATAATAATTAAATAACTTCTTAGGTAATGTAGTATGTAGGGAGGGTAGGACAAGCAAGAAAAAATTATTCAGGGTCAAATGCAGCATCCTCAATCAGCTGTCTCTGGGCAGCAAGAGCACTGACAGACATTTGGGAAACAATGTCTGATGTCAGATCTTCCTGATGGTTTCTGCCAAAGACCTTTCTGCACAGGGATTTAGTGATCTGGGTGAGTTACTGATGGTCGTTGGCTCACCTGGTCCACCACTCAAGAAGGTTAGTCATCCTGGCTCGCACAGCTGGACCTGGGGCATCCTCAAATAAGTCTATGATGTTGTTCCAGAAAATCTGATAGTTGAAGTCTCCATCTACAGTGCGCCAGGAGGTAATGCTAGAAAGTGCAAATTGGATCTGTCAAATTCAATGTCAACTTCAATTAGAGAGGCAAGCTGCATACGTGATCACACAAGGAGTCACCTTCCTCATACTGATGATGGAGGCAACACATGTCTTCACTTTACCTTGATCTGATCATCTCTGGGCATGTCGGTTGTTCTCAAGGATATCAGCGTCATCATCTTCACCATCAACTTCATTGGCAGAGGAGGGAGAAGTGAAGATAGCCTTGAACCCCTGTGATGCTATGTGATGAACTATGAGTCAGTTTAAAAAATCAGGCTGCTCACCCTAACTAGCAGCTTCAACTTCATGAGACCATGCTCCAGATTCTTGGTGTCAGCTTCATAGTTTTCATACATGAATGAGGGCCATGAATTCTCTGAAACAATGAAAGCAGTGGTATGGTCATGAATGCCAGCCCTGACACTGAACAAGATATTGGCAATGTATGAGGGACGAGAACTATCACTTACACCAGATCATCCCAGCACCATTCTGCTGGACAGAGCAGTTTACCACATGCATCACTTGTGAAACCTCGATGGTGTTTGTCATTGGTCCTGATGAGCGGGGTGGGATGACACTCAATGTTCACCCATGAAGCCACAAGCTCTTTGAGAGTTCCCGTGTCATCGCCATGAGCTGAGTCCACGCCTTGCTTGAGCTAGATTGAAGATGAGTAATAATTGGGGCAAAGATGTTTGCCAAAACCTTTTTGAGCATGTCCTCTGACTCCTCATGGTCAAAACTTGCTAGCTTATCATGAAACCATGGTAATGTCTTAGCGAGTTCGATATAGCTACATTGAATGTGATCTTGTCTGTTCATCATGATAGTAAACATGTGCAACAATATGGATAGAGAGATACATAACTTACTCCTTGGTGCAGTCCATGTCACTTTCTTCACATTGCCGATCATTTTCAGCAACCAGATCCTCTATGGGTGTGTATAGTACAACCATATGATGAATTGCTTGTCCCTGAGAAACATAATAAGTTGTCTTCCTACTGTAATGAAACATTAAAACCAATTTGAGGTCTGGTCGAGAACATGCACACCATTGTTTTGTTGCCTTGTCCTGCTTCAAAAGTTCGACTTCCTCCATGAGGGTGGCAATTTTCTGCTTTGCCCTGGCATGAGGAGACATTGGGACACAAAGGGATACATCAAGAGAAAGGCTGCCTGCTAAATGGTTCTCAGTGACTGACATATCGGAGATATATGAAAAATAATTGGAGAGAAGGAGAGGGGAAAAGAGAATGAAAACATGAATGAGGCCCTGCAAAAGGACTTGCGAGTTCTTATATGCCTGTCTGAAGACTGTAAATGAGTTGTTCTCAAATAAGCAGGAGAGATTGACCTTGGCAAGAAAGTGTGTCAGGCCAATCAAGAAACACATAAGTCATTTGAGCCTTTTTGGGGAAGTCAATCTGAAGGGGTGAAGTGAAGAGATAAACAAAATGACACTGCAACATGGTGGGACTGTTGGACATACATGAATATAGCTGAGACTGGGACCTGCTATGTGAAGTGACTGGGCATAGTGCATGCCTGGTGGCAAGATGGGCGAGTCTTGATGGTGTTGGCTGGAGTGGCTATATTAAGCCCATGCCTTTCCACATTTCCAAGGAGGAGCAATAGAATTAGAGCTTTGGAATTGAGGACATCACCCATCATGTGACACTGGCCCAACGAGTTAGATTTTACTATAGAATAGGCATGACAGAATAATTTGAGTGTGTACTAGAAAATGGCTGACTTGGACTCCGCTGCCACAGTCAATGATAGCGCAACTTGAACACCTTGATATTGAATACATACAGTTCACAGTCATGGTAACTCACATAGAATTTCGCATCCATTGAGTCCAACATAGAACAAGTAAATTTGAATAGGCATAGAATACACAAGGTAAGGCATGTACATACAAACACCATCAACATCAGACCACCTCAGTATCACCGGAGTCCAAAGAACCATCTGTTCTGGAGAAACCAAGAGGAATTTCTAATCAGGCGGACCTTCATCTCTGCCCAGGAAGTAATTTGGATCCCTTTGGGGCCTTGCAGGTATATGTCTTGGGAGGGCACATGTTTTCCGTATCATTACTATGACCACAGCCCAGCAATGTGCACATAAAGACAATGCACTTGAGTGAGGTGTTCACATACATTTTCTTCCAATCAGTCAGACACCCACACTGTGGACATTGTATGGGGAGTGTATTGCCCCATGGATGGGCAGTGGAGTGAGCAAATGAATAATGAGTACACTGCAAAGGCACCATTGGACCATTATCCCCAGATATCAAGGTCATCAGAATGACGTCCAAGTGCATATCTAATCCTGATTGGTTGAGAATGCTGGGGAATGCCTTGCACAGTGGAACTTTTCAATGAGGACAAGCTGAGTGTATGTGAGCATGAGGTGGCAAGTAAAGGGTGGGTGGAAGTGCTTCACTGTAAATGTGATTGTGGATGAAATCTGATGATTGATGACAGAGGCATGCAGACCACTAAAACCTTCAGGCTCATTGACAATGGCTCCACAGCATAAAAAAATAGGATTGACTCCTTTGTGCTTTGGATCACATTGTGCCACGGATCTAGTAAAATATCCATAAACTAATTAGATAGGGTTGAGCTTGGGATGGTGATAAGTAAAGGGACAGTAAACGTACATCAGGGACAGTGGTAGCAATGTACTGAGTGTGCTTTGGCCTGTTGTAGCCAAGAAATGGGTCCCCATTGTCATTGTTTGTGTGGTTAGTGATTGCGATACACAAATACTCAAAGTCCTGATCTTCCATGATACTGTCCATGAGCTTCTTGCATCGCTGAGAGTAGTCCTGGATTTTGTGATCAGTACCAAGGCTGAATACTACGTTGACCAAACAGAGACCGCTGCTCAGAAAATAAGGCATAAGGTATGAATGCACTGCATCAACTGGGCTCACATCATGCTCACAACTGATGATCTTGATGTTATGAACTTGGATAGAGTGTCGTTCCAATAAAGGAATCAAGGATCAAGGTCAATCAAGGACTAAGCCTTATTGAGTCAACGCCTCCCTTAGGAGCAATCGTCTAGACTCCTGCAGGATCTAGAGTTCAGGTATTGAAGAGAACTGAGTAGATTCAAGTTAGAGAAAATACAAGTGGTAACTAGGGTTTATATATGTAAAGGAATTGTGCACAGACCAAGCTGGGTAAAGGGTAACTAGTACTGGAAATGGAAGGTTCATGGGAAAACAAGGTATGAGTCAGAGATAAGAGAGACCATGAGGGAACAGCACAGTGAAAAGGAAGCATTAAAAGTACAGCCATATAGGAGTCTGCAGTGATGATGAGAAAAAGAGTGGGGCACTGTAACATTACCCCCCTGTCAATGTCTAAAGTCACTGACTTTAGTTACTAATATTCTGATAGTCGTTGGGATCAAAGTCAGCATCCTTTGCAAACTGCTTCTCATGCTCCTCTTGTTCAAGATCTTTTTGGTCTTTGTAGATTTTAAGCTGATGATGGAAGGCCCACAAGCCAGGTTTGGCATTAATGATATGGCATCCTTGAAGGGTAGGACAGTAAGTGGTAAGGTGCTTGGGAGCATGGTGGTGGCATTCTCGGCAGAAGTAGCAAGGGCAATGGATTTGTCAATGTCCTTCCTGCTGGCAGTATCGGCAGATGATGTCATAATAGTCTACACCATTCCTATCACATTGAAAAGTTTCTTCAGATGGGGCATGAGAGTCAGAGGAGGAGGCAGGTTTGTCTTCATTGACAATGATGGGTGGAGCAGGGGATGGTGTCATGGGATGAGAGAGGCCTATTCCAAAGGCAACAGTGTTTCTTTTCTTACCACAAGCGCAGCGTGGGTTTCCTGCAGAGCGAACTGTGAGCTGAGAAGGAGCGGGGACAGGGGTGTCATCATCAGAAGATTCTGATGGGGATCTAGGGACTTCTTGGGTAGTGAAATGAAGGGGTTCAGTGGAAACGGAGCATTCCAGTTTGACCATATCTGGGGTGAGAGCTTGCTTGAACCCTTTTTCTATAAGTCTGTCTGCGGCAAGTGCCTTGATCTTGGTCATGTGATAAATGATGGAACGTTTGGTGGTTTCTTCAGTGGGGGCTGTGATGGTATGGGCATAGCTAGACACCAGGTCTGCACTGCAGTGAATGGTCATCAAAGAAAGGGAATCAATGTCTTCAGAAAAGAAGTGATCTAAAGGTAAAACACAGGGAAGAGAAGAAAGGGTTGATTCAACAAGAGCTCATTTGTGGTGAAGTTCGAGCTGAGAGCAGTGGAGTTCAAGAGAAGAGTTTGAGGATCGTGAAGAAGGCATATTCTGGGATCAGGTTTCTAGGTAAAGAGTCGAGAGAGTCAAAGGTGGTCTTTATAGGTTTTGAGGATTTCCTGGGCGTTGTCTAGTTCCTTTTCAGGGAGCCAGGAGTTATCCGAAGAAGGGTAACCCTTCCATGATACGAGGAAGCATCGTTTTCCTTTTACATTTCCCTTATGGGCAAGAATGGCTTCTATTTCATATTCTTCTTGTCCATTGATGATGTCAGGAGGGGGTTTGGTGTGGTTCGGGCTGTGGACTTCTGTTTCCCAATAGGAGGATAACTCAGAAGCGTGAAAGACAGGGTGTGATTTCCAGGAGGCAGGGAGTCAGATCTTGAATGTGATAGGGGAGAGGATGGCTTCTACTGTGAAAGGGCCGTAGCATTTAGGGGCAAGCTTCTTTGAGGGTAGTCCAGTGATAAGGTTCTTTGCTGATAACCAGACTTTCTCACCAATCTTCCAGGGTTCAAACTTCTTTCCAAAGGTCCGATCAGACATGTATTGCATGGCGAGATTGTGACAAGAGGTGGCTTCTTCTCGGATCTTCTGAAGATATTTGACTTGATCTTCTGCTGCAGGGACGGCGGAGTTTGGGAGAATATAGGGGATTCCTCGGGGTTCATAACCCATCATGAGGTGGAAAGGGGAGACATTGTGGGCATCATGCTTTTGGTGATTGTGGACAAATTCAGCCATGGGTAGATGTTTTACCCAATCAAGAGGAGTAGAGTGGCAGTAAATGTGGAGGTAGGTTTCAAGTTCCTGATTTAGATGTTCAGTCTGTCCATCAGTTTGTGGGTGGTAGGTGGTGGAAAGTACAACTTCATAGTCAAGAAGTCTTCCAAGTTCTTTGGTGAATTTAGAGGCGAATTGGGGTCCTCTGTCAGAAATGATCTTGTCATAAAGTCCGAATCTGAGAAAGACTTTCTTGAAAAAGAGTTGGGTGACTCCTTCTGATGTAGTGCTTTTCTTGCATGGCGAGAGAATTACCCCCTTCATAAGGCCATGGTCTACCACGACCATAACCGAATCAAAACCGCCTGATTCAGGCAAGTCAGTGATCAGATTGACAGAGATCTGTGAGAAGGGGCGAAGTGCAGAGGAGGGGATAGGGTTTAAGGGTGGAGTGGAAGGATGAGTGTCAGATTTCATTTGCTGACATAGGGTGCAACCCTCAACGTATTTGCAGATAAATGTGCCCATTCCAGGCCACCAATAATCTCATTTGACTAGTTCTTTAGTCTTAAATCGTCCAGGGTGACCAGCGGTGGGGTGATTGTGGTGAAGGTGCAGAATGCGATGGCGGAGATGAATTGGAACATAAGCACAGTTCTTATAAAACAAGGTACCATTATCAAACTTCCAATCAGAGAGGGCAGATTTCATAGGGGGTGCATTTAACCCATCAAGGGCTTGTTGCGCAGCAAGGATGACTGGATCAGAGAGGGGATCCGTGGATTTCAGGGCATCAGCGAGGTCATAGTCAATAAGATGGGAAAACATGGTGTCCAGGAGAAGTGTGACATCGGAGTTATCTGAGGGGTCAGAAGAGTGGTCAGGATGGCGTGAAAGAGCATCAGGAGCAGCAAGTTTGCTTCCTGGGACATGGTGGAGTTCAAGGTCGAATTCATTCAAGGTCAACTGCCAACATGCCTGTCAGCGAGTGAGGTTCTGTGCGGAGCGGAAATAGAGGAGATTCTTGTGATCAGTGAAAACGATGACAGGATGAGGATTTCCTTCGAGGTAGTGTCGCCATGCTTTCAAAGCATGGATGATAGTGAGGAGTTCATGATTGTAGATCTGATAGTT